CCCCCCCCCCCCCCCCCCGTTCCTCGTGGCCATGGTGACCAACGCGGAGCCACTAACGCTTGTTGTGTGTCTTGCAGACTCCGGGCTATGTCCTTATCAAGCGCGCGCTCTCTGAGCAGGAGCAAGACATGCTCTGGGAGCATACGCGCCGGATCCGCATCGTCGAACGGCGTCCCGGGGAGAATGTGGTGCTCAAGATCAAGGACCACAGGCACCGCCATGGCTCGGACGACGAGAAGTTTGAGTTTGTCCGCAAAAAGCGAAGCCGCAGCAAGTCGCCCGGCTTGTTGATGTACCTCGCTGGCGGTCGGCCGGCGTGATTGCAACTGCTCAAACGCCCGCCAACCTGCCAGCTCTCACCTCTCGCCCTCACTAGGCAGCCGAGCTCCCCGGCCAGTCAGCTCGTTTCTTCTGCTCAGAGCCACTCAAGCTAGGACGGGCTAGATTAAGCGGCGTTCTGCGATGGGTTACAAGGGAGGGGCGAGCAGATGATGATCACGATTGGACGAGCTATGAGGCATGATGTTTGTTTTAGTCATTTCTTTCTTGGTACGAGTCGAGAATTCTTGCTTTATGTCCGTTTCCTTTGCGCTGGATATTCCCAATTCGGTTTCTGCCCGGCCGGTTGAGTCGCCCCGTCTTTTCTACGGCCTGCTGCCGTTCTTGCTGCTCCATCCATCGCCGTGTTATATATATGGTACAAGTCCTTTAGGTAGGGTAGAGTAGCCACCTGGTGATAGTACAGTATCGTACACTCTAAACCACCACGATAGAGGAGGGGGGGGAAGAGTACCATCAAAAGTTCCCGCCTTTGATGTCGCCGTCCCGTTCCGTTCCGTTTCGTAATCGCGTAACCACTGTCAGAGACTCTTGTGCGTCCTCGCGCTCCAGGTAATCTCGGCTCTCCGGATTAGCTCCTCATAGACGGTCCAGGCCAGCGCCGAGCTGAGCGCCTTGCGGCTCATGCGTAGCGTCAGCCCGTCCATCAGGGAGCGGAATCCCTCCTCGCGGACCATGCGCCGCACGGCGTGCACCATGTTGCGGTACTGGCCGGGCTGCAGCTGGATGCGCGTCTTGACGGCGTCAAAGGGGTTCGAGATGACGCTGCACACGACGCCCGAAAGCACCCCGCTGGCAAAGTTGATGCTTGCCGCCCGCGACAGCGCCATCTTCTCTCCTCCGCCACCCCTGTTGTTGTCCCCCGGGTTCCCCCCTCCTCCAGCGAACAGCCGGCCAAGCCGCTTCTTGCTCTGCTCGTACACGAGCACGTACAGCCCCGCGTAGGGCGCGTCGCGCACCGCCGTCGCCCCATAGCCCGCAAAGAACCCGCGAAACCCTTCCCGCCGCGCAATGTCGCGCGCCGCTGAGACTAGCGACGAGTACCCGTACAGCGTGCTCTCGTACCGCACCTTGAGCACCGTCAGCGGCATGAGGATGAGCCCCGCGAACGAACGAGCGACGGCGCCCGCGAGGAGGTTGCCCGTGTTGGAGAGCTGCGGTAGAGAGGACGATTTAGATCCCAAGGAGGAGGATGATGACGATGATGAGGAGAATGGGAGGTGTGGCGTCGCCGCGGCGCTCTGCCGGATGGCGTTGAGCGCAGTAAAGTAGATGGCTGAGCCGAACCCCGTGCGCAGGGCCGAGGGCACGGCGCCCCGCCAGAGGGCCGGGAGCAGGCGCGGCGCGGCGCGAATGTCGGCTATGGCGGCCGCGAGCGGGTGGGCGACGCGGCCGCCTGACTGCTGCTGGACTCGTGTCTTGAGCAGGTCGATGGGCTGCAGGAGGACTGCGGACAGCACGCCGGAGCCGAGACCAGCGGCGAAGTGGAAGGCTGGTTTGTTATCATTGATGGTTAGTGAGGTGGGTTGGAAGGGATTAGTGCGATGAGTGCAATGGGATGACAGTATGGGTAGAACGCACTCGACTTTGAGAGCGCCGTGCGGGCGCCATCGGACATCGCGGCGCTGGTGGGCGTAGTCTGTTCGCTCCGCCTGTGTCCGCTGTGGGATCAACTTGATTGTGGTAGACACGCAGCGGGAAGAGAGGATTGTTTAGATAGAGGTAGGCACCGATGGTGAAGCGGCCATGATATTTAGGAGGGTTATATCGAAGGGCTCATTTTCGACGCAATGGGATCCTCTCTTTTCACGGCCGATTGCCCCTTAGCTCGTGACTCTAAGCGTCGACCGGGGAGGAAGTTTATCGTGTGAATCGGCGAGGCCAGCCTATGACGGCATGCGATTTTTCTGCACCTTGGCCCCACTATCCAAGCCCCGAATGGCCGGTTCGACCCGAGCTGACGGACCCGGCTGTCCTCGGGCCCAACCGAGAGCAGCGAAGCGTGGAAAAGAACGGACGAACGCTCCGAGCTGATTCGATACTGGCAATATTGGACACTATCGAGTCACGGTGTTTCAATATGACTCAGTAGTCCTAGTAAATGATTGTCAACGGTGCAATACCCATAGTGTAAATTAGTCAGGTCTTGCATTTCGTACATTACAGCGACTTTTACGAACCGCTACTAACGGTCTAACCCCCCTTCTTCTGCTCGCCCACTATTGACTCTAGCCGGCCGGCCAGAGCCCGATGCCGCTTTACAACCTCAACCCACTCTTCTTCCGCCTCTACACCAACGTCCAGCGTCGCCAGGAACAACCCAAAGTCCCCTCCTAGCCGGCCCAGGCTGCCCGCGCAGTACAGCACCTGGGTAAGGAGGCTGTCTCTCGCCGCCTGGTCTTTCACCGCTGGCAGATAGATCCGTAGCGTCTCGAGCAGCATATCCACCAGATAGAGTGGAAACGTGGCTAGAGCTGAAGGCATTGGCTCAAGGGGGTCAATGTTCTGTGTCGCCGGCCCGTCACTAGCCATTGCCGTCGCCGTGGGGAAAATGCTCCTGAACATGGAGACTATGGCGAAGCTCTGCTCGCGGAAGATCTCAATGTAGCGCTTCAGATACCGCTCCGTCTGCTGTCCTCCAGACCAGGAACCGTTGCTGGCCATGGCGGCTTGCCGTGACTTTTCCTGGTCGGCCAGTTCCCGCAGCGGCTCGAGGGCTTCAAGCATCGTCATGAGGGTCGCTAAGCGGCACACAAGGAAGAGCGCCCCAAGTACCCGCTCCTGCGAATCCTGTCCAGCTACGGGACTAGACGATGCTGCTTCGAGATCCGGCAACACGCGCCGTAGCCAGCTGATGGTTCGCAGCGAAGCGGCAAGCTTCAGGCCCGGCGCTTTCAGGGACAGGATGAGATTGGCGGCCATGGTGCGCATGGCCTCGTCGGCTTGAGCGGATATTGACGACACGAGGGGTGAGTTGGGATAGATGGAGTGCAGCCGGCGGATGTGGCCATTCAAATCCAGCGCCGACGAGTAGTTTGGGGGAACCGTCGAGATGGCCGACGACAGAAGCGTCGGCAGCTCAAGCACGTCGACCAGCCGCTCTACGTTGCGTGAAAGCAGAAGCGCCTTTCGGCGCCGTGCGAGAACATGGCTGTCGCTGCTCTTGTTGTATGTGGTGGAGAAGCGCACTGCTTCGCTGTCGAGCTTCGGGATCGAGTTGCGCAGCTCGGCCGTGCTTGCCGCCAGCGCGGGGAGTGTGCTGCGCAGTGTAGCATGATGCAAAGCCGACTCGATGATTTGCTTGTGGGACTTCTTGGAGAGGGCTTGTAGCGAGAGCAGGAGCCCGTGAGACGCCTGTGCGAGTGCTTGCGGCTCGCCTGACGAAAGGGAGGAAAGCGGTTGCGATGCCAGGCTTGTGAGGTACTCCAACGCGCTCGCGTCTGCTGGAGTCCGGGAGGTCGACTGCCCCGGCGTCGTGAGCAAGTCATAGAGTAGGTCTGCCATACCGGCAGGCTACCTATATCTCCACGCCGGGGACAATTGGTGTAAGTAGTGTACCTGGTTTGTACGGAGTACTCAAACTGGATCCAATGAAACAGCTTGAAATGCAGGACTGACACCACACTTCTGTCTCTCTTGGATTCGACCTAGACCGCCTGACTTGTTGGTTTCAATATCAACTCAATACAGGAAGCACCTGGCGGCTGGATTTAAGCTTATATGGATTGAGCAGCGGTCAGTTCAGTCATTCACAGCAAATAGAGTTATGTACCTGGAACGCTAGCGAGTGTTCTTGACAGAGAGAAGCACCCGAACAGCGGCAGGGTGGAGGTCAGGCCCCACATTCACCTTTAAATAGCCTTAAGTGGTCAAGAGACCGTTGGTTGCCAAAAGGGTGTGGTTATGTAAGAAATCAATATAATGATTGTTACTTCGTACGTATATGCATACCAAGCTACTTAGGTACATTTCCCTACCGGCAGTAAATGTGGCCACTGATAAAGTTCAAATGACGGGACCCTGCTGGTTGACGAATTCTCGCGGCAGATATCTCCATCCACCCCTGTCTTGTGGCCACATGGAAGTTTTGAGCAAACGTCGAGACGAAGCTGTATGTATGTATCTTAACGGAACGTAGCCCTAGACTTTTCGAAGCAGGCAAACGAGATCAAACCCCGCCAGACATGGGAGCCAGTTAAGGGAAAGATTGGCGCCATTATGCTTACTTCTTTTCTTTTATGTTTCATGCACGTTCCGTAAATCCCGGAGGACAATTTGCTCTCTGTAACTTTGACGTTGGGCCATCATCGAGTTCCATTGCTTCCCTCCGCTCTGAGCTTCACACATCCCTTCCGGCACTTCCAAGCTCGTCCGACCCTCACTGTTCAGGACGTTGGGTGCCTCTTCCTACCCCGCCAACTACATACCGACGGCCAAGTCCTAGGGTGCAATCGTTGCCTTCGATAGGCCAACCGTTAGCACAAGTTTGGCCCAGTCGCTGCGACTCGTGCCACCCCCACTGACTGAATCGAGTATCGGTTGTGTTCTTGCTGCAAGTCCCTGTCAGCAATTCCCCTATTCTTGTCAACCTGGCCCTGCCGAGCAAACCAACCTTTTTTTTATGAGCCCGCCGGAAGGTTCCCGCGCCGCCGCACCCTGGCCATGACATCTCGTCGGCGCCCGGCGCTGCACAAACAGCAGCAGCAGACGAACTCCAGAGACAAGGGAGTCGCCATGTCGGCCCCGTCGCCCCGCGTCATCAATGCTGGCCCGTCGCTCGAGAAGGCCGAAATGTACGGAATCGACGACAACCGGCCCGTCTTCAGCCGCGCCATGGCCCTCGCCGGCCGCATGTTCATCGAGACCATCCCGCAATGGCTGGCCGTCGGTGCCATGCTGGCCCTCATCTTTGGCGGCTGCTGCTCAAATGTGTTTGCGCTCGAGTCTATCATCAAGGTCGAGCCTGCTAGCGGTATGTTTTGGCCTTTGCTGCACCCCCAGGACCTGGCGGCAAAAGACATGGAAAAACCCGCCGGAACTTCCGGCGTGAAATTCGGGGTCGCGACGGCCAGTTAACCGATGGTGATGCTCGCAGGGACTCTCCTGACCTTCGTCCAATTCCTCTTTGTCGCCGCCATTGGGCTGCCGTCGCAATTCGACTCGAAGCGCCCGCCCTTCTTCCTCAAGCCGAACAGGGTCCCGATCCGCCGTTGGCTCGTCAACATTGTGCTGTTTTTCAGCATCAACGTCCTCAACAACCACGCATTCAGCTATGACATTTCGGTGCCCGTGCACATCATCCTGCGCTCGGGCGGCAGCATCACCACCATGCTCGCCGGCCGCCTGTATGGCAAGAAATACTCGCGGATCCAGGTCGTCGCAGTGTTGCTACTCACCGTGGGTGTAATTACTGCCGCCTGGTCCGATGCACAGACAAAGGTATTCACAATCCCCCGTCTTATCTCGGCCTCTGGTGAACCACGAGGCTAACAAGAGTTGCGCAAATACAGGGGTCCTCCTCAGCAGACAAATCAGTCGGAAGCGCGAGCTTTGGAACAGGCCTTGCCATCCTCTTCATCGCCCAAGTCCTCTCGGCAATCATGGGGCTCTACACCGAAGAAACGTACCGCATATACGGCCCGCAGTGGAAGGAGAACCTCTTCTACTCTCACCTCCTTTCACTACCGCTGTTCCTGCCCTTCCTGCCGTCCCTGACAAGGCAGTTCCTGAAGCTGGCTAACAGCGCCCCGCTCTCGCTCCCTTCGCTCCCCGTTCCCGCGGCCGTCGACGACTACCCAAACCTGTCGCCCACCCTCCAGCGTGGATTGGAGAAAATCCGCATCCCGAGCCAGCTGTTCTACCTGGCGCTCAACGTGCTGACGCAGTACGCCTGCATCCGGGGCGTCAACCTCCTGGCCGCGGCGTCTTCGGCCCTGACGGTGACCATCGTCCTCAACATACGCAAGCTGGTCAGTCTGCTGCTGAGCATATGGCTGTTTGGGAATCGGCTTGCATTTGGCACTCTGATAGGCGCCGTCATTGTCTTTTTCGCCGGGGGTCTGTATTCTCTGGACGGGAAACGGAAGCCGCCGGTGAGAAGAGGGACTGGGGCAAAGTCTTGACGTTTATGAAAGTTTTGGTACATACATAGATCTGACCGTGCTATAAATGGGAGGCGGTAAAGCTTCGCTTCATACGTATTCTTTGAATATTCCATGTGACCGAGGCTCCGAAGCACTGGAGCCATGTCCGCACTAAGCGCACTTACAGCACGACCGGGGTCTGTATGCAAGCTCTTTAACTGATTACAGTAAACTCTAACCACCGCGCATCATAGCGGGCTTGGCGACCACTTATTAGCGGAGAGCTCCGAGCGGCACCTCAAAAGCTACACTACACTAAGAGAGGCCGAGGGAAAATCTGTCTGAGACGGCGTGTCTCCTCAAGCCGGAAAGGTGAGATGGACGTCCAAAGTAAAGACCAGGAGGGTGAGACCGGTCCACGTTTGCCCTACTTTTTGCTCTAACAATCTGCGCCCAGATATGAATAACGCTGCCCGTCTATAACACTCAGTTCTTGTTGGCCCAGAGTACAAACGCTTCACAGTATGCGTCTGACATCACCAACATATAGCTTCGTTAGGGATGCTTCAAGTGCAAAACCTACCATCCTCAGGCTATCCTCCTCGGGCGGTCCTCTCAACCCTATCGAAATGCAAGGTCAGCTCTGCAATCCTCAACGGTCTACAACAGACGAGGGGAGGCCTGGGCGGATGGGGAGACTCACATCTTCCGCTCCTCCACCAGCGTGTGGTAGCGGAAATCCTCTCGTCGATCCGGAACGTTTGTTTTCACCATTGTATTGCCCCTTGCCCCGGGCAGATCGAAATTCTGACCCAGCCACTGCTGCTTGATGGAATGTTCATAGCCACTCTGCTTGACCGAGTTCTTGGCCAACTCGCACATGTCGACAGAGCTGAGCTTGTAGATCTGAGCAGCGACCGCGTACTCCTCGATCAGCGGCTCCTTAGTGAAGGCAAACTGGAGGGGATCGTCGGTCGAGAGCGACACGTTGAGGCCGCGCTTGAAGTACTGGTGGAACGGGTTTCGCTCGTACGCCAGGAACAGCGCGTTGTTGCTGAGCGGCGACATGGCGATGCCGATCTGTTCGAGGTAAAAGATGTACTGCAACAGGGGCACCTTGCGGAGCAGCAATCCGTGGCTGATGCTATGGCAGCACATGGCCGCGACGGCAAGGTGCTCCGGGTCGCCAGCCTCTCCGCAGTGCGGCCGGAGCACAAACGTGTTGAAGCCGCGCTGCTTCCGCCAGTAGTTGAGCGAGGACATGTTGGCCATGAGGTGGTAGATCCAGTACGTATAGGGCGGGTTTTGTAACGAATCCCAGTCCTTGGGCACCGGGAATTTCTTGAACAGTCTCCGCTCAACCTTGCTCTCATCGTCTACGCTGTCGAGACCCACGACACGCTGCAGGAAGATGTGCAGTTTAGGGTGGCTGGAAGGGTCTTTTGTAACCTCGAAGAGCGGCTGGAAGAGGTTCTTGATGATCTGCTCAAACGAGCTCATCAGGTTGCTCGACTTGTACACATCATACAGGCGAGGGATCTGAATCAGCCACCGGACGTTGTGCGAGAAGAGCTTGTTGTCGATAACCCATGCCGCAAGCTTATCCCACTCGTCTAGGGACTTGCCGTAGATGGAGATGCGCCACTCAACCATCTGATACTTGCTCGACTCGAGATCTGCAATCACCTCCTTGGTAATCTCGGCCAAGTAGCGGCCTTTGATGAAGTTGTCCGTCTTGAGAAAGATGGTCCGCAGGCGCGACTCGCCGATCGGATTGTACTTCAAGTTGAACTTGTCAAAGCGGTGGAACGAGTCCTTGTGCGCATGCATGTCTAGCGTATCGATGCTGAGATCGTACGCCGTAAGATTGAGGCTGTCAAACACCTCGGCTAGAGTCAGGTGCTTGCCATCGCGGTATAAGACGATCTCATCGGGAAACTTCTTCATCTTGCTTTTGATGAAACGCAGCAGATGCTTCTGGTTCATGCAAGCGGAATGGTGGACGTGGGTATCAACCTTGCGAACGTTGTAAAAGTCTCGGTGAGGAACCTTCTTGCTGTCTGCTGTCTCTAGGTGCTCGTTTAGGAGGACATAGAGGTTGAACCTGCCCTCCAGATACTGGAGGCGCCGGAATGCGAAGCTCTTGCTTGGCCCGTCGGATGACGCATTCAGTATCTCCTCAAGGTCCAGGTAGTACTCCCTGATGGTGGGCACTCTGACGACGGGGGTGTCCGCCTTCTCCGACTCTGCGTTCTCGTAGACCTGGTAGACACCATTGTCGTCTAGGCGGAAAGTCATATCACTTGGGCCTGGCACAGGCAGCAAATCCTCAATGTCAAAATCCTCTCCGATATCCTGGCCTGCCTTCCGTCGTTTTGCGTTGGGCTTGTGAAGCGGCGCACCAGCGGTCTGATCAAAAGAGTGGTCACCAGAGCGCTGCCTGTCGGTGTTCAAAACCATACTGTTTTGCAGGCTGTTGCTTGCGCTGCTTTGGCCAGCCGTTTCCCGGGTGGCCTCGGTCCAGGCCGGCTCTGGTGGAGGGGGGTAGATGTTCCAATCGGGCTTGTCCTTTGGGTTGTCATTGGGGCCCTGCAACGACAGTTGTATGTACTTGCGCCGGAGTTCGAGGACCTTCCGGATGTTCGTGAATACGGGACTCAACTCGGCCAAGACCTGGGGGTCGGCGTCTGTATAAGTGCCGTTACCAATGCCGGGGACTGCATTCGTATTGAGTAGCATCAACTGCTGTACAGCCGCGTCAATCGGGCTCCCAGGCACGGCTGGTGCATTGTTCAGCTGAGTATAGCTTCCGGTGCGGCTAGGAATATACTCTTCGTCTTCAGAGTCGAACTGGGCCATTTGGCCGTCTGGCAGTTTGAGCGATGTAGAGCTCGGCGAGGAGCCATTCGGGCACGCGTGCTCTAGTCATCATAGCAATCAACTGCCTGGTTCGCAAACCAGCGAGGACGGAAGGTTGAACCAAAGCTCAAAACTTACCGGCCATTGTATGCAGAAAACTTATTGCCGGAAGAGGTTTGAGGCCTTTCCAGGAACTCGGTTGGGTGTGGAGTCAACGTGGGAGGCGGGGTAGTTAAGATTACCCCAAAGAGAGATTTAACGTTACGGAGGCTAGCGACTTGGGTTTCTGAGCGGGAAAAAATCCGCTATGTCGCTGGAAAGAGCAATCCTAACCAGCTAAAAAGTTGAGAACATGGATTGTGAGCTGCGAGGGAACGGCAATGCCCGGAGGCTCGACGGTAATGGCGAGTTTATGTCACTTGCTCGAGGAGACACGATGAATGAGCATTGTATTAAGGGCATCAATTGGGCTTTGCAGAAATTAGTTGTAGACCCCATAGGCAAGGAATTAATTACCTTACCTATCTGCCTTATCTTGTACATACAGTACGTGCCTTCAACAGTGAGTAACATACTTACATGTGTTGAATACTGACAAAACTATCCAATTGGTACGGAGTAAGTAGGAACGACTCGATGCCATCGGCGCCCAAAGCATATTCTCGGTAGAGGTACGGATTTGTATGTATGAAGTTGTGCGACCCGACTCATCTAGCCTCCCGGGTGCGGTTCCGTGATGAAACGGCAGTCGGCCCGCTGGGACAGACACCACGGCGCCGTATCATCAGCAGCTGAAGCAACGAGGTACCACAGTAAGCGGATAGAGAAAGCTCTCAAAAGCAAATACTACTCGTACGAAGTAAGGACCGCTAGCGAGCTTGAATTTGTAATTATCGCATATTGCCATTGCTCAGCAACCCTCCTTCATGCATTCGAATGAATGCGTTTCCTAGAAATCACCCTTACTGTGGTAGATGCTAGGCTACGTTGCTGGGTACGGAGTATGAGGTACCTTGGTAATTTACCAATGGACACACTAGTGTACTATCATATATCTTCTGCAGTCAGATTGGTCATTGTAAGCAATTTGAGGTAATATACAGTATAATACGAACGTACCGTACGAAGCGAAGGTACGGATACTTGACGTTGATTCCCTTACCAATCCAAGCGTCCAAGACCCAAACCCACCAACCGGCCTCCTCATGCAGATCCGTCTCGTAATCCGGACAGTAACGTCAACTCGTGGACGTGCAAACGACACTCAGTTGTGCACACATAGCGAGCACCCAACGGCGCCTACGCAGGCCTCATTTGGACTCCAATTCCGTGTCACCTTGGTCCGTTTCCCCCGTTGTTGCAAGTAGTCCCACCCGACCCGCGGCACTCGCAGCGCATCCGCCATCCGAGCCCGGTCCTGGGCCCAGCCCAAAATCCAACCCGAACTCGCACGCCAGTCCAGTTTATTGCCCGCATCGTGTGTGGCTGAAATTTCTCTTCTGCGCACCACTGCTTTGATTCTGTCTCACGCCGGCAGCACGCTGCTGTGACACCTATGCTGGCTGCTGCCCTCCTTTAGTTCCTCCTAGACAATCTAACCAAATAACCGCCCGAGTAGCAACGCCGGCGGCAACAGCCATGGGTTTCCTCGGCATATACAGGGCTCTCTACGACTACACGCCCCAGGCCGAGGGCGAGTTGCAGATTGCCGAGGGGGATTTGCTCTACGTTCTGGAGAAGAGCTCCGACGATGACTGGTGGAAGGCCAAGAAAAAGGCATCTGACGAGGATGATGAGGAGCCCGTTGGCCTGATTCCGAACAACTACGTCGAAGAGGTACGCGCTTCAGAAAACCCATGTGAATCCTGTTTTCGCGCTAATCGCCCGTCACCACAGGCACAACCCCAGACTAAAGCTCGCGCTCTGTATGAGTACACGAGGCAAACGGACGAGGAGCTCTCGTTCCCCGAGGACGCCCAACTTACCGTTTTCGATACCTCTGATCCGGACTGGATTCTAGTGGGGCATGATGGAGATTATGGCTTTGTCCCCGCCAACTACATCGAGATCGGAGAGGGAGAGGAGAAGGGGGAGGATGCAGAGCCGCCCATGCCGACGCCCCCTCCGCTCCCCGCCCGCACACCAAGCGATGTTCAGAGCCCACCCCTCCCCGCGAGAAACCAGGTCCCCTCCGAGCCTAGCACCCCCGCTACGCCCGCCACACCCGCCGCTCCTCTTGCTCCTAACCCTGCCACCATGATAGCAGGCATGATGGCCGCTCGGTCCGGCTCATCACAGCAGCCCCCGCCCCCGCTTGAGCTCTCCTCCCGACAGCAGTATGCCGACGAGGACTCCGAGTCCGAGGTCAAGTCCCCTCCCCTTCCGGCACGGCCACGTGGTGACTCCCGCGTCTCGGCGGCAGAGTCTGCGCGCCCCTCGCCGCCGCCAGAACAGCGCAGTCGTGTTGAGTACGACGCCCCTCAAACTCCGCGCACGGCTCCGCTCACCCCGGGCGACTTTCACATGTACAACATCAACGAGATGGTGTCGGTCATGGGGAAGAAAAAGAAGATGCCGACCACTTTGGGTATCAATTTGAGGACCGGTGTTATCCTGATCGCTCCCGAGTACGCCCAAGACGGTCCGTCAATGGAGTGGACAGCTGATCGCATGACGCACTATTCTCGTGAGGGCAAGCACGTGTTTATGGAGCTTGTTAAGCCGAGCAAGAGCGTCGACTTCCATGCGGGAGCTAAAGACACCGCGGAAGAGATTGTTGCCATGCTCGGCGAGCTCGCCGGCGCCGTTCGTGCCGAGGGGCTGCGCGAGGTCATCATGGCGGGTACCAAAAAGTCAATACAACAGAAGAAGGGCGTTGTCATGTACGACTTTGAGGCAGCAGGAGATGACGAGGTCACAGTCGGCATCGGGGACGAGGTCATCATTCTGGATGATACCAAGAGTGATGAATGGTGGATGGTCCGACGGGTGAAGAACCAAAAGGAGGGTGTCGTGCCCAGCAGCTATATCGAGGTTACCGGCATTCTCGACACGCCCGTGACCGCTGCTGCCTCTGGTGTCAACGCAGGCAAGTCCACGGTCGAGCAGAATCGGCTGGAGGAGGCTCGGCTCGCCAAAGAGGCCATCAAGGCGGGCCAGCGGGAGGATCAGCGCGAGAGAGAAAAGGCGAAGGCTTCAGAGGTAGGCCCTGGGTTGCTTTTGCCAGAGCGGAGTAGCAGTCTGTCAGCCAGAAATGGTAACACCCAGCGGCAACAGCGAAGCAGGCGCGAGAACGGCCGGCCCGAAGCCTCGGGCTCATCCAAGTCGAACGTAAAGTCGAGTAGGTCCTCCTTGGATGCAAAAATCTGCCTCAGGAATGCCTGCGCTAAAATTTCAATCTTCTACAGAACCTGATCCTTCCAAGGTCCGCACATGGACGGATCGCTCCAAGTCCTTCACTGTTGAGGCGCAGTTCCTAGGTATCAAAGATGGCAAGATTAATCTACACAAGATGAACGGCGTGAGGATAGCCGTCCCAATCGCTAAGATGTCGCTCGAGGACTTGGAGTACGTCGAGCGGATAACCGGCATTTCTCTGGATGAAGACAAACCACTCTCCGATCTTAAGAAGCGGGCAGTGAGTGAGGCTTCCCGGAACGGTTCGGGCGTCAAGGTCGGCGCTTCCATTCAACCCAAAAAACCCGAGTACGACTGGTTTCAATTCTTCTTGTCGTGCGATGTTCAACCGGGCCTCTGCGAGCGATATGCCCAAGCCTTTCTAAGGGAGTCGATGGATGAGAGCGTCCTGCCTGATGTCGATGCCACGGTCCTTCGAAACCTCGGCCTGCGCGAAGGTGACATTATAAAGGTGACACGGTTCCTGGATGCCAAGTATTGCCGGGGTAAGAAGGCTACCGGAGGCGATGATGAAGCGGCTGGCGGGCTGTTTTCGGGTCCGGGAGGAGCTCTGCGCAATAACACTAGGAAAGGACGGCCTGCGCCCCCGGTTGAGACAAACAACACGGTTGACGCAAAGGCTCTGTCTCAGCAAAAAGATTCCCCTGTGAGTGAGAAGAAGACACCGTCTCCTACGTCGGCGACGACTCCCGCAAGTTCAAAGCCGGCCAGCGGATTCGATGACGACGCCTGGGACGTGAAGCCGTCCAAGGCCCCTGAACCAACTCCGCAGCCGTCAACGACCCCCACCGCGACATCTGCTCCCGCTGCGCCGCCCGCTGCGGCCCCTGCTACTGCTCCTACACCTACCCCTGCGAAACTCACAGGGTCAATGCAGGAATTGTCCCTGCTCACGCAACCACTAACCCCGGAGAAGACCCAACCCCCGGCTCCAGCTCCGCCAGCGCTGAACCTGGCGCCTGCTTCCGCGCCCGCGCCCGCTCCTGCTCCCGCTCCTACCTCAGCGCCCGCGCAGATGATGCCCCAGGCTACCGGCGCCACCCCGGGCTTCTTTACCGGCCTGCAGCCGCCGGCTGTTAACGGTACGCAACAGCAACAGCTTCCGCAGGCCATTGCCCGCCAACGACCCATGGCGCCACAATACACTCAGGGCCAAGGCGGCCTGATGCCCCCACCCCCGCCGTCACGGCCGCTGTCGGCGCCGCAGTCGGCACAGCCTAGCGCGTTTGCGCCTCCGCCTTTGCAGCCGCAGATGACGGGTTATCAGCCGCAGATTGCCCCGCCGGGACAGAGCCTGAGCGAGATAGCCCAAGCCAGGTTGCAACAGCAGTATGCGCAGGCTCAAGCGATGCAGCAGCAACCTCTCATGCCGATGATGACGGGCATGCCTGCCGCGGGCCAGTTTATGGGTCCTCAGCCGACGGGCCAATTTATGGGTCCCCAGCCGACGGCAATGCTCAACGGGCCGATGCAGATGGGCATGCAGCCGCAGCCCCAGGGCTTTGCTCCCCTCGGCGGCTTCCCGCAGCAGCAGCAGCCTCCTCAGCAGCCACAATTGGGCGGCGCTGGTGGCCTGCCGCCGCCGCTTGAGCCGCAGCGGACTGCTGTACCGGGGCCTATGGGCATGGGCATGAATATGGGTATGGGAACCGGCATGAACATGCAACAGCCGATGATGCCGCCTATGCCGCCTATGCCGACTGGCTTTGGGAACGCGGGCGGTCCGCAGGCTCCCACGCAACCGCTTGTGCCGCAAAAGACGGGGCCGCCGCCGCCCGTCAGGTTCGGAGTTACCGAAGGCGCGAAGAAGTTGTCTCCGCAGCCTACAGGCAGGAGGGCGAATCTGGCTGCTGCGAGTAAGTTTATTTGCCCTTTTTTATTCGCTTTGCGCCAGGCTGACTGGAAATTCTACAGCGCCGGATAATCCGTTTGGTTTTTGAGTAGGCCTTGTCGTGAAGGCGTTGTCCGCTGGTTTAATTCCACGCTGAGAAGGTTATTCCTGCTATGGGCTGCTCCATTCCAGAGCCGTGGAACCTTCTATGTGTGGTTGAGTCTGTAGAAGCAAGACATCATTGTTTTGGCCATCTCCGTCAGCGGCGCGCAACAGAGGAGAACCGGAAGTAGCACGGGGCCGATGTCAGGACTGAATTGTAGAGAAGAAGGGGCTCGGATTGTCGTGCCTAGCGGCTGCTTATCACCAAGTGCTGCTCGTGGACGACGAATATTGGATGTGGTAATAGGAACGAGATGGCAAAGGAAGACAGACGGAGGCGACACTTCATCGGCCCCTTATTTGAATCACGATTGTTTGTCTGGCGAGCGGATTCGACCGCTGCCGGTCCACCTACCTGTCCTATGAGCGCTGCATTTCAAATTTTCTTTCGGCTCTTCCGGGTCTTTGCACTAATTTCCAAGACCTGGAAGGCAAACATTTGTACATAGTACACCCGGTGCCTCCCTAGGTGCTTCCATTATTCATTGGCCTAGCCTACTACATAGTATTTAGCTATCGACCTGCATATTCTGGCTGTTGGCTTAGTTTTGGGCGAAGAGTGGACCACTGGGTGGCTTGCTCTGAGTCTCTACTGTCTTGATGCGTTTTGTCTGTCGGCGGTGACCAACGGCAGGTCAGGGCAGGTGGCTGTTGAGGGCTCGATCTGTGTTCTTGCCAGTGTGTCGTGTCCTCGAATAAGTCCATTTTTTGGGTTAGGTTGATTCATGGTCGACGGAGGGTGAAGAGGGAAGAGAGAGGAGGAGAGAGAGGGGGGGGTTTATAGGTAACGCGCTTTGCTCTCGTCGGCGTTGCTAGGAAGGTTCCATCCACTTGTTGTCCTGCTTGGGACTTGGCAGCTACGATCAGGCCCTCGTAGCTACCTGGGTTGGCTTTTCGATCTGTGAGTAGGCTACATAGTAGGGAACTCTGGGGTCGCAGACATGTGACGCAGTGTACAAGAAGACATGAACCACTGTGTCATGCGCACCTCCCAAACTAAGTTGGGGTGCTACGACAGGATGCTACTGAGAAAGAGAGGACCCAACATACTTATATCAGAGTCTGGACACGAGGAGTCCGTGTCTCGCCATCTCCTCTCTGGCAGGGTGTTCAACTCGATGACTTCCTTGACCAGAAATTAAGTGGGCGATTTTGATTCGGAGGTCTTGTTCAAATGCTTGTTTTCACTGACAGATGGGCGGTAGTATGACGATGGCGAACGGAGACAATTCATGAATACCAACTATACACTCTAACAGATAGGCCCATACTTGGTCAGACTCATAGCACATGCTCCTCAAGCTCCCGCTCGGTCCACTCCCACAGCCTCCTCGCGAGCTCGTCATCCTTGCCGAGGGCGCTCGCCAGGTCGGGGATGCCGACGGGCTCGTAGTACTCGCCGCTGCGTACGTCGGGGGACACGGACGCCCAGAGCTGGTTCTTGGCGCCCTCCTCGATGGTCGGGAGCAGCTTCTTGAATCCCCTCAAGGCGGGCTGCAGGATGCTCCACGCCCCCGTCGTCTTGTCCCACAGCTCCGTCTGTACCATGCCCGGGTGCACCGACACGGCCGTGAGCTGCGGGTGCGCCCGCGCCAGCTGCCGCGCCCACAGCAGGTTGGCCAGCTTGCTCTGCCCGTACCGCGCCGTCGTGCCGAGCATTTCACCCGGCGTCTTGAGCGAGTCGAAGTTGATGCCTCCCTTGGCGGGTAGGTTGTGCGCCTTGGAGGTGAGCGAGACGACGCGCACGTCGGTTATCTTGTCCGGATTCCCGCCGTCCTCGCTGCCCGTGGCGGTTTTGTTGAGCAGCGGCAGGAGAAGCTTGAACAGCAGCGCGTGGCCCATGTGGTTGGTCCCGAACTGGAGCTCGTAGCCGTTGGCCGTCAGCCCCGGCGCTGTGGCCATGATGCCGGCGTTAAGCATCAGGATGTCGAGGCGGGACGAGTTTGAGATGACGGTGGCGGCGGCTTTCTTGACCGAGGCGAAGGACGCGAGGTCGATGTCGAGGACCCGGATCGGGGCGCCAGGGACTTGTCTCCTGATCTCGTCGGCGGCCGCATTCCCCTTTTGAACGCTGCGCGCTCCGAGCCATATCAAGCGTGGGTGATGGCGGGCGAATTCGAGAACGGCTTGCTTGCCCAGGCCTACGTTGGCCCCGGTTACGAGGATCACTTTGTCAGTGAGTGGTGGGATGTCCTTCGCCGGATTGAAGGACACAGACTTGGGGCCCCAGAACATGGTTGTGGTATTCTCGCCCAAGGTTGAAAGCAGAAGCGCGGTTATTTGGCAAGATCACTAAGATGCTTCAAATGAGGTCAGTCAATACAGGAACTTGCGGATAACCCTCCGTCGGCGACTATCTTGGGATTTATATGAGAACGACCCATTAGAGGGGCCATGGACGTCGCGAGGCATATGGGGTCATTGGGGTGCTACGGATACGGATAGATCGTCTTCTCCGTCTTCACATGGTCGAAAATTGTGGCTTCAATCGTGAGTTTGCTGTCGTTACAGTGGGAAGTGAGGGTAGCGCGACGATTGGCCCGGCCACCGCCCAATTCATCGTTAATCCCGAGCATCAGGAAGGCGGTAGATCATGCCGCAGCATACTTGTCTGGCTGAGCGGTCTCACATTGTGGTCGCTGACACGTCTAAGTCGGCCCAAGGTAACTGTTTTCCCGAAATGGCATTCATTCTGGTTTATATCTCGGTTTGAATCCTTCCATTGATAGCTTGGAGTACGGAGTACCTACGTAACGTTAGTCTGGATGCCACAGGAGTTCGACCCCTGACAAAATATCTTTAGGATCAGGGGTCCAAGAGCTGCCCACGGGATCGGGCGGCCAACAGGTAGGCCGGCGGGGCCGGACGAAGAACATCACCCGTCCGCCCATAATGTTAGCCACCTAAAAGCCCAGTTAAGTCCATTCTGCTTCTGGCAAACAATCAAGTGGATTTCCTTCAGGCCCGTCTAGAGCTCGACGAGAAAGGAAATACCGAAAGAAGATCGACGCGTGCGCCATTCATCCCACCAGAGAGAGACACCGTGCCAAACAACCCAAACCCAACAGCGCCTAGAATCATAGTCAATGGAACTCCCACCCAAGAGTTCGCCTAGTCCTGTACCTCGCCACGTGCTTGAGCTTGAAACTGACATTTCGGGAACCAGATCCGGGCTCTGCCCCTTTTATCGTTGCCACAACCCTTGCCAAGCCCGATCCGCAAACCCGCAAGTTCATCCGCAGCCATGTCATGCGGGGGAAGAATGCCGGCAGGCCCAGGGCAGCCAAGAAGCTGCCGCTTTCGCAAGGGGAAGCTCAGCCGCCTCCCCGGGGTCAGCGTCAGCGTCGAAAGCGGTCAAGGTCCGGGTCCGGGTCCGGGCCGCCCAAGACCCCACAAGTGCCGGAGGTGGTAGTAGCACAAGAACCGGTGGCAGCACCAGAAGGTGTGCTGAAGGGCGAGGTGAGCCGGGAGCTCACCACTCCCCGCAGGATCGCGGCAGATCTCTCTCTTATCCGGCTAGGAACCGAGTTGGAACCGTACTGTTATGAACTCATTTACAGGGGTAGGTCCGCAGGCCCCTTTTCGCGCTAGGGTGTGCAATAAATAACCCTGAGAATGATGCTGCTAGCCTTCACCGTGGTAAAGCCTGCAATATACCCTCTTCACGACACAATAGGGTCAGCTCTGCATGAGGACCACCAGATGTTTTGGATGGCCAACATCGCTCAGAACCCCGGTATCCTCCACACCACCCTGTTCGCCAGCCAAGCGTACCACGACCTATCCCACGGCTGCTCCTACAGCACCGTTGCTCGGCTCCACCTGGGAGAGGCACTCCGTCATGTGCAAGGGAGCCTGAACAACACGAAGGAAGCCGTACAACTCTCCACCGTGGCCGTCGTGATGGCGCTGGCAATGACGGCCGTGATTTGCGGAGACATGACCACAGCAGCAAGACACATCGACGGCCTGCACAGGATACTCCAGCTGCGCGGCGGTCTGCGGTCACTGGGTCCGGGCAGCCCGTTCGCCCAGACAATTCGGACGTAAGTGGTTTCGTTCCCCCGCTAATCAACTTAACAAAGCCCGCAGACTCCCGCTGAACGGTTGTTTCCGCCCCCTCGGCAGCCTGGATTTAGGCCTGGCCATAGCGTTGGGGACCGAGCTGCGCTTCATGCAGGACAGCGACGTCCCCTGGACCCCTGAACTCGCTCGTGGGCTTTCTGCCGAGCGGTTCCCCGAGCTGAGCGATGTGCTGAGGTGGTGCCCGCATCGCCCGGACCGCCGCCTTCTGCACGTCTGGGCCGACCTTCGCGAGTTATCGAGACTCTTGAACGAAGGCTTCAAGCTACCCAGCCAAGTCTCGGCCAACTTAGCCGCTTCTGTGCCGTTCAGGCTTCTGCGCCTAAGGATGAAGGATGATGATGCGCATGCTCAGGCGGCTGATCTGCATGAGCTGCTGAGGCTATGCATGCTGGCGTGCGCAAAGGTGCTGCTTGTCGGCTTCCAAAACACCACCGGGGAAATGACGCTGCTGGCAGATGGGTTGAGTCTCGTATTGAAGACATGGCATTCCAACCTCGAATCCTCGATGGATGAGATAGCAAGGGCTGCTGCCCGCAAACTCCTGCTTTGGGGCCTATTTGTAGCCAGCGTGTCAGTGTTTAGGGAGGGGGATAACTCAGGGAACGGATTAAGCCAGCTGCTCGTGCGGACTGTGTCGAATCTCGGATTGGGCGACTGGACCAAGGTCAGGGCTCTCCTGAAGGGTTTTCTGTGGATTGACATTGCCTTTGACAAGCCTGCAGAAATAATCTTCGAGCGGCGCTGCAAACCGGCGGTATCGCATATGCTATGAGCTGAATTCAGTTCGTTGCTTCCATGATAGACGCTAACAGACAAAAACGGATCGATCCAACGTCTCTCGCCAGATTCCATTCCGTTGTGAACAGAGATGGCATGCCGATGGACTCTTGTCGTTCATCAAAAGCATCAACTCTATGCAACCCGATGATTCCATCCAATCCAATCCTGTACGCTGTAAACTATCGTGAGGCCGTCCCCCCCTTCTCCTCCTTCCCTCCTTCCTAGTCCTAAGTTGGTTATTTTTACACCAACGCGCCTAGTATATTAATGGCTTTATCGTACCTTGTGTGCCCAGATCTGAACCCCAGGCCAAAATATCACACCTCTTTCCGGGATAAGGAGACAACTTCCCCCACCCCATTTGCCCCAGTGACGAAGTCCTCATTGACCCTCACTGAATTGTCCCGTCCCTCAGCTCGTCAATGTCCGGCACCACATCCTCAATCGAATGCTTCCGCCTATGCCGCACTGTCATCTTGTCCTGGTCCACCGCCCCAGCAGTCACTTCGGGCTTGGCCACGGCCCCTGCCGGCAACGGCTCCCTCTTCCCAGGCTTCGGCGGTTCGAACCGCTTGCGGACCGCAATAACCATTTTGTAAAACCAGTGCCAGTTAAGGCCATTCAGCACCACGTTACTGACCGCATACACAGCAGCCAACCAGATGGGTATCGGGCCAGCGTCCTGCGCGAAGAACATGGGATTGAGATCCTTCTCATAGGCAGTGGCCGGATTGGAAAAGGCGGAAGCAATGTAAGTCTCCGAGGGTCCTTGGCGAATCGACTTCCACATGTCGGCGTAGACCAGAGCCGACTGCCACGTCCCCCAGACAAGGCGGCAGCAAAAAAAGGTGACGAGGAGGGCGATGCCATTGTAAAGCTGAGGCTTTGAGCCGGTCATGTTGAGCTTATCAAAGAACCAGTGGATATTGAGGAAGGGGGTGGAGAGCTCGTAGAGGATGAAGACGGGCGAGTAAAAGTTGAGGAAGGGGCGCTGGACCGAGTGTCAGTTGATTCCCCCCCAGGGAAGGCTGCCAGGAAGACTCACAAAGCCAAATGTGTAAACGGTAAGGGCACTAACGGCATGGGCGAGCAAGCCCAGGCCGAAAATGTCCAGGTTCAGCAGGGTGATGCCAAGATCCCAGACAAAGTAGCCGGCGGCCAGAGATTGGATCATGGCAGATAGACCAGTATACCCCCATATCCGCTGCTCCCAGTCCATGTTCTTGCGCTCATTGTCAGCGAACATGGACCACAGCGCTAGGGCGTTGATCAGCACGCTCTGGACGAGCGAGACGATATGAGCATCCCAGTTGGCCTTCTTGGCACGGTTGTGGCGTGGATAGAACTGTGGAAACAGCCGGTTCGAAAGTACCGGAGACACGACGGCGTAGATGAAGGTGTAAAAGAGGGCGGACCCGACGACTTCATGGATGTGCAGTGGGAGGATAGGCAGAGAGTACTGCTCGGCCCAAGGCTCAACCGCCTTGCTCAACGCCGGGATCGGCGGGAAGGGAAACGGATCCCGCATTGCCTGTCGTCGCTGTTGCGTGGGAAAGCGAGCTTAAGCAGGTGTAGCTATGAGACTCGCGAACTCGGGGCTGCTATCGGCAGTTAAATGCTTGCTCACGAAACGATGGCAGAGTTGCCGGCGATGGCGAGGTCAGCGGCTCCAGGTACAGTACTGTACTGTACCAGACAGGTCTGTACTGCACGCTACCTGATACGGATACCCCTGATGGATTAATTGCAGATTAATAGCGGCGGCCCAGAAAGGTAAAAGAAGCTGCGCTTTCTGAGACGCACAAGATCTGTGCCGGGAGAATCACTGAGCCATGTGCGCAGTCGTCATTCGTCATGAGTGGCTGCTTGTTTCGGAATTTCCAGGCTGCAGTGGTCAGTGGAAGACATCAAATACCCGTTCACGTTGGCTGGACGAATTCAAGCCAACCCTTTGAAGCTTGCCGTTTTGTTGGGAACTCAGGTGGACCTGCTTGGCGGGAAGGTGCCTAGGCGCGGCCCTAGCACGGGATGAATGTGAACTTAGGTAGTCGCAACTTAGCATTGGAAGACAACACTGCTGTTAGCTAAGTACACAGTACTAGCGCGAGTACGGGGCTGATAACATAACCTGACCTGGGCTGACGACGGCAGTGGAGACGCCGGCAACAAAAGAGCTGGGACCTGGAAGCGTGCCCAGTTGGCTTTTTGTCATGCTGTCACATGGGCCAACTACACTTCGGTATTCCTGCAGTTTACCAGCCTGTAGATAGCATCGAAGTGCATCTCTCTTCGCTGAGGGTGTGGCGCGCCTGCTCTTAATTGAACACGACCCTTGGTGACTTCCTTCGTTCCTCGGGCATCTGCAACAAAAGTCAGCGTTGTTTAGAGGGGTAGTCGCCAGACAAAATTCCACACGTAAAAAATTGGCTGCACTAACAGCAGGTACATACGCTGAGGAAGAAAAGGCTAAGGAACATACACACTCGTAGGCAGAGAATTGACGATGCCTCAAGCAAGTAAATCACTGCTCACCGCACTGGCATCAAATCTGGCGAGCTCAGCTGGACGGTTGCCACTGTGGTTGTACGTTTTGATTCTCAGATTCCAGCCTTAGCATCCAATGCTCCTGATCCTGGATATGAGTTCTGATGAGACCCAGACGATAGGACATCATCCATCGGTCTCGTCGTTTGTTCCAGGTTCCACTCCTCTGTCGCTAATAAAACACTTCTTGCAAGGCCGTGGCTGTTGAATCAGATTATCGACGTAAACTACAGCCAATGCATCGTAAGCTGTAGCAACAAGTACTACCGGTATACGGATAGTATGCGTACCTTTATCTCTTGACAGATTTCTGTTCCATCCCAATGAAGTCCATCAAGCCTGGCCATGTTCAAGAGAATACAGTTCGCTGAAAGATGAAATCTCGACCTTGTGTTGTACGAATATCTCCCAGCTGCTCCGTCCTTCCCGCACAGCTTCCTCCTTAAACAACCCTAACCCGTGCATCAACTCCACAAATCAGAAGGTTCCTGTTCAGTGGATCGACAGCACTCACCTGAAGCAGTCATTTCACTGTGGCTCCCGGTTGCTCGAGCACCGGAAGTGCAAAGAGAAGCAGGTTGGTGACCGCCCAACACCCCAACCTTGAATCTCCAACATCAATTTCCTGCGCCAGTATTTATCTACCTCCACTGTGGGATCCAGACCCTTCTTCTCCCACCAGCCATGAAAAAATGAGATTGCCGTTATGTATGTGTCTCTTTGCCGACCCTCTCCCTCGATCGGGCACATGAGAACTGAGACGCAGTCAGGACCGTATTCGCCCTCATCATCATAAATAAGGCGGGAGGCCTGATCTACAACCGGACTCTTCATGAGGGCGGGCTAAACAAGATTAGCACCAACGATTACCTCGTCCTGGCGGGCACTTTCCATGGGTATGGCCCTCACCGTCCCCACCGTATGAATGTCCACCTCATCTCATGTCAAAAGCGTCCACGCCATCACCGCCCGTCTGAACCCCATCAAGCCCCCTCGCGCCCAGAGGACGTCGACCTCATCAACGGGCGCCATGGTGCGCCCGGACCCGCCGTCGGGACTCGAGGTGCTCGAGTCGGAGAATTTTCGGATGCAGTGCTTCACTACGCTTACCGGCATCAAGTTCCTGCTCTTCACCGACACAACGCAGACAAACATTGACCTAATTATGAAGCGCATCTACGACATGTACACCGACTACGTCATGAAGAACCCCTTCTACCAGCTCGAGATGCCCGTACGCTGTGATATGTTTGACCGGAAATTGTCGTCGTACATTAGGGAGATCAACAACAGGTAATAAAGCCTCGCGGCAGGGTATTATTGGGTTGGAGGAAATGTGTCTAGCAGGAGTTACAGGCGTTCCCGCATGGAAGTCGTGGAATCCAAGGAAGGAAATGCTTGCGTTAATGCCAAATCTATTTCTACAAAGGCACATAGAGCGCCAAAAACCCTCCCACGAGCTGTGCTCCTGCTTAACCCTACCCGGCTGTGTAGGCCATCATCTCACTATGAAGTGTCCATCTTGTCAGCATCGTCCGACTTGCCTCCTTTGTCGTCGTCGTTCTTGCTGCCGCTGGGCTGCCCATCCTTATCCAGCAGCGGCGCCAACTCGCCTTCCTCCTTGACGCTTTCTAGGCTGGCTTTCTTGGCCGCCTCGGCTTCCTCACGCGCACGCTTCTCCTGCCGCGCCTTCTCCTCCTCCATACTCATGCGCAGAGCCAAGGCAAGCTCCGGGTCCTGAGACGGGTCGACACCGAAGGGGAAATCCTCGGCCGCGGCGCCGCCGGCATCACCACCCGCGCCACCGGCAGCGGCTCCCTCGCCAAGCATAATCGGTGTCGAAATAAGCTGGTCGCTCAGAAGCTTTGAGCTTGGTGGAATGACAACCAAGTGGGAGCCATCGGTGTTCCCCTTCACCTCGCGGTTGAATGCCTCCAACTTTGCCTGGTTCTCCTCGTCCAAATCGCCGAACAACACGAAGTCGACGCTGGTATTATACTTCTTCATCTTTTTCGCCAGCACAACCAGTTCACGCTCGCCTTCTTCGATGGGAGAGCAGACAAAGACGATGATGCGCGCCCTCTGCGACTTGTTCTGCCGGTGCTTGAGTGCGAGCTGTGTGGCAAGCGCTGGGGGTCAGCCCTATACATTCTGCAAGCGATACACATCTCGTCCTGCATCAACTCACGCTTGCTACTTGGATGCCAGTGGCCAAGTGAGCCGAGCCACGGATCTTTTTCTTTGTCCGATGCAAACCCTCGAGGATTTTGCCTTGGTCGTTTGTGAGCGTCACCAACACTTCCGGGCCCTTGCCACCCATGCTCATCAGCCCGACCGACGACTCGGGGTTGCCTTGGGTCACATTCTGGAAGATAATGTTGACTGCGTCGCTCTGCGCTTCGAAGCGGGTTGGTGCGTAGTCGCCGTTTCTGCTGCTCTCGCTGTTGTCCACCACGATCATGACCGCCTCGAGGACCATCTTGAGAGCCTTGTCGTCGGGAAACAGAGAGTGTTCGTATGGGCTGCCAAAGCGGTGATATTAATAGTATTTCGATGTAAGTAATCGCCTTGTTGCACCTTAAACCTAGCGACCAAATGGACTGCGTTCGGGGCCTGGAGTTTGAAACTTGAAGCTTGGATGTCAAAGTAACAGAGCTCCTGTCGCTGCGTAAGGCGGTTCAGCCTGGAGCTGGGCACGAATAGTACGTACTGGTCACACACAGTGTGGAGTAATTACATATTTACGGAGTACTTTTACTAAGTACCTTAGGGGAATTGGTGGGACCCGCTTTAATTACATTGCCCCCGCTGTCGGTTTGTTTACTTTGTCAAACGCGGACCACTCACGTCACAGGCGTAACTGTTTTCCACAATTCTCATCTCTCCCTGCTTTGCAATTCCGCCCTAAGTTCAAGCTCTCCCCCCGATCCGACTTCGTTGTTATATTTGCAAGCAACGAAACACTCGATCCTGAACTTGCAACTGCCCACTAAGATTCGTGCCATATTACGCTTCCCGTCTGCGACAAGGCGCGCAAGCCGGAGCAACCCATCATGTACACGGAGGAGCGGACGGCGATCGACATGGCGAGCCAAAAAGTACCAACAAAGGGAGGTGATCAAGACAGCCCGATCAGGAGGAAAAAAATGGGGATCACGCTTGCCCAGAAGCAAGCATTGATTGACAATCTACAACTCGAGCGTAAGTTTGCGCGCAAGAAAGAGGGAGACAGGGGGACGTGATGCTGACGGTTTTGCAGTCACCGAGCGCGCTCGGAAACTCCGAGCAAACTACAACATTCATGCGCAAAGCCTCCGTACGCGGATAGAGATACGCGTCAATCGGATTCCTGTATCATTGCGCAAGCTCAAGATGGGCGACCTTTTGCAGAAATACTCGACAGAACAGCAGCAAAAACCAAACGCAGCTACAAGCACCGCGAAGGGACCGCCCGTTCCTGCAAAGGATTCAGTGTCCTCACGATCGGCGATGCAGCGAACCCCGGCAGCTGCATTGCAGTCTTCCACACGGCCGGCCAAGAGACTGAGGTTTGTTCGCGCTGCTTCTTCCTGGACGGATTTTAAACCACTAACACATTCCGCAGCCACGAAATTTCTGGTGGAGACAAGGAAAACGACCTTGAAAATATGGAAAACCCCAAGAAGAAGGCACGCGGCAACCCAGCCAGCGATATTACCCGGTATCCAGGTCACGTACTCTCACCAACCACCTCCAACTCGCGAGTACTGCCTCGCGACCGGACTGTCGCGACCCCAGGCAGGTCCGGGATCGCGCGCCCAGCCATGACCCCCGGCAGGACCGCCGCCGTGGCGACCAACATCCTCAACAACATGGTCGAGAAGGCGCGCTCGACACGCGCGGCCGCGACAGGGCGCAAGACGACCGCCTTAACGACGACGACCACCACGAGCATCTCAACAACCAACGGCGCCGGGACGGCCGCGGCGGTAGCAGCAAGGCGGAAGAGGGGCGCCACGGTCACGGCGGCTGTCCAACCCGCAGCACCACCGTCAAGACCTGCGACACGGACTGCGCGGCGAGTTAGTGGCACCAGCGAGTCCAGTGAGGGCAGCACCTCGACGGTGGTGAGGAAACGGCCGGCAACGGCGCCCCCCGGGGCACAGCCCAAACCTTTTGCGCCGCCTCCTCCGACAAGCAAAAGAACGATGGGGGCCACGATTAGGAAGGGAGTTGGTGCGGCAAACACGACGAGGAAGCCACCCGCGTCCAGGTCCCTGGCGGCATCAGTACCTCCCTCTGGAACGGGAGGTACCGGGAGGGTGTTGAGGAAGCGGGCTTGATGCCCTCGGCCGGGTATGTGATTTTGAACGGCGTTCTGGGAAGGCAGATGGTCTTAGTAGGGCTTTGTGAGGTATAAAATCGGTCGCATGGTCTGGCGTTTGTGGGTTTGAAGAGTTGGGACATGGCTGTAGGCTCTGCAGGGCAAAATCCATGGGGGCATGGGATTGAAGCGAGGCATAAGGGATGGAACAAGAATTGAAAAGTGATTGCCTTCTTTTCTGTAGCCCAATGGATAACATGGCGGCCATCTTCCGGTTCTGCTTCAGCTCCGCTTCCCATGATGTGCCACTTTTTCACAAACCCTGTCTTAGCCCGGACCAGCCTTTTTCTTTTTGTCCTCAACAAGCTCGATATTGTCCTCGGGGATATCCTTGTACTTCTCCAGCAGAAACTCTTCGATCTCGCCGCTCACATCGCCCTGTACCACGATCTCTTCGCCGCCGCTCGGCGTCTTGGTCACGGACGAACCGGTTGCGAATTTCTTGCCAAAGTCTTTGGCGACCTGTACAGTCATTGCGAAGCCGAGAGCCCCACTGATGTCAACACAACATATTTCTCGAACAGACTAGGTATTGAACAACGAGGACCGGACACAGTGGGTTGAGGGCGGAGTGAGAGGGGGAAAGAAAACGGAAAAAGAAAAGCAAGGACGGACCTTTTTGAGATCGAGGCCAAACGCCTCGAGCCCGGACACAGCGGTGACAAACTTGCGCTTGTTGCGCTCGATCCGCTTGATGGTAACGACGCTCTTTGCCAGCTTGTCGGCATGCTTTTGCTCGGCGGCTTCCGCCTTGGCCGCCTTCTTGGCCGCGTCCTTGGCCGCGCGCTCCTGGGCCGCCACCGACAAAGAGGCTGTCGCTGCTTCGAGCGCTTCTGCACAGTGGGGGAAATGGGAGGGAGGGTTGGTTAGCCGGTCTGCCTGTAAAAGTAGGAGCTGGGAGGTGAGCGACGGGGGGAGAAGGCAGAAACGCACCAGGTGACCATATCCTTTGATAGAGCTCTGGGTGGTGTTTTTCTAGCCATTCCTGACACTTCTTGACTGTGCCGCCGTATTCGCAGTACTGTTAGGGCCGGGACGGACCGGCTCTTGCGTTAGTGAGTCGTGCGGAGCGGATAGTGGGTTCTGGTCCGTACCTCGGGCGGAAGGGTGCACACTGGTAAACACGGTAATGTCAGTCGGGGGTTCTGGCTTGCGGTCTTGATTGTTTGAAACCAGAGGCCGGTGCGGTCATGTCACGCGAGCGGGTGGGCAACCGAAGACTGAGAGGGGCCGTGTTTTGTGTTCTGTCTCTTACCGCCGCAGTAGACTACCTCACGACCGACTGGCGCTGAATCTGCCATGCCGGGCCAGGGATACGTATGCGTATGGAGGAGCAGTATACGCTGCTGTTTGATATGCAGGATTATTGCAGGAGTCCTTCAGTCCCAAGCTGGCTGTTTTGGTCTTTCCAGATGCATTGCTCGAGCTCAAGGTGTTGCCCCTCATTGGAATTGGCAGCGGGGTTCCTTCATGGCGGGGCGAGAGCATGTGTCCGGTGGGGGCCACTCACTACGTAATGACCAAGGCTCAAGCCGTTGGGCGCTCCTGCTCTGGGGATTTTGGATGGGCGGCAAGTGGGCGGTTCTCGTGCTGATGCGCAAAATCCATCAAACACTCAACGCCCATAACCGTGATAGTGTCGCGACGCGGCGACAGAATCTTGCGACGTCAAGCATCAGCCGGCTTTCGGTTGAATTCGTCACCATGCCAATCTTATACCAACGCTTCCTTCTGACTGCAGCCGGCGTCTTACGATATGCCAGCAACCTGATTTAATGCAGTTTCCTGGCACGACTTCACAAGGGCACAGTTCACAGCAGCCTGGTATCTGCTGGAAAGGCGTGATGGCCTCACAGCCACGCAGGTGATCAGCCGATAAACCCAGAGACCCCAAGTAGCTTACCGCCCACTCCCCGTCCCACGCCCATCACAATCTGGCTCAAAGACAGTGGTGGTACAACATCCAGGAGCGCGACAGTCTGCAGCTAACGTTGATTAATTATGGGCCTCCTGGATTGGACGAAATAGGAAACCAGGACGGGTGACATCTGCCCAATGGGAGCGGACGCGAAGACAAACCGACGAACCATCGAATAATTGAATGGACGAGCAACCGGCCGGCCAGATGTGTCTGGCTGCATCCGTGGATCGGACGGGCCCACAAGCCGAAGTCTACCGGTAGGTATTCCGCATGAGAAACCCGACAGTTCTGACGGCCCGCATCCTCGCGGCCTAAGTGAATTTCTTGCAGAATTCCTTCACTGAGTCGATGTCACGACTTCTTCCCACAACTTGGCATGCTTGGCCTCCACTACGTACCCAGACGTGTAGATGCCTGTGGGGAATGACGAAAACGGGGTGTGGTTGCTCATCTGCTTCGACGGCGAGCTAGGCCCAATCAATGGGAGACAGGCGCCGTGTAAGCGCCCGCTCGACAACCTCTCATTGCCCACAATCCTTCTCATTGGCCGCAGTTTCGTTCGCTCTCTGCAACTCTGTCGCCCTGTCAAGTCTCCATTGGCGCGCGCCTTACGTCTGCAGAGCATTTATCGATCCGGTTTTGGGCTTCTGGTCGTGGTTGTGTCAACGCTCATTCGCTAGCCCGTGTCGATATTGGCCGTGGTGCTGCTGCCCAACTCATGCTAGTTTCTGGGCTTGTGGTCATCGCAGCACCCGCCCGGAGCCAAGCAACGAGCCGAGGGCAGCACGATGCCACTCCAGCGTCCCATTTGCGCTTCTGAGGATGCCAGTGGTTTATCGAAGGGAGCGGCATCTGGGTGGGAAGCCACCCTTTGACTATCTACTAGCCGCTCAGGTGGATATACCCTGGATTCCTTGATTCTTCAACACTGTTCCTTATATTCTATCGATTCCGGGCACCTGTCTCTGCAGGTGTAGTCTGTTTCCTATCTTTTCATTTCTTACGCACCAAGAATAGTGCTTCGTTGACCGAAGCCGGTCCTGTCGTTCACGCACCCTTCTTTCCTTGTTGCCGTTACATTCTCCGGCGCGGGACGTCTTGTGGCTTACTTACAGTACCTATTTTCATGTTTGTGTGACGCTATTCTCGCAATATTGATATCAGTATCATCAGCATCATGTCAGAACTTGTGGTTCTACCGAGAACCACATTCCGGCCGCCTTCTCCGCAGGGCCGGAGGAGGCCGGCTCGGACCCTTAATCCCATAATGGAAGAGCCTGAGCAGACCAAGGACTTGTCTGCCGAACGGAGGAGGAGAGACAAGGAGTCGACAGACAAGATCGAGCAGTGGCTGTCCCCCTTGAGCGATCACTTCCCCACGCCGAGAGGTATGCACTTTCTCGCTGCCCCGATCTTGCCCGCTACCCCATCGCATCTGCCGAGCGACTGTGAGGCCGATATCGACAACGACGACGCTAGCTCCGAAACGTCGTCGTCAAATCCATCCCTCCACTGGAACAACGGCAGTGGGAATATCGGCAACGGCCGAGAAAGCATAATGACCGATGTGACCGAGTTTGATGACCTCTACGACGTTTCCGATGACGAAATTCGACGAAAGCAGTTTCTCCAAACGAATGGATTGGGCCGCCGGGGAAGCTCAAGGAGTTTCAGACGGAGCGCAAGGGCATCCATGGAGGCGCGGAGGTCTTTGACTCCTCTAGTAATTCCCGGGGAGTCTGCAGCCGCAGCTGCGAAGAAAGTCATCTCGCCGATACCCCCAACACCGCCATCCACAGTTGCCATGTCGCCCGCCATCAAGAATTTGATGGCGCTGCGGCAGACGCAGGAGATTCCGCGCATCTCTGCGCCCCCATCCCTCGATGGAAGCATCAATTCGGAAGAGATGGCGGCAATGTCTGCCCCTCCAACGCCCATGATTGGAGCCGAGGACAGCCCTGACGAAGAGTGGTCGGGGGTCCGCCTACAGCCGGGTGCCCTTGAAACCCTCCAGGCTCTGTCTGGCAGTGAATCTGAATATGATGAGGAGCCGCCACAGGTCATAGAGGTACCACAGGAGATGACTGAAATGCGTCAGCAGCTTCCTCGCCTGATGACTGGAGCCGGCCCGGCCCGCGCGCCTTCTCAACGACAATCACTCTCGGAGCTGAGCAAGCTTGAGATTCCGTCTCCTGGCGGCTTTTTCTCCGAGCTTTCATCTGCGAGCCGGCGCACCTGGCACATGGGCAGTCAGCCCGATGACCATAATCCCCCAACCTCGACTACAGCGGAGAACTTCTACAAAACTCCATGGAGTCGTCCTGCCGAGCGAGTCCCGCCACCCCCACCGCGGCCTCTACATCTTGATGATTTGCCGTCCGCTATAGTCGAGCGCGTCATTGAGTTTCCCGATAATTCGAAGCAGGAAGACCCTCTAACGGCAATCCGGGCTGAGTCGACTCCCATTACAGCGAGAAAGATTCCTGCTACTCCCAAGGTGCTAGAGGGAACAGCTTCCGAGGCCATAGTTGAAGAACCGTCTTCTCCTGTCGATGTTAACGAAATCATTGCCGAGTATGTCTTGAAGCAGGAGGAAAGTGCTGTTTCGCACATGCACCGTACCGAGATGTGGCTGGCAGCGCAGCGAGCCTACTTCCGCGGCCTCCCAGGTTTGTCAGAAGAGAGCGACGACGTGGAAGACCCCGCCCAAGAATCAGAGCCCGAGGACAAGCCTGAGGTCCCACCCAAGGATTCGCCTGTTGATACGGTACAATACGAGCCGAAGAAAAAGACGGTTCGATTCTCTGACGCGGTCCTCGAGGCGAGTATACCCCGCAGCCTGCCCTCGAAGCTGGCTCGCCAGGAGTCCGCTTACTACCGTGCCTTCACCGATGCGGCCGTGAGGACATGTCCCAGTGATGTCTTTGTCCATCGACAGCCGCGCTTTGAGGCCCTCCAAGCTCAGCGCATTTCGCTCAAGGACTTTCACCGCAACCAGCTACTCGGCAAGTTTCAACTCTCAGTAGTACCCCAGTCGGCCAAGAAGCGCATGAGTACCAACGTGGTCCGTGGCGACGACAACATCGTTGACGACCCGGAGAAGCTCCGCGCCGACAAGGAAGCCGAGGCACTCTCGCAGATGAGCATGGCTGCGTGGCACGTCGCCGCCACTAAGCTGCTTAACGGCGGCCGTCTCATCTCAGCCCCTGTGGCCAAAAGGCTTGCCCGCCAGAGCTGCATGGCACCTGGTGCTAACGGCATCAGTCGCGATCGCGCGCGTATCTTGGACCTCTCTGGACAAGGCACGTGCGACTGGGCATGGCATGCCGCTTTTCAATACCCCAACACTAAGATCTACACGGTCACCACCAAGACCATCCGCCAGCTCAGCAACAGCAACATCCGCGGCCCGCCGAACCACCGGCAGGTCGCCGTCGATTTCCTAGGCAGGTTGCCATTTGCCGACGATCAATTTGATCTGATCTCGGCGCGGGAACTGCACGCCGTCCTCAAACTGTTCGGCGAAAACGGCATCGACGAATGGGATGCTTGTCTCAAAGAGTGCATGCGTGTGCTGAAGCCCGGAGGCTACCTCGAGTTTAGCGTCCTCGACGCCGACATCATGAATGCAGGCCCGCTCGGCAACGCCAAGGCTGTTGAGTTTGGCTTTGCCCTGCAGACACTTGGCTATGACCCCAACCCGACCCGTTCTTTCCTTGGGCGCCTAGCCGCCGCCGGGTTTGAGGAAGTCCGTCGCGCGTGGCTGTGTCTCCCGGTCGGTCCCAAGCGGCCGCCGCGCCCCATCGTGTCTCCTGCCAGTTCCAGAGACTCGACCTCGGGCGCGTCGGTCAAGGTCCACCAGCTTGAGGCCATTGTCTCCGGGTCGACCGAGAATGTGGCTGCCATCACTGGCATCGCGGCGGGCTGGAGCTGGGAGAGATGGCTGCTCCGCGCCGAGATGGAGAAGGTTGCTGGCGAGCTCAGACTTGCCGATACTGTCAACCCAGGGGAGGCGATGCGCGAGGCTGGCAAGACAATTGCCGATGTCCACGCTGTCGTGGAGGAGGGCCGGGGTATGGGGTCCATGTTCCGCATGCTAAAGGGGTACGCGAAGAAGCCGAAGCCGGTACCAGTGGTGGACGTGGACGCGGCGGATCTGGACCGGAGCGGGTCCATCAGGATTTTCCTGGATACTGCTTCGCTTAACGGATGTTGACTCGGGGCGGTGGCACGGAATATAATCTGGGAGCAGGGGGATAGACTGAATAAAAGAGAAAAAAGGGATTGGTGTTGACCCCAGTGACAAATTCACTTGGTAGTACCTGTTGAGAAACTATACCTCTTTTTAATCTTTAAAAAACCTGCCATGTTACAATCTTACTGCGAAACGCCCTCCCTCACGTTTTATTGTTACTACAACATGACACCGCTGCACCGTTCACCTGAGACCTCCCTCCGTCCGCCAACCCAACTTCACATTCCCTAAGATCTGACAGGTCAGTATTCCCAAGAGATACCTAAATAGTAGTGCATATCCGCCCTTTGAGCCAAGCGCAAGTGATTGCGTCAGTCTAGCCCGCGCATGAAGCATTACATAGCGTGTGAAACGACAACCCGAGCGAATCAGTCCACCGCCCACGACCCAGTGCCCACTTCCGCGCCGACCTCACCCTCCTGACGATATGCATGCAGGGGTATCAAAACCCCCTTTCCTTTCCAAGTCAAAAGCTGCTGATCTCTCTGGTAAACGTATATGGGTCGCAGAAGTCGAATGGGTAATAAAAGCATGCACAGTGAAGGCCACCACCGGCAAGGGAAGGCCGGAAGACGGAAGAAGTAAGAAAAATAAAAGTGGTTCAAGTAGAAATCCATTACATTAAGTATGGAATATCCAAAAGAAGAAGCCTTCAGGCATCGTACATACAGAGCAGGCATGTGCGCTTGTGAATGAGGTCGCGTTAGATAGGTAGGTATAGAAGTAGGTACATCGGAAGCAACCAATTCATACCCCTTCCAGAGGGCCAAGTCAAGACACACCGAGAGGTAGCGAAAATAGTGGGAAGGGCAGTTGACAGGCAGTTTCGGCGCGGTGAGTGCTCCAAGAACACACTTAACGAACCCGTGAGCGTCACAACTCAGGAGCCTATTCCGAGACCGCGTCCGCCGCGCGTCTGCTCTCGCGATTCGAGGAATGGTCCACTGCCATTGTCGCTTGCCACCAACCGACTAATCCGTGTCCATAACATCCGGCGGTGCGGGTGAGCCGAGCGTGACCTCCGGGCGCATCACTTGGCGTTTCGCTTCGGCGATGGTCGCAGCGTTGGACGGCGGATCGGGCTGAGTTGTTGGTCTGCTTGATTCTGCTGCCTCAATCTCCATCGCTTCTTCATCTGGACGCGGGACAGCAACTTGGATCTCAGCTTTAGATTCAGATTTAAGCCTCTGTTCTGGATCCGGTTTCTGATCTGGTGCCTCCCCATGCTCACGAGGAAGAGGTGAAGGAGAGGATGCTTGTGGTGCCTGCGTATCCGGGGGTAGTTCCTCCCGCTGAGCCTGCATGGACTCCCCTTCTTTGACGGCAACAGGATATGAATTGAATTTTCGCATTTGCTCGTCGCTCGCGCTGCGCTCGCGCTCGTACCGGTCCATGCTGACATCTTGCTGACGGGATGCCTGCGGCAGTACGTTATCGCGAGAGTTCCGCGGCTCAATCTCCGTATCCAGATCCTTGCCCCTTTCTGTACTCGCTGTCGTCGGCGTCCTTGTGGTTGAGTCTTTCCTCGCGCTGGCATTGCCGCTCCCGCTTCCAGCGGTCTTGGGTGTCGACGGAACAATGACGTTCAGAACGCAGTCATCCAGATGCTCGTAGAATTCTTGAGCTGTGGCGAATTGGCTCTGGCAGATGCTGCACTTGGCTCCGGCACCAACCGCTCGTCCAGTTGTGGTCAGGATCATTTTTCGGCTGTTAGGCGGTGTCTGCTCGACGTTGTGAACGGTTGTCAGGTGACGCTTGAAGACGTCCGCCCGGTTGAACGCTTTTTCATAGGGACCCCCAGCCCCCGGGCAGAAGGGGCACACCATGGTGCCCTTGTAATGTGTTAGCGCATGACGATTCTTGTCATATTTGCGTGCAAACCCCTTGATATGGTACTCGCATGTCTCGATAGGACACTTTTCCGGTCGTTCCTCCATATGAGTCAGCATGTGGGCGGCTAGATCCTTGAAGACTCGACCGCATTCAGGGTGAGGACAGCGGTTCCGGACGGATGAGGAGGAGCCCGGTGCATGCTGCGGATCATCGCTCTTAACAGCCGGAATGGGCGCGAGAAAGGCGCTCTGCGTGCTCTGGATGATGATAGGCGGCGGGCCAACCGGGTTGATCCTGTCAAGAGACGGCGCAAGTAATGGCGGGCCGTGTGCTTGCGGAGGTACGGGAGGCGCCGGCGCAAGACGCGGCGTCTCTAAGACAGGGGACCGGCGATGTGGCGGCGAGATAAACTCCTGGACTGACTTGTAGTCCTGTGCTTCGTCATCACCGCTGGACCCGTCATCTTGGTCTTGCACATCGATCGACTGCCTGACTTCGCGCATCCAATCTTTCAGGATGGACATGGGCGGCCAGTCTCCACTGGCCTTGCCGCCGCGATGTGGGTTGAAATGGGCTCTTCTGAGATGCGCAGCGGCATTGTAGTAGGCTCCATAGCGCTTCTGAGTGACGCAGGCTTTGCACTTAGCCAGGGGTATTACCGGCTGAGGTGAGCTGGGAGGTTCTGCTGGCTGTGCGCATACCCATCTCTTGACCAGAGCGGCGTGTTTAGCATCGTTATGTCTCCTCAACTCGTGTTCCCCTCGGAACCCTTCTGGATACTCGTTGCATTTCGTACAATAAACTCTTCGCAGCGGCGGCCGCTGGTATGAGGTTCGTATCCTGGGCGCCGGAATTGGCGACGTTAGCACCCGGGGGCCCTGCCTCACGAACGTAGGGCTGCCTGCCACCGTGTGTCGCCTCGCCGGATTCTCCATAGCCTGCGGTGATGTGAGCATTCGATCTGGCTCTCCCTTGAAGACATATATGTCCCTGTCCGGTTGGCTGTGTACCGGGGGCCCCCAAGTAGCAGCAAGCGGCCGCATGTCCGGAAGAGGCTTCCTTGCTTCTTCCCCAGACTTGGTGATAGGTGGTAGGACCAACGATCCCTTTCTCATTGGGGATCGCTGCTTGACAAATCCATTGTAGAAACCCCCTTCGCTCTCGCCGCTTCCGAGGAGCATGAGAAAATCTTTGGACGTGGAGATACCGCGCTCTGCCCATGACCTCCTGCCCAGGAATACTCCGACTGAGACCAAAAGTTCGCGATCATCGCTGTTCATGTCCACATCACTTGGGCCGTCTAAGAACATGTTTGTGGACGACGCAAACATGCTGACTAAGGCTTTGTATACAGCATGCATGGCTGGTATACCGGGCTGCGGCGATGAATTGAAGCGTGACGCCGCCGCCCTGTCCGCGAGGATAGTCTTGACCATGCTGAAAATGCAGAGTGCAAAGAAGATGGCGAGCCAGTCTTTGGGTTCTAGAGCGCCAGGACGCAGCATCAAACTGTCGAAGGATTGCAGGAACTGCGTCATGCAATTGTAGAGTAAACGGAAGCGCCCATATGAGTCAGCATCGTCAAAGTATGCGTGAGAGGTCGAGTTACTGGGCTCGCCTTGAATTGCTGGATCGGGTTGTTGGAGGTCGTAGAAGAGCGTTTCTCGAAGAAGCAACTTGGCACGGTATAATATAGGGTACATGGCAGCCTCAGCGTCTCGGCTTCCCGAAATTACACCGCTGAGTTTGAGAAGCTGCCAGAAGTTGTAGGCCGTACCCATCATGTTCCAGCTCGCTGCGAGAACGTTGAGAATCGGGGGCGGTCTGTCAACCGCATCCTTGGAGAAGGAAGCTAGAGTTGGATTGGCTGGCGGAAAGCTGGCGAGGTCTTCAGTCCACCAAAACCCATCGTCGAAATCCAGGTGCGCCTTGACCATCCTCGAAATCTCTGGGGGGATTTCAAACGACCTCTCTAGAAAATCGTTCATATTCCGACGTACAGCGAGCGGCGACGTCATAGGGGTTTGTGCGTGTCTTGGAGAGATAGAGGCTAGAAGGCACTCAGCAGATAAACTTTGAAAATCTGTGGAGGCCACAGGCGTACCTGGGAGCATGGTTTCGGTGAAGTTAACGAGGGAGCCTCGGAAGCAACCCAGAGCTTTCCAAAAGTCATTATCAGGGGAGCTTGAGATATCAGGGCAAAGCCCACAGGGGTCACTCGAGTCACACTAGGAATCGTCAGCAAGATGAAGCGCAATCAGTTCACAGTGACTAACCCCTTTCTTCAACACCCTGCACCGCAAACATGGCCCGATGTCTCGGAGCAGGCGGAGTTCCTCGATGGATTCAAGCCGGGACTGTCCCACGCGGCTGCGCTTCAGCGGCGGTAACAGCGGATCGACTTCGGAATCTACCGAACCACGGGGCCCGGTGGGATACTCGGACACGAACGAGTAGCTCCTTAAGGAGTCTCGGTGATCTTTTGCCTGGCTGCCCGTCGCTAGAGGTGCAAGCTGAAAACTGGCGCCCGGGCGTGGAAGATAGAGCGGTGATGTAGTCTGCTTGCCGTGATCGGGGCCGTAGCTTCGGCTTGGCTGCTCAAGGAACATTAATGGCGGCGTGCCTCCAACGGAAAGCCCCGAATCCCTCTTGTGCGGAGCGACATGCTCCTTTGCGTGCTGATCGCGATCGTCCCGATGGGGGTAGCCATAGATGTAGTGCATGCACCGGTCATCCCAGCACTTGTAAGAGTGATGGCTGCGGAATGCTAGGGGCAAGCTGTCCCTCAGCCGCGACGCCCGGGCGACGGGGTCGTACAGCGAGAGATTCCTGTCCAGCCAGGCAACGAAGCCATCAGGGGCCTGATCCCGATAGTAATGGTACTTGAGAGCATCGAGAAACCTAGGGTCCTGGAGGTCGATACCTAGCGTTTGGTGACAAGAACATTTGAGCAAGAGAACCAACGGGGCAGCGGCAATCAGAGAACCTTACCTTGATCAACACAGACCGTCTCGATGCACTCGCACTGATACTGCAACGCTCTCGCCTCTTCGACGTCGGACAAGAGTGGAATATTGTCGGACAATTCTAATCGGCGGCATCAGATAAGGTTGCGGGGACAAGGGAGCAAAAATCGGATGGAAGGAACGATCATCCGGGGTGACATGGGACAAGAGAAAGCAGGACGGCTCACGATTATCGTCTGCGTATGCTCGAAGTACACGGTGCTTGTGGCGCAGCATTTCGAGCTCCACCTTGATGTTGGGCCCGTATTTTTGGGGGAGGAGGGCGGCGAGCTTTGCCTGGACCTCGGCATGCTTTGCCTGGAGCTCGGCCTGCTGATCCAGCAGGTGCTTGATGGCAGGATCTAGAGATGGGTCATAGTGGGGTTGGAAGGGGGGAGGAGGAACGGGGACGGGCGGCTGCTGTTGAGGTGCCGTAGCCGGGGGAGCACCGGGGCCGGCGGCGGGGGCGGGGGCGATCAGGACCGGAGGCGGCGGTGCAGCCAGCGAGTCGTGGTCCGGGGGACGGGGGGGTGCTGACAGCGGCAGCAGGGGCGGCTGCACAGCCTTTTCGGCCGCCATGGCGGGCGCGTGCGTGGTTGGCGACGTTGAGGCGAAGCGCTGAAGCACGGACTCAGGCGCGCGGCACGGCACACGGCACACGGCACACACGGCAATAGGCACGACTTCAAGTCCAAGCTTGGGCGACTAGCTCACGGGCGGGCGAAAGACCTTGCTCCCGAGGCTGACGGCGGGAGGGGAGGGGGCGTGCGTGTGCGTGGGCTTGGGCAGCTCTCTCTTTCTATCGGCGGAGGCGGACGCGCGGCGGCTTGTTCGCCCACCAACCAGCTCCGACGGCGGTTTTCTTCTTCGCGCATCTAATTAACGACAGGGAGTTCGGCGTGCCGACAGGCGCAACATGGTAGGGGCAGATGGAATAACAACTCTGTGGCGGCGGCTCCTCAATTGCACCTAAATGCATCACAAGGCCATATAACGCGCAGCAGGCTGCAAGAGGTGGATAGAAGAATTGTCGGTCAGCTCAGGCGGTGCTGGGCCTGTCCGGGTGCCATTGAGGGTGTCCAGAATTTCTGGTCGTGGATGCGCCTTTGCTTGTCGGTGTTAGGGAATTATTAAACAGTCAATCAATTGGGAAAGTGGGGCACAACATGGATGAGACGAGATGATGAGGGAAGGTGAGGCGGAGGAGACAGGCAGTTTTCAGTTGAGCAGAGGAATAATATGTCAACTAATGCCAGGTTTGCACTATACTCCTGCTACCATCTAATTTTTTCTCTTCAACGTTATGTAGCATCTGGACGGCCCAGCCCAGCCTTCTTTTCCCTTTCCCTTCCGTTTCGGCCATCGCCCTGTCGTAACGTGCCTCTCATAGGTCCATGGCTGTATGAGTAAGGTAAGGTAGCTGCTTTGCTGCATCAACAACGCTGCGGTTACAGGTGCTTTCCTCCTCCGCTTGCTTTGTGGCCCCCCAGCTCCTGCACTTCAAAAACCGCGCGGCCTGAATGGTCTTGCAAGCCCTCCCTCCCGCTTTCTCCGCATGAGATGGGGGTAAGGGGGATACTCGCCGCCTCACAACCACCCCCGGGCCCTGCTGCCCTGCAAAGGACGAGCTAGGGCAGAACTCAACTCGGTGCTTTACCAGGCTTGGCATAGTCGAGACGCTAAGCAGGCAGGGTCTAAGACCGTTGGAACGCTGCTTCTCTCGTGCGACGGAAACAAAAAAGTGTGTTGCTCGAGGGCAACGCTTGATCAGGTGCATCCGCTTTTCTGCACCACTAAGGTACCGAACGCTACACAGTGCAATTGAACATGCGCACGAACTATGGCATACATCCGCCATCACGAAGACGCGAGGCATCGCTATCCGATCCTGGATTGGAGAAGCGACGACTACGACGGGCGGCGAGGAATTCGCAAATTCAGACGTCCGGCCTACGGCATATTACAACGTATTAGCTAACGCGAAGCGTATCGTAGTGTGGGAGTGTAGGATACACAAACCTACACAGTGAAGTGGGTTTAACAGCAACCTGAACAAGAGCCCAGAGTCCCAGGCGGCATCTCTACCGACACCACACGGCAATGCCACCCTGCCATACTTCGTACCTACCTTTACCTTCGTACCGCTTCTCTCAATTGCCCTCTCATCCATACGCGGCTTTCAAGTCACAACATCCAGCTGATTCGCAGATCCACACCACTACGGGCTTTTGACGACTTTTGAGCGAGCGAAGTACTGATTATTGACTGCAGAGCCTACGCGATTGCTCTTCGCGTACCTATCATCTGCCCGAAGAGCTATTCCAAATGCTTGGGTGGATGATGTCTTGACTCAGCGCCGCGTCTCGGCGGCGGGCTTGATTGTGCCATGATCATGCATAGCCCACCTTTGCAACCGCCTTTCCTCTGCCGTCACTGGGATCCCGGACTCGCGGACTGGACTCGCTGGAGTCGCTGATTCTCGCTCTCAACGGCGTGACATTGGGCGGGGCCCCTATTGGGGGATGCCACACTTGCCCCGCTCTTCTCCAGTTCTCCTCACCATCATCCTGGCGTTTGCAGCTCACACAGCTCTCGCCGCTTTGGCAGCTTGGGAAGTGGTCCGCAAACTGCTCTAGTGGTGGTGCATGCTGTGCTCTTGCAGCGTGCTATCTACACGTGTACTGTACTGTACACTAGGTCGGTTATGTCCTGGCGATCTCGGCACACTTGAAAAATCATGGAGCATGGAAACGTGGGACATTCATACATATCTAGATCTCCTGCAGCTGCCCCGGTGTCACCCAAAATCGCCATCAGTCGCCTCAAAAACGGCAACAGCCATTTCCCGGCTAGACCTCTGCTTGCTCGCTCCGCAGCTCTTTATTATCAGTGCCGTCGGGTAGCGCAATCAACGTCACGGGAGCCTTGCAGCTCGTGTAACGTGTGGCCACCATCTTTCACAGAACAGTGGCTAGCAAGTTGGATTCAGCGTATTAACCATACATTTTCGCGCCGTCTATGTGACCTCCAATCCCGGCTGCCGGCAGCAAAACGACAGCAATGTCTACGGATGCTCCGACTTGGGAAGGACCTCTGGCAGAATCACACATGAAGCCACGCACGGCCCCTCTTCTTTGTGAATGCTCCATCGAATAGCCGTCACCAGCCACCCTCCATCATGACCAAGCGGCTCGAGGCATTTATCACCTTATCAGCACGCTTCCCGGCTGCTCAATCCTTCACTGCACCGTCCTGTTGTATGTAGGAGCCGCAGACCCATGTCACTTCCCAGCCACAGACATTTGTCAATCATCGTTTGGGGCGCTTTACGCCCTTGACCCGGTTTACGCCCTTGACCCGAACGGGTCTAGTGCCGACAGCTGACCGGACGAGGCGCCCATCCTGTCCGCTTAGGGCCTAGGGTGGTTCGCCTTGTGCCCTCAGCTCTGTCCAGCTGGCCGCCCCATCCTCTTCCCCAGAGGGATCCAACTGCTAGGAGCATCGTACCCCGGAGGCTGAGCAGCTAGGAGCTCCCTCTTCTCATTTCGTTGAAATATCAGAACGTCATCTGTCTATCAAGTGATTTCCGATGCCGAAATAGCTATGAAACTCGCCGACCTCCCCGGTCATAATGTAGTAGGGTGCGCTGAGTCGAGTTCGTGGCGGCCTGGAGGCATCCCACACTCAATCTTGGTGTGTTGGGGTAGGCTAGATCCACAAAATGCCGGCGTTGGACCTCCAATAGTGTTGATTGCCCTTGCCGACTTCTAGACTTGGACTACGGGCATCACCGAGCTCTCCTTACCTTGAATATCGTTCACCCGGGTGCCCAAAAGAGCTGCCTGGGTTATATAAGACGAAGCTTTGCATGAATCTCACTCTCTCTTCTCACTATACTACCATTAGTAGAGTTTGTATCAGCTTCCCGTTCATACTTATCCATTCCATACCCAACGACAAAAACAGGTTACAAACCCGCAATGTCTCTGTCCATCCTGCCCGTCTTCCACCCCTACCCGCTGCTGGCAGCTACGCTTCCTAGCCTGCTGCTGCTCTGGGCGGCCGTCGCCTTCGTGACCAAGTCCTACCCCTTCAGCAGGGCAGGTAAGTTGTCTTGACCTCCGTCCCGGGTTCTCTTCCTTAGATTCCCCATCAGGGTTGCACGGGAGAAGGTCCCAAACAGCTAACCGCCCACCCCCAACACCAGCAACCGAACCAAATCCGGATCCCACTTCCAGGCCGAAAACAACAACCGACCGCAAGTCCGATCCTCCTACGCCGGCCGAGTCGCAGTCCAGACCGATCCCAATAACGTCGACCGTGATACCCTGGCGGGCCTCGTTCAGCTTCGCTTCCATGGGCGCTCGGGCCCCGCCGTTCCGCCTGTCCGGCTCGGTCGAGGCTCGGAAAGGCTCGTCCTCGGACGAGAGCTTGGCCGCATCCTGCTCGGAGACCGAATCGCTGTACCCGGGCCTGTACACCACAAACGGTGAGACGGTCCTCGCTGGAGTTGGCGGACAGTTTGTCCCAAAGGGTTACCCTGGCGCTGGTCCTGGTACTGCTGGTGGTGGTGGGGATAATGTAGATAGGAGGAGGAGTAGGTTGAGTTGGTAGGTAGTTGGGCGTCTTTGGGTGTTTGTTTGTTTGTCTGTGTGCGCCGGAAGGAGGAGAGTGAATCCTGAATGGATTTTCATGAGTGGAGGGAGGATCGTGGGTTGATCTTGGAGCTTTTAGACGGCGTTCGTGGGGTATAAGATACCATGTACCGGCGGATCGCCTGACCTGACGGTCGCTCTCAAAACAGCAGAGGGCTAAGTCGCTGTCGAAGTCCCTATATTGGTTGTATATTCATTCTTTGGACAATAAACCGGTTTCCATTTTTGTTGACTCGAACAGGAAGATGTAAGTTCCGGCAGGCGCTGCGGCACAGTTTCCTTTATAATAGCGGATTCTTACCGGAGACAGACTATGTCGATTTCGGTGGGAAGGGCGGTTAAGGTGTGATAGGGGCTCAACACCAATGTGAAATCTCGCTCTCGACATGGATGGGATTGGCATCGGCGTGGTGGCTCTGTGCCGACAGATCCTGCTTGAAACAGCCGGCGAGTTCAAATTTATGGTTTATATTTCCGAACCGTTTTATTGATGTCATGGACCACGGAGAGTAGCACCATCCCAGAGAGGTGCAGAGCACACGGTTCCGTTGCCACCCAGCGTGTGCAGACCATATATACTAGATCTCGCCAACCTTCAGCTTCTCGAGGTTGTGGCGATGCTTCCTCCACAGAAGAAGAAAGGATATCTGAAGAACTCCAGTTTATGTCTCGTCGGCAGCTACCTGTTGTTCGGACTATCACTTTTCACATGACGTTAGCTTTCCCTATATCATGGCGAGAGCGGGATGGGCTGCGCATTGAGAGTCTATTTGTAGAATCATCACCCGCTCAGGGCTTTGCCCGTCATCCAAAGCTCCCCTTTAACTTGAGTGGCTGATGACTCTTACCAGCCAACTGGCTCGGTGATTGTTTCCTTTCAACCGACATAGGAGGCCATGATATTATCCCAGTACGTAGATTGTGATATGATTGAAGCAGCGATTGTCCTGGGGATGAACACTTGTTGGTGGGATGCCGGGTGCGTCCAGCACATAATGCTCATGGACCGGGTCAACTCCGGACAACAAGCCTTGTTTGAGCCGTCGTTTCCGTCATAGTCCGTCGCACGATCAGGGCGGCAGGAGAAACGTTGGATCCTGGAATGGATGTTTCCGGATTTGGGTATCAGATCTCCAATGGCGTTGAACGGCGTAGAGAAGAGCAGACCGAACAGGGCTTGGCATATAAGAATTGTATTCGCGATTGCATGACAGAGTGACCCCATCAAGTTTTGACCTCGTTTCTATCCTGTTCTCTAGAGCTGGATGCACAACGGCTTAGATGGGCGGTTGGGTGCAATACCTGGACGTCTAAGTGTTAAGGAATCCTGTGAGACTCAAAGCTGCTGATAAGCATGTCTCGGAAACAGGAATCTTGAACCCAACCGCAGATCGGTGACATGGTGGCGCGTGAGCGATATGCAGTGTACAAAGCAGAGGCAGTTGATCAGTGTAGGGAGTTGGGAGATGTGGCCGGGATTAACCATAGGAAAACGTCACAGCGATGCGCTCTGTATTCCCTCAAACAGACGGCGAGGTAATCTAGCAACTAGCTATGAGCAATCACGGGACACAGCGAAAAGGAGTCCTTAGATGCGGCGCTGGTTGCGGATGAATGTATTCTGAGGAGAGGAAAAAGGTTGGCTGCGGTGCTGCAACGAAAATTTTGGGATCTGAGTGGGAGCACAGTGCGACATCTGAGTTTCGTTCAAATGCACTGTCTGCTGAATTCAGTGGCCGCAAGCTCTGTCAAAGGACCTCTCAAGGCAACTTGAAGAGTTCAGGGTTCAAGGTTTCTTGGCAGAACCGGCCATGTGTGATGGGATCGAAGACAGGCGAAGTTTCGGCAGGGTCGTGCCTCAAGCGAAGCGCACATCCCCCGCTCCCGTGGACCCTTTGGACGAAAACCCGGCAGCGGGCAACCGGCAGATCCCGAATGATGAGAGGAACTTCACCTTGTCCTTCAACATTGAGATCGGAAATGCGATCTGTCGAGGGGAAATGTGGACGCATGCCAGACTCAGGCTGACGGCTGACGACCCTGCTCAGCTGCTGTGCAATTCTGACCATACGACTGCCCACATGTCTGAGGGGCGGGCGCTTGAGGAATCCGGGCTTTGTGGGGGTTACACACGTGGGAAATGGCCAAAGCATATTGGCTCCTCTACCCTCTCCTTTCATCAGCCTCGAATCGAACAACTGCAGCGAACGAGCTGCTTCCGCGCAGAGCTGTAGCAGGCACTGTATGTACTCAATAAAGCCACCATGACGTGGCGAAGTCGAGTTGAGGTGGTGAGGAACACAGTCAGATCGTGCCGATCGAATCCCTTCGGCGAAGTACGAGAGGTCTTCAGGTCGCTCGGAGCTGCACAATGCCTTAAAAGGAGCTGCTGCTGCCTCCTCGCGCCGTGCAACAGGGAAAAAGCTTATCTGACTTGTTGATGACCCAAGATCGACGCTAAAGAGGCCCCCGCGGCAGGTCATGGGGAAGGATGCAACTGGTTGCAAACAGCGTCATCTTGTCACGCACTGAGAACCGGGTTGGCCACAAGGGTCCCCAAACGAGCCGAATCCTTGAAAGCCAGAAATTTCTCCCCTCATAGGTTTCGGCGGTCACGCACACTATTCGATTCGAGTCCACCGAGATCGTCGACGTTCCTGGCGAGTAGAAAAAGACTATGTAAAGACAAGGCCCGACACGAAACCACGCGTTTGCGGGCTTGGAGTCGTCTTTCTCCTTCTCTTCCGTCTTTTCGGCTCAGCTGTCTGCTATCCCGCGATTATGGCTCTCAGGCACTTTTTGGGCCTGACCCTGCTGTGCCATGGCGTCATTGCCGGGCTGCTGGGCCCAGCGACGACAGAGCGCAGGCAGGCCGTGGCCGAGCGCTCTGTCCCGCGGAAGCTGCACGGCAGGTTCCTGCATATCACCGGTGCGTTCGTCTATCTTGCTTGCCTTGGCGACCCCTCCATTTTATCGCAACTGATATACTGATTGAATGGTACTTTTGCGATAACTATAGATATCCATCCGGATGAGTTCTACAAGGTGCATTCGTCCACCGACGAAGACAGCGCTTGTCATCGCGGCATAGGGCCTGCTGGCCCTTACGGCGCCGAGACTTCGGATTGCGACACACCCTTCTCTCTTGTGAACGCGACCTTTGACTGGATTGCAGCAAACCTGAAGGACGAAATTGATTTTGTGGTTTGGACCGGCGATAGCGCCCGCCATGATCGCGACGAAGAGCTTCCGCGCAGCCAGGACCAGGTGCTGGGCACCAACACTTGGATTGCTGACAAATTTGCCGCTCTCTTTGCTCGTCCAGATGGTTACGGAATGACGGTACCCGTCGTGCCAACCTTCGGAAACAACGACATTCTCCCGCACAACATCATGCTGCCAGGTCCAAACAGGTGGCTCCAGCAGTACACGCACATCTGGCGCCACTTCATCCCCGAGGAGCAGCGCCACAGCTTCGAGTTTGGCGGCTGGTTCTACGTCGAGGTTATCCCGAACAAGCTCGCCGTCTTCAGCCTGAATACCCTGTACTTCTTCGACCGCAATGCCGGCGTCGACGGGTGTGCGGCACCCTCGGAGCCGGGCTACAAGCAATTAGAATGGCTGCGCGTGCAGCTGCAGTTCATCCGCGAGCGTGGCATGAAAGCCATTCTGATAGGGCATGTGCCCCCGGCCCGGACAGAAAGCAAGCGCCTGTGGGACGAGACGTGCTGGCAGAAGTATTCACTCTGGATGCATCAGTTCCGCGACGTTGTCGTCGCTGGCCTGTATGGGCACATGAACATCGACCACTTTCTGATTGGCGACTCGAACGATATCAATCTTGCTGCCTTGTCAGGCTCGGCAGCGGAGTCTGGTATCCGTGACGCAATGGAGGACGAGTTGACGCTTCAATCGGCATCCGACTATCTGCTAGAGTTGCGCAATGACTGGGCAAAGCTAACGCCGCCCCCCACTTTCTCAGAGGAGCTGGATGGGATTGACCGAGACGGGCGGAGGGGCGGGGGGAAGAAGCGCAAGCACCGGTGGGGAGAGAGATATCACCTTTCCTTAATCAGCCCAAGCGTCGTCCCGAACTATTTTCCAACGCTACGAGTGATGGAGTACAACATCACTGGGCTCGAAAACGTGCCTCTTTGGAAGGATACGCCTAAAACGACGGCCACGGACGTTTTTGACGATAACAGGAACTCTCAGAAGCATATCGACCTCCGCCATGTGTCTTCCGAAACTGAATCCGGAACCCGGTCTGACGCTGAAACCACCAAGAAGCACCACAACAAGAAGAAGCAGAAAAAGCCACACAATGACCCGAACCTGATCATCCCCGAGCCGCCGTCCAAATCCTCTCCGCCGGGCCCGGCTTATTCGCCCCAACCGCTTACCTTGACAGGGTACACGCAGTATTATGCTAATCTGACGCGCATCAACAACCTAAATCTCACCGCTTCTGCCGGTGCAGAAACGAACTCCGGGTCTTCGTTCTTGGATAACTTGATGCCCGATTGGCTACTTCGCTGGCGAAATGGAAAACACGCCGGGAAGAAACCCGTGGCCAAACTGCCGCAGCCGAGAGAGTTCACGTTCGAGGTCGAGTACAACACCTTCGAGGACAAAATCTACAAGCTGGGAGATTTGACGGTGAATAGCTTTGTTGAGCTGGCGGTGAGGATGGGGAAGCCCTCTGCTAGTAAGCAGAGGAGTGAGACGGGAGTTGTAGTGGATGAGGATGGAGACAACGACTATGGGGAGGAGGACAGTGATCAGGAGGGTGACAGTGATGAGGGGGCCGAAACGGAACAAAAGAAGAGGAAGAAAGGCAAAAAAGGGAAGAAGGACAAGAAGAGGAAACAGAACAGGACTTGGCTGCATTTCTTGAATCACGCGTTTGTAGGCACGTTGGAGAAGAAGGAGTTGAAGAAGCTGCTTGATTAAGGGACTGGCATGGGCGGTGTTGGGGGCTTATTGCATTTTTGGGATCGAGCCTGGCGTTGGTGTGGCGTTCTTCCTTCGGGCTTGGATACCATGGTTCGCGGTGGGTGGTTGAGGGTCATTGGAACTCATAGCGTTGGAGTGGCTGGATTACCGGGCATATACTTAGATATTCTCATCAAGACTGGGGATGGACTGTCAGGAAGGGAATTATCCTCTGTTGTCGCTTGTTGTGCTTATCCCTCGCTCTTGAACCAGCTGTGTACTATTGTACTGTACAGTACAGCCTGTAATTCTTATACTATACAAGCACAGTACGTTCTGTAACTTTAACCAGGAAGGGAAATTACACACTACGTTCAATTGTTAGGCTGACGCCACACCTTCCGGGCTTGGCACATCAAACCCTTGAAAATCACCGTTGTACCTTGAGGGAGAAATCAGGATTCAGGAATGACGAGGATCATTGCTTCCGTTCTTATCTGTTATCAGCGCGTTCAATTTCCAAGGCAGCAGTTCTTCCCCTTTTCCCATCCGAGCAATGCCATCCCAACCGAATATACCCATCTAGCTGTCTTCTATTGCATGAACTGAAGGAAAAAAGTCAAGTTCCGTCAACCAATGCCAATCCGAACACAAGACTAGAACAGAAATGCTTGCCGGGCTCCTCCGCCTCCCATCAACACTCCGCCGTCGCGCTCGCCGCCGTCGAATGGCCACCCTGCTCCTCCTCGTCTTGCTTTCCCTGCTGCTCCTCCTTCCCCTGTACATAATCTACAAACCCCCTTCTCCGCTGCTGCGCTACCTCTCACACCGTTGGACCGACGTGCTCTTCCGGCTATGGCTTCCTCCCTCAAAACCGCTCGTGGCGCTGACGATTGACGATGCGCCGTCGGAGCATACGCGGCCGATTCTGGCGGCTCTGGCGGCGGGAGGGGCGCACGCAACCTTCTTCGTCATTGGCTCGCAGGTGGAGGGGCGTGAGGAGGTGCTGCGCGAGATTGTGCGCGCCGGTCACGAGCTGGGCAACCACGGCATGCGCGACGAGCCGGCGCGGGATCTGTCCGAGGCCGAGCTGCGGTCCCAGATCGGCGCGGTGCAGGAAATGATTGAGCGCGCCTACGAGGCCGAGGGCCGCGAGGTGCCCTGGAAGGCGAACGGCGCCACCATCGGTGACGGCGGCGGCTGGGGCAAGGGTAAGTACTACCGGCCCGGCTCCGGCTTCTTCAGCCACAGGATCCGCTCCTTGATGAGGGGGATGGGCTATCGCCTCGTTCTGGGAAGCATCTACCCCCACGACGCGCAAATTGGGTGGGCGTGGGCGAACGCCAAGCATGTCTTGAGCATGCTGAGCCCTGGGGGAATCATTGTTTGTCATGATCGGCGCAGCTGGACAGAGCCGATGCTGAGAAGGGTGCTGCCCGAGATGAAGAGGCGGGGTTACAAGGCTGTAACGCTGTCGGAATTGCTGGATGAGGCTACTGGGTGACGATGGGATGGGTGATGGATTGGAAGCCAGCCACTGGATATCGTCCTGCCGGCGGAGGAGGGATGGACAGTCCCGATGAGCTCCCCAAGCGCTACATTTGGGAGAAGTGCGAGCCCGTGACAACCGGGAGATGACGCTCTCCCATTGCGGCAGAGAAGCCCACCACGGTTGGAGCAACCACTTGAACCAAGATCATGGATCAAGACCACGGGACCCAAGCCAGCAAGCAGGTCAACATACAGAGGCAGTACCACTTGCTGCTGCACACATGACCAGAGGCAGCAATTTCAAACCTGCAGGCAAAAGGCAAATATGAAAATTACATCCAGGTGTAACTCCCGGAACGTTTCCCCTGCCCGACTGGATACAGGAGCCACCAAGGCAGAACCTCCAGAACAAAGTCACCACAGAGCGAAATGGGGTTACTATGGGATGAAGAGTAAACCGAGTCGAAGACACCAACTCGGCCAAGGCTCGGATAAATCGATTCAGTGAGCCTTGCCCTTTCCCTCGCAGGACGATATCAGAAACGGTATCTTGAGATTGAGGACAAAAGGTTGCGCTACTTGGCCATCCAGAGATGCGTTTCAGTTCGACATAGTGGATGACACGCACTGAACGCTGCCCAGCACAAGCTAGCTGCCCTATATCCGGCCGTGCGTTCCCTCATGTCCTTGGTTGCGTGCCACTAGTTCGGTCGCCGGATTGCCCCATGGTCGACTCGACTACTTTCATCGGCTGCTCTGTAAAGACCTCATCAGAGACTCCAGGAATGACAGTGGTTCAGCCTCCGTTCTTAAATGCATTACGTGTATTGTATCCTTAGCAGGCACGCCCTTGCAATGACGACTTTTCAGATTTTCACGGCAATGGAGTCGCCCCACCCCGATATCGATCCGCCGTGTCTGCGGGGACCGGACGCAACTAAAACGAATGGTACATAAAGCTCTCCTCCTCTTCACCCTGCCCTCGTCGTCTTTCCGGTTTGTATCTTGGCCATCATTTGCGATTCCGAACATCATGGCACCCTCAAAGACCGCAGAGGGCTCCAACCAGCTTACGGAAGCCTTTGGCAAGGAGTTGTCGCTGGCGTCTCGCTCCGTCCACGCCGATGACTACATCAACAGCCACCGGGCAGTCGCGCCCCCGATGCACGTCTCCACTACCTTCCGGTATTCACGGAATCCAAACGAGCTGCAGCCCCATTTTAATGTCGATGTGAGCGATAACTAGAGCGTCAGACCGGCCATTATGTAGCAAGGCAGTTAACACACACACAGCCCAACTCACCCCACGATTCCCACATGTATTCGCGTCACACTGCGCCAAACACCACTCGGTATGAGGCCATCCTTAGCTCGCTCTTAGGAGGTCCAGCATTGGCGTATGCCTCAGGGCTGGCCGCTTTCCACGCCATGATTGTGTTTCTTAACCCTAAGCGTGTTGCCATCGGCGGCGGCTACCACGGTTGCCACGGGATCCTGAAACTAATGAACAAGCTCAACGGCCTGGAACAGCTCGAGCTTGAAGACGAAGAGGACCTGGCAAAGCTGCAAAAGGGCGACATCATCCATGTCGAGACGCCCCTCAACCCGACGGGCGAGGCACGGGACCTGGCTTATTACCGCAAGAAAGCTGACGAGCTGGGCTGCTACCTAACTGTCGACGCAACATTCGCGCCTCCGCCCCTGCAGGATCCCTTCAAGTACGGTGTCGACATTGTCATGCACAGCGGGACCAAGTACTTTGGAGGCCACAGCGACATGCTGAGCGGGGTGCTGGCGGTACGAGCCGACCTGGCGCACGGCAAAGATGGCAAGGCAGGATGGCTAGAAGGCCTGATAGAGGAGCGGGCGCACCTCGGCGGTGTCATGGGCAGCCTCGAAGGGTGGCTTGGTGTGCGCAGTCTGCGGACGCTCGAGTTGCGGGTGCGAAGGCAGAGCGACAACACCCAACACCTGGTAGACTGGCTGGGCTCGCAGCTCAAAGCTGGTGGGAATGTGGTATCGGATTCGATCATCAAGATCCAGCACGCCTCCCAGCAACCCGAAGCGTCCGACGCGGATTCGTGGTTGCGCAAGCAGATGCCCAACGGCTTCGGCCCAGTGTTCTCCCTGTGGTTGAAGTCGGAAGAACATGCAAAGCGGCTGCCAAGCAAGCTGTTCCTGTTTCACCACGCCACCAGTCTCGGCGGCATTGAGAGTCTGATTGAGTGGAGGGCCATGTCCGACCAAACGGTCGACAGGCGGCTGGTCCGGGTGAGCATTGGCGTTGAGGGGTGGGAAGACTTGAAAGATGATTTACTGCAAGGGCTGCGGGCGCTGAAGGTGGAGCTCGGAGGTTAGACGATGCTTTTGGTGTTTGTAAGACCACTAGATACCACCCGGCCTGCCTGCTTTTGTGTGAAATATTCCAGGTTAGAGAAGCCTCAGAAAAAACCTGGGAGCAAGCCGTCGATTTTCTGAGTAAGCTTATGACTGATAATGGACCCTTGCTGAAGGGCTCGCCTGCCTGGAGACACAAATGCTTCCAGCGATGGCAGTCAGAAAGGCGCAGAAGTTCCAGGCAGCGTCAAGCTAGACGAAGATGAAGGATCTGAGCGTTGCGAGTGTGGCTGAAGCGCTGAGTGAGGCCGCGCCCCCATTAATGTCCAGATTCGGAAGGCACGATGGTGTAAGTCCCGGACTACATGGCAGGCTGAGAAGGCACAACCTACATGACCTACACAACCCAGCCTAATGAGTCCGGCACGTTGAATATTCCCATCACGAGATTTGCGGCAAGCTACACTAAGCCGGGGAGCCACAGCTCCAAACGAGGCGAATCTTCTGAGGCGTTATCATTACCCACCTTACTAGCCATTATTAATAGTAAGGTAGCTCAATGTATCTCGCAAAGACCGCACCTTGCCCAGGATTTGTACTAATCCCTTCTCTTTGCTGTTCGTTCCCCTCTAAAGCGAGTGATCGTGACCATTGAAACCTGACCGTCTAATCGTGTTGTCTCATGAATGCACACAAGCAGCAGAACCCACCAAGTCTTCCCTCACCTGATCATCAGCCCATTCCCTCTTTCAACATGATACCTCAACCCCGAAAGGCCCAAAAACATGTATATATGCCAAGCGAAAACAAGGAGTGACCCATTACAAGGTCAGAAGGCCTTCTTAGGCCTCAACCTTCTGCGGCTGCAACGCGACAGCCGGCGGTGCCACCGCTGCGGGTCTGTCCATGTTGGGCACGGGCATTACGCCCAACTCAGCGCCCTGTCCGCTCCCGCTCTGCGCTCGTTTCCGACCGGGCAGCGGTAGAAACCGCGACATGCCTGTCACCCCTGCAGTCTGCTGCTCTGGTTGGTGGGATGGCGTGGTACTCGTGGGAGCAGGCGTGGCATCCCCTGCAAGCTTTGCAAAGAAGCCCTTCTTCTTCTGCGGCGCCGGCGGCGGTGGTTGTTGTTGCTGCTGTTGCTGCTGCTCGTCGCTCAGCCCGACATCCTCAAACTGCTCCTCCGGCATGGGCTGTTCCCGCTCAAACTGCCACTGCCGCAGCCGCTGCTGTTCCAGGCTGAGCGCGGACCTCGGCACCGCACCCGGGAAGCGCTTCGAATCGAGGCTCTGTCGCGGCGGGAGGACCGAGTCAATGGGCTGAATTACAGGGCTTTTGGCGCAAATGTCCTGATTCGGTTGTTGTCAGTCTGACGTACATACATGGATAACTCATGAGCACTTAGTCATGGACAGCACGGGGCGTAGTTTACAAAAGACCGCCTGTACGAATCAAACGACTCTCGTGAGATGGAAAAATGTTCAATCTCGCCGTTGGCGCTGGTGCTGCTCCTATCGCTTGACGTTCGGGTGAGGTACCGCCTAGGCCAAGTCGCTTCCTTTTCTATTGGGGACGGCTGAGTTGGTCATGTTAGACAACTTTGACTCCTTTTGTCATTTGATATGAAACCGACAGCGATATTCCGTACCGGTAGGTAAACTCCGCTGTCATTGACCACTAACATGAATATGAAAGGTGAGCGCACAGATCAATTGAGGGGTGCAAACTCGGGTCGCATTGGGAGGCCGAGGGGCCGTACCACTCATCTTGTACTCGCCCGTGTCCTGGCTCTTTCTGCTGCGGATGCTGAGCGCCGACGACGCCTTAGATCCTACTGTTTCTACTCTTTCAAACCCAGGAGACACGGCGTCGGCGCTTCCAGCGGCCGAGCCAGGGCGCTGGTTCTCATCTTGGACGACAATGGCGCCAGGGCGGCGGGCAAAAGGGTTGCGGATCGGCATTGTTGCGGCAGCTGACAGATTCGAGGCAAAATCAGAAGAGAGCACCTGACAGGGCGACGGGCTGTCGGGTTTTATATATGCAAAGACGGCGCAGCTCAAATGGTGATATGAGAGTTAAAATGATCAGACGAATATGAAGCAGTGTTCGGAGCATGCAACAGCCGGTGAGCAGAAGACGCTAATAAGGCTCGCTTTTGGTTGTCGGAATCTCGTCAGCAACGGGATTCCCGGCTGGGGGAAGGTAGCGCCCGGAGGGTCTGGTTGGTTGGCTCCTTTCGCCAGTGGTGTTGAAACCCCTGTGGATTCCGTCGTCCAAATTTTGCCAGATCTGCCCGATCCTGGAGCGGTTCCCACTAATGTAAGCTGATCAAGAGTGCCTGGCAAGCGCTGACGGATTGGGTTCCAGGATCACCAAAATGCGATGAACACGGGCATTGACGCCCCGGATAACTCATCAACGAGTGCTGGACGATGCGTCTATGTTGTTGGGAATCATCCAATGTGTCTCCCCAGCGCAATCAGGGGCTGTATCCTATTGTTGGTCTTGGTTCCCAGAATTCCCCACGGTCATGCGTCTCGCACGTCGGCGTCTGCCGGGCTTTGCGGTTGAATGCAAGCGACGCCACATTGTGATGCAACTATACCTACCCCAGAGTTGTACCGCGTGCGATCCAAGGTTTGCCACGCCGATCGAGGAGAAATGTTGCCGGCACCCGATTTACTGGATGGCCCCAGGCATCTGATTAAGCCTCAGACTCTGGGTGGCTGAGGGAGGATCTGGGGCTCCAGATTTGCAAGTCTGTCTGCACATGGCAGCTCCAAGAGCACAGGCGTCAGTCAAAACATCCCATTACCGTTTTAAACAAGCCGTGAAATCGAGCCCGGGCTGTTCTCAAAAATGAAGACTTGCTTCAACAAAAGGACTAGTCGGAATCACTGTCCTCACTGCTCGAGAAGCCTTTGAACTCCTCCTCCGAATCGTCCAGCACCCCGATTCCAGAAGCATCGCCGTTCTCCTCCTCGTCGGTGTCCCCATCCTGCTCCTCAATTTCGAATGTACCGCTGATATCCCATCGATCACCCCTGGCGCTCTTGCTAACATACTTGACGAAGCGGAGTGTTCCGCTGTCCCGGAGCACAATCGTCATCTTATTCCAAGATGCCGCTTGGAAGAAGAGAATATTGTCATCGTCGGCGCTGCTCTTATATACTGCCGCATCCTCGTCGTTGTCGTCGTCCCCTGCCATGTACACTTCGTGGCCGCCAACCTCAATGTCTCCGTCTTCCGCCTCCACATCCTGATCTATAGCTCCTTGCCCCTTGGACTGGGCACTTCCATTTTGCCCTTTGATCCTGCCCTTGTGCTTGTCCTTGCCCTTTGAAGCACCCTTCTTGGCCGTCCTGCCGTTTTGGGCCGCTTCGGCTTCAGACGAGGCTTCGGAGCTGGCCTCGTCATCATCATCGTCACCATCGTCGTCCTCATCGACATCACCCCAGCCCGGGCTCGGTGTAAGACCAATATTCACCTCGAGCCTCGGCTTGCCATCGTGTCCGGTGGCGAGGGTGTAATCCTTGCCGTGGCGGAACCGTCGCGCGACTAGGTCATGGCTCTCTATGGTAGAACGTGTCGCCATCTGGAGCCACAAGCGGAACTGCTTGGATGGCAACAGAACTTCAAGTAATTCCCTGAGTGGAGAGTCCTCCAAGTCTGCCTGTCCGGGCTGCAGGTAGAGATACCTGTGCTTGTGAGGGGGCCGAGCAACCTTCCATGCACTCTTCTCGATCTCCTTGCTATCTTCCGGGAGGGGCCTGGTTTCTTGGGACTCTACGTAACTGCGAAGCTTATCGGCGAACTTGGGGTGCAGTATATCAGACAGTGTGATGCTGAACTCTTCCTCAAAGTGGTCACCGATGCGTTCGATGGTGTCTGGCGTTAGATAGGTGGGGGCAATGTACTTGAGCAAAAACTCAAGATCGGCCTCGTCGAGAGGAAAGTCGTCGGTGTCTTGGCTATCCTCGATCTTGACGGGCTTCGGCTGAGGACGATCGTGCTGGTCCGGGTTGCCCTGTAGTTGCATCAGCCCACTCTTGTGAGCGGCCTTCTCCTCGGCTCCCTCGACCCAGCCATCCTCCCCGATTTGTGGGATGTGGAACCAGCCACTAATTGCCATACGGATGCGGCCCCCATTCTTCTCGAGTTCCTCCTTGGAGGCGGCATGATAGACCTCCTCGACGTCGTGAAAAGACTCTCCAGGCTGCACGGCAAAGAACGACAGCTGATTCCATGCCGGCGGAATGACCTTGACGGGATCTGGGAGTGGGGTCTTGGCTATCTCACCATCCTTCCCCTCGCGATCCACCACCGGGAAAAGCCGCAGGGCACCGCCCCATTCCGGCTGCCAAGGGGTATCCGGATCGGTTAGGTAGAGAATGTAGCTGACCTTGCGAGAGCCAATGACATCGTCGTGGCACAGTAGGTAGCAGCCCGGGGTGTAGACATTGATAGCCATGTCGGTCTTTCGCCCGCTCAAGGGTCCGCAGCCGGTGATGTGGGAAACGTAGTCGCGGAAGGTTTGCGAATACAGGGCATCGCGCAGCGCGAGGAGTGAGGGCAGCTTAGCCAGGGCTTCATCGTCCAGGCCGTCAAGGTTCGCGAGGTCGCCGCTCTGATGGATCTTGTAAATGTCCGTCTCCTTGGGGGTGAAGTGGACATTGGCTTTGATTTCGGCGCGGACCTTGCGCAAGAGGGTATCGTCGACAAGCTCGGAGATCACGCTGTGCTTGTACGGGGTGGACGAGGCATATTGCGAGGTATATTTTTCGAGGACAGCCTTGTCGAAGAGGCCCGCCCGGAAACGGGCTTTGGCTTCGCTATCTGTCAGAGCTAGTGTGTGGGTCAGCAGCAAGCCCGAGCAACAAGACGAGTTGAGGCTCGGAGAGGAACCGACAGTTCTTGGACCGTTTCTTGACGGGTTTCTTGTGATCAGCGGAAGTTTCTGCCTTTCTCTTCATTTTTATAGTCAATTGACCCTGTTGTAAAGTGATCTGGAGTGATTTGGGAGCGCATGAAGCATAGGGGAAAAAATTGTCCAAGAGATGGGCTGATGTTGAGATGAAATACGGAGTACTGCCTTTCGTGTACTTCGTAGCCCTGGACTCGAGCTTAGCCTGGAGTGGACCCAGAAATTTTCTGCTCCACAGTCGCATTGAGCAGAAACAGGGGGGCATTCTTGCCCCACAACCCATCCACCAACAATTGGCGGCTCACAACTACCGCATATACTCACTCGATAGGAGGAAACGCTAGAATCGGCGCTACTGCAGCCAGGCCACCAACCATTGAACGTCAGCCAACCAAAGTACGCCTCAACCCACTTTTTATCGCCGTTGTCGAATGAAACTGAGAGAGGATCTGAGAGCCGGCGAGAGCTTGGCAGAGCAGTCACACAGAAATCCAGATGTCGCTAGCTGGAACAGGTTAGCGTTTCCTCCTATCGAGTGAGTATATGCGGTATCAATGGATTCGCCTGATCTCCTCCAATGCGCAGAAACACAACAAATAGCATGCAGCTAGTTTGCCTTGTGCATGACGCCCGAAGCGCCTGCAGAGATGTTCTGCGCTGCTGAGGAGAGAAGGTCGCGGGTCCGGACCATGGTTGCTCAACAGTCCAACTACGATATGATTTATGCCATATGCCCTACTTCACTCGGCCCCAGCGCTACGTCCACGGGTGCTAACACCGTGAGGAGTTGCAGGCGCCTACGCTGGCCCATTCAAGGCTCGTGAGACATTGATGGCTGTTAAGCTGCGGCGTCTGTTTGGGGAGATCGCTGAAACGACAGCAAAGCAGGAGCTTGCATGGAGCCGCCGGCCAATCCCCCATAGCATGCGATCGCCCGCTGCTAATGGGCCTTGCCGATTTCTCCAACCATGCGATGCCGGCTCGACAGCAACTGATGCTAGGTACGCTCGTACGGTACTTGCGAAATTGACTCGCCATCCAATGAAGTCAGGGGCCGGCTTATCCACCTCGCCGGGACTATCCTTGTGGCCTACGGAGCCTCGGAGCTACCAAGGCAGTGTCCCACCCAGCTTTCGGAGACTACATAGTTCGGGCCTAGGTTTGCCGAGCCGTTGCTCCGTGTCCCTTCCTGGCGGTGTTTCACGACCGAGCTCTCTCCCGCCAATGTGTTGTTTGCAGTCTACCTTTGTTGCCTATTGTTGCTGTACGGACCTTCTCCCATAACTTATCCCAGCTGTGATGGACATGAACCGAGTGAGGGGAAGCTTCCCCGCATTGGCTGGAGATCAATTAAAAGTGTACTTTGATAATGCTGGTGGAAGCCAAACCTTGGGGACAGTGGTTGAACGGTATTGAGTCCTAGTATTGTGTCGGGATCCTCAGTTTCCGTTGACTGCATCTCAGCATCCGAGATTACCTGTTGAACACCAACGTCCAGCTCGGTGCCAGCTACACAACGAGTAAGCAGTCTACCGACCGTTACAACGAGGGTTACGCTGCGGCGGCGGCCTACATTGGCGCATCGCGGGATGAGATCGGTGTGTAACGCCCTATCCATGAATTTCTCGAGTCATCTCCTCACCAGGCTCAGTGCTCGGAGCTTCCACCACGCAGCTGTTCCGAAACGTAGCGTATGCCCTGAGCTTGGAAGAACAGGATGAGCTAATTGTCTCTGCAATTGACCACGAGGCAAACATCGCGCCATGGGTAGACCTCGCTGAACGACAAAAGCTCATACTTAAGTGGTGGAAGCCCAACTCTGAAGCCCTTGATGCCAAGACCAACCCCAAGCTGGTCGCATCAGACCTCACAGCCATGCTCACCGACAAAACTCGTCTCGTCGCTTGCACCCACACCAGTAACGTCCTCGGCACCATCCACGACATCAAGGCCATTTCCTCAACAGTCCACGCCCGCAATCCCAAGACACTGGTGTGCGTGGACGGCGTCGCCTATGCTCCCCATCGTAAGATCGATGTCAAGGACCTCGGTGTCGACTTCTACTCCTTTTCATGGTACAAAGTCTATGGCCCGCACATTTCAATTCTCTACGCCAGCCCCCTAGCCCAATCCATGCTCAAGTCCCTGGGCCACTTCTTTAACCCACACAAGACCCTCGAGAACAAGCTTGGCCTTGCGGGATCGAGCTACGAGCTCGTGCACGGCATCCCCGCTGTGGTCCAGTATCTCGAGGGCGGAGAGACTCCGATGTGGGATGCCATCATCGCGCAGGAGCGCGAGCTGCAGGAGATGTTACTCGGCTGGCTTAACTCGCGTAAAGGTGTGACGGTTTGGGGTGAGGGTAGCGCGGATGTGAGGCTTAGGGTGCCGACCATCAGCTTCACTGTCGACGGCTGGGGTTCGAGGGAGCTGGTTGAGGCGGTCGAAAGAGACAGTTGCTTTGGGTTTCGCTGGGGGTCGTTTTACTCAGCAAGGCTGGCGGATGAAGTGCTGCGCCTAGGAGACCAGGGCGTGGTTAGAGTCAGTATGGTACATTATAACACTGGTAAGTGTTGTTCATTGCGACTCAAGGGTTCAAGGTATTATGGAAGGCTGATACGGTGCAGTGGATGAGGTAAGGAGATTCATCGAGGCACTCGAGAGAGTGTTGGATAGTCGGAAGTGAAGAGCTACTAAGGTAGCGTGCTGGAACCTGGATATCCAATGAACTAATCACCGTCACACAACTTCTGCGCCTAATAGCCTGCCACATGGCAGAGGCAAAATCGAATGCTCTAAATGCTGGTATCTATCAGAGGTCTAACGCCTGACTGCACAGCACTATAACTTTCCAGCTCGCTTGTCCACCGCCTCTCTGAGCAATGAGATCACACCGGCTGGATCTTTTGCCCCAAACACAGCGCTCCCCGCAACAATCACATTCGCCCCAGCGTCAGCCGCCTGATCGATGGTTCCCGGCCCCAGTCCACCATCCACCTCAATATTGAGTTCCGGGTACCGCTTCCGGAGCTCCTGAACTTTAGGTAATTCGGATGCCATAAACTTTTGTCCGCCGAAGCCAGGCTCTACAGTCATGACCAGAACCATCTGCGGAGAGATTTAATGAGTTAGACGTCCCTCTTCTCGGAATGAAAAGCAAAGTTAAGTTTTGAAGAAAACAAGAGGATCAACAACTCACATCGGGCCGTTCTGCCTTATGCGGACTATCCAGCACGTCGTACAACACATCCACTGAGGTTGCGGGCTTGATAGCGATGCCCGCCAGCATGCCCTGCTCGTGGATATACCGAACTAACTCGCGCGGGTTGGTCTTGAGGTCCGTGGCGGCGTCCGGATGGGGGCTCTCGGCTGCGGAGGAGTCGATGGCCGCCTCGTAGTGGAAGCAATACAGGTCGCAGCCGACCGCCTTGAACTCCTTGACCCATTTCTTGGGCTCGGCTATCATCATGTGGCAGTCAAATGTGCCCTTTCCATAGCTCGCGGCCGGCCTGTCGACGTGGGTGCGGATTTTGGCTACTACCGGAGGGCCAAAGGTCAGATTCGGGACGAAGTGGCCATCCCTGAATTACCCCTCGGGAGGGTTTGGTGTGTGAGTGTATGTTGGTGAGAACTGGAAAATTGGTCGCTACGCGCTTATCTTGAACCTACATGATGTCGACGTGCAGCCAGTCGGCGCCTTGGGCTATGGTCTTGGAGCATTCTGCACCGAGGTTGGCGAAGTCTGCCGAAAGAATTGAGGGTGCGATGATAGCCTTGGGAGCCATTGTTGCTGTGCTGGGGACCTCGGGCGACAATAAGGGTCTGGGAATTATGAAACCTCTGTGCGGCACTTTCAACGTTTAGGTAAAACTTGGGATAGAAGTTGAGCAGCCCTCCACGGAGAATCGAGACCCGACGTCTTTGGCGGGGGCGGGGCATACTGTGTATGAAGCACTGTGGCACAAGATGCCAGCATGCCGCATACCTAGTCTACACTAGCGTAGGCTTGGCAATGTGGGGGAGCTCCCGTCATGACCCAACGCGCACTGACATCACTCAAATTTACCGTAACGTTATGTTCGATGTCCCAACAAAATACCTAACCCTGCGATAACTTGCACAGTCTTGCTGTGTGAATTGTGAAGGGACGAAGCAGTGCGTGTGGTTGTCATCAGTGATACTGAATGCTCCCCACTCATAACCGCGCTTGTATTCCCTCAGACTCACTACGATGCTTGGAAGGCATGTAGAGAGGAAACAACAGCAGCACTAAAAATGGCATCGCTCCTCTCGTATGTTCCGCTGGTCAATAGGCTCGTGGCTTCGACCAAGCCACGGTGGTCCATAGACCTCGAACCTGTCGAGGTGCACAATGTCGAGGCAAACGCAGACAAGAGACCGCGCACGCTCAAGCATCTCCTTAAAGCTAACCACGTCAACCATTCCATCATCTACCATAACCTACAGTTCGACAACCACATGCCGCACATTCTGTGCTCGGCATACCATCTCGGCGCCGATCCCCAGCAGCTGTATCGCATTTACGATGAGGAGGCCAAGGAGCTTGAGTCGTGGAAGGAGTCGCCCTCGGAAATCGTCCAGGACGACTGGCGGGACTATCTGGGCGACAAGAGATACCAGCGCGCCTACGTAGATTTCTTTGAGGATGCCCTGGCAATGAAGTATGCGTACGACTGGAAGAAGGTGGTCGACGAGTATATGTTCAAGGGGGACGAACCCCTAATCAACGGTCTCATTGGCGGCCGTATGCTACGCACCAGCTCCCCTTATACACCCTGTGCACTAACGGATTCCCGCAGTCGGCCACCCCCTCATCCACCTCGGCTACGCCTACGAGTTTGACTCGCGCGAGATTGCCATGGAAGCTCTGGGCCTAGCCGCCACTCAGCACAACTTTCTCCACCAATACATTGACGATCCGTCCTATACCAAACCGGCCCCTTTCTCCTCGGCCTCCCCGCTCGAGCTGCTGAACAAGCTCGCCTCGGACAGCCGCTTCGACGGGCTCTTCAAGGAGCCCGGGTTCGGGAACATTGATCCGCTCTTCCAGAAGCACGAGCCTCTCGTGTTGGAATATTGGAACGCTTGGGACCTCTCAACCGCGTCCATGAGCCCGATGGAGCAATTCCGCGAGTCCCAGGAGGCGGCCGTGGCGATGCTGGTGGCCACGGTACCGCCCGGGACGCACGCCTACAACTTCTTCGTGGTCCACGTGCTGACGACGAGCCACGCCGTGAGAATCCTGCTGCCGCTGGTGCCGGTCAAGTTCCAGCTGCCCTTGGTCAGGCAGTGGTGGCTGCTGGCTCTCGCAGTGTATATCGCCGTGCTAAGGCCTAAGATTGATCCAGATTACGTGCCTGGTGAAGTGAAGGGGAGGGTCTGGAGGGATGTCGAGTCGAGGGCGCTCACATCGGAATGGGCGACGGATGGGCATTTTGTCAAAGGTGAGTTCGTATAAGAACGGCTTGTCGAATGTAGGTGTTATTAACTCATGACTTGCAGCGATTCGGGCCATGAGAGAGGCCGCGAGGACCTGGGGTGACGTCCATGAGAGGTATCTGGCGGCTGCGGTCAGGTTCGCGGATGATTTTGAAGGCTGGACATTTTGAGATGTATGCGGTAGGATGAACATGATGACAGAATGCATGTATATTCAAAGTAGGAAATTCTCTATACTTATAATGGAAAGAGATGTGAGTCCATAGTTAAGTCGGGCGAACAAGTGAACTCAGGGGCTGGCTTTCGTTGGCGCTGTCCGAGGGTTAGGGTTCTACTGGGCGCAGGACACTAGTGGGACTGTGCGAGAGCTGAACCTCGACCTCAGGCAACCTGAACTCCTTCTCTGCCTGGCTCGAGTCTTGTCAACAAAAGTCCATCGTCACGTCAGGAAATCGTCCAATTCAGCAGTACATAAAAAAGACGACTTGCAATTTCCCATCGAATGTGACCAATGCTCCGGGACCTCAACTACCAAACCCCACAATGGCGCCGCCGCCCACAAAGCGACGAAAGCGTGCCATTGTCGATGATTCCGACTCCGACGATGCGGCTACCGAACAGCAGCAGCAACAGACCAAGAACACCCTGAAGCGGTTTCTCTTTTCTCCTTCGGAGAAGAGCAAGAATGGAGATAAGAGACTCGCCGACACCACCGCTGCTGCTGCTTCCCCTGGCGCAGATTCCCCCAGCCCTGTGCGCAAGCGGACTACCCGCGCTGCTACAGCTATTTCTGCCGCAGAGCCGCTGGCCATTCGGAGCCCCAGCACAAGCCCTATCAAGACCCGGGCGAGGGCTGCACAGAGAAAGCGGAAGGCAGAAGAGGACAAGGACAAGGAGAGGGGCAAGTCGGCTGACCTGCTAGCGCTGTTCTCAAAGCAGGCCGCGCGGAAGAGCCAGTCGTCGCTTTCTTCCTCGTCGACCAGTGGCCGTAGCGGAGACTCGTGGCCGTCATTGTCGTTCAGCAGCAATGGGTACGGAAATGGAACTGCGAACGGGAAGAGTGGTGCGGCAGGAGGTGGGAGCCTCAGTGTCGGCTCAAGGAACGAACGGCTCGACGATATTACCAGCGATCCTGTTTCCGAGGGCGGCGGGAAAGGCCGGGAGGCGGACGACGATGACGATGTACCGCTGTACCTGTCATCTGCAGCTGCCGCGTCGTCGAGTCTGGTGGGGAAGGCGAAGGCGGCGCATAAGAGGTTTGGTGGAGCCGAGCCTGGGTCACAGCGAAACGCCGCCGCCAGTGGTGGAGGGAAGAAATTCCTGAAGCCGCCAGCGGCGCCGCGGCCGAACGCTATATCTGTCGTGTCGGCCGATGCTGACAACGACGCCCGTCCCTGGTCGGAACGGTTCGCGCCGGTGAACTTGGATGAGCTGGCGGTACACAAACGCAAGGTGATGGACGTGAGGCGGTGGTTGGAGGAAGTACTTGCCGGACGGATGAGGCAGCGGCTGCTGGTGCTCAAAGGTCCAGCTGGGTCGGGAAAGTCAACAACGCTGCGCCTGCTGGCGAAGGATTTGCGGTGCGAGGTGCTGGAGTGGAGGAATCCGGCCAATTCCTTTGGGATGGCGGGCCCGGCCTACCAGTCTGCCGCAGCACAGTTTGAAGAGTTCTTGGGGAGGGGAGGAAAGTTCGGGCAGTTGGATATCGAGGAAGAGGCCTCGCCCAGAGCCGTGACGGCGAGCGGCGCAAGTGGGAACGTGATGGCCATGGACTCAGAACGGAGGCTGATCCTGATTGAAGAATTCCCAAACACATTTATGCGCTCGTCGACTGGGCTGGTAGCGTTCAGGAATGCGATATTGCAATTTCTGGCGGCAAGCACACCCGCTCTCATGGGGCTCGGACGCCACTACCAGTCAGAACCCGTGACACCAATTGTCATGGTGATCTCGGAGACGCTTCTCACCACGACATCGGCATCGGCTGACAGTTTCACCGCCCATCGATTGCTTGGCCCAGAGATTCTCCGCCATCCTGGGACCGGCGTGATTGAGTTTAATCCTGTTGCACCAACATTTCTCAGCAAGGCCTTGGAGTTGGTAGTGCAGAAGGAGGCTCGCAAATCCGGAAGACGGCGCACCCCTGGTCCTCTTGTCCTCCAACGGCTAGGCGAGATTGGAGATATTCGGAACGCCGTTTCATCCCTCGAATTTCTCTGCGTCAAGGGCGATGACGAGGCGGACTGGGGTTCCAAGATCGCGTTTACCAAGCCAAAGCGCGGCTCCAAGGAGGTGCCAGTGCTCACAAAAGGCGAGCAAGACAGTCTTGAGCTGGTGTCCCAACGGGAAGCCACATTAGGGATCTTCCACGCCGTTGGGAAAGTAGTCTACAACAAAAGGAGCGATTTCCCCGCAGGATCTACTGAAGCGGCAGCAGAAATACTGCCCGAGTACATGGCTCATCTTTCCAAGCCTAAGCGGTCCGAGGTCTCGGTCGACACGCTGATGGATGAAATCGGTACCGACACTCACACCTTCATCTCGGCTCTCCACGAAAATTATGCGCTGTCCTGCGAGCAGAGCAGTCCACTCGATCCGAATTCGTCCCTAGACTACATCAACGGCTGTCTCGACTATCTCTCCGAGAGTGACCTCCTGTGTCCCTCGTGGGACATCTTCTTCGGGGGTAAGGGATTCGGGGGCGGATACTGGGGCAGGGATACGGGTAGCCATATTTTGCGGCAGGATGAGATGGCGTTCCAGGTCGCCGTGAGAGGGCTCCTGTTCTCGCTGCCGTCGCCAGTGAAACGGCAAACACACCCAACGGGGCGCGGCGGGGACGCCTACAAGATGTTCTATCCAACCTATCTCAAATTGTGGCGGGCCAAGGAGGAACTGGAAGGGCTCGTTGACATGTGGGCAACCAAGATGTTGAAGGGGGAAGACGGCGGGCCAGGGCCTCCACAGTCTTTGTCACAGGGGGGGCTTGCATTTGCAAACTTTGGTTCACCGGCCTCGCGCAAGCTGGGGGCTAATGGGTCCCCAAGCCGTCTGGTATCTTCATCGGCGAGGACGGCGGGCAAATCAGAAGCTCAGTCCCAGATGTCCGCCGCGCCGCTGCTCTCGCTAGGCAGTGCCGCACGTCGGGAGCTTCTCCTTGAGCGGCTACCGTACATGGCTCACATTGCCCGTGGGCGGCGTTGTTCGTTCGCCACGATGCGTGTGAAGGACCTCGAGCGCATAGTTTCGTTCCAGGGCATCGGTACGCTAGGGGCGGGTGAAGATGAGGGTGAGGATGCCGGGGACGATGACAGCGGCAGCGGCCTGGGAATAGCCGAATCCTGGGCGACGGACCGACCTATTGAGGAGGGGACTCCTCGTAAGAGACGAGGGCTGGGAGCGATTCTGAGCGGCCGCGCGGGGACGGGGACGAAAGAAGGAGAAGAGATTGCGAGTTTGCCAATGCAGAGCCTGGTAATTAGTGACGATGATATTGAGGACGATTAGGTACACGGATTCGGGGTATGCAGTTCGCTCGTCAGGAATTGCTGACTGCGTCGAGGTAAGGCGTTGACTGTGTATAGGCGATGCTAGGGACTTATGGAATCAAACATGAACTGTCTCGGATGACCGACAGCTTCGTGCTGCACTTGTTCTAGCGAGTCCGGTCCCAGTGTCGATGAGTGAGTTGAGAACCTTGAGAGTTGAGACCCATAGGATGGATAAGATTCGAGCTTGGATAAAATAAGGTCAGTGAAGCAGTAGTCACGTGGATGTTGACAGCCTTTATAAGTCGTGTTTTCTGTGCCTAAAATCGGAGTGGGCCCGCTCAGACCGAACTCATTTCCTGCCTTTTACCGGATGTGACCGTGAGTTGGCCCAAAATACTCCATTCCCCAATCTTTGGAACCAACCTTCTGGGAGACCAGATTCGATTCATATTTTTGCTCCTTTTTTTAGGGCCTCGTTTGAACTATCCGCCTTCCCTTCCCTTTCCCTCCGACTCCGAACTGTGTGTTGTACAAACATGCTTTAGCTGGCTGGTATGAAAATCGAACCTCTCGCTCCTCAACTGTACTTTTGCAATCTCAAGCAGCCACAATTGCACAACTCAATTCGCTTTCACCCCACAAGCCAACCCCAGATGGAGAACTTGACCCCCAAAGAATTGCCGGAGCCTCCGTGCGGGGGTCGGGAAGCTGTAAAGGCGAGGCTACAGCATCGGCCCCAGATCCATGCAACCTGAACAACCTCGGCTCGGGCAAGCTCCATTGTCCAGCTCGCAGCCCTACTCCGTACCTCGGCCTCGAGTCGGGGGCGGCGATGGAACAACACAACATTGCTCGGCGACAGATGTCACAGTTACCGGTGCTATCATTTGGCGTCAAGACGGCTGTTTTCATTGGTTGTAAGACTTGCACGGAAGTGGAACAAGCTAACCAAGCAGCGGTGACGGGCATCCTGGGGTCCCAGTCTCGCCAGTAAATCAGGGAAGAACAACGCATCAACACGTCGTCAACAACAACAAGAAGCACAACATCACCCGCCGCTTTACTGCCCGTTCTCCTGATAGCTTGGCCTGACATTGGCCGGCAACATCTCTAATTAAGACCATGGCGGGACGGGTGCGCCAGCCCATCAACGTCGGAGCGTTGGAGAAATGGATATCGAAGCACGTGCCCGAGATCGAGGTGCCGCTGGACGTCAAGCAGGTAATTCAGGAGGGTCCCAGTGCCGCCTGCCGGCGACAACACGCTCATCATGCTGATTTCTAACTGTTTACCTGCAGTTCGGCTTCGGACAATCCAATCCCACGTACCAATTGACGTCCCCCGACGGCAAACGCTATGTCCTCCGCAAGAAGCCGCCCGGACCGCTGGTGTCCAAGACGGCTCACAAGGTTGAGCGCGAGTACCGCATCATCGCCGCTCTCGCCAAGACGGACGTGCCCGTCCCAAAGGCCTACTGCCTCTGCGAGGACGACTCGGTGATCGGGACGCCTTTCTACATCATGGAGTTCCTCGACGGCCGCATCTTCGAGGACCCTGTCATCCCAAGCGTGCTGCCCGACCACCGCCGCGCCATCTGGGCCGACGCTGTGCGCACCCTGGCCAAGCTGCACCGCATCGACCCGCGGTCCGTCGGGCTCGAGAACTTTGGCAAGCCCACGGGCTTCTACAGCCGACAGGTCGCTACGTGGCGCACCGTCTGCAACGCCCAGGCCGCGGTACGCGACGTTGAAACGCGCGAGCCCGTCGGCGCCCTTCCGCATTTCCAGGAGCTCATGGAGTTCTTTGCCGACGAGAGCCAGCAGCCCGCCGACCGCAGCACCCTGATCCACGGTGACTTTAAAATAGACAATCTAGTCTTCCACAAGACACAGCCGCGCGTGATTGGCATTCTAGAGTAAGGCCCCTAGTACCGCCTCCCTCAGACCCAGCGACACAGCTTGGCCAAACTAACTCGGCTTCTTAGCTGGGAAATGTCCACAATTGGCCACCCCCTCTCCGACATATCAAACCTCCTGACCCCGTACTTCACAGCGCGCCTCGACCCGCGCCGCTCCGTCAACGTCCACCCCGGTTTCTTACCCCGGGCGACGCGCGGCTTGCCTACGCCCGACGAGATCACGGCCCTCTACTTTTCCGTCGTTGACGCCGCCCCGCCGCCCTCGGCCTCTCCCTCGTCCTCGGCATCCCTCGAGCTCTCCCTGGCCAGCTCCAGCAGCAGCCAACCGCCGACGGACCGCAAGCGGGAGCTGCAGTGGGCGCAGGCCTTCAACATATTTCGGCTGGCGGCTATTTGCCAGGGTATTGCGGCGCGCCAGGCGGGGAGGCAGGCGAGCAGCGAGCAGGCCAGGCGTTACGGCGATGCCCGGACCCCGCTGGCCGAGTTTGCTTGGGTACTGGTGCAGACTGCGCGGGCGGGGGGCAGCGGCGGGAAGGGCGGCGGCCCGAGCGGCCACGGCCGAGGTCCGGGCCAAGGGAGGGTGTCAAGGTTGTGAGTTTATTTGTGGTGTACGAGGAGTAGCGAGAGGAGACGAAGCATTACTCGGCGTATTTATTAGGTATAGTTAGTCATTCCGCATATGACATGAAATATCATCATTTGAAAGACACCTATCAACTAGACAGTGATGCACACTCACTCCACTCCTACCCCCATCTCAGCTTTGGTCTCTGTTAGCCATATTTGCCGGGCGGCCTTTGTTCGGCGACGAGGACTTTATCAACGGATGGGACTCTATATCCACCCGGTCCGAGCATTTCTTTTACCGCTCTACTACAGCGGACACGGCTCTTGAGATACGTTGACAGGGAAGCGTGAGTTTGGGTACATAGAGCTCAAGGCGCTTTCGGTGGGCGGTGGAACAAGACGATGGCCTCGAGGGTATAAAGACAAGAGGCAGAAAAGTACCGTCACGCATGCGATGCAACTGCACAACTCCCTTGCTTGTCCGTCTGTCCGTCTGTCACTGTATGCCAGTTTGCGTCTCTGCTGCTCTGCTGCTATCTGATGTGCCAACCTAGAATTCCACCTTTGCATCGCTTTGCTGCGCCGTGACTGCGTCTCCGTGTATCATGACAGGCATTACAGTACGTGAAGCCGTGGGACTTCCGCTCATTGCTATCATCTCTTTCCCGCCAGCCTCCTGCCTCACCGTTCAGGTCATTGCCGTATCCTCGTGTTTTGGAGGAGGCGGGATGAGTAGACTGCTTCCCCCGACTCTCCCTCTGTGTGTCCACTTTCCCATGACTGTACAAAACGATACATACCGTCCTACAACATCCACGACGAAATTTCTTGCTTGGGTAGCGTTGGACAGAGAGATAAGTCATTCTAGGATTGAGTCGGGGAGCTGAGACGAGAAGAAGAGGTCAATAAACAAGAGCCGCCATCTCGAGGTACCGTCCCCAATTCCGCATGCTAACAGAAGTGGAAAAAAGTAACCGACGTCCAACGCCGCATCGTATGACCGTCTCCACCAACCCACCTAGGGCTCCAGAAATCAAAGCGAACTGATGACGTAGATGTGTTGCGCGCGCCATGTGCAGCGTAAACAAGTCTATAATGCGTACTAGCAGAGCAAGAAGAATGACCGAAAATTTGGCTCATGACCGCGTTCATGATGGATCCTGTCCCGGCCAAAGGTGGCCACGGCACTGATGTCAAGTGTAGGGGGAGAGAGATCCGGAGTCGTATCATAATGAGGAGTTGTGTTGGTCGACGCCCTCCTGCACTACTGCAACATACCCTCCCCCCCGGCAGCATTCGGCCCCCCATTGTCTGTGGTTGAAGGAACCGTGAAGGATGCCTCGAGTGCCATGACTGGAGGAAGTTGCTGTGAAAACGTAGCGGCTTGGGGTGGTCCCCCGGGATATGCTGACGGCGGCGTTGAAGCGGTACCCGCCGGCCCCCCGTTGCTGGGGCCGGGGTAAGGCAAAGAATTGAATGGGTGATTTAGCGAGCTACTGCCGAGTACCATGTGATTCGAAGTCATCCCCTGCGACTCCATGGGCGGAAAGAAGCTAGGGGGTCGGCCCAGGTTCATGTGGCTGAAATACGCGCGCTGGCTGCTTGGGACGGACTGTCTTGCCATGGGCATTGTCAGTGGTCCATTCGGATCCAATGGGAATTGATGAGCCCAATGCGAGAGACCAGGGGGCATTACACGCTCACGAGGCGGGCTCTGCTGCGGAGGCGACGGGCCCCCAGCTGTGTGAGAGGTCGGTGGACGGCCAGCGAGTGGGCCGGCTGATGATGAGGCACGGAAGCTACCGTGGCGAGCCCTAGTTCGCCTCCGGTTTTCCGATGCCTCAGAGGGCGGTGACCGCCGTTCCCCTGTGTGGGAGCTCCTCTGGGCAGCGCCGTCAGGTCCCCGGTCTTGGTGTGCCATGAGACGGGCGGCATCGCGGTCTTGCGTCATGAGCCGGGCCAGAGCCTCCTCATCGCCGAAACTAGAAACTGTGAGTCTGTGTGCGTTCCAGAAAGGAGGGATAAGGGCTACACCGACGTCAAAGCCCCGTTGCTGGGGGGCAGCCTGCTCCGCAGCAACGAAGAGCGTAGCATGGTATGGATCGCACGGTAACTCGGGGGAAAGACAGGTTCCGAGTGGACCTTGTCGCGGCAGTATGGACAACTGTCCGACTCCTCAAACCACTTCTTGATGCAGTGGTCACCAAAGACGTGCTTACAGGCGGGTAGACGAAGCGGAGCCTCGTTGATGCCTTCTGGGTTCGGCACGCCGAAATCATTATAGCAGATAACGCAAGCTACAATACCGGTTGATCAGCAAAGAATGGGCCAATGAGATGGACAATCGGAGCTGGAGACGTACTGCGTTCCGTTTCGGGCAAGGTGTCCAAGTCCACGCTCTGTAGCTGGGCAAGCGCCTTTTTGGACGCTACCCGCTTGTTGGACATCTGTCCTCGGAGGATCTGACTGGCCCGAACGTGATCCTCTGTTAGAGCGCGGAACTGAGGGTTGCCAACCGAAAACTCTTCAATGTAGCGGAGTGCCTGCTCGTCGGCATCGTCCATGAGCTGATCAAAGTCATCGTCACTGTCGTAGTCGGACTGTTGGGTGCTCGCGGTGTTGATTTGACGCGACAAACGGCGGGCAGCGTTCTGGAAGCGGCGGCGGTCAGGGACAGGGGGGATCGCGGGATTTGAATGAGGGGGGAACATGGCCTGGTCAGAGTCCGGGGGGGCGTTGGAGTTACTGGAGCCGGGAGCGGCATCTGTCCGCTGGAAAGGCTCCATGGATCCAAATAGCGGGGGCCGCGGTAATTGAGGTACGAACGGCGTCATCGTCGGAGCACCGTTCCCAGCCCCTCGGTCCGGTGGTCGTGGAAATTCATCAGGAGCGGAGAAAAGCGGTGGGCGACTGACGGGTGGGAGAGCGACCGAAGCCGAACTCAACTCTCCAGAAGCTGATGCAGTCGGCGGGGTCGGCCGAGAAAGAGACTGTGTCGAATTCGGGTTCAAGGATGGAAGGCTGATGCCCCGCGAAGGCTGTGAAGGGAAACCTGCTTGGTGACCATCCATCGAAACAGGCGGTGCGCTGTTGTTGTTGTTGTTGCTGATGTTATTCGGATGAGGGACCGCTGCGTGAAATCGAGCAGGTCGGCGGTATGAAGGCAGTTGCACAGCCCAAGAATCACGTTGCGGGGGGGGTATCAATGGAGGTTGCACAGGGCCAGGGCCGGGGCCTGAGCCTGGACTTGGACCATTCGCTCCGGCAGGCGCGCCCGGACCGCTGCCAAAGTACAGCTGGTCGGGCACTGGCAGCCTATTGCCAAAAGCACCAGGCCATTGGAGGGGAGCCGTCGGTGGCTGATACGGAGTCCACGAGCTGCTAGCCGAGTGCACTGGATCGTAGTGGCTATGTGCATTTGTCTGGTGGTAAGGCTGCGCTTGCAAGTGGGGTAGCGGGAGTGAGGGATGTTGAGGACGAGGCTGCTGCTGTTGCGCTGGTTGTTGTGATTGCTGGGATTGCTGCTGGTGCTGCTCTCGCTGTTGTTGTCCTTGCTGTTCTTGGTGCTGCTGCTCCTGTTGTTGTTGTTGATGTTGTTGTTGCTGCTGCTGCTGTTGCGGCTGCTGCTGCGGTACTGGGTAATTGTTGGAGTGTGGTCGGGAGTTGTGCTCGAAAGATGGATGAGGAAGGCTCGACCGATGGGGGAAATGGTCGACACGAAATACCGGACAACCTTGATGCTGCTGTCGCTGGATCCCATGGAAGTGCTGTGGCTGCGACATGGCAGCTTCTGGCTGCTGTACCATAAACTCGATCGGATCCATGGTCCAGAGGTTTAGTGAGCTTCCTATCGCATCAGCCCGCTTCCTCTGCCCTTCTCTCCTTTACCAAGTAAGCCCTTGCCTAGCCAACTCGTCCCCTAAGGATGATGATCCGCCGCAATCCCTTACACCGCAATTCGCCGAGGGACGCCTGTCACGGCGTGATTGCCTTGCTCTCGGATTTGTCCGGCGTGCGGGCGCGTCAGGCAAAGGAAACGGTACCCAGTCGCCCACAGAGTCCAGGCAAATGCACCGGACAACGCTCCTTCCCCTCTTGCTCGTCCTATATCCCTTTTCGAGTATCGGACCACTGCACAAAAACACAGCAAAAACCTCGACGCAGAGTTCCTCGACCCGATTTCTTTCCGACCCGACCTCTCGCTAACCGTCGAACGAATGACAAAGGCCTTCAGAATAGGGGCAAGGCCAAGGTGAGTCTGAAACAATCGATGGGCGAAGTCGGTGGTGGACGTTAAGTTAGGTGCTCGGGGACGCTTTCCTCTGTGGCAGCGGGGTGTACCGAGATCTGGTTCAGCCTGTCTTTCAAAATAATTACATATGGGACTGAAAAAGCAGTGAAATTGGCCAGCGTCTGTCCACTCTGCATCCGGCAGGTTCTGACTGATCACATCTCGTGATTGTGCAGGTACTCCCACTCTCGCTTCTCCCCCAGTCGTCGTTGATCAATGGCGATAAATGCCTGATAAGCTGCCGACGGTCAAGGTGGGGCTGGCAGGGGGGTTAGAGGCAAGACGACGACGACGATGATAGTGTGGGATGTTGTGCGAGCGGATGGCTTCGAGTTTGAGAGGACGGATACGAGCGGGAAGGGGAACCAGAAAGGCAAAGCGAGCAGTCGGACTAAGATGGGGATGGCGTCGGTTTTGTATCATCAAGCCAAAGCAGGGACTACAGAGAGGGGTGACGGGTGTCTGCGAGGGCGGAGCAAGCGAGGCACTCACTTTAGAGTCGAGCCCAGCCAGAGCCAGGTCGGGTCACCGAGTCACAAGAAGTCACAGGTCTTGCCAAAAACCCATTCAAGCTGGGTCACAGGCCGGAACGCAGACACTAAAAGCTGGGAAGCTCCATACAGCTAGAGAGATCCTCGCATGTCTCTCGGGGTGCCGTGTCAGTGGAGAATGTGGGCAAGTTGGCTAGCTCTTGTGTGTGAGGACGAGAGAGGAGGGGGAGAAATGCCGTGGAAGTGCCAAAGACACTCCAGCATCACTTCCCATTGCCCTCGTCTCTTAATGGGTTGCCGAGCAGGGGGGTGGGAAGGGCAAAAGTTACCTTCCAACATTATGCTGTTGCAACCGACAGGGAGGCGGCATCGTCCAGAGCGGCCGGAGAGGCAGAACAACGCCACAGCACTGCTGCCAAATCAGCCAGCAGCAAAAGCCTGACGTTCCCTGGAACACGACCACGGCCTGGGTACTTGTAACAAAGCGCAACAGGCTGGGCGGCTGGTGGATGCCATTGCCAGCAGCGCCCGTCCCCCAGCGAGCGGACCAAGCAGGGGCCTAAAAAGGATAGCAAAAGTCCGAGTCGACCGCCCCCTCGAATTACACTATTTCAAGCCTATCCTGCCGTGGGCTGGCTAGCTCGCCCACAAAGCTCCTGTACTGAACCGTACCGTGCTGTGTGTACTGTACATACAAACATCACACTACCGTATATACAGTGGTTGCAGTAGTAAGAGACATAACGTCTCCCTGCAGTGAGCGTCCGCGGATCAGCGGCGGCAATCAAAAATGGGAAATTCCCGCCTGAAGGGCGTTGGGCCCAGAGCTGAGACGCCTTGGGTTGTGTTGGCTTCATTGCTGCTGTGGACGTAACGCACCCTCGTTTACTCGCCTAGCAATTCGCCAAGTTGGATTCGGAAGGCCTTGGTCAAATTTGTTATCTCGAGTGTGCATATTACATGCCGGATTGGATGCCCGTTCTGTGCTGGGCCCGGGCCAGTCCTCCAAACCTGAGGGGTGTAACCGACACACAGTCGGGTGTTTGTTTGCTCTCGAGAAAGCCAGTGTCTGCCGTCATTAACGCTGCCCATAATCATAAGGACAGACCTAGCCAGACCCGACCCCCGGCCTTGCCAATGATTCCATAGGCTGCGCGGTCTGGAATGGAAAACCAAGCGCTGTATCCGTATCCGTACCCCATACTCCGTATATAGGCTACTTTAGGAATGGGAAGCCGCAAGGAATCGCTGCTTCCGGGGGACTTTGGCCGTCCATTTCCGCCTGCCTGCCTGCCTGCCTGCCTGTCTGCCCGCCTGCACCTCACTGTTGCCATCATGCTGTGTTCATCGCCTCCGTCTCTGTGAGAACCGTGGGACGCGGGCGGTGGAAGCTGCTTGCTGAGACGGCGCCACAAAGAAACTTTTGAAAAAGGCAACAATACCTGGCAGCAGGTCTTGTGCAGGGGACTTGTCTGGATAATTACCTGGCCTAGTGTGGATTCTAGACCGGTGCCACGTCCAGTCCAATTGTCCACGCTTGCCGGTCTTCACTGGGAGTTCCGCTCTGTCGTTGGTTTGACTTTGAGAGAATTGCACACTGCCAGTTTGTTTCCTACATAACTATTTCATTTCTATTATTTTTCGGCTACAGTAGTCGGAATGCCCATTCTTCCTGATTTGATGAAAATGGCTCCGATCATCATGCGGCTTTCGATTTCTGCCACAAGAGGCACACACACACCACACCAAGCAGGTCTCGGGCAGCTTGGGGTATCACGACCACAGTCTTAAAGCAGCAGCTGCGAGGTTGTTGTCTCAGTGCAGGCCCGTAGTAATCCTGCTTCTGCCCGGCAAGGTCTCGTATAACGGAACGCATGGCCCTTCTTGTCAGCAAAATGCGAGGATGCTCCAGATCCCCTCTCTGCTCACGTCGGCCAGCTCGATTTTCCGACATTGCCGTGTCCTCTGTATCTGGGCTCTGGCTGATACGGCGGTCGAACATCCCCCATCCATGCCAGGGATGCGGTGTCAGCCCCCGGCGAATTTATTGCAGCGACGTGTCGGGACCTCTATTGCAGTCAATCCATGACAAATCCGCGAGAAGATGCGGGGCAATGTCATCAATCGTTGATGCTGATCAGCCCTTCACTGGTGCGCAGGCGAAGGCGTTTAAAGTTTTGAACCTGCCTTTTGCCAGCTGGAAAATGCATCTGAACGAGCCGTCGTCTTCCGGCCGATCAAGCCGAGTTGCGGATCTCGCGGAGAGAGATCAGGTCCCATGGGTCCGCCATGCTGCGTACTGTGTGGTATGCCCTGATATCCGCACCATGGGACAAGTACTGTACATACATAAGGTACCTTACGCGAGGTATTCCCGGTGCAAACCTGCGTGCTTGCGCCCAACGATGGTGGTGGTCAGTATCAAATATGGAAGTCCCCTTGCTTTCGGATCGCAACGCTCGCCAACACAACGAGTTTCGATGTTTTCCAACAACGAAGTGGAAATCTGTCCGACTGTCGACAATGGACCAACTGCCCGCTATTCCCAGCCCGTTCAACTACACGTAGTGGGGACCTGACCCTGTCCATCGAACCTCTATCCATTGGCTGCTGGAGGACCTGGACGGAGGCTACTCTCCTGATTCGCTCCAGACAATCTAGATCCTTGGCGCGGATCACTTACCCCTGCTCCAAATGATGAAATAGCTGCTTATCAGCAAGCACAAAGTCCGACCATCGGTGACGATGACGACCAAGAACTGTCTTTGTAGAACTCTTTTGCGGAGGCCCGGATGGAGGTAAGTACGCAGAAAAGGACCGCGGAATCAACGAGTGCACAGATCAAAAGATCTGTTGGGGCTGCCCGGCAGCAATCAAGTTGATTTGCGCAGTGATGCGGAGATGGTTGGGTCCAGGGCTACGGTGCAAGGCACCTCGATGGCGGGCTCTAGACTCTAGTGTATTGTATGTATGTACATTTGACTACAAGTTGAGGTTTGTTGCATGGGAAGGAGGAACCAGGGAACAACTGTATTTATTGGAGGTCACTGCGGGCACTGGGCTTGGCTTCTTCATCCTCCTCAACCCTCCAACTTCTACACTCAATACATCCATTCTTTGGGTGCTTTCTTCAGGTTGGAGTCTACCCGACGTTGCCATGTTTCCAGTGATGGATGTCCCAGCTTATTCATGTAACATACCCCTCTTGAGCCCCTCTCTCTGATTTAATAACGGGCCTGGAACAACGTCCAGTCAGCAGTCCCTGCAAGCTCCCCAAACTGGACAGAACGAGTGAACAAAGCTGAGGCGAGGTACGAATAACTGATGGTGCCATGGCTGCCGACGCGAACCTAATCGACAGAATGAGCCAATTATTGCCTGCTGGCTGCCGCCTGCACCTTGTCTCTGCCATGGCCCATGGCCGTGAGGCTTTCCTTACCTAGCTAGTCCCCTAGTGTAGCACGAGTCACTTCCTGGACGCCCTGTTGGAGCCAAGTGGTCAAATAGTTATGTACGTATGTACAGTACTGACCTACATCTTTCTAGTATTTGTCTGATTTCCTTTTCCGGTTTCCGAGCACGGCATTATTGCTCCCAGGGCACACGGCATTCTGCTGAACCGAGAGCGACCACTTTGGCTGGGCGGATTTATGGAATGACTTTGCTGCAGGTTTTCAGGCTTAAACGTAGACCCAACCAAACCGAAACGTACCGTTCTGGGGCAACTCGGGCCTGCTTGGGCGGACAGTGGCATGTTATGTACTAATTGTACATACATACATTCAGCCATTCGACCACCCAAATGCTGCTGGCCGGCTATATATTTCCATGTAGCGCGCTCAGCACCTCGGCCCTTGGAGAGCGAGCCTTTCCATCTCTCTTCGCCACCCCCCGACACTTGTCCACCGCAACCTTGCAGCAAATAGCGTATCGCCGCACCAAAGAAAGCAACGCCAGGGGTTGCAGTGCGCAACGTTATATGGGGCCACTTTCCTCGGCCGCCTTCTCTCTCCTCCCTCCTCTTGAGACCTCTCTCTGAGCCAACTCCAACGAGCCATCACAAAGACGCAACTGGTCCCCTGTCAAATCCTGCATCACTCTCTCCTGGGCCGGCTTGGTGATTAAATAGCAAGCGAGTAAGGGGAGCCATATCCAGAAGTTGTGTTGGTCTTGCTGGCTATTCAGGTTTCCAGGAATGTGCTAGCAACCAACCAACGAGCATTCATGCAGCACACGCCGTCTCATTTCCTGACTTTCCCATTCTGGCTCCGGACATCCGGGTCTGCGGCGACAAGCGGGGCGCTCCCAGGGCCCGCCGGGACCGGCGGCTAGACCCCGGAACGGGCTTACCCCCCCTTCCCCTAACTCCCTCGGTAATATCACGAATGTAATGCACGCCGACTGCCTGCGTACATAACTGCACCATACATGGCCGAGTGCAGCCTGCAGTGACACTGTGGTCCAACTGCGAAATCACCACCCATACTGCGTGGTTCTAGCTGCTCTGAACTTCCCTGCTTAACTGTATGTACAGACGTATTCTAGGCAGGTATGCCATCGTCTTGGCTGTGCGCAAGCCGCTCACTCCGAACCCTGCGGGGAGACGGCCATTGCGCCGAGGCACTCCCTTCTCTGAGAAACGGCCGGACTAGCTCCCTGGCTCGCGGGCGTACTCAAATATCGCGTCCTGTTCCCCATTCCCAGACTTGCTTTCGGTAGGTTCTGCCTTGAAGTCTGGTTTCCTATCCGTAACGGACTCCACCGATGCCGGCAGCGCCAACAAGAGCGGGGGCAACGTGTTGAACGGCGGGAGCTTCAAGGTGATGGAATCACTGGGGACCGTGACTAGATGTGGCTCTGACCCTATCAACCTATGCTCTTCCAAGCCTTGTCTTCAACGGCCCGACTAGCTTGGAACCGCATTTGATCCAGGTCTTCGACGTGAGGAAGAGAGCTGTCATTGCGGACACTGAATGCCTCTACTGCTATTGGTTCAATCTGATTTGGTTGCCAAAAGCTGTGTTACATGATTACTATGTAACAGGTCTGCTACGGAGTATATACTAGTACTCTTCCAGCGGGTTCTGATGACTCAACGTAAAGTAATCGTTCCCTAGAACTCATCGGCCGTGGTTCGTCAACTGTGTGCCTCTTTTCCAGAATCTCAGAATTACTCCTCTTAACACCTCAGCGGAGAAAACTAGTTGCTGTATCATTAACCTCTCATCCGAGGTAACCATGTCCCTGGTGGTTTACATCCTCTAAACCCCTCAACAACCACCCGGTGTCATGATCACTCCCAAGTATGACCCCTCCCGGCCATTGTCATGGTCTTCTAGTGCGAACCTCCCCAAGCCGTGGACCTATTCGCGCCTGCCAACTTTCCCAAGCAAGCAGAACACTCAGACCCGTACGCAGGGAAGGTCCCGCGTAATCACTTCTTCAGTTTATACTTCCCGCCCACAACCTCCATTTGGTCCGCGGCGACCTTCTCTCCGAGAAACTCTTGCAGCTCCTCGTTGCTCCATTGAAACCCATCCGCAACCGACATCTTCAACATCATGGCCATTTGTCCGAGCGACATGACCGGACTGGCGTTGGTCAGCATGCCTTGGATGTAGCGCCAATACATCTCGCGGCGCTCGCGCTCCTTGGCGCTTATACTCGCTCCTCCGCCACCCACTCCGCTGCTGCCGCCCGCGTTTATGTTGGCAAGGGCTGCTTCTCCCCCGGCTTCTGTCCCGGCTGCTGACACGGGACCATCAGCCGGGTTATTGGTAGGGACAGAGGGGCTATTGGCGGCCGCGGCCGTCTCAGCGACAGTGTAGTAGTATTGGTGCTGGCTGCCGGCTACTGCACGGTGCTGAAGGAGGACGCCCCTGCTGACCCAGAAGCGAAGGGCGGCGGTTATGAGGTCGTCATCCATCTGGAGCTCTCCATAGAGTTCCTCCACTGTTTTCCGCACTGGCCCGGCGCCGCCCTCATCCTCCTGAAAAGCGTAAATAACGGTTGCTTCGACCGGGGTGCAGTCGACAGTGACCGTCCTGTCGGTCAGCTCCAGCTCCACCCGCGCCTGGCCGAGGTGGTTCAGCCAGGTGAGTTTTCTTCCGGACTTGAGATCCTCGTAGCCCTTTTCGTACAGCTTCTGCTGCTCGACGATCACCTGCGGCAGGAGGAAATGCTCCCGCTCTAAACCAGGCCAAAACAGCCGTGAAAGGATTCTTGCGTGATATTCGAGATCGCCGCCCTCCTCCTCCTTAGCCGTAACAATGGTTTCCAGCATCTCCGAGCTGAGCACTTGCCTTGTTTGCCCGGTACTCCTCGCCCTCCATATCGCAGTGTCCAACCTCCGGGAATCCTGCACGTCCTTAATCATTACGTCACAATTCTGCAGCGCCGCCTCACCAAACCGCCGCTTGAGCAGCTCGAGAACGCGCAGTTCCTGGTCGAAGCTCGCGGGCTCCCCGAGGAGCCGCTCGGCAACCACGGCCGAGAACTCTTTGATGAAGACATCCTGGCTTCCAAGCGCCGAGATGAGCGTACCGATGACGTCCTCACTCCTTGGCCGCTTGTAGTTTGCGCCAGCATCAACCGGGTCCGGCACCCAATTCATGTCGTTCCAGTCGAGGTCTTCGTCAGCGGTGAGAGCGGCGGTGTTGTGGCGGGTTTGGGAAGGGTCATTCAGCAGCATAGCGAGCTCAACCAGCTTGGTTATGCGCGGCGGTACAGCGCCGGTCTCACGGCTTGCACTGTGGTTGAGATCGCCTTGAGCTGAATCCAACTTGTCACCTTCCCCATCCCTCCGTGCCTTCTCATTCTGTAGCCTCCAGGCCTCCTTTACCTTCCTCGCGTTTCTCACTTCCTCGTGGCTTGCGAGAAGCCCCGAGACAACGACGCGCACCGCATCCTCGCGCTGGCAGAGGTAGAGTTGCAGGCTCGGCTCGACATGGCTTAGCAAGACTTTGCTGTGGTCGAGGGCGTGAAGTGTACGGATGATGGAGATATATGTCTGAAGGATCTCGAGGGTGCTACAGCCAGGGTGGAGCAGTCTTCTCTGCAGAGTACGCGAGAAGCTGTCTGTCAGGTGTCTCCGGCGAGCCGCTGTGGTGACGCTGGCGCGCAAGTCTTCAAGCGCAGGCCGTGAGGCGGGCCATGCCAGAGCAATGTCAAACAGCTCATCGATTCGTAGAGCCGCCAGACGGCCTAGGGCAATGGATTGGAATGTCTTGAGGTCACCGAGTGACACCGGCAAGGCGCCGTGAGGGTCGGGCGAGATGCAGGCCAGAACCTGAAAGCTCAGTTGCGCAAAGTGATTCTCAACCCAGTCATTTAGGGAGCGAATACACGGTGATGAAGCAGACAATGGCGTAGTCCCCGATATTGTATCCATGGCGGCGGAGAAGGAACGAGTGTCGGGCACCGACCAGACGCCGGCGTAGGCCCCGGTTACGAATTCGGACATCATGGCATCCATAACCTCGGCGAAGAGCACATGGAACCGCTCTCCGGCAAGGCCTACGTTGTGCAATTGTTGAACAAGCTCGAGGAGCCGTTCCCTGGCGGCCACTACCCTCAGATCGTCATGCCCCGGTGGGGCGGGTCGAGCGGTTTGTGCCTTGCCTACCGAAGGTTCTCTTAAAGACGGAATGCCCAAGACAGTCCCCGCAAGGCAGACAAGAACAGCTTTTACAGATCTCATCAAGCCCTCAGACGCCGAGTTGCTAACAAGAGCGTGGATGTCCCGGCGGAAGCGAGTATTGAGCAGCTCAGCATCCTTGACAGCCTGCGGTGAGCCATCGGACAGACGGCTAAATCCCGACAATAACTCGTCGAGGCCGTAGATATAGAGCCGCAAGGCAGCCTCGAGCGTCCGTATACTGCTCATAACGGTCACCATGTGCTTTTCATAGGAATTGCCCCTCCTTCCGGTCTGCCAGCTGCTGTCGTCCCCCCCAACGGCGTCATCGACGCAGCCGGCCAAAAGGGGGACCACATGCTGGGCAAAGTGCGATCGCACTTGGCGGAGGTGCCAAGCCACGATGTCCCTGGTCTGGGTGACACCGGGCAGCAAGGTGCTAGCATTGATGACGAGGGCAAAGGCATCGAGGAATTCGCTTGAAGGTTCCAGTCGTCTAGATCCTTGCTGCGACTCAGCGGCCAGATTGCCGAACGAGTCATCGGCAGTGGCAGAAGAAGGCAAGGCGATATGGGCGGTTACAACGTGCCATGCGCGGTCATAGGCTTCCTGGTCGTTTGCCGCCGTCGTTGGCAAAGAGGGAAGAGGTGGCTGTGCAGCCATCTGCAGTGATTGCTCAGGAGTAGAATGTCGCGAAGAAGACGTCGTGGTGGGGTGATAGACATCAGGGCGCTCGCCCATGGGCGGGAGGGTGTGTCCACGGCCATGGCGCGTATGCCGTCGTTGCTGCTTCGAAGACAGCAACGGGTCATCGAACAGTGACCCTGTGTGGCCGCCAAATGACTGGTTGGCACCAGTGGAACTGTTGGCTGTTGTTACCTGAAGGCTGGTGATCTGGGAGATATCGATATCAGTCTGGAAGACTGACTGGAAGACGCGGCGTCGGTGAGTCCTCCTCCACCGGGGCCCAACAACAGCGGACATGGCTACCTAAGGCAGTTATCTGCAGTCCCCGCTGACACGGCGCGTACTTGATTAAGGTGCTGACGGAGCTGTGGCCGCTCCTGGCTGCGAGGAGAACACTGGAACCTGGAAATCTTCCAGGAGCCAATCTCTACACTTGCCCCCACTCTTTCCTGCGCGAGTCAACGGGCGGTGTCGAGTTAAGCGCGTAGAGCTGCACGCCGAGAAGGGATCACTTCCATAGTTCTGTTCACCTCGCTCTCTCTTCCCTTCCCCCCCTTTGCGGGAAAGCAACCGACAGAAGGATCGAAACACAACACCCTTAGATCCAGGGCTTTGGATTCTGGGGCAGTAGGAGTGCGGGGTTGGCTCCTTCTGCAATGCTTAACTCTTCCTTGGCAGGGGATGCTCTGCTCCTTTCCGGTCGACTTGGCCAATCCAATGTACCGTATCCTGTTTCCGTAGATCAAAACCTTGCGATGCCGTCTTCAGTCGGGTATGTCGCGGTCAGCCGTCAGACAGCGCGGTGTGGCGGTAGTGCTACTTAGTGCCGGTGGCTAGGTGAGTGCTGACGGGCCAAAAAAACGGGTGAGATCGCCTCGAGAACTGCAGTTTCGATAGGCCAGCCTCGCAGTCGCTCGACCGACGTACTAAGCGCCTCAAGATCGTGGTGGCACCCGTGGGAACGGCCAATGAGAGTCAAATTACCGACCTTCTTTGAGTCGTTGAATGTGCATCGAATCGCGCTTGTCTGCGCAGCGACCCAATGGGTATCAACAAACGTTGAGGTGGGGTAGTATTGTGTAAGTAGCAACCTCGATATGGGTGCTCGCTCTCAATCCAAGATTGACCTTAGCCGCGCCAAGCTGCCAAGCAGATGCACGTATAATTGCATAGACTAAGGTTATCTATCCGTAGCATGCATATCCGTGGAGGACGAAGACCCTGAAGGTACTTTGTAATGTTACTGTATTATTGTATGTATCTTTAGTAACAAGCCAGCCCCGAGTGAACCTTATAGAGGGTACTTTGTAATCGGTTTGGCCCCCACGACCACAGAGTCAAGCTAACGGATGAGGACCGTTACGGAGTATTGCTGGTACATTAGGTACTGTACCTATTGATACAGTAACGTCCCTTCGTCCACATCTAAATTCGGTGGCGCGTTAATGTATAGCGTTATGAGAAAAGAATTGCATTCCCTTGATTATTCGTAGATGCATATCGCTGTCATATCCGCTGCTTATAAGGTACTACTACACCAGGTGCGAGGCGCGCTCGAAATGAGATGGGTGCACTAGGTACCTTACTCTGCAATCAGCGCGAATCTCACGTCGATGAATGATGTGCCCCCTTGGCGGCTACAACTGCCTAGTCGAGTTATTCGTAATATAGTAAACTACCAGCCTCAACTCGAGCTTCAACTTCCTCCCATCGCCTCTTTCTTAGACTTACGACTGAGATCCGGTCTGCAACAGTGTTTTTACCACGATGGTCTGTCGGTCCCTTGATGTTTACACACATGGGACAAGATATCTCGTTAACTGCATTTCATTGTCTCCCCAGAGCTGCATCGCTCCGTATTCCCCGGCTGAAATTCACCGCCTTTGACTACACTGGTGTATTGTATGTATGTACAAGTACACTGAATACGGTATGTAAGATACCTTACTTGCACATGCTTGACCGTACAAAACCCCAAATTCCAAATGATGTGAGAGCGTCCGTGCCGTCTAGACCCCACTCCACTACAGCGCCACCAAGAACCCCAGTTGTTGATCCGCAAGCCAGCGGCCATGCTCCACGAGTTTTTCTCCAACAGGGCAGGTGTGAGGAAACGAGGTGTTTAGCCAACCGTACGGGCACCTAGGTCGGCGACAATGTCGGGATCCGTCCCTATCGATGAGATCGCATCTTTGGTGGATCACCGGCAGTATTGCCTCCAGGTTCTAGCCCTGAGCCTTGCAAAGCATTTGGAATAGGAGGCTTCGGGTACACCTGCACCGATGCCGAGCCCGAGAATGTATAGAACTGCACTGTCGCCGACGAGCGGTTACATTCCCAATTCATGTGCCATACTCATCAATGTTGAGCTACAGTGTAACGTTTAACGTTGTGCTACCTAATTCGACGTCCCTTTGTGGCGTCGAGCTTCTAGAAACGCGATTCTATGAATCTGCTGGTTTCAAATCTAGCCTGAAACGAGACAGCTCACTGAGACTCTACAATCTTGATTCACGCCTGTGCCGCTCACCATGGGCCAAATTATCCAGACTTTGGCGCCCGTTTCCAGAGCCCTTATAAGACGATGTCTGATTTGTGTCCAAATGTGTAGGATACGTGTGCGTTCAGTAGGAAATGGATTGGGGCTAGCTAACATTAGACACGACAGGCAAGCCCTTGCCGACTGGGGGCCGTTTCTTGCTGCCTGGTCCGGCCCTGCCCCGCCTGCCTTGTCGGCCCTTGTTGCCGCGTTTCTCCACATCGTGGAAATCGGAACAGTTCACGATTTCCATCCCCTGCTCGTTCCCGTAGCGCCTTGTTCCGTCCCGCCACCGCTGTGCTGGTCCGACATCGTCGATGACCTCCGGCTCCGAGGGCGAGGCGGCGCCGGAGAACTTTCGGGTTGGAGCGGAATCAAAATAGGAACACACGACACCAATGGTACACCCTCGCATCGCTGCGTTCTAAACCCACACAACACCGGAAATGTGAACTTTGTGGAAAGTTGAGATCAAACACTCTCTATCACATAGACTAACAAGAACGATCTCGTCCTCTTGTGGAGAAAATCTGAGTTGCGAACCAGGATGGCGGCCGCCGGATTCTACGCGGAGAAGACTGTCACGGTATGGCCCCCAACCGTGACATCTTAATGGCCTGATGCTCGAGAGATCGTCCAATCATCGAGCTGCGTTCAGCAACCGAGATACCGGTGCTTGGGAAAGAACATCGGCCCTGCATGGCTGCATCGAACCAAGGCAGGGCGAAGTCCAGGTGCGCTGTTAATTAGGAGGGCGTAGATGCAGTACCATTTTAAGTAGGGTTTCCGCTCATGGTGGGTTTCCGCTCATTAGCGATCACTAGCCACTGAATTGTGGCTTACAGGGGGCTTTGTGGCTGTCTTGAGCGGAAACCCACCATGAGCGGAAACCCTACTTAAAATGGTAAAGACCAGCTGCTATGTGAATATCTTAGTACACATTACAGCGCTAACGCTCACCGTAAGGTAACCAGGTTCGAATACTGTGCATAACCTCAAGGGTTACAGAGGTACTCTATCGGGGAATTAGGATTCTTCCCACTCCATTCGATTGGCAGCGGTAGTTGATGTCGATGCGGTAGTTAAAAGTTGCCTTAGCTTGCGTTCAGAACCGCGTCTAATAGGCGCATAGTTACGGATATCTCCCTTCAAAGTATTTACCAGTACGATCCACACTGATGCCCGGCCGAATCATTTCTAGGGCAGCCGCCCCGAGAAACCGCTAAAACCCGGTTAGATGTTCGACTTTCGTCGCCTTGGAAACCTCAGCTTACAAGATGCCCGGGGAACGACCAAGCGGGCCGGAGCTGTTGACCTGATCTGCGTGACATGGCTGCTCGAGTGAAGTAGGGTCTAGATTCCATGCTAGCAGGCTATCCGGAATACGGATCGTGTTGAGGGTGTTCGCCGAAAGAGCGCGTTCTCAGTCAAAATTTCATATTGGGGGCCAAAAGCTGTGCCGCACGGGAGTTCAGTGTGGTCGCCGAGTCGTGGAATCCGGCTATTGGAACACTGACGAGATGCGTAGCGCATGACTCCTTGTGCCCCAATGCAATCTCCCATCACCAACTCCCACAGGTGTGTCTCATTGCGGTTGGCGGTCTGGCCCTTGATTACGAGTCGTCTGCGGGCGATATCACCACACGGCGTGTGACGGACTCTCCGCCCATCCCGCCGTGGCCTTGAGACTGGTTCGGTGGTTCGGAGATATCGGCAACCCCAGTAGGCCGGTTCGGCGACAGGCCAGGGAGATTTCTTGGGCGCACTTGCCGGTACATGTATCGTGAGGTATCTGTATGTTCCATGCAGAAACACACTTGGTATCCAATATAGTGTTCAGTTCTTGCTGCCGAGTCTCTGGTTCCCAGTGAGTCCCTGAGCAAGGCAATCATGTTTCCCTTTGGACTCTTCATGCTTCGGCAGCCGGCTCTGCTTGACGTCGGGCTGCCAACGCCTTGACCTGCCGGTCTTGCATCAGCTAGGACGGGCCTACCTGTGCTATCTGGATTGTGGTTGGTCTGGGATCACCCTCATTGGAGCTATGTAACTGTGCAAGGGAACGTACTCTGTATATAGAGGGTAAACCGTCATTTTCGATGGCCGGGAGTGTTGAAGGTACGGTAGGTTCCATGTTGTTGTTGGGATTATCCCCCTAGGTAAGGTACCCATCCTTCCAATCCTTCACATAGGTAGTGCGACTTCCCAACCCGTTGGCCACTGCCAGTTAAGCCACGGAAAGGACGACAAGCTTTCTGAAAAGCCACTACTACACGTGAAGGAGCGGGAAGGAGCCGACTAGGCTCCCCGTTCTTTCTTCAGTCAATGCACCGTTGCAGCAGAACCTACCACACTCAGGCCCCAGTGCCTAAGGCACGTTACCTACAGTATTCTGAAGTACACTCAGGAGTTTATTCAATTGGATACCCCTACCAGACCTGTCTTGCTTCTCACCCCTGCTTGAATGCAACGAAAAGGCTTGGACAAGGGGTGCAGAGATGATGGGGCATGGTTGGCAGGTTCGGTACGTGTGCGTAAACATACCTACTGACAGTATGCTTCTTGAAGATTCAGGGGTATACCTCGAAGATGAATGGCCTACCACTTGAGGTAGATGTGCCTGTAGTAAAACAAGAACCAAAAATTGTCCCTTTCTGTCCGTATCCTCAGTATTCCTATCATGAACCTCATGATGGATGACAGGAACTGAAAATAAAATCCCCAAATCCACATTGTGCCAGGCTATCGCCCATACATGATAACCCTTTATTCCTTTGCAGCCCGTTGTTGACCTTCCTTTTATCTAATGGTATCCAGGTCTCACCCCTTCCAGGTCGGGCCCGGGGACGCGAGGCCCAACAGTCTCAATATCCTCCCATGACAAGATTTGTACAATGCTCGAATGAGAAGGCGGCCAGTGGAGGCAAAATAACGTAGAAATGCCATGAAATATGCCAAGTACCCTAGCCTCGTGTAAACTCCAGAGGTCGATAGCCGCGAAAATGCATCACCCTGATACTGATATATCGGTCCGTCCTTTGGTGGCAGTTCCTGTTTAACTGCTGTTCTTCTTCTTGCATTTATCGTGCAACAGGTGTCCGTTTCTCGCAGTCGTCCTAGTAAACTCTGCTCCGCAGTTGGGACAAGTCGCTTTTGCCGCTTGCCCAGACTTCTCACGTTGGTGGCGGAGCAGGTTGCTGAAAGTGGAAAACTGGCGGCCATTGCATCCGTGCTCCCAACACTGTGGTTTCGGCCGGCTGTGTATTACCCTCACTTGTCCGGTTGTGTCCTGCGGCTCTCCCGTTCCCATGACCGACGGCACCTGATACATGCCCAGGTTTGGGTCTGCCACAACTGGTCTATTTCTGATGTCGTGCGTTAGCTATTCAGCACAGGATTTGATGAGTTCTCGCGGCAGCGTGCGAATGAATACTTACCCATAGTGAGCTGGCAGACTCGGGTTGGTTGTTGGAGGGTAGCCGTAGTCTGCCATGTAAGGCTGTTGCGGATAGGGGCTGGTGAACATGTTTTGTTGACTGTGGTCTGGCAATGGAGGCGAATAAGGTGGTAGGTATTGCGGTGAGGGTTCGGCTAGAAGGGATATCTGCGTCGGCGCTGATGTGTAGACCGGCATACTGGGAGCGCTTGTCGTCAAATCCGCTAACGTGACGGGTGGCGAGTATGTTGAGGAGGCGCTGTCCGTCCTTCGGCCCCGGGCTTGCAGCTTGGAACTGTGCCGGGCTTGGTCTCGTTGCCGTTTCAGTTCCCGCTGTTCCGGAGTGAGCGTGCTCCTTGGCGGACTCGCTGTGACTGATCGTGATCCGCTAGGGGGTGTGAGGCTGGCATCCGACCCATAATGGCTGAGGTCTGGCGGCATGAGTCCGCTTCCAGATTCAAGCACTACTTTCAAATGAGCATGGAATCCTACGGAACGGAAAGGTGCTAAGGAGTGTCATACCTTGCCATGAGAAGGACGGTCTGGTGCCCATGCTGAACCCGGGGTCGTACGGAACGGCAACAGCGCTGCTCTGGGTTCAGTAACTGGCGCTCTATGAGCCAGTGGGAGGGGAGATGGATAAAGCAGCATACCTCATACTTTCCGGCTCAACTAAAACCAGCGGAGACGGTGACGGTGACGCTCCCGGCTGGTTGGATGCGAGTTCCAGTTGGAGGAGCGGTACGTCTCGTGTTTGTTGTGCTTCGGGCTCTAACCAGTGCGCGTTCGGGGCGGCTTCCGGCGACGGAGGTCGAAGCGAGTGTTGGGATTGCGAGACCAGGGTAGGCAGAAGCGGCCCAGGTGAGGCGGACAACCTCGGGCTCAAGTATGCGGGCGAAGATGGTCCCCGTGTGGATGGGGCCCTCCTGCTGGTATAAGACGCTGTCTCGAAGGATTGAGTCTCGGCGGGATGCAGGCTGTGGAGTAATTCTCCTGGTGTTGTTACCACGCCGCTGCCAGGGCTTGACCTGAGTCTGCGTGAGCAAGTTTCGTCTAATACTTGGTCCGAATACCACGAGGCCATCTCTGGGGGAGACATGGCACATAGATAGGATGATTGTGAAAGACCGGACTGGTACATACTTTGGCCGTGAAGGACGTCCTGCGGCAGTTGATGGCAAAGGCTCTTCACCCGGATTATATGGGATGAAGAAAAGACGTCGGCGACGGAGCTTCGCGGCCGACTAGACCAGGTAGCAAGATTTCGATGAGGCCGGGAATCTATCTTTGGGCGCAACCTTGAATCTCGAAATGGCCTCAGCCTCGATAGGTCCAAGTCTAGAGAGGAGCCGGGAGAGCTAGTAGCTTATAACTTGAGAGGCAGCATCTGCCCACTGCACCGTGGGTTCGTTGAGCAGAACAAGACAAGGGACATGCATGTCAGGATACAGGGGGTGGGGTGGGCTTAGACGAGACCAACACACAACACCCCTCTCCCATCCGGCCCCCCCCCCGCCCAGTCTAGTCTCTCTTCCCCTCCCCTCGCCTCCGGCGGAAGAACGGCGGGTGGAGAGAAGGCCAGGATGGCTTGGCTTTGTCAATGGCCCTACCGGGGAGAACTGGGCCACTTGGGCACTGAAGATTAACGTTAACGCTAGATATGTGCGAAAGCGTATTGTCGGGTGGCCCTGGTGCTCTCGTTTTCTGTTTCCCTTGGACCTGGTCCATGTTCAGCGGCCAATTTAGGCCTCGCCCTTGTAGCAGAAGGAGCAAGAGCGAAGACGGCGAAGCGGCTAGGGGCGAAACGGCCATGGTTTGTTTATTAGGCTCCAGCATTTCTCTGGATGGCTGTGCCACGCTGTGTTGTTCACAGTGCCTTGTTCAAAACAATGACCGCCTGGCAAAATTCACTGCAAGAAGCGGTAGTAATTGTTGGCTTTTATGGAACAGGGTGCGACCTGTCCCACGGTTGCCGCACAACCTAACGCTCGATCTTGCTGCCAGAAAAAAATCCTCGCCGGCGCCAGGCTGCTCGCTCTGCGCGGCTGGCGTTTGTTCCCGCCATTGACCTTTCGTCGACCATACCTAGATACAAGACCTCCCTCGGGCTCGAATTCTATAGTTGGTTAGAGTTAGTTAGCTAGTAACAGCCTAATAACAGTACCAAGGTACAGTACAGACACATACTGTAAATCGTAACGGCACCTGACGCCAGTCAAATACAGATCTAGTGTAGCCGGGATTCGGGGAGTGGAATAACGGGGCAGGATTCACAAATGGCAGGGGACACTGCCCAAATGGAGATTGACAAGAGAACCTCTTTGGCCCCAGACAAAGTCTCTGGTAGGTAACGCAGTACGAAGTAAATATGGTGTTGGATCCTTTCAGCTCGCTCCCAAAGTCAATTATCTGTTGATATAAGTTGTCTTGCCCGCCGTTAGCTGGCCCACGCTGTGTGTCAAACCGGTGGTTGGAAGTGGGAAGCAACAATGTATCCATAAGCTGGCAGCAACATACACCTAGGGTGAAATCGCTGGGAGAAAAGCTATGGTCGAAGGATCCGAAACCCTGTCTTCCGGTGGACAGTGCACGTTTAAATCGATGCCTAAACCTCGATTAACTTATGGTTATTGCCGCCTCAGGCTGCAAAACCACCGTGGTGCTCGGAGTTAAGCACAGAGACAAGCACTGCGGTCCAGTCTCAGCACTCAGGCAGGCAGGCGTGGGATAACTTAGCGGCAGTGCTGTTTCGTCCTCTATACCTATACTTGACATACCGGTATCTGCATGGATGTATTTCGTCCCTTTGGGTTTGCAACTGTCTTCGTTACATCTTCACAATCGGAGGGAATTCGCGGGAAAATCGATTGCTGCCGTTACATTGTTACGGTTATCAGCATTGAATCTCAGATACCTTATTACACTACGAAACGTTAACCTTAACGTGACTCGATAAGAGCATGGGCTGCCAAAACCCAATCCACGCCATTGGTCGTTTCGCGTCAAACCTGGTCAGCGCGTTGCTTCGATCCATGTTCTGGAAGCCAAGACCCCGCTGCCAGGGCCTGGCGCAGTGTGCCAGACCCTGCGCGTGTGCGGCACCTCCTCCGTTAGGTCTCACCAACCAGTCCCCGAGTGAAACCCTCCCCGCTGACCATGCTCCGACGTCACAGCAGCAACGACCCGTGGACTTATGTTGTCTTTACTGTGGTATGCAAAGGGACCAATCCGCCTGGCGCCGGGGAAACGCGGCGACTAGGTGAAGTCACGGGACCGTGAAGGCGTTTTCCCAGCACTGCGGGCAGCTTGGCGGAAAGTGCCAAGGGGTGTAAATGCGGGATTGGCATTTTCTTTATCTTATCGAAATAGGGTATAATCACATACGCATCTACCTTAGTTGGGCTCGCGAAGAGCAACCTCGATCCAGTCTATTTCGTATGCGAGTGTACTGTGTATTGTCTCCCGTCCTTTCTTGCCTGCCGTAGCGTTAGCAGTCGAAGCCCTTGTCCATTAAAACCTGGACTGTATTGTACATTACATGAATAGAATCAGGTAACGTTATCTAGTGCCCGGAGTAGTGTACAGATAGGTGCACGTGGAAACGGTTGGGGGCCAAACATTTCTCCATCTGTCTCTCTGTATTTGTACGTGGGCATTGATGGTTCCCGGCAACCTTACGAAGTATTCATTCTCTAGTCGCATAGGATGATTTAATCACCTACGTACTGTACTGTACACTGTACTGTACACGTGTAGTCGGGCATCTCATGCTACATATCTAGAATTATACGTACCTGAAAGTGCCTTATTTACAGGGTCCAAGGAATCTCTTGCAGTTGCCAAATCACGCTGGCAAGGCGAATCTCCAGCAAATATGTATATGCATGTACGAATAACTTCCCGGTATTTAGCCCACCTTCGCTTGCTAAGTCGATCTCTAGTGTATCCGTAAGTTCATTACTAATTAGTAAACATAGAGTAGATACTAGGAGGTAACATACCAACAGCAATTGGCTGCAGCTTTTTCGACCGGGGCCAGCTCCGGCGCAACTTCCCGCCAATGCTTCACGGTCTATCGACCGATTAGCCGATGCTATGGGCTTGATAAGAATTCCCTACCCTCTCAGTTCGAGACTACCGCATATACTCACTCGTTAGGAAGAAACGCTAGAATCGGCGCTACTGCAGACACTCCTCCAACCGTTCAACGACAGCCAACCAAAGTACGCCTTGACCCACTTTTTATCGCGTTTGTCGAATTGAAACTGAGAGAGGACCTGGGAGCCAGAGAGAGCTTGGCAGAGCAGTCGCGCAGAATCCAGATGTCGCTAGCTATAACAGGCTAGCGTTTCTTCCTAAGGAGTGAGTATATGCGGTACCTTACCTTACCTACATACAATTCAATGCTGGTTCGTTCGTTAGCGCAGAACTCCCGACAGGGGCCCTAGACCCAAATTCAGAAAAGATCTCTCTCAACACTGAAAAAAGCTAAATCAACGCAAGAAAATAGAGCATCTAGTAAAACTCTAAACGGCCGTTTCATTCCAGTCCTACTTGCACAGAAAAAGTGGCCGTTTTGGTGTTAAAATTCGAGTTTTTGCGTTGACCCTTGCCTTCAAGTCAGGCGCTACCGAACAAACCAGGGGGGCATTGTAATCCCTCAACAATGTATGGTCAGCTAACTGCATTCAGCCAGTGCGGTCTTGGTAGAGCACAGATACCTGGAGCAGCTGGAGGTTCACTAGGGATTACCTTGGACGGACTAATCGCTATATGTAGTGTATGTAATGCAGCACTTTTGTACAATACACTAAGATACTAAACTCAGCGAGGCGTGCGCGGGAGACGCCACAGCTGATTAGTCGTTTTGTATCCTGCTGCCTAATGGCAATTACACTACTCCGTATTCCGTACCTTCACTTCATACGCGCTCTCCATCCACGTCACTCATTGGAAAGCAGATCTCGGAAATCAGACTCTGCGGTGCGAGTCGGAGGGCGCAAAGAACCAATCTCAAGATTGTGGCGGGGGACTCTTCACCTCCGAGCCCTCCGTGCACTGAACATACAAAGGTTGGCTGTCTGGTTGTTGTCAGGGATCGACACGTGGACTTACTCGCATTCGGGTTATGTAACTGTACTGAATGTAAGGTAATTATTGTACTCCGTACTCACTGTCTGTTATCCGTACACTTTACAAAGCAGCGCATCGCCAATACCAGAATATGTCCCTTGGGCCCCCAGGCAATTCTTTTGGTAAGATTCGCCTGCCCTCGACGGTTGTCACGGGTTGGTTATATTCCACTTGTCTCCTCCCGAGTGTCTATGTCCCCCGACCACAGAATCCGTGACAGACGGGCTAGCCGCAAAGCGGTTACGGTGTGCGCCGTCGCGTCACTCGCCATGCGAGAGAGCGGCTAACCGGTCCAATTGAGCAACGTCGAGAAAGATTCCAAAGCACATTTGCTGTCGGATCACAGCATACATTGCTGCATAGCCGCCGAGAGCGCATGGCTATTGACCGATTATTATCACGATGCTTGAGAATTAAGCGCGTGTTACGGAGTTACACTTGCGTGATTACCTACGCGCTGTATGTGGATACTGTACTGTATGTACAAACTCCTCCCGTCCGATATTACAGTAGTAGACGGTCGGATCTAAGGTACTGGGGAGACATCGTGGGATTTTCACGTCCTGAGGCAGCAAAACATCACCCCACTCGGCAAAGTCCCTGGTTCGCACTAGCCTTGCCGACGGTCCCGCTGCCAAGGTCCAGGGTATGGTTGCAGTGGGGGCCAAAGTGGCTTGCCGAAAGCGGTTATGTTGGGTACTTCCTGGCGCGTCTGTGCGGTAAGTCAAGATTGTTCCGATTGGGTTTGAGCCTCTTGTATGTCCCCGGGTCCCCGGCCTGGGAACTCAGGTAAAGCTGGCCGTACGTCCGTACCTTGTATGTACAGAGTAGTGAGTCCTTTGCACTACACTACACTACAAAGGTATGGTTTGGCAACCTTTACACTAGACAGGCGAAGGGCCAATGATGCCGTAGTCGCCAATCACACGCGGGTGGTCAAGACGTTCTCATTTTCAAGGCGAATCGTGCCATGAGCGCCATTTCTCCGCACGCTCTGTGCCGCATGTATGCAGCAGCACAAGATGCAGAGACTGACGACTCGAAGAGACCGCTTTACCCCCAGTTCCTGGCAGACATCCTTTCTCTTGCATGTTTCCCATCCACAACGCTGCTGCACCGGCGCCCTTGCTGCGTGCAAGTAAATAATCAAATGTATGCGCTGGTAATTATCATGTGGACTCTCTCGGCCCGTTCGATTCGCGCTACTTTGGCTGTTTATTGTTAGCTTCACCGACTCTTCAGGCCCTCTGCTGCATTGAGGCACAACCATACTGTAGTAGATCCCCAACTGTGGCCAATGTTAGATTGAATGCTTTGTTTCTCGAGCCAACTCGCAACTACTAAGGTGTTTACGACATAGCGGTTCGAGTTGTCGTCTTTGAGCGAGGAGGCCGCGGTTGCAGGACCCCTAACGAGGAATGGTGTCGTACGGATAGCTGTGCAAACAGTTTACTGGCGTTAGGCGAGTTCCAAGTCCAACCGCAAAGGCGGTGAAAGTGCCCGGCTGCGGTTACCCCGCGATAACATCAAGGATTACAAGCCTTGATTTGACAATTGAATGTTTCTTCGAGTGAGTGTCAGTACATGTAGCGAGAGTAGAACGCACAATTCAGTACCGGCTGTCAACCCAACAGGTCACTTTCTAAGGTATTGCTAGTTTGTTCGATGGTATTGCGCATATTGTATCCGTATACTGTACATACAAACTGGTCAGAAGCATCTTGGTAAGCCCTGCGGGGCAGTAGCACGGACCGATGAGCATGAGCTGAGCTGGAACATGTGGCTGCAGCTTCAAGTCGACGGGTCCCAGTTTCACTGGGATTCAAAAAGGCAATTGGCAAGCCACACCCAAAGGCTAACTATCGCCCGGGCCCTGGTGCTTCCCGAAGCCGCCCTTCCCTGATCGGGCATGCCTCATCGGGCTCGGAGACCACAGCCGGCGCCAGCGGCATGCACAAGAGACGCTAAAACTCATTTGTGGAAAGTGGAAACAGATTGCACTTCCTCGTACACTATCCAGTCATACCACACCTTCGCCAAAGCTTCTGGGAAAAGCGCCACTGAAAAGTTCATTAATCTGTGTAGACCCCATACGCAAGATACCTTACTCCGTAGTCTCTAAGGTACTTTAAAAAGGTATGAGCGGGATAGGTGCATAACTATCCGTAGATACATACTGATACATGATACTAGACTAGTGTACGAAGTATGTATGCAAATACGCCGCATTGCGCCGTAACCACAGTATGTCAATACTCTGTCGCATAAAGCAGGGTGGTAACACCAGCCCTACCGACTGCGTAGGTGCAACCCCAAATCGCATCATCTGTGGAGATCTTGGCCGCAGCTTGTCCGCCTGAGGGACGTTCCAAAGCATTGTATTACACGGTGTAGCGTTCGGTCTACGAGGTCAAAGTCTCCAGCTCAGTCCGAGGTCACTGGTTTTGTTTCTCCCAACAATGTTAGCGCTAACGTCAGAAATCTCGAATCGGGACGAGTACACAAAGTGATCATGCAAGATCGGGGCGGACTCAGCGGTCAGCAGCTGCTAGCCAGCCTTGCCGACTGGGGTTTGCTGTCGACTGCAGCCTTGTCAGCGGATCAGGTAATAAGCAGCCAGAGTTCAAAATCCTCAGATAATGCTAGGTAGGGTGCTCTACTTATTGTATAGTACAATACATACATCCATTATTGCATCCGTACATACAATTCAATGCGCTTTTGCCTACCTACGCTACACGATGCCTGGCCGAAGGATCCATTCAAGTGCACATGGCGTGCTGCCACAGATCTGGTAGCGAGAAACAAGGTTCCATCGTCTCTGTCTTTGAAGGTGGGAGCCAACGACGAATTTTCCAGAACAACTAACTGTGAGCAGTTATTCACAGCAGCGAACAGCAGGGGAAACCAGGGGCGACTCATTTGCTTGTGGCGGCCAAAATAGGCAGGTCGGCTTAAGCCGTGATGAGCCTGCCTCTGGCTTGCCCGAAAGATTTCGGCTTGGGATAATAATTTTACTGCAAGCCCACAACTGCCCTGGGATACGAATTCAGGTTAGTGCTGCCTAAGGTGCTTCGTACATACCTAAGGTATGTACATACATACGTATATACACATTTGACAGCCCCTGCTGGAGGAATTGTACCGGTATCCTTCATCGCAACCGCAAGAATGGAAGCCAGCGGGTAAATTATACATGTAGCCAACCTGGCCCTGGCTTATCTGACTCAGCCAGTTGAGAGGGCAACTGGAGTTGGGAGTGATGAGAGCCGGTCATTCAACGTCGTCACAATGGACATACTCATTACCAGCCCCTTCACCCTGAGGGATCGTCTGGAGTAGTAGTTCCATGTCTTAATCTGGGGGCGACGAGGCTGCTAGCACGACACGAAGTTGGCTAACGTTATACTGGTTTTATACTTTGCAAGCAAAGGAAACACAGTCAACTACAGGCAATTATCACCAACCGGACCACTACAGCAAGAGGTACTCTCTCCTATTTTCAGAAAGCAAAGAAAACAGGTCATCGTGAGTCGAAACCACACACTAACTACATTCCAACACTACATCCGACAACTGCATGGGTACTGTATTGTATGTACAAGTCCGAGTAGAGACATTCCTGGCGTGCCACCATGTCACGATCTCTCCAGCTGCCAGACCACTCCTGGTTACGCCGGCTCATGAGTTGTTTCTCCTTCTCTTTGGGACAGCTACTCCGTACTAGATGCTCGAATGCCGGCGCCACTCCCGTCTCCGCTTGACCTTTCGAAGCCATAGACGCAAACGGCAGATTAACCATACGCACATGTGTGTACAGCACAGTACATACACTACTACACACCCAACATGATGCAGCACGGGGAGGACTTGTACGGAAACGGCGGCCTGAGACAGTGGCCGCCCTACGCCGCACTCACACTGGGGTAGTCATGTCTGGCCCCTATGCTGTTGACCTGCCTGAACCTACCAGTTGGTAAGGTAACTTATTAGCTGGTTACAGAAAGACGTCTATGTACCTATGATCCCCTTTACTCTTTGCCTGCCCAGGGGTCATTGTTTTATCTCGGGCCCCTTCTTGGCTGGTATCATCGCCGACTACATACCTTAACGTTAGTAGGTGCTAGGACTGAACGCCCCTGTTTGCCCCATCTGTCACGACGCGATTTTCTGTGCTGTTTCTATTTCTGCGGCTCTCATTCTTGTGGCTCTTATGATGTATGTAATCCAGAGTTTTTATTTTGGCGTCAAGTTTCTCTGCGCCAGCACCCGGGCGTTCTCGGACTTGGGCTCGGCTCACCCAGGCCAGACCTCTGCTTCGCAAGTTCGCAAATCCGACAACCTGACCTGGACTCGGACGAGAGAAGTTGTGGCGAGGTCGACCGGGCCGGTAGAAGCCCGAGCCCCGTGCGTAAAAGGGACCTCCCCACCTCCTGAAGTCGGCCGCGGCCTATCTTAAACGACGAGAGGCGCGTGGTATAGTACTACATATCATACAAGTGCGGATATTGGTGCGTGGCCAAGGTAAATGCATGTGTTAGCAGCACTTAGCTACCTTACTGTCCATCAACTTGAAAGGGGGTGTAGAGTGCCCACGCCGATTAGGAAAAGACAGCGACGGGTAACTTATGTTGGTATCCTTGAAGGTCTGGCAGCCGGAAGGACGATGCAAAGCCTTTCGCCCCCTGTCCAGACTGAAATGAATAACCCATATGGAGTAATGGGCTTGATCAAACTGCTACGCGAAGGGGGTGTATCCAATGACGGCAGTCTGTGTGTATGTACTTATGTATGTACATACACATATCACGCACATGATACTTCACCGCCCCCTTCCGAACTCCAAACATGTACACCTTCAGCTATCCGCAGTGATTGGCCCGTTCTGCCTTCAAGGCAGCAAAGGAGGAGGAGGTAGTTGACGAGGATGTCACACCGGACGCAACCTGACGCGCTGTGATGCCGCTCAGGAACAGAGAGGCAGCTCCTCTTGCAGCCGATGACCTTCCGACAGCCTAGCACTGGCATGTGAGGCATCAATGATCGGTGCCCAAGATAGCCGACCTCTTGGACAACTCAACCCAGACTGTCTCTGTTGGTGATTTTGGCCATACCTGTTCACCGGGTCTTCCGGATGTGTCTTGACATGGCTTTGGGAGGTCTGAGGTAACTTGAAAGCACCTATGGCAATCCTCTCCTACACTTGCGTGGCAGTTGTCATTGAGAAAGGAACCACTTCTTTGTCGGAATAGGGGTGAGAACAGAGATGGCTGAGAAGGTAGAAGAAAGCCCTGAGTCTCAGGCAGTACTCAGGTAGTAACTACTATACCATGTGGAGCGTTAGTTACTGCATTCATGAACAGCGAGTTGGCGGTTAAGTTTGCTAAAGCGTGAGTGCATAAATGTTACTACTAGCAGTTAGTATCCCTATGGTGTCTGTCTTTTAGTTACTTTATGACCGAACCTTTTCCCATCGTTCTTGCTGATGCGGTCAAACTGAAGCCCCTTCCAGGCAGTTAACCGGCACAGGTTTTGGCAATCCGCCGCCGCCTATTCTTCCGTAGGCAACATTGGAGGACGTTCTTGTCAACGGGTTTCAGAACTTGCACCATTGGCTTTGATACCAGAATCGAAACCAGCCGTATCTACAGCCAACATGGAAACACACCATGGAGAAGGGATCGACCAGACTTCGTTGGGAGAGGTAAACACTGCCATGCTTGGACCGTTCAACACAACCCAAATAGGGCCCCGAGAGCAGGAGCATAAGACGGACTCGGAAGAAGCAGTGCGCTATTCTACGCACCAACAACAGGCCTGACCGAGTGCACATGACTGACAACTTCAGTAACTGGAACCCACCCATATGGATGGCGCCCTGACTTTATAGAGCCGCAGGATAGGATACCAAACGGGGTAGCAAGACAACATTGAATTGACGAGACACATAGCGTAACCACCTCGATATAACACCAGCAGCGTAAGTAGTCAGCCAAGATATGGGGCAACTAAACACCGTGCCTCGCGAGAGACCTAGATCTCAAGACAAAGGAAAGGAGAGGAAATAAAACCATTATACTTGGAATATAGGTATTCGTCTTGCCCAGCACGCCATGACCGATCCTTCTCCCCCGGGACAAACTGCCCCAAACCCATAGCCTACCATTCCATCAACCCAGTAAAAAACCCAGAGCAATATGAAGCCAGCCAAGCTCCAGACCAACCAAACCAAAACCGAAGCAAGTCAATCATAACTTGCCATGCCTTGCTCTGAAAATAGCAACCTTGTCATCATAAAACAAGATTTCCCGTAGTTTCAGTTTGACCGACCCCTGACTGGGTTCAACAAACCCGTCATCGTCGTCGTCATCCTCATGCTCACCATCGCCGTTGACTGCCCCGCTGGCTCCTCCCCCGGGCGCAGGCACGCCTTCAGTCTCGCTCTGAGTCTCGTCGGGGTCGCTCGTCACCGTAGTGGGTGTGTCACCGTCATCATCAGCCTCCTCGCCCGAGTCGTCGTCGTCATCGCCCGAGTCCGCGTGATCCCCATCCGAGTTCAAACCCTCGTCGTCAGCCTCTTCCTCATCGCCCCCATCCCCATCGTCATCCGTCGTATCCTCATCTTCGACGCCAGCGGCTGTGGGCCCGCCGCTGGGATTACTGGAGCCAGTGCCGTTCATCGTATTGGTCGCGCCGTTGGCGCCGCCTGCGTTTGGGGTACTGGCGCCGCTGGGACCCAATGAGCCCGTCGGCGCGTCGCGACTGTCAAGAATCTCGAAGCATTTAGAACCTATGCCGACGTAGCAAAGGCGTATCTCGGGCCGGAGAGTTATGATGTCGGCAATTTGGTGCGCGAGCTCCCTCGGCTCGAAGACTCCGTTGGGATATTCGAGTATGTGGGGGATGTTGAGGGAACGGAGCTGCGGCATGTTTGGCAGTCGCTGGAGAAAAGTATGCTGGTGCGGTCAGTATTAGTTTACAACGTCAAAATCAGCCATGGTGGCTTACCCAGTCTTTGTACTCCAAGGAGACGGCTAGTTCCCTCAGGTTCACCATTCTGCCGCTCGTCACGTAGACCAAGACGTCCCCGGTAAGTGCCCAGTTTTTCCACCGGATATTGTCGCCAGGCAGCGCTGTGCCGTTGGCTAGCGGCCTGGCAGAGCTATCCAAAAGAAGCTTGCGCAGGCTTGCGTGATGCCGCTTGATGGCGCCCTTGAAGATGGTGTCAAGTAAGAGTGGAGGACTAGAACGCTTGCGATCCTGGAGAAACAGAACCTCGAGCGAGTTTGGCGCAAGAGTCTCCTTGATGAAGTTGATAAGAGATGGTGTGGTCGAATCCGTGTGAATCGCCTTTAGCGCTAAGTGGTACTGCCTAGGAGCATCCGCAGGAGGTGGTTTGCTGTTGGCCGAGATGCCAAAGCCGCTGCCCACAGGAGTGGGTTGAAACTGCTTGCGCAGCAACTTCCAGAGATTGTCATGCTGAGCGCAGTCCAACAAGGTAAGGTTTGTCAAAACAGACCAGTCGAAAGCGAATCTACAGACTTGGAGCGAAAGCAAAACCCGTTCAAGCTCCAGCGTGTGCAGCTTCAGTTTTCCCTCTAGCCTCCTTCTGCCGCCTGAGCTAGATTTGTTAGGCTTCAACGGCTTTTGCGAAGCCGGAGTTTTCGTTGGAGGATCGCTATGCGGAGCTACTCCGACAGCGGCGGGCTCCTGGGTCTCCTGGCCACTCGAAGCTGCCAAGGCATCGCTCACCGCAGGGGGTTCCTGCCCTCCAACTTGGGGAACATTCCATGCCGGCGTAGCTGGCGTGGTGCCTTCCACGGCAGAGGTTTCTCCGCCTGGCTTATCCTTGGCCCTCGAGGTGCTCCGCTTCCGGATATCGTATATCTTGCCTATTAGGACACCGAGAACGCCCCCCAAACGCCTCTCGCCGATTGTGCTTTCGCCCGGCCACCGCGCTCGGTGGTCTATCTGCTTCAGACTAGGACCGTCCCAAGTCTGCGCGAAATCTTTATGTACCGCCTTCTCGGATATCCCAACCCTGAGCTCCTGGAGAATGTCTTTGGATCGCTCGATAAGCACTGCCATCTCGTCCAGGTAGCCAACCTCGTCAATATCCAACACCGTCAGACTCTTGAGTGGTGGCAAGACGCTGAAGGTCGGGTATTCGCAGTGGTACTCGGAATACGAAACGGGCGGTCGAGGAGGCGGATGGCTCGCATTGGGGGGCAGCATGATGCCGACAGCTGTCAGCTGGCTACCCTGGGGAACCAGCGCAGTAGCAGCTACTGCGGGATTGGCGTTAGAGGGTGAAGGTGTCCCCATGGGCTGTTCGGAGTTATCGTGCCACCGTATCCACACCCGATTCAGCTTGCATTCGTTGTCTGGCTGGTCGGCTAGTGATCCCAGGGCTTGAAAGACATCTGTGAGCACGCCAGTCGGCATGTCCCAAATGAAGGTCTCGAGGTTCTTCATCTTCTCGATGGCGATGGCCACCAGAGTGCCAAGCATCTTGCCGCTTTCCTTGGTAATCATGTATTCAGCGACCCAATCGCTCGGGCCATTGCCCAGCGAGAACTTCCTGGTGTACTTGGCATACTTGTTTCCGGTGAGTTTGGCCAGGCGGCGGGCAGTTGAGTTGGAGGCCTTGCCTACGGTGCGGGCAAACGTGTTCTCGCGACAGAGCGTTGACAGGCCGTAGGTAAGGGCGTCGACGCTCTTAGACTCGGTCACGCCTACCTGTCCATCAGGCCAGACAATGTCGAAGCGCGAGTAGATCAAGGGAGCCGCAAGACTGTGCAGAGCCGAGTTTGTCAGCGCAAGCGCAGTCAGGTCGTTCGTATGCGTTATCTGTGGTGCAACAAGCCGTTAGCGAGTCAGCTTGGGAATGACGATGAGGCGCGTGGGTAGCATGCCTCCTTCACGATCAGCTGCAGGATGTCGACGGGTAGTTCCAGCAGGGTCAAGGGGCGTTTGCGCTGGTAGATTGCCCGCCGTTGTTGGTCTTTTTCCTTGAGATATTCAGACACAATCCTGCTGGTCTTGTCCTGAGCAGACGGGACCGCTGGACAGACTGGGGGGTCCATGGTGGAGACCGAGTCCCGGTCAGCTCATGGAAGGAACTCTCATGCCCAAAAACAGACCCGCCAGCCACGTCGGAGCACGCTTGGACTGGATTTAGAAGCTGGAGATCACAAGTAACCAATGCGATCCACCGAGATAGAGGGCGCGTATGGTGTTCGGTGCCACCGTCGATGGCGTGTCGCGTGTCGAGTTAGAACTCGCGTGGTTATCAAATGGAACCTAACGATCGTTTAACCAGGACTGGAGATTGGGGAAACGCTGCTCCACAGCTCGAGAACCGGGAGGCGCACTCAGTCGGCAATCCAGTTATTCCAACCGTCTAGCCCTCTACCTGGGTGACTGAGATGGTTATTGGCGGTCTATCAAGTAATAGGGTTGTGCTTTGTCATAAGAATCTCTGGTGTTTGGAAAGAGTTCCTCTAGCAGTTGAACTGCAGGGTGGAGAGAAAGTGGACAGGATGTCTTGGCGAATCGTACCTATGTACTGTACAGATACAATATGTACAGTAAATTACATAGGTACGTTACTTAAACGTTTGCTCAGGATCCCGCTGACGTTGGCCTCTGTTGGTAGACAAGATACCGGTACTTTCTCAAGCATCCTGTCTGTTTGCCGTCTGCATTCTCGCCGGCGATGCTAATGATCTAAATGTCAAACTGTGCGGATGACGGGAGAAAGGTAGACTGTGTACTAAGGTGAGAAGCTCACACATATATTCGTCAGTCCGACTCTACGTTACGTTGTACTGAATTGTAATTGCTTTTCATTTGACACGCTACACTAAGTAATTAGTGATTAGTACTGTACTATACTGGACAATACATGCAAAGCAATTACCTGCCTTAACACTTTAAAACTGCTCCAATGTTCTCTTACTAGAACGTTGCAGAGTAATTACTGTATCTACTGGCATGCATTCCAAATGGTATACGATACAAGCCGGAGCTTCTTGTCGGCCGGCGCCGCCTTTACCGGCTCCGGCTCCGGACGGGTATGAAGCTCCACCCACTTCACCCCATTTAGAAGTTAGAACTGGGCGCCGGGCAACCATGACTGTATTGTACCAGGTATCTACAGTATTGTACAGTACAATACAATACAACACGGCATAGGGTGCTGGTGCTACCGAAGGACCCGCCGCCCAACCTTTTGCTAAGAGGTTGCATAGCGTTAATTCAAGCACTCTGCGCATAGCGCGCTTCTGCTTCACTTGATTTCATACCCTCTGTTCCACAATAGTACCTTAGTATTGCACGTTCGGTGGTAGTAGTAATTACCGTCGCTCCAGGTTTTCTGCTTGGCAGGGCTGAGCCGCAGTCTACGGTTGCCTGAGACGGGACCCGCTACGTCGTCATACGTGCCCAACTCTCGATGCCATAAGCTCGTTGTCGACACGCTGTTTACTACAAAGTCCTCCAGGAAAATCCAACAAACCACGTTGCCTGAAAACAGGTAAGTGCAGTTTAGTTTAGGTGTCAAGTGGCATTCGCGGGTTCTGCAACTGTGTCATGCAGATGTCATGGCCGGTTTTGCCTTGGGCTGCGTCGACCCATTTGCGCATGCGGCTGTTTAAAATTGCTCCCCTTTGGTCTTGCGATCCGCTTAGTTGCTGATCCGCTTGCTGATACTTTTCCCTTACCGTCTCAAACGTCCAAGTTCAGCGCGATATCTGGAACGAAAGCATTTACAGTATATGACTTATATCGTCACGCGCTACAACTCGAGTGAGCGCTTTTCAGTTTACGCAACATCGCCTAAATTGGTGCGACTTCACCACGTCCAAGCTCTTTGAGTCCGTACACAGTATCAACTGGAACTATGGCCTCGTTCTTCGAAGCACTCTGGGAATCCATATTCACCCCAGGTCCGACGCCGACGCTACTGGTGGCCACAAATGTCACATTTGCCGCCTTGCAAGTGGTGCTAGCCGTCCTCCTATTCGCAACATACAGCGTGCACTTCATGGTGCTCTCGGTGCTCTGCGGTGGCCTCTGGGCTGCAATCAACTGGTTTGCGCGGGAGCTGAAGGAACACCAGCTGCAAGAGGAAGAGAAGGCCCGGCGCGCATTAGCAGCCCACCCGCCACCCGTCATTTCAGATGAAAGCGAGACCGAAGTTGAAGGGGCAAAACCGACCACAAGCCTACAACAAGGAACAGGGTCAGCAACTAAACCTTTGGCTGTGAGCAGTGTTTCTAAACCGGTCGGGATGCAGGGGGAGCTTAAGCACAGGGCTGCCGAGGGAATTTCCAGCTCAAGCCAAGGCCACAGGAGCAGTGTTAGCACCGAGGATGAGTGGGAGAAGATATCGGAGAACGAGAACGAGAAGAATAAGTAGGAGAGCGTATCCCTGGGGTATGGGAAGAAATGCCGCTGATTGTTGAGGAACAATAGCAAGCGCGTATATTGGATTGTATATACGTTAGCGAGGTTGACCAGATAACCTGAGAGTTAACGGTGGTGAACTGGTTCAATCAAGTTCAATACGTATCTTATCTACGACTGACCCAAGCAGCCATGCCACATAGTAGTTATCCCTAGGTACTTTATCTGGCTGTCAATCCCAGTCTGAAATTAAAGGAAGCACAGATTGCCATATGTCTGTCTACATTTAATCAGCCGAGTTGGTGAGCTGAATCACTCCCCCGTGCTACGTACCTTAACTTGTGTACGCAGCCCAAGCCGGCTTCCCAACGTCATCCCTGACTCTGTCTGAAGTCTCCAGGAGTCCAAAGCCGTGAGGGTTGCGGGGTGCTCTGGTGCTCCCCACGTTATGAGCCTGCCTTTGATTGGCTACATTGGTCAGATGCTACAGTACTGAGTACACAGGAATGCAGAGCACGTGATCCCAAATTCACGTTTCTTGGCGACAAGAGCTCCAACCAATTTGGCAACGCACCTCACTATGAACTTCAGATACCAGCATCGTAGGACTGCGACTCGACCTCTCGTCAACATTGCCTCGTGCTTATAAACCACAAATTGCGAATCACAGACTGAACACGGAGCGCGCCAGCTGCTTTGGCCGAATCCGCCAAGATGAAGCTAGTCAGGTAAGACCTATATCTCCAGCACTCATCCCCCTTTCACCTCGTTTGCCTGCTCCTCCACGACGCGTGCTGAAGCCTGCGCTCGAGAATGAATAAAGCCAGCCAGCCGATCGCGCACCCATACTCAGCCGCTGCCGAGCAAATGATGGAATCTGAAGACTGACGATCGGGATCCTTGATTTCCATCGATATTACAGATTTTTAATGAAATGCGCGAACGAGACGGTGACTATTGAGCTCAAAAATGGTATGCCCTATCTTGAACTTACTCCTCCACCACGTCCGCTTTCTGCCCCATACCTTGGATTAATACCTCGGCCAGGAACAATTGTCCATGGCACCATCGCCTCGGTCTCACCGCAAATGAACACAGCGCTCCGCAACGTCAAGATGACTCCCAAGGGCCAAGAGACCATCCCGCTCGAGACGCTCAACGTGCGCGGCAGCACGATCCGCTATTTCATACTGCCCGACTCGCTGCCGCTGGATACCTTATTGATTGACGATGCGCCCAAGCCCAAGAACAAGGCGCGCAAGGAAGCCGATCGCGCAAGAGGCGGCCGCGGTGGTCGTGGAAGAGGTCGTGGCGGAAGGGGCGGCCGAGGTAGGGGAAGAGGTTAAGGATATTCGAGGCCCGGTGCTGGTACCGAGGGTGTTTGAGAGGAGATGGCATTCAGGCTGGGACGGAACTGTCGGAATGATGAGCCGGCCGCAGCGAAATTGATCACCGGCGGCTTCTATCTTTCGGGATGTTGGTTGTGTGGGCGATGCTGACAGGCCCTTGATGGAATTCTTCATGGCAACCAACGGCCGGACTGACGATTGCAACGAGTGATACGGGTGGGCAAAGCCTGTTGTGCCGCCATGCAACTCTCGCCCGACTGGTCATAACTGCTCTGGTCAAACGACACTGTCCTTTCTTGTTGAGCTATGCAGTCTCTGGAGTGGCAGGAAATCAGGCGGCGTTTTAGGATGGGTCTTTAAAAAGGTTGCAAGTGCGCTGCTTGGCTTTGATAGAGGATATTGCAGGCAGACACACAAAAAGCAACGCCTTAGCTTACCAGGAGAAATTAGCAACAAACGACGATAATGGATAATCCGTTGGTATGACCTGTCCTAGCAAGCATCTCCCCTCCTCACGAATCACGCCATATCCTGACAATCTGCAACTTTTCCCAGCCCGCTTGCTTCCCGCTCGTACCAACCGTTTCGGCTCTCCACCCTCCTGCCCCCCCTCCAGGCAATGCCCTAATCCTCTCCTTGACCTGCTCGGGCTTATTCTGCGCGCACAGCAGCAGGTACGCGCAGCCCCTGTCCGACAAGACTTCGGGCAAAGCCTCGATCAGCCGCGCCGTCGTCTCCATCCCGTCTCTGCCCCCGGCGTAGGAGAGCGCCAACAGCCGCGAGTCTCGCTCAAACGCCGTTTCTTCTTCTTGTGGCGGCATCGTCGTCGTCGATGCTGGCGCAGGCGGCGGGAGTACGGCCGGCATCTCGGCCGTCGGCACGTACGGCGGGTTGAACACGAGCACGTCCACCGCCCCAGGCCGCACGGCGCCTGCCAGATCGCCCTGCACGGCTCCTAGAAAGATGCCGGCACCGTCGTCCTTGCCATCCGCGTGGTTTTGCTGCTGGTGGCGGGCTTGTTGCTGCTCTGTGGTGGCGACGGCCTTGGCCACGGTTGCGGCCGTCGCGGAGCAAGCGAAGCCGTTGACGTCGATGCCAAGAGTGAGAATGTCGCGCCGTGAGAAGAGGGTCTGGGCGTGCGCAGTGAGGAAGGCGAGGACGACCCCTGAGCCCGGGCCGATTTCTAGGGTTAGGGGTGGGGGACTACTGCTGACAGGGGGAAAGCGGGATGCGAGAAAGTCGGTTTCGCTCTTTGAAGAGAGCGTGTCTAGTAGCAGGAAGGAGTCTTCGGCTGGCTCGTAGACGCGTGTGTATGGAACATGGGACGTGCAAGGGGTTGGGAGCATGTTTTTGATGTCCGAGTTTGACTCTGATGGGGAGCTAAATGGTTGCGAGAGGAGGTGGTGATGGCTTCAGTTCTTGGACGGATTTGGTGAGGGAGACGGTGAATCAGAAGCCGAAATCTTTTCGTAAAATTCCAGCAAGTGGGGCACGTGATGAAGGAAACTTATGAATGCTTATGAGATTCCAACGAAATTGAAAGCCAAACATAAGCGCTTCAAATCAATGCAGTAAAGAAGAGGGCATTAATGAGTGAGAGAGCGTACCATAACCATCAACCCTGTGTAGGGGGAGAATGTAAGTGCGTGGATGTCCTGGTGCTGACTATCATGCTCCCTGAACCTCCTCAAAGAAGCAAATTATGTTTCCCAGGACAATATGTTGCAGGACATTAATGCTATGAAATGGACCGTCTTCGTCCAATGGAAGGCTGACTGGTACAGAATCGCTGGTAGTAGTTGAGGGTTCATCATGAGCAGTCTAGAGGTTCATATACAGTAACTCCTCATGGATTGTTGCCGCAGTCGCTTGCTCGCCAACTGCAAAGAACTCATGTCTCGCGAGGGGCAAGCAAGATTCTGTCCTTCTCAATCCCCTCTCCCAAATACAATACCTATATATGAGTTTAAGTCAGTGTGTGAGGTGAGTCCATACTGACCGACTAACCTTCAATCTCCTTCCGTAACCTCACAAGCACTGTCCATCCCTCACATCACTGTACACATCACATCACACCCTGGGTCCGTGCTGCCCGGACCCAGTCCCCAGCGGAAGCCGTTTCGTATGTTGGTGACCATGCGAATCTGGTTTCGATCATAGACGCCCCCGAGGTCACTGTTCGGTACACGAAGCGATCACACCGATTTGTAATTAGCAATCTGCGCGACCTCTCAACCCACAGATGCACCTCGGATATAAAAAGGAAACAGACACACACTCACCATTTGGGACAGGGCTCGCCACGAGCGACGAGCCGCGGCGGCAGCGGCTTCGCCTGACCGCTGACAAAGTCCGGGCAAGTGTCGAAGCCCATGCCGGGATAGCAAGGGACCCCGATGGTAGCCCAGCGGTGGCCGCAGTGGAAGTCTTGGTAGTGATAAGTGATGCACATCTTTTTATGAGGCTTCGAATAGCGCTTGAAGAGTAGTATGTTTAGGGAAACCCCCGTTTGCCCTGGATTTAGTATGCCTTGTGTTGGTGTTGTGACAGGATATGACTGTGAAGCAAGTCCACCGCAGTCGCAGGAAGGTCCTAGTTGCATGAATGCGGAAATGGCAGTGGAAGGACCTTCGGTAAAAAGCCAAGTTGTTCTTCTGTAGGCAACTGTAGGTATGCTCTCTTCATCTGGAGTCGATTCGTAATAGTACACTCACTGGTGGGTAGCCATACACACATTCGATCGCTGGTAATATTGGAGTAACGTCATGTTGTCCACCCTAAAACGCCTCGCTGCAATGCAGATATTTCACTACTCCTCCTCGGCCTCCCTATTCAACTCTATCAGCGTCAGTCGTCTTTTACTAGGCTCAACTCCTTCTACCGCGACTGAGCCTCCGTCACTGCTCGCGCTAGACCCGCCTGCTACCAACTTTTCCAGCATGCTCTCGATTCTTTGCATACTCTCCTCCAAAGTCTCCAACCTTGATGTGATATCCGTCATCTCGTCGCTCTCGCTCAATACCCCCTGCAGCTCTGCCCTGAGCCCAGGGAACGGCGCAATGCTATCTCGCCTGCCCGATGGCCGATGTCCCTGTGCAACCTGGCCTTGCTGAGCCGCCGGCTCTGGTACCAAATGCTCCTGCGATGGATGTGGCGGATGTGGCGGCTGAGGCTGGCCTGCTGTCTCAGAATGAGCAACCTTCGGGGTAAACTGCCTTCTGATTAGATGTCTCGTCAGATCGTCGTCTGTGGTAATCTCATTGAGCACCGAGTCCGGCGGAGGCACTTCAAAAACGGTATAGATGTCCCTGTGTGCCGTGATGCGGAATCTTTCCCAGAACCGACGGCGCGGCTTGACAGTAGCCTGGACGAGCGTCGGAGCCGGGGACAGACCCTTGGAGTTGCGAGGCCAAAGGGAGCGACGTTCGGCGATGGCGATGATAAGCAGGAGAGGGAGGTTGACCAGGCGGACAGACAAGACGTGGATCTTGTGGAACCACCGAGGTGAAGCGAAGAACCTGAGAGGAACGAGGAAGACAAAGGCAAGGATGTTGAAGGGTACCGGGTAAGCAAAGATGGCGTCGCCTTTGACGCCTTCGAGGGTCGCCACGGCACGGCGGAACTGGATTTCGGCAGGGACATCATTGACGATTTTGGCGAATGTGGAGGAGAGCATGGCGACGAGGATGGTGAGGAAGAGGGTGTTACCGAGGAACGCAAAGGTGACCATCAGAGACGGCCCTAGAATTTGGTGGAAATCGGTCTGGATATGTCAGTACGCGACAGGGGGCAGAAGGCTCTATGCGACGAACCGAATGCTGGATGCCTGACCCGTCCAGACCGAACCAGATGTAAATCATCCACTTGCTGATGGTTCTGTGCCGTGTTAGTAGCTACGCACTCGCGGCTAGAACAAGACCTACGCTGCAGAAACATCGCCATCCCCGAGCCAGACTAATGACAGCAAGAAGCCGACAAAACACCTAAAATCCATCAGCATGGGCCTAATTCACACCAACTGCGACGGTCACCTCACTCACCAAATGGCCAGGACCGTCAGCAAGGCGAAGTCGGACATCATGGACCTCAGAGACAGAAACAGCAGGTTGTCCGATAGCAGGTTGAAGGCTAATCGGGGCACGAGCACTGGGGCACCCATGGCCAACACATCAAGCGCCTGCTGATCAGCCTCAGCGTTGTCAAACTTCCAGCCGTAGAGGCGGATGAGGAGATATATCCAGTAGATGACGGCAAATGTGACATCCAGAAACGACCAGAGATTCTGGGCGTAGACATGCCTGACGGCTAGTTAGTCTCTCGCAGCCCCTGTTTTGGAATGAAGATGTCGCCCGCATACCATCCATGCTCGAGCAGCGTCGCAAACTGGTCCAACACCCATCCAAGAGCGTAGATGGTAAAGCAAACTTCGAGATTGCTGAACTGCGAGGGATCTCTCTCGGTCATGAAAGCAAGATATAAACCCAGCAGAATGACAAACTGCATGATCTCAATAAAGTGCCTTGTCCGCGGGACGACCAGGCGGTAGTGGTTGAGAAGGGGCGCTTCTCTCGGGTTATATAGCGAGATGGGGCGCTGCTTGTAGCGGTCAGGGATCAAATCCATGAAGCTCGAAGGCGTGTAGATGACGCGGCCGTCGTAAATGGCATCGACGCTGCCGCATCTCCACGTCAACACGGCATATCACACACGAGGCGGGATACCTAAGCTTTAGTACAGTACTCACACCTTCTGACAGCTGGTACTCGCCAAAAACACCCTGCTCTCGCTCAAGATGGCCACCTCAAGCGCCGGTAACGTCCTGTGATGGGACGCCGAGGCGCCCACCTCGGCCCTAATCTCTTCGGGGGCATTCTGAAAGGGCTCGAAACCGGCGATCAAGACATGGGCTAGAACGAGCAGGTTCCGAGGTCCCTCATTGTCCTCGTTGAATCGCCTCAAAATTCGCGTGGCAATCAGCTCGCACAGCGTCGCCCGGGCAAAGTTGACGTTCTGCCGGTTGCTCAGGTGGCTTTGCTCGCTCAGGAAATAGGCTCTGTTCACCAGCAGGCAGTAGACTATCGATATGTCGTCCTGCTCGTAGAGCTTGTCCACCAGCGGGCGGATGACGCTGATATTGAGGCGCACGTCACGCAGCTGCTCCAACGACAGGTAGTCCTCGACTACCGAAATGATGTCACGGCGGATGCGGTGGATGTTGGTGTAGACGGGGAGGTGGCGGTGTGTGGTAGGATACGAGCTGAAGCAGCTAAAGGCATCGCCGTCGAGTTCATGGGGGAAGGTGGCGCGCTGAGGGAGCAGCGGGCGGCGTTCATGCGGTTCCTGGATGCGGATGGCGTGTGACCGGCTGTGATTAAAGGTCGTCGGACTGGCCGTGACGGTACCACCGCTGAGGTTGGTGCTTTCCCTGGTGGCGCTGCTGCTGGGGATATGCACACGGCCGTGGCTAGGTCGCCGTGCCGGCCCGTCGCCCATTTCCTGCTCCTCCGACCGTGACTTGACTCCCTCGACCCTGCGCTCTTTGATACTCTACTCCTCAATATCCCTTACGTTTGATTGCTCTCTATTCTCGTGTCGATCTAGACGTTCATTGATCGAAGATAGCTAAGACTGTAACTCGATTGAATTGCTGTTCTTGAATATGACGATTAATCTGTCTTGAAGGCGACTCAGGCTTTTCACTACCGGCTGTACACGCTCAAGTCCTGTAAAGCGCGTTGGATCAATTGACTTTTTTGGAATTGCTTCCTCAATTGATTCATGATATCATTCTGTTTGAGATGCTGTATGAAATCCGCTGGTTATGAGTTTAATATCGGTAATCCCCGCCACAGGAACTCCTAGGCTGCGGGTACCTGCCCCACTTAAGCAACCCCAGGTTCAAACCGTGAAAGAAACCCGTTAAGGACGGAGCCCTTCATTCTGTGCAACTACCCCAGTCAATCTCGGGCGGGGAGCTAGAGGGTATATAAGGTAGGTTGCGGTTGGGCCGCAGCTCCATGCTTGTGGTGATTGCCGAACGGGAAACATCCGCCATGTCCTTGAGAGCGATGCCCTTGGAAGCTGGCCGTCCGTCCCATCGGAGCGCTGAGGCCGTCCACGTATGTAAATATTAGGCAGACATTCATGGACGCCCGTTGCCATCCGGCCCAAACCTGTCTCGATTCCGACCGGCAGCTCCCGCAGTGGTCTGAGTGGTCCGCGAACAGATGCATGTCAATCCTTACCGTCCTTCGCAGCCTCTCCTGTCAGGCTCCCAGCGGCGGGATGCATTTTGTACTGCGTGCAGTCAGGAGCCTCAACCTTCTCTACGGCCTGCAGCCGTCCTAACTAGATGCATACAACTTAGGTCAGCAAGACAAGCTGCAACGCTCCCGTAGCAGTAGAGACGAGACTAAGAGTTTATATTCGGCTAGAGCACAGAGATGTGTATGGACACTGGTACAACAAAGGGAATCTCGCTTGGTAACACTGTCAGAGACGTTGTCTATTGAGCCTTGGAAGAGACGATCCCTGCATCCTGTTAGCTGGGGCTTACTTAGCAAAGAGGAAACAATCTACTCACTCTCAACATCCGCCACACTCTGCTGGAGAATCTGCTGCAGGACCTTGGGGTTTTCCAGCTCCTTCTGCACCTTGGCAATGATGGTCTGAGCAAGCTCCTTTTGTTGCCGCTGCTTGACCTGACTCTCGTACCGCACCCACGAATCCAGGACGTTCTTGGCCTCGGCCGCCAGGGCCGTCCGCTGCTCGAGTTCGTACGCCTCAGCCTCGAGCCTGGCGGTTTCCTGGAATGACATTAGCTTCTGACCCAACCGGCATCACCATACTTGCTCAAAATCTACCTTGGAAACAGCAAACAGCGACTTCGTCACGTCAATGACGCCAGACATCTGCTTGACATCCTCGATGCGCGTCTTGACCGCCTGAGTGTGGTCGGCACGGGCAGAGTTGAGGATGTTCTTGATCTTCTCGTTCTGCGCCTCGGCCCATTCCTTGTACACGGGGCCACCGTACTTGATGAGAGCACCCCAGACGCTGAGAAGGCAGAAGGCGACGACCGTCTCCTCGTTCATGACGTAGTACTCGTTGCTGAGCGCGTAAATCGAGAGACCGGCGGCCGACGAGAGGATAGCCGTCTTGGAAAGCAGGTTGCTGCCGGGGAGCGCATCGATGATCGACTGGGCCTTGGTCTTGGGATCCTGCGAGGGGACGTTGGAGTTGTGGCGTGCGGTGACGAGACTAGAGACGGCGGGGAGGGCGCGCGGAACGATGCTCGGTCGCAGGCGGGCAGCCCCTACAACAGCTCGCGGGTCAGCTCATGCTTGTTCAATTGGCAATCGCCTCAATTGGCCGCATGCAACTCGTATTGGACTCACCGACAGCACTTCTCGCTAAGCGCGACGCCATTGTGGGATGTGGAATATCAAGGTCTGGGGGGACTGCCTTGCGGTTTGAGGGGAGCTGCTGGAGCCAGATGCGAATTGAGGTTTTAATGGAATGCGTTGACCCGGCTCTTTGCCGTGGTACCTACGTCACGTGCAGCGCCATGTGCGAAGTTCGAACGACAGATTTCCAAATTCCAACAGTCTACAGATCCGGCTGGACCCACTTTATTTTTGCTGAATGGACTTATCGAACAAATGCGCAATTGGCACGAGGCTATCGAGAAGCCCAACAACACATTACGCATTGCCACCAGCGAGGATGTCTGGGACCGTTGGACAAGCCGCGGTTAGTGTCCCGGTCAAGAGGAAGCGTCTGGAGAATGGAGACCCGAGCAAGAAACGGAGGAAATCCGCGACCGACGATGACAGCGAGCCCAAGGCGCAAATCGAGAAACTCGAAAACGAGATTTTCGAGTCGAAGAAGCATTATAACAACATTGCGACCCTTATAGAACTTGGGCAGAAGCAGGATGAGGATGCCAAAACCGGTCTTGCTGCCGCCGACGCTCTATGTCGCGTCTTCATCCGGCTGCTTGCTTCCGGCAGCTTGGTGAAGAGGAGGGACGCTTCAGAAAAAGACCTCACCGTCACGAAGTGGCTCCGAGATCGTCTGGCAGACTATAGGGGCCTGCTTATATCCATGCTTCGGAATTCCAGGCTGGCCCTGAACGCTCTTATGCTCTCGATGGCTCTGGTGAAGGCGGAAGCCCTGCATCTTAATGACAGGCAGGAAGCAGTATTCCCACGATATTTCTTTTCCGACGTAGTTGCTGCTGTTTTTGAGTCCCTGGATGAGTTATTACGGGAAGAGCTTCTCAAGAAGTTCATCAAGCAGTATGACGACATTAGATTCTATACATTTGAGGCCATCAAGTACAGTTTCCCTTATTCACACTTATCGGATCAAAGCCTGTGCTAACAGCTACCAGGTCCTTCCTAACTGACAGAGGATCTTCTGTCAATGAGGACATTCGGAATAATGTGTTCCAGATGCTCCTCGAAATGGGGGATGTGCCCGACTCGAGCGGGTCAATGGAGCACTTCTACATCGAGCAGCCCCAGAGGAAGAAGCACCCCTTGCGTTCCTTGTCGCAACACAAAAAGCAGGCGCAAGAGGCATGGCTAGCCCTCATGCACTTGGGTCTGAGCAAGGAACAAAGAAAAAAGATCCTGGAAGTTATGGCATCCTCCATCGCGCCCTGGTTCACTAAGCCAGAACTCCTTATGGACTTCTTGACCGACTGCTATAACTCGGGCGGATCTATCTCACTCCTTGCGCTCTCGGGCGTCTTCTACCTCATCCAAGAGCGCAATCTCGACTATCCGGACTTCTACGTCAAACTGTACTCGTTACTGGACTCCGACATTCTCCATTCCAAGTACCGGTCCCGCTTCTTCCGCCTCCTTGATATATTCCTTGGGTCATCACATCTCCCAGCAGTGTTAGTGGCGAGCTTCATCAAGCGATTGGCCCGCCTAGCTCTCAACGCGCCGCCTAGCGCGATCGTCGTCATCGTGCCCTGGTTTTACAACCTCTTCAAGAAGCATCCACTCACGACCTTCATGATGCATCGTGTCCCGCGAACAAAGGAAGAGAAGGACTTGCTGGAGAGCGAAGGCATGGAGGACCCCTTCTTGCCGGACGAAACAGACCCGATGGAGACGAATGCAATTGACAGCTGTCTCTGGGAGATTGTGCAACTCCAATCTCATTACCATCCCAATGTCGCAACGATAGCCAAGATAATCTCGGAGCAGTTCACCAAGCAGTCATACAGTCTAGAAGACTTTTTGGACCACTCCTACGGCAGTGTAAGTATCTAGACAGCTTCATGACGTCGACTTACTGACATGGTCGTAGCTGCTCGAGGCCGAAATGTCCAAGGAGGTCAAGAAGCCTCCCGTGGTGGAATACATGATTCCGAAGAGAATTTTCACCAAGGCTAGACCGGACCCGGAGGAGAAAGACAGTCTCCTAGTTGGTCTCTGGAACTTTGGCTCTCCATAGACTATTCCCGGGCGACCCGGCGATATCCTGCAGTAAATTGGCGCTCACAACTCCTTCCCGTCTGCCTTGTGCACACCGCCTGAATGTGGCTTTGCACAGCCCGCGGCTTCTTCACTCCGAACCTGTCCTGGCAAACTCTTTCTGGAGGGCGAGTTTGACATGTTTGGCGGTTCTCTGCCGGAATGTGGCCAGCAGGTTGAAGAGGTTCGGCTTACGGATACTCAACCCAACCCCTTCCGAGTTCGGCAGGAACACAATGCAAAACTCGCTGGGCGCGGCGAATTTAGGAAAGGTTACTCCTGTCCGACCAAACCCTTATGTGGAACCCGGACTTTTCCTTAGACGGCCGACAGTCTCTTCTGTCAGTCATCTGGACAGTTTTTGTGCTATGGCGTATCCACGGAGCCTCTTCTGCGGTTACCATCCGTAGGGCAGAGCATGGCTTTGTGCACTCAACGAGGAAATTCACAGCCGCCTGGCAAGACTTAGCGTTCTGTTGCGCTACCCCTAGCTTGCACCAGGTGACGGTACCATGTAAGCAAACTTTATGCTGGGTCACTGTGGCGACTAAGCGTCCTCAAGAGCTTTCATTCTCGCAATATCCTATGCCTGTCTGAATGCATCTGCGACGTTACGCGTGAGTGCCTGATGTTCTGTGCGCTTGTCTCTTCCATCTTTGGCCGAACGATATCGCACAGTTTTCTCAGACAGTCATGCCTCACCCTATCTGTCGATCCACCAGATCCCCCTTGCACCACTCCGTAAACCAATCTGATCTATCCATCCCGCGACTCCCCAACCTCATCAAGCAGTCTATCGCATCGATTAGGCGTCAAGTGGGGGACGAAAACAAGGAGATGGAAGGATGCACTCTTTCATCTGGCGGTCAGCTTACAAAACCCCAAGACAAGCCGGCGCTCCGATTCGTAGTTATGCGGAGCTGTTTCAGACAGACAGCTGCTGCTCACGGGACATGTCGAGAGGAGGCCCAGCAAGCACATCTCTGTCGAGTGGTTCCGTGGGAGCATTCATCCTTCGATAATTATACGTAGTGTGAATAGTCCTCGTCCACCTGGGTGAAAGTGAGGCAAACCAGCGCCGAAACAGAGTACAGTAGAAATAATGGGCAAGGGAAAAGGGGTAAACGGAACGGAGAGGACCAACAAGCCGCCGGGATTCCGCAGGAATAGTAACATACGCATACTCACAGTAACCGCCATTGCTATTACAGTACGATGACCACCGGTTCCCAAACCCTCATGCATGTTCGCCGTTGACTCAGACATTCAAAAGCCCTTCCCCGTCCCACCGCCTTTACCACCGATTCCAAAATTATCCCCCCTACAGTACCTCGCCAACGGACCAACAGGCCTCATCCGTCTCAGCTGGGTCGCGTCTTTTGAATCCCACCGTGACCCGCTCCTAAACAAACCATCCCGAAGCCCTCGATCCCGCAGCCGAACACACATGCGTCAGTGTGCTTTATCGGCTTACACTAAAAATCGACGCGTGGGTAGGGTGTGTGAAAGAATCTCAAACACAAGCCAGGAAAGGAAGATCTTGACCAGGGGTCAACGAGGTTTTCAATGTCATGTCTCCTTAGCGTCGTAGATTGCCCCGTTGGGATCGGATCCCATCCCGAATAATCTTCACCGCTACTCGCAACGCCACATGAGAAAAACTGACGAGAATTGCAAGACAACCGTGAGAAGGGAAGAAAATTGCAAGACCCACCGGTTCGGCGCTTGGGTCGGTCTGCACTAGGTACGACGGATAACCCACAATATGACTAACGGAACGGAGTCATCTCTGGGTATAACTTCAGCCCTTCTGTAGCCAGTACTTGCTTACACTAGTTGTCTTTTACAGTATCGGGTTGTTCAGAAGCACGCTGTGTCTTGCTCCTTGCTCAGCTGGAACCCCACTTGAAGGCCGTTCTTTTCGATTGCGATCAAAACAAACAAAACATGAATGCGGGCTGAGCACGAGAGCCAACGCCGTTTGCTACTTGATCATGTCAGGTATATCCACTGTGTCTCCATCTGCCATCCTGCAGATTAGGCAAACAAGAATATGACGGGGGTTGCCAACGCCCCGATCGAGCTGCACAGTCCCCCGGCCCGCAGCAATGCCTGCACGACGCGCGAGGCTTGTGACCCAGACTTCCGGATCAGGGTGTACAAACCCGGGCCCGGGCCGGCACGAAACCTGATCTGGTCCAAGGTGGATAACCGTTCCCGCCGGTCTTAGGGCTCATTGCTTCGCTTCAGCAACGACGACTACGCCATGCACTTGCTCTCCTCGGAAGTCACAGCCGTGATGATAACTTGAGAGGTCTTCCGAAGAGATGGACTCGGATTTTTTCGGCGGTTGTTTCCTCACCCCAGAGCAAAGCAGATCGGATCGTGAAAGGCGCCGTCAGCCGAGGCAGGAACGAGAGGCTCTTAGCGCCAGCAAAACGGTACTGCAGCACACCATAGACCACGCCTCTTAGTTTACGCTTCTCCAACAGTCCCATAGGGATGGCGGTGGGTGCGAGACAGGCTCAAGCCACGGCGAAGCGAGTCAGTGATTGTGCCCATGGAGACATAGGAAGGCCGGTGTTCGGATGGTGTGCGTAGACGAGACAGCATCTCAGAAAGTGAGCAACTCGTGAGACTGCACACAACGGGAAAGTTGGTCGGCCTGAGACCAAGTCTGAAGGGTGAGTCAGTCGAACTACGAGGACGCGGAAGACGGCCTTGGGTCGTTCCTCCCGACCGCCCGATGCCACTGGTGAGAAATGCGGCACCAGGACCAGGGCACAAATAGAGACGAAGCTTCAAAGTTGGTGGCGAAGGCACCAGCCTAACGTCATCCTTTGACAAGCAGCCGGGACCGAGATACAGGCATCCACGATCAGGGGTGTATTGGCAAACCCAGGCCGTTGGGCAGGAAACCGAACCGTGATCGATATAGCAGCAGCTTTACAGATCTGTCCGATCTGAAGGTCCCGGCCGGTAATATTGGGCCTTAATCATACGGTACGGAGTTGGCGCTCCTAGACCAGGTGGCTCAAGGGTGAAAACCGACTATGTCTTGTCAAATAATTCCAAGCTGTCACAAGGAGCGTTGTAACGCGTATTGCCGCCTACTGTATGCAGATCTAGCAGAAACCACGAGGCCGCAATGCATTTCCCGTGCCTCTGGGATTTTCGGTTGAGGGAGGATTGATAGTTCCCAACACTCTGGAGCCGCGGTGTCAGGAGTGCTGATGTTGCTCGACATTTGATTCGGTTATCCCAATCCTTTCGGGACCGTTTGGCGGCAGACCGTGCTTGATAGCCTCGGGTTTGTGATTGGCTATGGGTAGTTTGGGCTCCGTTGAGTGGCCGCGTTTTTGCAACACGCTCACGGAAAGGTCCATTCGGCAGGTTTGCCGTAGCTGGTAAATCAAGCCGTGATCAAGAACGCCAGACAATCTGCCTATCCCATCGGACCGCGCAGAACAAGCAGATTGTCAATGTCGGGCGAACTGACATTGAGCAAGAAGAATTTCGGGCTGTGACCTGCTTGGAGGCAGGCGAATGATTATCCAGGGCGCCTAGGGCGGCATTTCGTCCCCAAGATCTCATCGTCAAGTCTATCACAAAGTTAGTTTGACTATTCAGAGTGTCTTCGTCCTGAGTGACTGTGACTTCGGGAAAGTGAAGTGAACTGTCGCAGGAATCATTGGATGGGACGGCTGCCGGCCGGAACTGGCTGTCGGACCTGACTGACACTTGACACCCAATCGGTGGGCACCCCTGGCGACCGCTTGAATTGGGTTGTCTCCCGTTCGCGCATGGTCTCCGACCGGCTCGAGATCCGACAGACGCGTTCCCTCGCGTGTCAGAAGACAGAAACACACCGACTCTTTTTGGGGTTGGGTATGGACGACGGAAGGCTTTTGTTTGGGTCAACATAGCGCGGGCCTCGGGATATGCGGCCAGGAGCACATCGGGCCTGGGCAGTGATGGCGACTGGTCAGCGGCCTCGCAGCAGCTGCAAGCGCTCCGTTCAGTTGACTGGCCCGAAGGTGACAGTGGAGAAAAGGAAGCCCTGGAGCGCTCCAACCAGCCACCACAATTTTTGGAGGGCGGTTTTTGAGTTGCCGCTTGAAAAGGGAAAAATGCATTGCAAAACAACGCGTGATGGAAACAAACAAACTTGATCCGTTGATGCTGTGTTGCTGGTGGCATCTGTGACCAGGCACGGAACCAGAGGAATGATCAGAGCAATGAGGAAGGAGAGTCTGAAGTGCTCACGTTACTATGAACTTATGAAGCACAAGTGGAGGCCCTGTATCCTCACGTGATTGCTCGTTTGGGGTGCGACCACCTTGGCTTTAGGTTGTCAGTGTGGAGTGTGCGTGGCTTGCACCTCCACACTTCTCCCAAGTCCTTCCACCAACTGTCCTGCGTGCGAAGTCGCTGAGCAACTTTTTGTCCATGACGGACAGGAGCAGAGCACAACCTGAAGGTGCCGCAAGCGCCTGGGCCCATTTCTTTCCTCTCTAGGCCTACCAAGATAGCTACCGCGATTGTCCCGGTGATGACGAGAACATGTTCGCAGATTCCTGCTTCGTCAACATCCGTCATTTGACGAATTTTAACTACATCCACCATACGCTCCTCTTATTACTGCAGCACTGCCGATATACACAAAAACTCCGTAGCTCTCGTCTGGCAGTTATCCGCAAACATAATTCTGACTGCCCCACGAGCGCGCTACTTCACCCATGAGGCCTGCTGCGGCGTGTCTCGAGACCTAAAACCACTGGTGAGTTGCCAAGACCAAAAAGCGTAACTATTCCCTAAAGCGCCGGCGTCGTCGTCTCTCTCGTTCGCCATCACAACCACCATCGCCCCACAATCCTGCTGCGCAATAGGAATTTGGCCGCCCAGTCGGATGGTGGCTGCTCGTGGTTTCACCGCTTACACTGGAAAAACGGGGGTCTTCGTTCACGGGGGTCTGCCTACCCACTGCTCACGGGGCTCGGGTCTCGGCTGAACCCTCACAAGCCCGTTTCTTAGGTGTGGTGGGAGCGGCTGCAGGATGCCTTTGGGTATTGATGCCCATCAGACCCATTTCTGCCCAACCTTCGCCAGGGCGGTCGTTCACAACCACTCCTTCTACCCAGTCCAATCATGAGAGCGCAGTGCGAAGCAGCCCACGTCCAATGCCCCCATCTCAGGTCGTCCTCACTGCTGCTTGGTACGCAGCCGTCTGGTTCCTGTTCCTCCCCCAAGTTCCAATTCGAATTCCTGCTTCTTCCCGATTAGTCTGATGTTCCGCGGACCCCCTGCCGTCGACACATCCACCGATGGCCCAATCCATGTCGGGCCACGCCGCGACGGCAGCGAGAGGCTCACACCCGGCCCCGGCGGGCGATCGCTGATTCGATCTCGGATAACACCCTTGCGCAACCGAAGCACTCTCGTTCTTCCTTCACAGTACTGGACTGAACTTCATGGCTCCTATTGGGAGTCAGAGGAAGATCGGCCGGGAGCGTTTTGGTTGCTCTGTTCTGGCCAGAGAGAACCGCTGCCGTTTGCTCAGGTGTTTCCTCCTCGCAATGTATTCGCTTAGTCACAAGAGGTCTCTGCTGGAAACGGAGGTAGGACCCAGGACACGGCAGTGTGCGACGTCCCGGTCTCCTTTGCCAGGAATACTTCTGCTGCCGGCTTTGATGCATATCCAATCCTGGCCCGAGCCTCTCTTCCCTGGCCCGTTACGCCCTGGCTTCTGAGGAGGCCTGGGCGTTTCTCCTTGTCCGACGACTTTCTCTTTCGTCGTCGGTTTTGCCGTAGGGCCTGAGGAAATGTACATAGTTACGTACCTTGAGATCCTGGTCCCTCCCAGTCTCAAATCGGACAGCTTTGGCCACACTCCCCGTCCCCTGCACCCCTCCCCTCTCTGGTAAAGTCTACGGAGTACCTATCGAAGAGTTCCCGCGCGGTCCTCCAGATCAATCAGGTCCTTCGCGACATCGAGTCCAAGTATTTCACCCTGTTGGAACCAGGAGACTACCACTCTTATCTAATTGGGCAAGCCTGGAGTACGTACCCAGGGTTCGTACCGCTATCCGCAAAGTCAGCCTGACCATCCCATCAAGTACAATAAGACATATAGAAGCAGGAGCAACCACCCCATCTGCTCTCGATCCATCCACAGTCATCCCATCACTGCCACTACCAAGAAGCAGCATTGCGACTGCTGGTCAGAAGTCTTCTTGGCTATTTGTTGCCTCTACCACCAAAGCCTCTCCTACCCTCCTCAACTTCGCTGCACACAGAGTTGCGGCCGGTGTGTTAAACGCATCGTTTCCAGAAGGACGGCAGCGCAGTGCGACTTACACCAGCGACAAGCGTGAGTGACATTTCTCCCACACTTGCTCTGTTTAAAATCCCCGCCGACCTCCCGCACCCCCGCTCCGGCGCATTCCCTCTTTCCCCCCCACCGCCTCTTGTCAACCAACCCACCCCATCCTCTCAACTGAGCACCCTTCGCTCTATTGCTGGAATCTGCCTCAACAAGCACCTCTCCATCACCACCATTTCCCCCCCAAAATCCAGATAAAGTCTGAACGGTAGGCATATTTCGTGAGGCTTTGCTGTGACCTTTACCTCATCGATCGCTCTGCTGAGCCTACGATTATATGCCCTGGTTCTGTCTCCCAGCCTTGTCCCTGTTCGCCCCCAAAAATAACAAGCTGTTTGCTCACCGCTTCCCGGGTTTTCTCAATCACTGACACCAAATATCAGGACTTGTCGAACCCACCAAAACATACCCGCTCACACACAACCCTTCAGTGGCCCATCATGGTCTCCGCATTTCAAATGCAGTCATATTACAGCAGGACACCGTTAACGGTTGACACCACTCATGCTCAAAAGTTCTTTGAGGAGGAGGACGCCAACATACTAGACGACAACATCCTGGACCAGAGTGCACTCGACTCGGGTTTGGAGATGTCGCCGCCCATGGTGGAGAGCAGGAGAGACTCCTTCACAGTTGCGCCCTCACTCTTCTCACCAAAGACAGAGGATTGGCAATCTGTCGAGATGCAATCTGTACCGTCAAACAACCCCTTCATCGATCAACACAGCAACAACCCCTTCCTGCGCATGGATCAAAACCAGCAAGCGGCATACCAAAACCATGCCTGGCCAATGACCAGCTCTGGATCCGCAACCCCTCAGCTGCAGAGCTATGATGGTCTACCGGCCATGGAGTACGACTCGACCAACCTCGCCATGTTCCACAGGCCGGCAACCATGCAGGCTCAAACACCATTCACCAGCCCCACCAACCCGGTCCCCATGTTCCAGCAGCTTGGCCATGCCGCACCGCAGTCTATCCCCACCTCGCCCCAGAAGGACCCCTGGATGACTCAGGATCTCAAGGGGCAGGCCATGAAGAGGCCGCGTCCCGCCAGTCCTATGATCCGCTCGCACAATGATCTGAGGAGAGGTGATGGCATTCGGAAAAAGAACGCTCGCTTCGACATCCCAGCTGAGCGCAACCTCAGCAACATTGACCAGCTGATCGCCCAGTCGACGGACGAGCAGGAAATCAAGGAGCTCAAGCAACAAAAACGCCTTCTTCGCAACAGACAAGCAGCGTAAGTTTCACCCGCCGCTTTTCGAAAGCTATGGGACAATATCAGACTAAATTATCTGTTGTAGCCTTGACTCAAGACAGCGCAAGAAGCAACACACTGAGCGTCTTGAGGACGAGAAGAAACAGTTCACCGAAATCATCTCCACTTTAGAGGAGACGATTACAAAACTCGAAGCCGAGTTGTCCAAGCTCGCCGTGGATAACAGGAACTACCAGTCCTATATCCACGAACTGGAGGGGAAGCAGGAGGAGATGATCAGCAGGCACACCATTGAGACGGGTGAGCTGCGGAAGAAGATCAGCGTCCTGACCAACCATGTGCAGACTCTTGAGGGTGCCGCCACGACCGCATCCGGCTTCGCCGGTGCTTTTAACGAGATGGACGGTATCACCATGGATGGCTCCTGGGATAACATGCCAATGTTTGGCGACTTCCCTATGGAGCAGCCTGCCGAGGTGAAGCAGGAAATGCAGATTGTCCCCGCCAAGAAGCCCGAGGTTACCCTGCCGACCGACGACAAGCCTGCCCAGCAAGGTGGGCTCCTCTTCATGCTCTTCCTTGTTGGCGCTTTTGTGCTTTCGAGCCGGTCGACACCCAGCATCCCGCGCGTCTCTGAGGATGTTCGCGCCGCGTCCGCGACCCTGTTGGAGAACGTGCTTAAAGATGCGGGTGTGTCGCAAGTCCCCTCGGGCCTCCAGGCCATGGCTCCGCAGCCATCGGGCCCCAGCTGGGCCCAGTCGTCCGGGTCTTCGCTGCCTATCGCCGCCGCCCCGATGGTCGACAACGTCGCGCCTTCGATGCTTGGCGATATGGCGGATGCCCTCACGCAGCCCACTGAGCAGCAGACCAACGAGCAGATCTTCTCGCTGTCAGCTGCGCAATACAATGACTTGACCTCGCAAGATTTCCTCCATAGTGCTCCGGCCGAAAGGTCTACGAGCCAAGGCAGACGCAATCTTGCCGAGGCTCTTGCCAGTATGCGCAGCTCGAACAAGCAGTCGGCTGCCGAGGTCTACACTCGGTCGCTACTTTGGGATCAGATCCCGAGCGACGTCGTCCGGACCTTTGCCAAGATGGTCGCGGAGAGTAACAACGCCGCGACCAGAGGCGAAGGTCAGGCGTAATGCCTTGATGATTCATGACACGTTTTATGACCATGATTTTCCACGACCCCTCCACGAACCAGCATGAGCATATGGAGCATGCACGGCCTCTCGAGCACTTCGTTTCTTTATTTGCGTCTTCGACTCGCAAAGCTTTTGTCAATTCACATACACTTGATCCGCTCCCGCGACACACAACAGACATCTCAGCTCACGCACCGACGGTTACTTATTGGCGACCTTGTACGGGACAGAAGTCGCACAGCCTTTCTGGGTTTTGTTTGGGATTTTGCCTTTGATTTCTTGCTTTTTACCTGGTTTGGCTTTGGGTTCCTGGAAAGATAGCAAGCGAGCATTTGCTTTTTGGGTTTTGATACTTTGGCGCATCTCCTAATCTCACGGTTACTGATTTAACCTCTTGTTTTGTATGGAATGGTTTTCGGGCAAGCCCTGCTATGGGTTCAGCGGGAGGGACACGGCGAAGGCTGGCGGCATGGGTTGCTTTTGTTTGGATAATTTGTTGGACAGGCGGCATCTCATGGCCTCTTTCTCTTCACCTGTGTACGCTGAGGAAGGTCGGAAATGTCTCGGCGAGCGGAGAAATCCCTCTCGACACATATACTGGCACGCATCAGATGGCATTGGGCTTGGGAAATTGGCTTGGGAACGGGAGTTTTGTCTCGCACACTGGTATCCTCTGTGGGAGGAAGAGCCCGCGAGGTGAGCCAGTTGCCACACATGTCTGACGACAATTCTTCATTTCTTTTGTGGAGCCATTCACTCCTTTTAGGCCTGCCCGTCATGAAACGGTCTGCAGAGCCGCTTTTTTGAACGGAACCTCAACTGTCTAGGGTTTTCGGACGAGTTTGGGGTCATTGATGAAATCTCGATCCCACTGTCCGACAGCCTTGCAGAAGGGGTACCAACCTTTTTTTTACCTTGTCGAGGCGCAGCCTCAGACCATCAAGCCGCCATTATCACTGGCTTTGGCAATAGATGGGTACTCTTCAGACACCAGACGCGGAGCACATACGGACAGAAGGGGAACTTGGACCCCGGCGGGAGAGCTTGGAACAGCCCCCCTGCTTGCGACATGCCCTGAAGATCTTGTAGCTAGGCAGACAGAGAACCATAGCAGGAACAGTATCAGACACCCAAACCAAAAACGAGAATCAATTCGAGGCAGTTCAATGCCCGTTCAACCATCGCTCCCTTGCTGCTTTCCCACCAACTGCACCATGGCATGGCGACATGCACATAGAGTAGTCTTCTAAGAGCACACCGCATACGCTGCATGGCATCATTTGGAAGAGCAGAACGACTCTACGTAAAAGCTGATTGCATACGAAGCCATCCCTGCCTTTGGCCAGGGGAAAGTGAGTCGTGGTGTTGTCTTCGTTTTCGATGGGGTAGGAATGTATCTGCCGTTGCAGAGCCCGATGATTCCGCTCTCAAGTGACTGACTGACCGAGCTTACAGGCGGGGAGGGTGGTACTTTGTGGGGTGGGAAGGAGGGTGGCACGCTTACCATACAGAGCTTGGATGTGATGACCTGGAACGGGAGTGACGATGACATGGTGGGACTAAGTCGGCAGTTGCATCTTTGGGGAAGATGATACAGTTAGTTAACCCTACCTAGCAGGTATTCTGGAAGCGAACGAGGTTGAGGTGCGGAGGTTGTATGGAATTCCTTCGCCATGTTTTGGGCGGTTCCTCTGGCGGATGAGCCTACTACTGTGACGCCTCCCGGACTTAGGCATTACTTTTGCTCGTAGGTGGCATACACATCACGGGCTAGCAAGGTGTAGGCAAGAAGGAGCGGTCCTGGGTCGTCCGACAGGATCGATCTTGTGCGCTAGGAAGAACCCGAATTCAGTGATAAAGCTTCGTTCAAGGAAAAAAAACAGGAAGGAACGGACGCCATTGGGGACTTGTACCCTCTGTTAGTACAGCCAAAATAATGTATGTAAAAACGGATCGCTCGACTACCCCTCTTAACATCAGGAGGGCTTAGATACCTACTCCATTTCCCTTCCAGTAGCGCTTCTGGTGCGCCTGAGCGAGACAGCTTGTGGCCGGATGACCTTACGGCTCACTTTCCAAGGCTGAATTCCATACACGGTGAATGGCACCTTACAAAGTTCCTCTGCCCCAAATGCCAAACCCTTGGTCCAGCCATGACACCCATGATGTAGTGCAGCCCTGCACGCTACCTAGCCCAGAATCGGTCGGGTCCGACATGGTCCGTTGCTCGTGCCGCCACCTCATCGCCCAGAGTCTCGTTTTCCATGTGGTCACCAATACTAGGCCGGCTAAGGAAGGTCGGAGAAGCAGCCGAAGAAGAATCTCCGATGCGTTCTGGCAGGCATTACTTTATCGTGACACTATCACGGCCTCTACAGGGTGTAGCTACCCAAAGCGACACTTTTAGAGGTCCCCAGACAACCGCCCCGAACCTGTCGAGCCGAGCTGGTGCAGTAAGGGGGATTGGGCATCGATGGAACCCAGTTGGGGTCTGGCCTGGCTTGGTCGACTCGCCAGCGGGCAGAGCAGTCTCCTTTCCGAGTTGATGTGATCACTTGAAGTAATGTTACGCTCGCGTTGTGTGCGGCTCTACTGAAATTGAGGGCGATGAAGGTGAGCGAATACATGCTCTCAGTCTTCCTCATAATTATTCCCTCTATTGCCTTACTGCTTCATCATAACGCAGCTTATTTGAGGAAGATGGATGGGAAATGTTCATGAATCGACTACGAACCCACGTGCCAGTACCGACGAAAACCCCTTTTCAAGACAGGGTATGACTAAGGGATTAAGTCCTGAAGATGATACGGGTGTTGGGCAACAGACGCTATACAACAGCGTAGTTTGGAGCGTCGCGAACATGCCGTGTGCGTACTACCGTAAAGCGCCGTTGAGCAGGAGTTTGAGAAGATTTTTAGCCCGCTGTGCAGCTCTTCGGGAAAAATCTAGTATTCGAAGCAGCGTCCCGGACCTGATAGAAGAGAATACTGGGCCAGCCCGGTACTGTACAAGTTTCATGTATACTTTTTGTCTTGCCACGAAAAGCAGTAAGAATGCCCGTGAGCTTGTGTAACGGGACCGGTGCTAGGGTGACTCCTACCTATGCCCTGCTCACCGGCGAGGCGATATTTTACTCGGTCAGACATCCCAGAGTCTCCGTAAAGCAAGGAGAACGACTACTTAGGTGAGAGAGCGCCCTGAATGTCCTCAAATGGCCTCCCCAGGGCCTTTGAATGACCTGAGTATCAAAACAGCCGATCCATAACCAGGCTTGTATACCAGAATCATGTCCGATAAGACACACATTCCCATGGCTTCATTAACCAACTTGAAAACTCCACGGAAAAAGCAGAAGAGAAGGGTGACGATAACCCTTTGCAAGCCAGTGGCACAACCCAATCCTCCGTTTTCCACCGATTGTCCCGTCTGCTCCGTAAAACCATTTCCTCAAGATACTTCCATTGACTCTGCTATACTTCTCAGCAGCGATGCTCGCGCATGCTGCAATGCCAGCCGGACGAAGCAGCCGCGGGCTGTTTCCGAGCCGGAGACTGACTCCACCATCCGTTGAGACTACCGGTATGGTTTCCCTCCTATCACGGCTTGTGAGTAAAGTCCACGAATGCCGTGTCATACCCCTCCGACGGCACGCCCCGAGAACCTCGCATTGCGTCCCAACGAACGGTTCAGTGGCAGTTACCTGTCCTATCATCTTGAGCGTCACCGAACGAAAATAAACCCAAACCAAAACACCAGGTCGCACCACTCACACTGAAACCGATCAGAAGGCTACCGATCTCATCTTTGCCATCTCCAGTCTGCTCCTGCCGAAGAGTAAACAAGAGTTACGACTTGGCACAAAGTGGCAAGTTGCGCTGCTGCCCAAAGCTTCAGGCCATCGCCCGACTTGGAGCTATGGAAAGTGCAAACTGAGACTTGTTGAGGAGTCAACAGAGGAAGGAAATTCACTATGAGAGAGGACTCTGATGGAGACGTACAGATGCAATACGGCATGGCATGAACAAGCAGGCGCCAAATCGGGGCTTCGGAATTGCTTCCAGAGGCCGGCAGACAGAAACCAACCGTAGCTGCTGCTTGAGTGTCTGCTACAGAATCGATCCTTCACAGAGGATGAGACTGTTTACAGGAAGAACATAGAGGAAAGGGAAGAACCGGCCGTCTGTGACGATTTCGACGTTGTTTCACCTAACCCATTCAACCTCCTTCATCACCCGCCTGGTACCTTGGGACCGACACAAGACTGCAGAGAAGAGTGCGGAGAAATGGCTGTGAGGGTGAACATGGTCAAACCCACCCAATCAGATTTCGACCGGACCGGAATAAGGGCAGGTTGAAGACGCTTCAAGTAAACTTTCGAGGAAAGCGATGCCGTTGCCATGAGGCATGATCAGTGGCGCCATACAATGTCCATTGTTCCCACTACCCAGAAATCCCGAAGACCCCCAAGTACGCCCCAATCATTATTCCCAATGCAACCGGCCCACTCTGCCGCTACTTCTTGCCGTTCCCTGGATCATACTTCTCCTTCCAGATCCTGAGACGCGAGAATGACGATCGTCAGTCGCTGCACCATACAAGGAGCGAGGAACAACGGCATCAAAACCATAAACAAGGACAGAAAACATAACAAGCCGTTGTGACAGCGGCAGAGGTGGCAGCAGTTGGTCTAGGGCCCACCAGGTCGCAGCAGCAGCCCGCAGCCAGGGGCCCAACCACTGAAGGGGGATACATAAACAAACAATGGACAAGAAACAGAAAATAGATAGGTAAAATAAATCAATGAATAAGAGAAAAAGGGAAAGAGAGAATGGGCGGCCAAAACACATGCCCGCACAGCCTATCATGCACAGTCGGCAAGGCGGATTCAATTTTCTGCACTTTACATCCGTCTCTCCTACTGGGGAGGGCTATGCGGGGGTTCTGTTCCGGACTGGGGATCAGAAAAGAAAAAATGGCTTGCTTACCAGCTGTTGCCCATGATTTTGTTCCCGTTCTTCTCGGCGAGGCGATAGTATCTGGCCGCTGCGAACTGTGACAAGGTCAGCCTCATGAGAGAGATCGCAAAGGGGGTTACAATTCAGGTCGCCGCTTGGCTCATGGCTGTGATTCGCCTTTGGTCCTAAAGCCTCATTGATGCCCAAACTTCCCGATATAGAAGCAGCTCGCAGCCGGTATCACTTGCCCGCTTCGCGGGAACGGCTCCGGGTCGAAGCACGAGCCACACCGACACTGGACAGCTGGCTAGGCGCTTTGTCGGGCATAGTCGAAAATGCTCATGTTGTGGAGTACGAGCTGTCATGAATGAGACAGAACTGACCTTGTCTTTTTTAGTGCCGAATCCTTCAAGATAGCACCATGCCACTTCATTCATGGCATCTGGAGGTGGTCAGCTTCGAGAGTCAGGCGCCAGTGCTGGACAGACGGCTTACCAGTATCTCCCAGGTTCGCTGCTGTCTCGTAGTACTGCAGGGCTTGAGGTCAGCATTGCAGTTCCGAGCTTCACTTCCCTGAAACCGACGACAGCGAACTCCTGATGGCCCAGAGCCAATTGCTTCGAGTCTGCGACGTTAGGAAACGGAAAACCCACCTGCTTGGCGGCTATTGGATCCTTTGGGATTCCCCATCCATAGCGGAAACAATTCGCCAATTCAAAGATGGCCAGAACAAGCTCTCCCTTGGCAGCCCCTCCTTTCTTGAGCCCTGCCTGGAGAGCGAGTTGCTCAATGTCGGCGGCATTGGATGCGGCTGCGGAGAGGTAGCTAACGGCCTTGGCAGTGTCTGGTTCGCATCCCCATCCGTGCCTGATTACAGCGTTAGACAATCTTCATTGGATGGGCCAGCCGTTGCGTGGCCACCGCAGAAACCAGAGCAGCGCATCCAGCGTGTGATGAACGCATCGCCAACGTGAGGGAGAGGGGGAAGGGTCGCACGACGTCCATACAGCCGCGGAACAGGTTGCCGCATTGGTGGCAAGAGCCAGAGCGCTCCCGGCCTTCCCAACGGCTGCCAAAAAGCAACTAGGGATGCACGTACCTCAGAGCGAGACCATACAGAACCTGGCTCAAGGGGTTATTGGTTCCCTTGGGGTCTGCCAACCGGCCAAAGAGGGCTGTCGATTCTTCCAACTTACCCTCCTCATGTAACCTGATGGCCTCCTGAATATCCTCGTCGACGGCTTGCGGGGGTACGGCCTTGGGGGCAGGAGCATCGCCACCAGACTGAGTGCTAAAACGCAGGTGGGGTATCACGGGTGGCGCGGAGGATGAGCCATGGACGGGGGTGCCGGGCCGGCTGCGGTTCTTTTCGTTCTCGCGGGCGAGCAGAGTGGCGCGCTTCTCCCACTGCGACTCGGTAGTGCCGTCCTTGTCCTCGTCGCCGCCCTCGGGCATCACAATCTCCGGCAGGTCCTGGGGCACGTTCTCGGAACTGGACGGGCTGCGGCTCAAGTGCAGGCGTTGCGACAGACGCTTCGCCCCCGAACCCTGGCCGCTCGACGAGGCTGAGGCGCTGCGGCTACGGCCGCTTCGGAACACGTCGAAACTGCGACGCGGCCGTGACCCGGACTTGGGGTCGGCCGACAGGAATGCGCCAGAGTCTTCATTATTGCCATTGCCGCTTGGCGGATGGATGACTTCCTGCGTGTATGTGTCGGTGCGGATAAAGGTGAATTCGGGAGTTGACTGTCCAGCTGCTCCCTCGTTCTCCGAGCCCTCGTTCTTCTTGAACTTGTCGCGGAGACCCATGATCGGCCGACGTGACAGAACTGGCAGGGGTACGGATAGTGGAGGTCTCAGATAAGCTGCCGTTTGTAGGCTTATAGCTGCTATATCTCCTTGGCGGCGATGTTGGTTGCTTTGGGCTCAAATTTGAGGAACGAACACCGGACGCAACTAAGAGTAAATTTGATTGAAAGTGGCCAGACTGATGACTACAGGCCTTTTGTTGGTATCTGAAAGTGCTCCATCCACGGCGCATCTTGAAAAGAGGTTCAGCTCGTCGATGGTTGCCTCGAAATTGGCGAGATTGGACGTTAGGTTCGTCTGAGCGGCTGCTTTGGGGCGGGGCAGTGCTCTCTGCTGTAAGAGGGGCGGAGCCCTGTCAAGGCGCCCCTGGCACTTTCCAATAGAGGACAGGAACACGGCGTCGACATCGTGGTTACCCTGTGAACTCAAAAGTACGAAGGAGCATCAGAGTGGAAACTACACTATAATGACAAATGCATCCATGGAATGAATTCCACCTTTTTTTGGCACAAGATGTGATCAACAACTGTGGTCGAAGTGGCTTAGGAGTTGCGGGACTGCGGATACTTTGGACGATTACAGGTAGTAGCACAGCGGTAGGTTACAATATGTTACCGAAATTCCCAATTTCTCATCAGCCAACCAAGATCAGACAAAGCCCGATTAGCTCAGCTGGTTAGAGCGTCGTACTAATACTGGTCCCACCTGTATATGGTATGCGAAGGTCAACAGTTCAATCCTGTTATTGGGCATTCTCTTTTGTTCTAGCACCTCCTCTTCCACGAGGCAAGAATAATCTTTGCATCTATTTTTTGTCTTCGTTTCCCAGGGGATGAAGGAAGCTTACTTGTGCAAAGCAACAAACATGGAGTGAATTCTGATTTCTTACATACACACATCACTGAATAACGGCTATGTCAAGGACGTCTGGAGGAAAGAGCCCAGCCGCGCACCGACCATGTTGGCCGGGTGATTGCGAGGGAGATCGTTGGAGCAGAAAACAATGAAAGCCCCTATTCGCATGGGACAGGGTTGAAGGCCGTACTTCGAGCTTTTTGGCGTATGCCGAAGCCGCTAAATCTGGAAGGCTTGTGAATAGTTGAAGGAGTCACTGCGTACAATTTCTATTCGGCTGGGCATCTGGAATTTTAACTGCAACCAGGCAGAAGACTACCCAATTCTTCCATTGTTTTTCGGACTCCTCCTAGGGCCAGCTCGGTGTCCTTAGACTCGACATTAGCCGCAGCACCACTGAGCGGTTCCCCTGTTCAGTTTCTTACAGCAAACAAATAAATGTGTACAAAACAACTTCATGGCCATGCAACGGTTGTTGGGCGTCGCAATGGAACCCGGAGCGCGGAAGATTGGTGGTTCGCCGGCCCGCGCCCCACACCGTCTCCGGCTCCGAGGGTGGAGCCCCCGGCACTAGACTAGACATACCACACCCATTGCCTGCCCACTCAGGAGCGCTATGAAAAGGTTTGCACCGGGTCACAACAGGTACGTGTACTGTACACCCAAGATGTAGCCCCTAGGACAGGTAGTCCACGCACACCCCTAAACAGCTCCAGACTTTCCAGGACGACAACATCGCTCGGCGCCCAACAGCGGCGGCGGCGGCAGCCCAACCAGCGCCCTCACACCTCGGGAACACGCTCAACAACTAGTTGCCAACAAGCCATAATCATGTCCCAACACCCAGGCAGGCTCAACCTAGATAGCTGCTGGTCTGGCCTACTAACTCCTTACGCTTCGCTACGCCATCAGGCAAACAGCTACTTGCGATAGGAACAACAACTGACTCACATTGGATGGACATCCAACCAAGCCGTCTTTCAATCCCACCCTAGCCTGTTGAGTTGGCCGATCCCGCATAGGGGCTGTATCTACCGGCCCCTGCTCCACCCCTACTTCATCCACCACTCGCTCTACACGTTGTCGCGCAGCCCAGCTGCTAGTTGCATTTACAGATGCCTAGCATCCATCTAGGACTATGCTCCTACGACATATGCGGGCGTATTAGCCCAATTTGCCATGTTGGTTGTTATGCTTCTACCTTCACCCCTTGGGGCACAAGTCCCAGCTAATGTTCCACGATATCCCGCCGGACGAGCCAGTGCACTGCAGCGGTGACCCTCGGCCCGACACACCATGTTTGTCTTGAGGTACGGTAGCCCAAGCCAGTCTCTGTATCCCGACCGGCACCCCTCCCGTCTCGGACCCGCATACACGCCAGCCGGAGCCATATCCTCCTCCCACCGTCTCCCGGTTAACCACATTGCCTCAATGGCTTCCTCGCCTTTCGGGGCGTGTCCGAGCCTCGGACACCGCGCTTAGGTAGCACTACCAAGAGGGCCCAGGCTCTCGCTCTTATTCGAGTGCAGTGCCCCCCTTGGTGATTACTCGTAGGGTATCAACATACGCGGAGATGATTAGGGGTGGCATCAACAGAACGGCACCCATCAGGACTTCTTGGAAAGGCCCTTGCGAGGTGCCGACCAAAGCCCGCTCTCATACACCTTGATACACCGTCCTACTTGCCATCACGGGCAGTCGATATTTCTCTCGGGCTTTGATTTGCCTTGACGTTACATGTTAGCTATTAGTACTTGCCTGCTGTAGCTATTGATTAGTTCCCACCATAGTGAAGTAGAGAAGTTAGAAGGAACGTGCTCGTCACTGTAACTTTAGATGTAATGGGCGTTCCATACTCGATAGATACTGGGCAAAAGACTGTCTCTTTTTGCGGTATAAGTATCTGTCGCACGTCAGAACGGCTATCCTCTCATGTGATCAGATATCCCTTTCGAGAGCATAAACCTTCATTACAAGCTGCGACGGCTTTCAAGGCATGTTCATAAGGTATATTCCACAATGTCATTCCTATTTACATTACCTCACAAAATATTTGAGGAACTACAACCAAAACCGTGGCATGCCAGCCTGGATTTTCCCGACACAGACCCTAGGAAACATTGGCAAACGTCCTCTTCTTCACAGCCTTCTTCTCCTTTTCGTCCTCCTCCCACGTCTCGTCCACATACTCCTTGACGCTCTTGTCGCGCAGCTGCATGCCCACGACCTTGAGGGCGGCAATGTTGTAGCCCATCTCGTCCTTTTGCCGGCGCAGCGCCGCCCGCAGGTTGGCGCGGATGCCCTCGAGCATGGCGCGCATGGTGCGGCTCGACACGATCTGCTTGTGGTGCGTCTTGAGCATGAAGAAGAGGATCCGGCACGTGAGCGGCACGTTCATCTCGCGCCGCGCAAACAGGTTGAGGAAGGTGAAGAGCAGGGGCACGGCCGAGAAGGGGAGCACCAAGAGCGCGTCGTGCAGCGCCGATGCCTTGATCCGCTGCAGCGTGTTGAGCACGTACGCCTCGGCCGACACGTTGCCGAGCGCGACAAAGACCGGGTTACGCTGCGGCGGGGCCACGTTGGGGTTCACCAGCCTCGCTTCCTCCCACTCGCGAATCACCGCCAGGTCGGCCATGCCTAGTTCCAGAGCTTCGGCAATGCGCTCGCCTGCCATGAGGGTCTCGACCGTCTGTTTGGTGGCTGCTGCGACTTCCTGGTTTTGGTCCTGCTCCTCAGGGTCCTGCTCGAGCGACGTGGTTAGGGTCGATTCGTAGAGCTCCTCAAGCTCCTTTTCACGCTCTTCCTCTAGGAAAATCTGCTCATCGGTTTCTTCCCATACGCGTATGCTTTTATCGTGGCTTGCGCTGACGAGGAAGGTGCCGCTGTGGCTCACGGCGAGGGCCCAGATCTCGCCATGGTGACCGTCGATGCGCTGAATTTGCTCAAACTTGTCGGCATCCCAGTACTTAATGGTGCGGTCCTTGCTGGCGCTGAAGAAGTGGTGCCCGTTGCCGTTCGAGTTGTGGGGTATGAAGGCCACTTGCAGGATACTGTCTTGATGGCCGAACAGCGCTTTGTGACAGTCGCCAAAATCCAAGCCCCATATCCGGATGTTTTTGTCGGCCGAGCTGGTGACGATAAGTTTGTTGTCATATGAGATGTCCATGCTGAGCACGGGTAGCTTGTGACCGTAGAGATTGAGGTAGAGCTTCAAGGTATCCGTGAAGAAGACCTTGACAGTGCTATCGAGAAGGGCGACGGCCAAAAGCTTCGCGTCAGGAGAAAACCTCAAGCTGAGGATGTCGTCAGACACTTTGAGTATTCTTGATTGCACAAGCTTGAGCTTCGGCGTTGTCCTGGTTGTGCCCAAAACCTGCTCTTGGACAATCTTGAAGTCCCAAAACCTGGCTGTCTTGTCGGCACCGCCCGATACCACGGATTTGCCATCCGGGTGGACCTGCAGCGCCCATATCGCATGGCCCTCGTGCGCGGCAACAGTCTCAAGCAAAGCTGCCGACGCAACATCGTAGAGCTGGAGCTCCCCCTCCTTGGTCCCAACCACTACCACCTTGTCACCTGGGAGGAAAGCACAGCAGAGGGCATAGCCACACTCAAACGTCCGAATGCATGTCTGCGTCCGAATATTCCATATCTTCAATGACCCGTTCGCGGCAGATGCCAGCATCGTGTCGTCGGAGCTGATGGCTACGGACCGAATATCGGTTCGGTGCCCCGGAAGCTCGACGGCCAGGGCCCTGTTGTAGTCGGGGACATCGCCCTTTGACTTGAGCTTGTCTTTCCCAACGATCGAATACAGCTCAATGAGGTTGTTCGTTGTTCCCACAAGCAGCTGGAGGTCCTTATTCCCTTGGTTGTTGGCCCAATCAACCGACCGGACTTTGCCCGTCGTCCTGAGGATGACGTGTTGCACAAATACGTCTGAAATGTCGGCCGTGGTAATGTCGTCAACTTCATCATTGGCATGATCCATGTCGACATCCCCGTCCGCCTTCTTGTCCTTGGCTAGCTTTTCCCGCCTCCTCCTCTTTTTCCTGGCTACGCTCTTCTTGATTTCCGCTTCTGTTCGTATCCGCCACACTTCGACTGACTTTTCTACGCCGTGCACGGCGAAGTAGTCGTGCTTTGGGTGAAAGCAGACTTCAGTCGCCCTCTCCTTGCTCTGCCGGTGCAGTGTCCCTCTGTTCTGGAGGAAACTGACCGGCTGTGTGAGGTCAACCTTTTGCGCCGACGAAGCCAGAGCAGCAACGTCTAGCGCCCATACTGTCATCTCGCCGTCGTTGCCTGCCGTGACACAGCCGGAAAGGTCAGGCGAGACGCCCAGGGCCCAGCACTCGCCGTTGGTTTGCGCTACATGTGTCTCAATGCAGTGACGCGAAGATAGATCCCAAAGTTTAATCAGAGCGTCTTTGCCCGTTGTCAGTAAAAACCCCTCGGCTCCCTCAGCGTCGACGGCCATCAATGCCTGCTCCTCATCCTCGCCTTCAACTGTCGGGTCCGGCTCGACAAAGTGTAAGCCCGTAATCTGGTCCTTGTGTCCACGCAATTTGTACTGCCCCACTTCGGCGACGAGGTCCCAGATGATCACATCGGTGTCCTTGGCGCCGCTGGCCAGGCGCACGCCCGTCTTGTCGAAGGCGAGGATGGTAATGGCCGACTTGTGTCCGTTGAAGCTCACCACGGCTGTAGCTATCTTGCTGTCCCAGAGACGGATGCTGCCATCCTCGTAACCCACCGCAAACACGTCTGGATCTGTCCGGCTCTGCGCAATAGCCGTCACCTTTGCCCTGCAGTTCTCATCTTTCCACCGGCCTAGGAGCTCGCCCTTCTTGATGTCCCAGACCAGCACTTCCTCATTTGCACCAACAATGGCCTGCCCCGCGCCAGTGCCGGCAGCTGTCTTTGCTATGGGCCGAGACCAGACGAGGTTTGAGTTGCTGGATGCGACGACGCCGAAGGACTTGGAGGGCTCGAATTTCCTGATGTGGTCAGGCGGGTGGACTCAACGAGAACTCTGATGTATTCTGGGCTTACAGGTAGGATTTGACCATGTTGTCGACCAACGGCGGTTACTTGACACTGTGATTACAGGCCCAAAATTCGCAGTCTCAATGGGTCCTGGCGCGTGGTGAAGGCAAGCACGTAGCAGCATGTGCTTCCCTTCCCAGAACTTTTCTCTGGCTACGATAAGATAAGGGGGTGGACGTGCAAATTGTATCCGCCACAACGAGGGGATGCTGCTGTGGCTGTTGCGGGGCACTCAGCTCAGGGGTCAGGGCCCTTGCCTTCTCTTTGGCCCACCCAACCACCAACGTCAGCTCTTCGCTTGCTCAGTTCATCCATACAGGCACCACCCTCTGCCCCACTACAACCGCCGACAGACATCCATCACTTGGCGCTTGACTACCAGACCATCTTTCTCTCGGATCAACGGGCGGACGATTGAATTGAAATACAGTTCAAAATGTTGTTGCTAGACTATCAAAATGTACTGATACAATCGGTGCTCACAGAGCGTTTCTCTGGGTGAGTCCTCAAAGACATCCGCTACCGTCCGTTGACAGTTGCTGACCCCTTCGATGCAGAGCGCCGCCCGTGTCCATCGACCAGACTGTATCCGACTTTGACGGCGTCATCTTCCACATTTCTACCCCCGAGACAAAGACCAAGATCATGGTGTCGATCCAGATCCGCTGCTTCAAGGACCTGGTGCGCTACGGCGCCGAGGAGGTGCTCAATCGTGAATACGGGCCCTACGTCGTTCCCCCGGAGCCAGGATATGATTTCTCAATTGTGGTGGACCTAGAGAGTTTGCCTACGGACAAGGGTTAGTATCCTCCCTTCCTTTTCGCGGCCCCGTGCTCCCGCTGAATCGCGCCGTGATCATCAGAGGCACGGGACGAGCTGGTCAAGAAGATCTCGCTGCTGAAGCGCAACGCCATGGCCGCACCCTTTGAGCAGGCCTACGAGGAGCACTACCGTCTCAAGCAGGAGGCTTCCAAGTTCACATCCGAGGAGGCTCCACAGGGCGTGCGCGAGGGCGGCGAGGTCAAGGCGATCCACTACCGCGAGGAGGAGGCTATCTACGTTAAGGCGAGCCACGACCGTGTCACCGTTATCTTCAGTACCGTCTTCAGGGAAGAAACGGACCGCGTGTTTGGCAAGGTCTTTATCCAGGAGTTTGTCGACGCGCGCCGGCGAGCTATCCAGAATGCGCCCCAAGTACTGTTTCGTAACGACCCGCCCCTGGAGCTACAGGGCGTCCCGGGGGTCAAGAATACTGGCACTGGCGAGATCGGTTATGTTACCTTTGGTAGGTGGACCTATTTAAGATGTGGCAGAGCCTGCGTACTAAGAGGGACAGTACTTTTCACGCGGCATCTCACCCCCCAGCGGATGCCCGACGTCATCTCGCATATCCAGACCTTCCGCGACTACTTTCACTACCATATCAAGGCTTCCAAGGTATTTCGCTTATCTGCTTTCTATACTCCGGTTACCGTGTCTAATCCGTATTCAGGCGTATATTCACTCCCGTATGCGACGGCGGACGGCGGACTTCCTCCAGGGTAAGCGACCACGTGCTGCGTGCCACCTCTCGCTTCTAACGGTATCGCAGTCCTCCGCAGAGCCAGACCAGACCACGAGGAGAAGGAGCGCAAGACAGCAAGCGGGAGGACTTTCAAGGTTGGGAGCTGAGGCGTTCTTGCAGCGTTTTGCAGGAGTGGCCATGGCCTCATGTCGGCGCGTTGTGCATAGGCGCCAGCCGAAGGCGAAGACGGTAGCTCGCGGTACAAATGCAATGAGGTTATTGCCGTGCATAGGTACCGTTTATCAACGCCGAAAAGGAAGCACATGGGGTAAACAGTCTCATTCACGCTATGCTGGGAAGTTACCCTCCCCCTTCCTTTGCACTCTCATGTCGGCTCAGGGGCAATATCCGATACAAGTAAAACAAACACAGACTCAATCCAAGCATCGCAAATCAACAAAACCTTCTTGCTATCAACCCTTCCTCTTCCTCCGCCCACTAACCCATATAGCTCAATACGACCACGGCCTCGCTTTGTATCTGGGGTTCTCCTCGGGCGTCTTTTCCATCGGCACCTCAACCTCTTCGGGATTGATATACCACGACGGATCGCCTTCGGTCTGGGTAATGCTCCTTCCGTTACCCAGCCAACTCAATCCATTCCCCTCCTTTTCGCCCCCCTCGTACTCCCAATCCTCCCACCTCGGGGATCTCAGCGCTTCGAGGGCATGCAGCGTCGAGCCTGGCCACAGCCCCACGATCTTGCCGTCGCGGCGGTACCAGCTGCGGCAGTTGTCCTGGTAGACCGTGTTTTCAAAGTAGGCGTCGACATAAGCGGTGAAGTCACGCACGCGCGCCGCCTTGGGCTCCATCGAGTCGTAGTCCTCGCGCTGCAGCTTGCGGATGGCGGCGACGATGTAGTCGGCCTCGGCCTCGAGGATTTTGGTCAGGCTGCCGAAGCCAATGGCCGAGTTGGGCCCAAACATCATGAGGAAATTGGGGAACCCGTCGACGGCCAGCGACAGGTACGACTCGGCCCGCGCCGACCACCGCGCCGTTAAGGGTTGGCCGTTCCGGCCGAGCACGGGGAAGGGCGGTGGTGATGAGACGTTGTAGCCCGTTGCGCAGACGAGCACGTCCACGTCGATGGATGGTGATGTGCTTTGCGACTGTGCTGCGGCCACGTCGACGCCGGACCGGGTGATGCGCTCGATCGGGGCGCTGATCACCTCAACGTTGGGCTCCAGGAGGGACTCGAGGAAGCCCTTGCCGGGCGTGAGACGGCGGCAGCCGGGAGCAAAGGAGGGGATGAGAAGGTTGATCAGGTCGGGTCTCGTGCGCAGTTTGTCGTGCATGGCCTTGTGAAAGGCGGCTTGGCCCTCCTTCTGCAAGGCAGTGCCACGGATGGTGCTGTCGTGGACAAGGTTGCCGGTCGATTCGAAGACCTTGCGGAGTTTGAATAACTCGGCTGAGTCCGTGGCGAGTTTGTGGCGCTGTTCCTCGGAGACTGATGATGGCTGTTTAGAGACCGGCGGAGAGTGGGAGGGGCCGTAAAGACAAACTTACAGGCTGTATTGGCAGGGTCTAGCCCCAGCTCGATCATGCCATCGTCTCCAAAGGCTGACGAGATCCAGGTCGGGGAGCGCATGAAGCACTTTAGGGAGGCGCCTTCGACCTTTTGAAGGCTAGGGATGATCTGGATGGCGCTGGAACCGTTTCCTATTATGCCGATCGTCTTATTGCGGAAGTCGTAGCTAGGAAAAAATGTCAGCTATGGTCTGGAAGCCGGTATACGAGATGAAGGGTAAGTCCTCACGTCGTGTCCCAGTCTCCCGAGTGCATCATTTTCCCCTGAAAGTCGTTTAGCCCGGGGATTTTGGGCCACGATATGTCGTTGAGCTGCCCCCTTGCTGTCACTAAGACATGTGCTGCATCCTCAAAGGTTTCCCCGTTCGTACGATTTCGGACTCTTATTTTCCTAGATGCTCGTAAGTCAGACCGGCCATTTTCTAGGAGAAGCTAGATGTTGGCAATTTCAGGAGGATAGCGGGCTGCTGACCATTTCTTCTCAGCATCGTCCCATGTACAGCCCTCGACCATGTGGGATGTCTTGATGAACCTCGTGGCGCCAAATCTCACGGCAACACTTTCGAGATACTGCTGGATTTCGCTCCCGGGGGCATAGAGATTACTCCAGTGGGGGTTAGGGGCAAACGAGTATTGATACGAGTGTGCTTTTTCAGGCTGGTCAGACTGGCTGAGGAAACGATTCAACTGCCCAGGGTCACTTACACGGGATATCACAAGCAACACCTTCAGTTTCAAGTCAGTCTCTCTCCGACGCGTTGAGTAAGTCAAACATCCAACTTACCGGGATACTTATTTAGCCACCACACGCCACCAACCCGCTCGTTCTTCTCATAGATGACCAGCTCCACGTTTCGCAGCCTCTCTGGTATCCTGATAGCGGCCAAGATACCCGAGAACCCAGCTCCAACAACCACCACTTTCAGCGGTCTCTGGTTCTCGACGGGATGGTCTTTGATCGTAAATTCTCCGGCAACATGGCCGTTGGAGTAGCCGTTGGTGTGTCCGTTGGAGTAGCCGTTGGTGTAGCCGTTGGTGTGGCCGTTTACAGCCGCCATGTTTACTAGTACTCCTGGCTGTCAAGCTTTCTCAAGCACGGCTTGTTATCGGACTTGGACAGTGGAATACAACGCAAGAGATGTTGTTTGTGCCAACGAGAGTAAACCAAGGGGCAATACTGAGGCGAACACAGGCTACAACGGGATCGGATGTACCAAGCAGTGCTTCGCCCATTTATATGGCACCATGCTGGTTTGCAAGCCAGTGATTACGTGACTACTTACCAAGTGAACGAGCTATGATGGGCTCACTTGAACCCATATGCATCCACCAGACTGAAACAAATAACCGGGCATAATACCCGTTGGCATGGCTCGATCCAGCTGCCGGGTGTACCAAGCGGCGGGGCCTGGAGTAAGGGGGAGCATCGAGATGTGGAGTAAAGGTAAGCAAGGCAGCTTAAGGTGTGTATGTACAGGACTAAGCACCCGAGGCAGGCTTGCCCTATCTTTACTGACCGAGACGGGTACACTGCCGGTACATGGCTCAACCCGGCGGTACCCGTTCGCAGCTTGCATGGTCTGCCCGGCGACAAAGAGGGAAGTTAGGTATCGTTCTCCTATACGCCGCCATCGTCCTACACTTAGTGAGGCAATATAACCCCTCTGGCACAACGATGGGTTGCCGAGACAAAGCTGGGCCTCGAGGAGCAGTATTCTTCTTCGTAAGTGGCTTGCGGAGAAAGGCATGAATAGGAGGGGTGAGGGGAAGGGTAATGGTCACGAGAGGCAAAGGAATCCATGACGCTGGAAAGGTGGGAATACTTGAGGAAAACAGTTACCGAGTCGTTGGCAACGGTTCCGGATACCGTTGAATGGTTCCCCATCTTGTAAGACCCACGACTGATGCCCGTAGCGCCATGCAACCCCAGATTTTGGCCAAGCTGCCAAGCTTCCCCGCAGAATGCTGATCTCATCGGCGTATCGTTGGTAACTCGAGTGCCGTGGACGGCAAAGCACACCCGCCCGGGTTGGTGGACCCATAGATCCATCATACCGTGACCTATAAGAGTGTAGGGATATGCGTGTAAGTGATAAGCCCTCCAAAGTTCAAAGTTCAATGCTACTACGTAGTACACTGGGGCACAGGATCCCAGGCTTAAACATTACATGATTCTTCATTGATTAACTATGTGTACTTTTGCCTCTATAATCCGACACGATGGCTTGATGCACCATCCAGCTTTACACCAGCCTCGGGCGCGGCCAAGCGTCAAGTTTCATGCCACAGTCCTTTGTGGCTGACTCTGGTATTTCCCTAGACAGTTTGCTCAAACACAGAATGGGTATCGATGCCAACAGACGATGCAGGTAAGAGATGAAGAAGCAAAGTGGCCGACGGGGCGTCCGAGGGATGGAGCATCATAGCTCGATGAAGTCCCTCTGCTCCGTGAAATCGAGACCGCCTGTCTCGTCCTGGCCGATGAACTCGTCCACCTCGTCAGAGTCTACATCGTCGCTGTCGATAGACTCGCCGTCATCCTCGCTGGAGACGTCTTCCATCTCGTCGTCATCATCAGCCTTGGCCGTGTCTCTACCGCCTGCACTTCTGCGGAGGACGCTTGCCCTCTCGCGGTGGGGTAGCTTGCACCCCTTGATTCTACAAACACCCGTGTTGCTGAAGTCGGGGCATTCGAACGCGTGCCGATCCGGGCAGCTGGCGCCCTTGTCGCAGTAGCCGTACAAGCCAAAGGCTCGGCATACTGGAGCTGCTGGAGACACTTTCACGTGAGCATACTTGCAGTCAGGCTTGGTGCAATTGTCCCGGGCAAAATGCAAGCACGTCGGGGTTCGCTCGGGAGTGGGGTCATGCGAAAGATCGCAGTGCTCCCCGTTGAGACAATCACCCTGTTGTAAAAAGTCCTTGCAAATAGCAACCTTGTGCGGGTCGTGCACGTAGCGGCACCGAGGGCCTTGGCTGCAGGAACCTGTCCATCTGTTAGTGAGTCTCCGCTGGCTTACCGAAACCCGGTCATTTCGACGTCGTCGAGGGCGTCGGTCGAGGAAAATGGAGTTACCCGTCATGGAAAACTGTTTGCAAGGCACGTCGACCTTCTTGACGGCGCCCGATTGTCTGCCAGATGCTAGGGTCAGTCGCCCACCCCACTTGTCCCGGGAGACATACCGTTGCGCTTTCACAATCCCGTGGCGATAAAGATTACCGTTCTTGCTTCGATAGAACTTGACGCCCCCGATCACAGCCACCTTGGGAGTGGCCTTTGCCGAGTTGCCATCGCCTATGTCCCTGTGAGCATCCTGAGCCGGACCTGCCAACAACCCTGACGCACCGGGAACTTTGATAAGCTTGCTGCCATTCTTGGCGACCACGAAGCGGACGCCTTGTACGGCGATCTCGTACTTGTCGGCTGCGTTCTGCGGATTAGCTGAGCCAAAACCGGGGCGATCTACCATGCGACTAAGGTGACTGATCAGCTTAGCCCGCTCCTGCTTGTTTTTGAGGGCAAGCTTTTGCCGCCGCGTCTGCTCCAACGCCAGTGTCCGTGCGGGCACCTCTTTGTTATAGACGGCCGAGTTTATGAGCTGCAAATGCCGATCATTTTTCGTGACCCATGACGAATTCGAGGCATCCGAGGTAGCCCCCGAGTCGCCATCGCCGGTTTGATTTTGCTGAGATGCACCCTTCAGTACGAGGGTCTTGTTTCGATATACGGGTATCCGTGCGCTGTGATGGCCGCCACGAGGAAATCCGCCACGGCGCCATGCTCCCGAATAGCCTGCGTCTGGGAAACTGTCAGCTTCGGCACGGTAAGGATGTAAATTCTGCGTTGCCATACTGTGACGCGGTCGAACAGGCGGCGCAGAGTCGATGCCCGCCTGCTGGTTCTTGTGGCGATTTATCTGGCTTGCCAAACGGGTGATCTTTTCCATCATTTCTCGATCTTCGGCCGACATTTTGGCGACTGGAAACAAGCTCTTTTATCGACGACGCGGAATTGTTTAGACCAGGAAAATAAATGTCGAGTCGATAAGGTAGAGTAGTGGGACGACGTCTATGAAATGCCGTGCGACGCGACTGTTGAAAGAGGAAGTGCGATAATTGCCGTGTCGGTGTGCGAAGAATCCGAGGGTCTGGTTTTTAGGGAGAGAGTGAATGCGGTGAAGTCGGGTGGTGGGACAAGAGTGAACAGGCCTGCGTCATTAGAGGCGTTCTAGGGATAGCTAGCGCTAACGTTTAGGTAAAGTTAAGGCATGACTAAGCGGGGCCAATTGTGTCAGCAGCTAACCTACAACTCAGAACGTTAAGTGCTCCCGAGTCCTTTGTCAACGTTTCAAAGGTTCCATTTGCCTCCTACTCCTGCCAACTCAACTGCACAACAGCAGTTTCAATAAACTGCAGGTTACGGCAACGACATCGTTTTCTTCAAGATGGCCGATCAACCCCAGATAAAGCCCGACCCTGATGCGGGCTCTCCTTTCATGGACGAAGCGCTTGACGAAACGCCCGACCTCGATTTCTACGACAAATTGCCCGAAGCGGATAAGTACAGTAAAATGTATTTGGCCCGCCTTCCGACTTATGTGTGGCAAGCCTGGTCCAAGCTGGATGACGATGCCGAGATTGAGATTGGGAAGATCCGTCAGTCGACTGACAAGGATGGGAAACTGGTCAGTCTTGTCGAGCCTTGGGGGTGCTGCATTTCGCTGACATGGGCCCCGACTTTCTCAGAAATTGCAAATGCTCCTTAGATCAGATCTCGCGGCACACCAAGGATTACCAAAGGAGTATAACATGGACATTGTAAACTATGATGTCCATAATACCTTCATCTTTACCGAGCAGGATCTACCCAGTTTCGCGGCAAAGAACAAGGAGAAGGCCAATGCTCTCGCCCAAGGCATACCTGCCCACCTCTTGCGCAAGCAATACAACAAAACTGAGCAGGCCCCCGATACGGCGAGGAAGGGCGCCCCTTACGGGCGCCGGCCAATTCCAAGTCAGTTTGCCCCTAGGCCCTTGCCTCAAACGATGTTGCTGACCTCTCGCGTCAGAGAAAACAAAGATTGCAGGCAGGATCAAGCATGAGGTGATGTGTACCCCCGTGCAGAATGCCGAGTCGGATCTCTTCCTGTGGGCTCGCACAAGGAAATCGCAAGATCCCGAGAGGACGGTCCAGATCTTCGAGCGTTTGCCGGCTCAGGGCGTCAGTGATGCGAAAGAATGGGATAACTTCCTTGTATGTGGTTTGCTTGCGTACACCGCCGCGCTCTGTCTAACGCATGAACAGAAAACCAAGGAAAAGCCCATCAAGTCGAAGAAGCTGGAAAACAAGGCAACCCGTTGGCCAGAGAACAAGCTCCTGGACGAAATCGCGAAGTGCTTCTCGCAGCACAAGTACTGGTCTATCAAGGCGTTCCGCGGCAGCATTCCGCAGCCCGAGGCATATCTCCGGGAAACCCTGGACAAAATCGCCGTGCTTCACCGGACTGGCACCTTTGCCAACCATTGGTCACTCAAGCCTGAATATCAGAGCATGGTGGCCTCACTTCCCAAGCCTGCAGATGACGCGGCGGTTACAAAGGCCGAGCTTCCCTCAGACGACGAGGATGAAGAGGATATCAAAATGGAAGATGTCCTTTAGCGGCCGGGTTTAGCGCTTTCTCCTAGAGGACAGGGTTGGGTTTGATACGACGTTATGGCAGATGACATTACAGGGAGGGTTTCTGGGAAAGTATAGGTCATAGATACCCTTTGCATAAGAAAACCAGACAGCATCTAATGCGAGATCTGTTGCTGAATAAAGTACGATTCAGGGTGAGGCTATTTCTGACAGCCCTGAAGTTGGTGTGATCTGCCTGCTCCTTTCCCGCCCTACGACTGGCAATGGTAAAATAGACTGAGAGTCATCTCGCAATTGCGGTCATTGACGACACTTATGCATGCGGCCAGACTTGTTTTCATGACAAATGTGGGGTCAAGGTCAAATAGTACTTTTACGCTTCAAACATGTTCGGTGCTTCACTTACACTCCATCATCCATCCGCCTTTCGTCGATCTCTGTTGACATCAAACTAGTAATTATACACCTGGGCGTCCCATCCCACGACATGGTTCACTAAAACCCTTTCTGCAGCCAGCAAGCAAGTCTACGCCTTGATAATCAGAAACCTAAGTCAGCAAGTGGAATTTCAGACAACTAGACAACAACACGAAGCCCAGACAATATAAGAGCACAATGGGCCTCATCCTCCTGGATTTCGACGGCACCATAACGCAGCACGACACGCTCGATGCCCTCGTCTCGCTGGCCATCGCGCATTCCCAGGCCCATCATTCCTCCGCCGCTCACCCCAACACAGGTGGCATTAGCACCAGCACCAACAGCAGAAGCAGCAGCGACGAAAAAACCGCCGTCTGGCGGGACATAGTCCGCGAATATGTGGCCGACCACGAGGCACACGTGGCAGCCTACTCGCCGCCGGCGCACCTCCGCGACACGCTTGCGCAGGAGCTGCTCTTCCTCGAAAGCCTAGGCGCCGTGGACGAGCGGTCCGTGGCCAGGGTGGGCAAGGCCGGGTTGTTTGCGCGGCTGGACGGCGAGCAGCTCGAGGCGCTGGGGCGGGGGGCTGTTTGTCCTTCTCCTTCATCATCGTCCTGTTCTTCTTCTGATGGCGATGGTGGTGAGAACCGGGGGACGGTCAAGCTACGGAAGGGGTTCGGGCGGTTTGTGGAACGGATGGGTCACGGTGGGGCGGAAGAAGGAGGGGGAAAGGGGAAGGGGTGGGATGTTGGCATTGTGAGCGTCAATTGGTCCGCAAGGTTTATCAAGGGCGTTGTGGAAGCCGGGTGCTCTGGAACTCAGACGGGAGCACAACACACTGATCAAGGGGGGCGGTTCAAGTTGGTGGAGAAGCGGATTGTCGCAAACGGCATTCGATTCCCTGGCGGCGAGGTCGAGGGGCCTGCGGAGTTGGGCGGGGCGCCGTTGCTTACGGCTGGGGATAAACTACGCGCGATGAAGTCGTTGAGGCAGGGGATGGAGGAGGAGATGGTGGTGTATTTCGGCGATTCGACGACCGATTTGTCGTGTCTGGTCGAGGCAGACTTTGGTGTGGTGATGGCTGACAACGACGGAGACAGTAAGCTCATGCGGACGCTGAGGAGGGTAGGGCTTGAGGTCTCCCATGTGGATGAGTGTGGCGATGGCACCGGGAAGAAGTTAGCCTGGGCAAGGGATTTCGAGGAAGTGTTGAAGAGCGGCGTGATAGAGAGGATTGGGGGCACGGAGGCCCAGGGTCTGGCACCAAGGGGATCAACCTGATGTCCATGTGTACCTTCACGGCAAAAAAACCTCTCTTGCAACACTCAAGTCTTACTATGGTTGAGGACAAGCGACCTCATACCTTCAGCGCCTAGTACGACCAAACAGACGGATACGGAAGTCTCGCCTCTGCTGACCCCGTCTCAACAGCGTCCTCCGCTTATGGGCTGCCTGCGGGTGATTTTTGTTCGCACAAGCGCTGCGGGCAGCACAGCTGTTCCGGAAAACGGCAGATCTTTAAGCTAGGCCGCTGCACTAGAAGATGCCATGCCACGACCTGGACAAAGGGCTACCCGCCATAGTCCCAAGAACAAACTAGCCCTTCACAAAGAACCGGAACATAAACGTTCCCACGCTTAAGGTACCTGGTTGTTTACTTCAACTTCAGTCTCCTTGTCCCTTCCCGAATAGCAGCACAATGCTTTTCAGTCCTCAGCAGTCTTGTATCAACCCACTACGTCCTATAAGAGACATGGCCGCACCCCAGGTAGCTCCCCTGGCAGCAATCAAGCTGTGCCCTAAGGACATCCGGGAACATGTGCTTCCACGGACGACTCGTTTTCGACTGCAACCACTTTGCCTGGCTGGGCATCACCAAGCCTTGCGCGTCTGAAGACTCGTTTGAGCGTGGGGAGACGAATGTCGGATGCAATAAGATGTGCTCGCACGGGCTTGACACCATCCGCATCCAAAGAAAGTGTGCCAACTGCATAGCAGTGCGGGACCTGGACAAGTTCAAGTTTGGCGTCGTTTGGGATAGGATCGCGGCCCTCAAAGACGCCGTGGCATATCTCAGAGGAACGGAGACAGTCGAGGAGCAGGGCCAGGAGGATGAAGCTTGCACCACTACCGACCCGGGCTCCGACTCGGATAGCACTGTGCTGGAAGACACGGCCTCATCCTGCTCCTCCTGGCCCCGAACTACTGCGGGTGCACATGAGTCCGCCAAAAGGGAAATATTGTTCGATGATAAGCACCGGCCACTCATGCTCCCTCAGCTTGTAGCCGAGCGGATGAAGAAGAAGGAAGCCGAAGATTACTGCCAACTTCCTGATGATGCCAACCCAGAAAACGCCGGATCGTCTTGATAAGTAGCACAGAAATTTGAGGAGAAAATTTGCTTGTTGAAGATGAGTTTGCCAGCTGTGTTGATGTGATGCGCAAGTGGTGAACTGGTATTGGGTGCTCGTCGCGACAGTTTGATCATTTTCATGGCTTGCGAAAGGACAGGACCTGAGGACTCCAGATGGCCCTTGACCAAAAATGTGTAAAAGTTTGTGACGTACCAGTGAATGAGGCGATGTTGCTCATTCCATTCTTAACGTATATCTGTTTGGGAGAGCCTATATCCGTTTACACCACCGCAGTGTAGTGTACCTATTCGTGTGTGGACTGTGCTGGAGGACTTGTAAGACCTGCAGTGAGACATGGGAGGTGCGGTGTGGGTCCTCAACAGCCGAGCAGCGTAGCGCTCTGGCTTGGAAGCACCTGGTCAGTGGGTCCACGTTTTGAGCAAAAGGGATCCACCTCCGCGGGCGATTTTTGTAGTTGACTGCCATCAACCACAGAAAACGCTCTTCAATACTGGTTCGCGTAAGGCATGCGCGCAGTAAAGGAATACATATATAGATATATTCGAGCATGGAGAATTCGAATCTGCCATCGATTTGATGGTGCGGGCAATGCGCGAGGAGGCATCGATGACCTGAACATGGGTCTTTTCGAGCTGTTTTTGCCAAATATGCCAAGAATTGTAAAACTTTCTATGAAAGATTACTGAAATATTTTGAAAATCTGTAGAAAAGGGACTTCATCAATACCTTCTCGCGCATTGCCCGCGCCATCAAATCGACGGCAGATTCGGATTCTCCATGCTCGAATACACCTATATATGTATTCCTCTACTGCGCGCATGCCTTACGCGGGCCAGTATTGAAGAGTGCTTTTTGTGGTTGATGGCAGTCAACCTGACTCAACCATCGCCCGCAAAGGGTGGATCCCTCATGGACCCACTGACCAGGTGATTGCAAGCCAGAGCGGGCTAGCGGCAGTAGCCGATGGACCCACTGGCAAACGCAGGAGCTACCTTAGGTAGCTCTGCCCCCCGCCTTTATTTCGGCCGAGTTGCATCTGCGAAGTGCGAACGTCTAGGACCTGGGCCCGTCGGTCACACCACAATGCCATGGGGTGGTACACCTTCTTCGATGCAAACCGACGGCAAAGATCACGATGGAGACCCTAAACTGTGGCCACGCAAGAGCAGCCAGCCGGCGCACACCCCCCCCATCGACCAAGCGAAAGCTCCTCACAGCAGTTCTCTCGTAGACGGCGTCCGCGAATACCTCAGGCAGCCCCATAACTGGATCGCCCCCATCGCAGCTGCAGGCCTCACTCTCGGCCTCTGGACCTTCTATCACACGTATTTGCGCCATATCCCTGGTAGCGGCCATATTGCACCCAGCTTCTTCCGCCGCCGCAGTCTGCTTGGGAAGGTGACGAGTGTTGGAGATGGCGATGGCTTCCACATGTTCCACACCCCTGGCGGACGCCTAGCTGGCTGGGGCTGGCTTCGGAGCGTGCCCAAGGACAGGAAAGAACTGAAGGGGCGGACCGTGAGTCACTCTCCTCGGGAACTCCAGAGCGCCCTGCTAATGTAGAACTGCTCTCCGGCAGATATCGGTGCGCATCGCCGGCGTCGACGCCCCTGAAGGTGCTCACTTTGGGAAGCCCGCCCAGCCCTTTGCCGCTGAGGCCTTGGCCTGGCTGGAAAGTTATATTCTCAACAAGCGCGTGCGAGCTTTTATCTACAGAAGGGATCAATACGAACGGGTGGTAGCGACCGTCTATGTTCGCAGACCGCCCTTCTTCCTGCGTAAGGACGTGGGGCTGGAGTTGATTCGACGTGGGCTGGCGACTGCCTACGAAGGCAAGACGGGCGCCGAGTTTGGTGGATCAAAGATGGAAGAGGTATACAAGGCTGCCGAAGCAGCAGCGAAGAAGAAGGGAAAGGGGATATGGTCAACGCACAAAGCTGGTGTCCTTGGCTTACGCAAAGCCCAACCATTCGAGACGCCGATGGCGTTCAAGAAACGGATGAAGTTGAAAGACGATGAAAAGCAGAGCCTGTAGACGGCATGGATGAACCAACATGATACCCATGAAATCAATGTTAGGGCACCGATCAACAGTTGTGCCCACGGCCCACCAGTTTCTGCCATCTCATAGCTTATTATGAGAGTTGGCGGCACCTTACGGACGCTCTTATTGAGAGATCGCCTGCAATTGTTCAAACCTCTCGTGGGTGCACTTAGTATACCTACAGAGTTACATATCTTACACAGACTTTCGGTGTGTATAGTGCCGAACCATTGGTATTCATCCTCTCGGCCTCTCTCTATTAGCAATCTTTGGTTGCTGGTCACTTGCCTTTATCAACCCCATCTAAAGCACGAAACAGCGTTTCGCATGAGTCGCTGACGCACGTTTACCGGGACAAGCATTTGACATATGATCTCTATGCCTGACGAGCATCATACGGCATTGGTGGAAAGAGAGATCTTATAATAACGGATAAGTTAACATTTAACCTTATGGTGAGCGGTCACCCACTCCCAGGTAATTGGGCACCGAGAGATGTTTATACTAAATCTAGGTCTATCCAATATCGACATGCATGTACGTTACTGTATATCCTGAACCCTGAAGAGGATTTGCAGAGCCGAGGTGCTTATGAGCAACGAGCGTTTCACACGTGGTGTTCGTAGTCGTTCGCAAGATCTCTCACCATACAATATAGATGCACCTCAAGAGTATTCTGACTTGATATCATGTACAGTACTACTGTACTCTAGGACGGGCTCTTGCTTCTCGGTTCAGAATGATTTTCTCGACCCCACAGGCTCAAAAGCCATCCTGAATACATCATGGGTTCATGGCTTTGAGTTGCAGATGCTGTTGAGGGAACCAAACGTTGAAGGCTCAAGGTGGTTGGGTGGTTGGGTAGTATGTCCCCTGCCAAGATGCATCTGTCCAATGGCGTCCATGTCGTGCCATGTGTGTAGCACCGGAAAACCCCTGTGCCCTTTTAGCGACCCCTGAATTCATGAGCGGTGGGCTCCCGGTCAGAACAGCACCGCGTTTTTTCCCTTCTTCCATACGGAGCCAGCATTCCTACCTTTTTCTCTTCCGCAAAGCACTGGCACGGGAAGCTTCGGGGAGGACAAAGACAGGAACTGCACACAGTCGTTCACTCTCTCTACAATAGTTCCGTCTAGCCATTCATTTTATACGTGTACACTGCTGGGACCCGAGACCAGGAGCCCCTGACGCATCAAGATCCCCGCTACAGTCTTTCGTTTCTTCTTCTTTTCGCGGTGCGTTTGCACAGTCGTTCGTTGTGCTCCAATCGACCTGTAAGGTGTGACCCCTGATCAGCCTCCCCAGACCTTCGTGACAAGAGCTTCTAACACGACACTCTCCGACCAGGAACAACCCGATAACGGTCCTATCGTTCGTTTCATCAATCGCTACGCAACTCTCGCCGCAAGGCGCATCTCCCAAAATATCACCACGTTCGTTCTGAGACATTGAAACCCGTTCGATCCACAACCGGCCGCGACTCGTCGAATAGCACCACATACTGCGGTATCCTGGACGATACGGACCGACTGGGTGGAATATTCAGCGACGGCTATCAACGACCGGGACTTTTAGGGCTGACAGGTAGCAAAAGTTTGTTTGAGCAAGAGCAACACCAGGTTCGTGCACCGCCAATTGCAATCTGCTCTTCCCGCCAGCCCCTTGCGGCCCGTGGGAGCGAGGTCATTCTGAGGGTTTTGCCTGTGCACTCTCTTCGGGTGTGACCAGGAACCGTCACAATACGCTGCACAGGCAGTACGGTGCCTCGCTGGCCTGCTAATGGCCATTAATCACCGTGCAAGATCTGGCAATTACATCGCAGGCCAAAGCAGAACCTAACATGCTGTTTATATTCGCAGGCCGATAGGAGTTTCCAGTCGACATAACTGATGAAAACCGCCAGGAACATACGAGAAAGAAAAAGAGCAGAAGAGCTCTCATTTGTTGCTCCAAAACTCGTTGTCCCATCTCACTGGAACTCAATCTAGCCTCTTTGAGGTCTAGCGAGCCTGAGCTGGCCAGTCAGAGCGTGCGACGCAGGGCTGCGAGCTCCGCCCAATTTCGCCCATTCCGCAGTCTGGACCACTTTGGATCCGTGAAAACAGGTTGACGTCCGGCTCACGATCCTTGGTTGAACCACAAACATTCTCGGCCTGGACGCTCGTTGTTTTCTCAATCCAAAAGACTCAGCAAGAATACACCTGGCCGTGACTGGTTTTCCGACTGCAACCACACTCGTTTAAAGACATCGCATTAGTGCTTGGAACCTGTTACAACCTGACGTTATTCAATTCTTGCACTGGGTCCCTCTGTGGAACAACCTCATTTACCCAAGGTACCTAGGCACCTTAACTTCCAAAAACCACGCATCACCCGACTGCACGTCATCACCGCAGACCTGCCAATATTGCTATGGCACTCCATTCCTGACAGCTTGGATCCGACCACACCTCGCCGAGCAGCTCGATTTGGTCGCCGAGCACATTAATCCCCCACCAAGCATTGACCGACGCGCGATGCGATTGCCCTTTCGGCGGCGCCATGCCGCTCGTCGCGCCCAACCCGATTCCATTATCTCTGCGATCCTTGCCCTTTCAACGCTTGCAGCATCACCCGCAAGTGCGATATCCTTTACCCCCGTCCCCAACCCGAACCTCGACATTTCGCAGCTCGGCCGACTGGCCCTTGTTGGCGACTTTTCAGGCATCTCCTTGTACCAGTTCCAAGAACAGAATGAGCGACCATTTCGCACAAATGGCAGCGAACAGCTTCTCGCGCGCATGCCTAATGGCGACTTCGCGTCTGTCGCCAGTACCGACGCGACCATCCGCACCATGTGCTCCTTCAACACAGGCAATCGCACTGTGATTGTGATTGGTGGCAACTTCACGAGCATAGGGCCTGCGGACCCTGACACATCGGCCATGCAGCAATCCACGGGGATCGCGCTGTTCGATCCAACGACTGCTGCAGTCACGCCGCTCCCCAATCTTTCCGGTCAGGTCAACGCGCTGCTCTGCGATCAGAGCGCCAACATTGTCTATGTCGGGGGAAGCTTTGTTGCTGCGAATTCAACTAATGCGATAGCGTGGGATGGCGAGAATGGCTGGACAAATCTGCCATTCGCTGGGTTCAATGGGCCAGTTACTTCCATAGCTAAAGCATCCAACGGGAACATCGTGTTCGGAGGTAGCTTCACAGGCTTGGGGAACGCGAGCACTCCGAGCACGCCGGACGGGCAGGTCATCAACCTTTCGACAGCGAACATTAGCAGTGGCTCTTCGACCACCACGGAGGGTTTCAACGATCCCAGGAACATCATCTGCAAGACCAGCGGTGCAGATGGCACGGGCAATACGTGGTTGTTGCAGGACAATACTCCTGGATTCTGGCAAGCGACCTTCAGGTACGGATTTCGACCAACAAAGTTGCGATTGTACAACACGCACCAGGATGGACGGGGAACAAAGACGTGGCGCTTCACAGCCCTGCCTATCAATGGCATTATGAACATGACGTATACAGACCCCTCGACAGGACGAAATGCGACCTGCACTAGCGAATGCCCCTTGAGCGACGACCCGGATGTCCAATTCCAGGATTTCCATTTTGTCAACGTCATCGGCATGAACGCGTTTCGGCTCGATATCTCGGCCTTTTATGGACGCGGGGGAGGTCTGAATGGGATTGAGCTCTTTGGAAATGACATATTTTCGTATGCCGTCAATGACTTTAACGAGCCGTCGTGTGCAGGCCTCAGGTTCCCATCAACAGCAACCGCGACTGGTCCCTGGGTTGTCACGCCTTCCTTCTCGAGCACAGCCGAATATCTGACAGCACAGCTCACTGCCCCAATCAGCAATTCTTCGGCTTCAATTGTTTTCACACCCGATATCAGGGAATCAGGGCACTACTCGGTCAATCTGTACACTCCGGGCTGCCGTCAAGACAACACGTGCCTCACACGTGGTCAGATCAAGCTCACAGGGCAAATGACAGCTGATCCCACGAGGAGTCAACCAATCGATGTTGACCTCTACCAGACCAATGACTTTGACAAGTACGACCAAATCTACTTTGGCGCGGTCGATGCGGCTTCGAGCAGTTTCAAGCCCAGCGTTACCATGACACCCCTCGCCGGCCAGTCACTAACGCAAATGACGTTTGTTGCGCAGCGCTTGGGATTCACCTTGATCAATAGCACTGGCGGCTTGAATGGGCTTTATGAATACTCACCGGGGGCCGCCGTTAATGTCAGCGACCTCATGAGCTCTGCCTTCAACCGCTTGGGCGCCAGCTTTTCCACCGGCTCAGCTGTCAATGCATTGGCGACTTTAGGGGATGCTACTTACATTGCAGGAAATTTCACTTCCAACGCACTGCGCAACATTGTCTCCTTGAAGGGCAACGACTTCGCTGTGCGTTCGCTTGACGGTGGGCTAAATGGCGAAGTGGAATCAATATTCGCCAATGGCACCAACCTCTATGTCGGCGGACTCTTCAACAGTACCCTAGACAACTCAACCCAAGGACTGAACAACGTTGCCGTATACGACACTGCAAGGGACACCTGGGCTCCCCTTGGCGCTGGGGTTGGCGGCCACGTCTTTCGAATCGTTGGCATGACGATGAACATTACCGGCTCGACCCCAGAGGTTGTGATTAGCGTCAACGGGAAATTTGATCAACTATTGGCTTTTGGCGACAACGCCGCCGTTCCAGTTGATGGATTTGGCATCTGGGTACCTTCCCAAGGGAATTGGCTGCAGAATCTGGAATTGCCAGTCGGGTCAGTCGAGGGCGTCTTGTCCGCCTCGATTCTTGACCTTGCGAGCGATGGCCTGTCGCTCTATGGGGGCTCGCTTTCTTCGTCCACCTTGGGCGTGTCTGGCGCGGCAATCCTCGGGCAAGGCGAGAGCTTGAACCGACTCCCTGTCGATATCCACCCGTTTACGAATACCACTACACCGAGCAGTCTTGCGAGGCGCGAGGTTACCTTGACCGATGAGAGCATCCATGGGGTTTTGGCCGGCATGTTTGAGACCAACAACGGCAGAAACCTTACCATTCTTGGTGGTCACTTTTTCGCTACAGCCACTGACGGCTCTACGATTCATAACCTTGTCATCCTCGACGGCTCCAACAATAACCAAGTTACTGGACTCGGCGACCAGATCTCCTCCAACTCGACGTTTGTGGCCTTGGCTGTACGAGGGGATATCCTTTATGCTGGAGGAAAGGTATCGGGAAACGTGAATGGCAACGACATCAATGGCCTTATCTCGTACGATCTAGCCCGGAGGTCGTTCAATACCCAACCGCCATCCCTGTCCGGCGGCAACGGCACTGTCTCCTCCATCTCTGTACATTCTAGCACCGGGGATGTCTACGTGGGAGGTTCGTTTACGAGTGCCGGGTCGCTTGGCTGCCCCGGAGTGTGTTTCTACAGCACAACCGCGTCCCAGTGGAACCAAGCCGGTCAAAACATTGAGGGAACCGTTCACACTTTGATGTGGGCGACTGACAATGTGTTGCTCGCCGGCGGCAATCTCACCATCAATGGCACCGTTTCCGCTTTCCTCGCCATGTACGATCCAAGTACGCGGATTTGGGACGCCTACCCCGGCGCCGACCAACTCGCAGGACCAGTCACCGTTCTCACTGTCGGCACAAGGGACGGCAGCCAGATTTGGGCCGCAGGAATCTCTTCGTCCGATAGCTCCGTCTACCTGATGAAGCACGACGGCTCTGCGTGGCAGTCAGCTGGCCAGACCACGCTCCAACCAGGCACAGATATCCGCGGTCTCCAAATCTTCTCCCTCACCTCATCACACAATCAAACCTCCCTTGTCAATGCGGACGAAGCGCTTATGCTCACTGGCTCCATCGTCCTCCCAGACTTCGGCTCTGCCTCGGCTGTCCTCTTCAACGGCGAGACCTTTACTCCCTTTGCCTTGACCACGAATACCGAGAACCGCCCGGGCACCATTGCCCGCTTCTTCTCCGAGAGTGGCGACTTCTTCAACAAGAACGGCGGGGGCATGCCGCTAGTGTTTATCATACTCATCGGTCTCGCTATCGCCCTCGGGTTGACGCTGCTCATCATTCTTGGGGGTCTGGCGCTCGACAGGATCCGCAAGCGGCGCGAAGGCTACGTCCCCGCCCCAACGTCCATGTATGATCGCGGCAGCGGTATACAGCGAATCCCGCCGCACGAGCTGTTGGAGAGCTTAGGGAGAGGCAAAGCCGGCGCGCCCAGGGTTTGACCGCCTAACTGACCCGGCTGGGTCGGCTGGGTGACAGGGTGTGAGTGAGGGTTCAATGAGCATGAGCATCATCGGGTCTGGTCCGGGTTGGCGTTTGGGCATTTAAATGGGCGGTGTGTTTTTCTTTCCAAGACTAGTTATACCACTTGCTTCCTGCATTTTGCACTGCTGGGCGTTCTGGGGGATTGGACTGGCCACGGCATAATTTCTTTTAGAATCGCTTGCTTGGGGGTAAGGGTGGCCGGAGCCTTACTATTACCTTGGCGCTCGCGTAGCGCCAGGCTCCTGTATCTGTGTTGGACTGGATCTGGTACATGCTGCCGATGAGCGTGTACGATAGACCTCGTGGTGGGTACTGTGGTGGTTTTATGTTGGGCGAATGTGTACGGTTAGGTTCCTTTCTGATGTCCGATTTCACGGGCTTTGCCTTTTTCATTCTCGTTTCTTTCATATACTCGCTGGACGTGGTTGGCAATGATCTGTGATGACGGACGGTTCTCGGAGGGCGGTGCTTTTCTTCCCTTCAACTTAATGTTTAACAATTGAGCCAATATTCTCCGAGGTCAACAAGTCCCAACATTTAGTCATGCCATGTCCCACGGCACCATGTGGTCGTCGCAGCCTTTACCGTTCCTCTTTTCCCAGCTGTTTTTGGTTCTTGGTAGTGTTGATGATGGAGTCAAGGCCAACGAACAGCAAATCGGTACTCGCATCTGGTGCCCTCGGCGGTAGGCGAGCGTACTTCCCCTCTCTTCCGCGCCCCTGTGTTGTTGCGTTCTGTAAAGTTCCGGCAGCGATTGAGCTGCCAAGTTGTACAATGCACACAGTTAGCTATCTGGAACTGATGGTGGTCTGATTCTTGATCGAGAGAAGGGGGTTCAATCCCACATGTCGGGCTAGACTGAGTTTAAAGTCGATATTGCTCAGCGGGTGTCAATCCAACGGTTTCTTACCATGCGACTCGGGTCAGGAAACTACTCTGTCCCGTTAACTTCAAGATAGGAGCGCTCCGATCGTACTAAGTCAGCATCAGTCATACTTGCTACTTCAGGCTGTCTGTCAACAACATACTTCGCGGCCCGGACGGCATTCTAATTCACTCACCTTATTTATGTCATAAGCCATCTAGTAGATACAAGAGTATCGAAGCTTTACTCGTAACCCACAGATATAGACCTCGGACACTCTCTCCTAAGGTGGTTTGTGCTCAGTTCACTCAACAACAAGCTTTATCAAGTGCCCGTCATGAGGCTTTTCGATACGTATCTCTGTCATGGCATGTGTATCATGATTCTGTAAGCTAGAACGAACCGCACGACTATGCTGTTACAAATCCCCTTCTACACACCCAGACCCAAACCTTCTCGAGCATGAGATGAGCGATTTAGACCGCTCACCAGGAACCCAGATTTCCCCGCCCAATCCAGTTCTCATCATGGATCGGGATAAAGAGCAGTGAAGCGGCCAGGGGAGACACTCGGGTAGCCCTAAGCAAAAGAGGAGGTTAATTACGTGATGATGTCCCCCTTATGTATACATATGCCGCAAACATGTCTGATTGTACATACAATACCGGATCTTGGATGGTACCTAAGCATGATTTGTAGATGTGCATGTCCAGTCCGCAGTACTGCCCAGTACTCTCTCAGCCAACTAAAAGGCGAAGCCAACACGGGTTGGGAGGGGTGAAGTAAGGAGGGCAGTTCAGGATCCGGCTTTCCCGCGAACTTCCCCGCTACCTCCCCGTCCGCTACAGGCTGACTGATTCGTTCAATGGCCACCCGGCAGAGTTCTCTGAAAGGTAATGTCTCGTACATTGTCCATCCCCTTGGAGAGACGCCAACCAAACAAACAGACAAAGGCGGAGTTCCAATGACATATCTGGATAGTCGGAAGTAGATAAGTGACGAAAACCGGAAAGATGGGAAACTCGATGATGGTAGTGGCTGGCTACATTTGAGAGGGCCAGGCCGGAGACGGAGCCGGGAAGAGGGGTCAGACATCGGAAAGAGAACCTATGGGTCGAACTTGGGCTAAGAGAGGGGAGTTGGTCGTCAGAAAGTAAGACAGCGTGAGATTACAAAGGCATGACATGTCACTTGCGCATGCTACACCACTGGCAGCAGTCGGTTTTCACACGAGATAAGGTCTGGGACATCTAGTACCTTGTGCACCAGACTCGAGCTGGGACAGCAAGTCCAAGACAAGTGCCGACTTAACAAGCAATCCAAGGGGAAGCACCTTAAGGTAGTGTACAATACTTAACACAACCAGCTGCAGCATGGCGTCGAGGCGCTGCTACTGATTCATGCGGGCGATGGGCGGGATAGAGCAGCATGGTTTGCTGCGAGTGGAAGTGGTTTTTCCTCTTCAATACAGCCCGCCACGGAGTCATGTAGCGCAAGTATCCGTATGCTCGATCCTGCCACTACTTCCAAGCAGGTAAGGTGAGGTAGTTACCCGCTCGCCGATGCTCGGCCTACAGATTTGGCTCAACCCTCCTTAGGTTCTCGTCGGGATAGTACCGTACTGGATGTCTGTGCTGTATGTACAATACATACATACATAAGGCCGGCAGGGGAGGGCCCGGCGGTAGGTCAATGGCTCCCATGGGCTGGGCATGCATGTATGCCTATGTGTGACGACGGCAACAAAATGTAAGGTATGTATGTAGGTGACCTCTTGGGTTGGAGGGAAAGGAATATGGGCAGCTTGGGGTTACAGCGCCTGCTGGTTCGGCACGGTAGTAAGCTCGAAAGCACCCCCTTAGCGCTCCGAGCCAAGCTCGCAGTTGCCCGGGCTCGCGATACAATGCTCATACGTGGATGATGGATCCACGACAATGCCGTTGAGGGGAGAAGGTGATAGAAAGGGCAGAAACACTGAGTCTCTAACAGTTCCAAGCCCTATTCCTCATTCCCTCCGAGCCAGCTTAGTTCGATCCAGCAACGTGTTGATGGGCCCAGGCAATGAATAAAAAGGGGAATGAATGGTGGTTGGCCCGCGTCCCTCCATGTCCAGGCCACCGTTAACGACCTTCCTCTCTGGTCGTGCCGAGCACCGGCACGAAGTAGCTTTGATGACATGGTTGGAGGACGACATTTATAACGTCTGAATGGAGCAAAGGCCGGCAAAGGCAAGAACTGTGAATGGAGGTTTTGAGACATCGTGACCTAGGCGAGGTGGAGCACATACATTCAAGGTGGGGGGGTCTTGAAGGGCAGCACGCGGCATTTGGAAGCCTAGCGTACGCTAGGCGCCCAAAGACTCATCAACCGTGCACATACGAAGTATGTAGCTAGATCACATATGTTAATACACTACTCGCGGGTGCGGGGTGTCGATCACCCATACATACATACAAAACGTGAAAGGTGAGGCGACTCTGAGTCTGAGCGCCATTGCCACAGACACCACGGAAACTGTTAACCATTTCCATATCTTCTTGTAAACACCGGTTAGGCATGGTGTTGACAATGCCAGCCCCAAGTGCTTGTGCACATGTACATACATACAGCGAGGTAAACATCTCAACAGCGTCGAACCCGGGCATAGTCCGGGAGCTTCCGCTGCTTGGATCGGATGCGGCTCTCATGGCTCGGTAATTTGCCGCTTGCCAAGCGGCCGGGTAACGTCCATCATTTTAATGCGTAACGTTTAGAATTATAGCCAGATATTGTCGACGACCACGTTGGGCTTTGAATCAACCCAAACTCTGTGTTGGGGACCACTTGCCAAAAGGAGACCCCTGTCTCGAGCTTGATCAGACTTGCCTGCGTGATAGCGTCGTATCCACATGTGTACATAATTAGTGTCTAGAGGCAGGTGCAGTGCCGTAGATTCCCAACAAACTGGCTCCACCCCCGCAAAAAGTGAATTGAGAAACATGTTGCAGATAAAGTGAGCTTTACAGCAAGGCACCGTGTTGATTTGTATCTTAATGTACATAGACGAACTACCTTAGTAACATATAGTCTACGCGTCGAAGCCAGCATTGGGGTACAATGGCTTATCACAATGCTTGCAACTGGCAGTGTAAGACGGACAAACTTCGGCGGCGGCAGCGGCCTCGACAGGGTGCGCAACCAGGGTGGGGGCTTGGATTGGGGCTGTAGTGTAGTGTAGTTATGTGTTCACGTAAGAGTCAATGGCGAGACAGTGATGCTGAGATTGCTGGTGGGTTGGGTGTTGAGTTGGTTATCTGCAACAGATGCAAGCCAAGTGACGAAGAGCCAAGTGAACGAACGCCTGTCTCATAAACTCGGCCCGGTTTGCCTCTGGAACCACGGGAGCGGTGTTCTGGGACCAGCTGTAGCCACGATGATGCAGTGTACGATACACACTACATAATAATAAGAAACCGCCGTGTAAGTTATGTATGTATATGTATGCAAGTACTGTACGGTACAATACACTGGCAGCCTCGGTGGTCTGTTGACATGGGGGAAATAGGGGTAAAACAAGCACGATATGGGCCATGCGCGGAATGCTAATTAACTAGCGGAAAACGGACACGAAACCAAACCATCTTGCTGCACGACAGATCTTTGACAGATGCGCGGCGTGTCGATCATGATGCGACGACACTTCTTTTTCACGACGCACTCTGGTGCCGCGTCTTGGCTGGACAAATGAGGAAAGGCCTGCTATCTGCTCAAATCGAGCCGCCAAGGTGGATCGGGAAGCGGGTCCGTCAGTCCGTTTGTGGTATCCCGATCAGAATCTGGATCGAGATGGACCTCAGCTTGAAGACGCTGAAAAGAGGGAAAAGGAGAGAAAGAAAACCAGCAGTGCGGCTGTGAACAACCCAAGAGCTTCAGTTAGTTCGACTTGATTGCCCAGTGCTTGTCTTGCCATTGGGCGCGTGCTTGCAAGGTGGGCTGTGACCAGATCTTGTTCTCTGGGTTGAAGGGCCGAATTCGACGGCTGGGTGCAGCGTGGCGTTGAGATGCGTTGAGATGAAGTTGGTCCGGTTCGGGCCCGCTGAACGGCGACCATTTTCATTGCCAAGCATTTTTTCCCCCGGAGTCAACTTTTAGCGCCATCCCGTGACTGCTTCCTCCACAGGAGCCGAGCCAAGTCCCGGGAGCCGCAAGGACGAATCCCACCCATCGTGATGTTAATTGTTAAGTCCACGCATTCGGGGTGGGTTGCCCTCAGGGACCTCATCACGGTTCCTGGCTCGTGTGACCCCTCCATGTAGTGTAAAGTTACCTTACCCCTGTGCCGTGATTAAACCTCGTATCCAACTATCCATGGCAGATTGATGCCAGATGAAGCCTCTGAGTTTACTGTACTCCGTCCGGAGTAGCGTTTACGGCTCCGAGTAATGGCGAGCCAAAAATCTCTATGACGACTAAGAAACTTGGGGTAAAGTAAAACTAATGTACAATAGTTACAGTTGGTACTTCGTACATTGCGAAGAGCCGGGAAGAGGTTGTAATGTAGACTCTTTTACGCAGAGGACGCAGTACTGTCAGTCGGACATCTTCAGCGCTGCATTGTTGATGCAGTCGGCAGGAGCCATGGACGACTACCGGCCCATGGCGACGGTTCGACGCCTTCTTCCCGCGGAGTCGTGCCTCACGGCTCTTTCTCGCTCAAATTTAACGAATCCAACTGCAAAATTAGGGTTGCCCGTATTCTCATCGGCTGTTGAGGATTTCCAACGCTGAGGACGCTGCAAATTCTGGGGCCTGCTTCTTTTGTCACTTCCACCTGAAGGGTCCATGCAACCTGACCCTTTTCGAGTGCCCCCTGTCGATTCTGTAACACACCCATGCTCGTCGATCCTGGTCCGTGTGTTCTTTCCCGTCGTTGACTACCAGAGTTTCGCTCCACGGATGACCCTGCCAATTTCCATCCCCAGCTGGCTAAAATTGACTTTCTCAACAAGATCTTGGTGCTCGATGCTGGGTTCCTCTGTTCACCAAAGGACCTCGTGACAGCGTGATTCTTCAACAGCGGCTTGCGCGGACCCGCGACACGGAGGGTCGCATCTCTGGATGCAACGCCAGACTCAGGCATGAAGGGGCTTTGGTTGAGCGGCTTTCTCTTCTGAGCACAACGTGAAGAAATAGGAAAATGTGATTATGGAGTATACTTGTTTGGGCCTTTTTTTTTGTAAAGACGGATCCAATACCGCCGTACGAGGTAACGTACACGTACTCCGTACGTTGGCCAGTTCGGGCTGGCGATCGAAACCGTTACACTATGCGTTGCTGGTACCTGATCCGCGCTTGGTGCCTGAAAATCATCGCAGGCGCCTTCGAGTCATGTGCAAAGCTCTCTTGACCCAAGGCTCTGAAACACAGACATATGTTACCAAGCCCTTTGCGTAGTTAGGTATCTACATAACGTTTAACCCGGAGCCTTCACATCTCTCGATAACCATCAGCAATGCAGCAATGCAGCAATGCCTGCCAACGACTCGATTGCCTTAGGTATTCCCGAATGCGACAAGAGGGCGGGCATGAGATCAATGACATCGGCGACCTACCCACTTTTTCGGCAAGCCAACCCTCGACAACCTTGGCTCTCTATAGCCCGTTTTAGTTAGCCTCTGAGATCGATTCGCGGGTAGACAAGGACCAGGGCAGACAGGCAAGCCGACGGCAAGTGAAGTGAAGTGAACTACCTTGTTAACCACCATCGAATTGGCGACGTACCTGCACTTGATATACAGTAATTACATCACTCGAAGCTCGAGAGAGGAACCGTGCAGGCGAAAAGCAAAGAAATCTTATTCTCGTCAAGTGATGATTTCACAACTCCGGAGTCTGTAGCGCTAACCACTCTCGAGTCACTGTCCCTGAGGTGTACTGTACATACAATATCCTTGTCCGAAAGATTAGACGACTTTATATGAATTACTTGATCGTCCCAATTCAGCTCGTCAGCCTTTTGGCTTGCGTCAGTCCGGTTCCTCAAGGAGGCTGAAAAACTGTAACCTAAAGAACGCTACTATAATTCACATCATATTGGGCGATGTACTCCGTATGATTGGGAAATCTGCCGTGGTATTGTACACGTGTACTCCGTATCCGTAGGCCGTCTTCAAAAGGCTGCTGAAACTGGATATGATTGTGGCAACAGTGTTCCCGCACGACCGAATTCGTCGTCTCCCACTTCCATTCTGGCTGCCCAACCGGCCAACCTGGGAGGCTGGTTCAGCCAAGGGAAATCATCAGCGCCAGCAACGTGTCCCCGCCTGATGTGCCGTCATTGGTTACTGGGCGCCGTTGGCTTGCAGAAAGTTGCCGGACGGGGCGATCATACCCTGCCCGTGCAAGGTCGAGTGGATTCACCCAGTGCTTTTTCTCTTAGGCACTTATTCCCGGCTCCCCCGTCGCCAGCCGTGGTGAATGCGGTGAAGGACTGACAGGGCCCGCTACTGCTTGGGTCTTGGGAGGCAATGTTTCCACTTTCCACATCATCCGAAGCCGGGAGGGATTGGGAGTGGAAGCCGGATGTATCTACATACAATAACAACCTTACATGTGTGATTAGTTGACATCGGGACTTGAATAGGCCACTCTGACGGCAGCTCGTTTTTCGTGACCTCCGGGGTCGAAGCTGTTAATCTAGGCCACATGGCTTTTAACAAGGGAAGAAAAGAAGCAATGAAGAAGCGCAGCACCGGCAAGCAGGAGCTTGATAGGGCCGATGGAATCCGGGAAAAGCATATTAACTATCAATTATACGATGTACATATATTCATTCTACCCTCGAGGTATTGGACCTGTACCGTACAATACATACCTGCGGCATCGCTGGTACACATGGCTGTCAGGATCATGGTAACCTACGTAACTACGTAACTAATACAACATCTCTGCAAACAGCAAGCCTGCTATACACCTAGCACATCACCGGTAGGTAGCAAGGCGAAAGGCAAATTCGTGAAGCGGTGAGAACCGTGACGAGCCTTGGCAGAAACAATAGTACCTACGGATAGGTGATGCGTGATTAGCTTCAGCTCTTTGAACCTGCTACCTACCTACACTAGCCCGACTAGATGGCTTTTACACCACCGGAAGCCAGAAAAACGGCGTGCTATCGTCAGCGAGCAACATGCAGTGATGAGCGTCATGCATGGAAACCGCCGGTAAGCTAGGTGGCTTCACATCCTGGGCTAAGCCAGCTCGAGGCCAGTTAACCATGGCCGTACCTCCGTAATTGGCAGTTACCTCAGTTACGATGGAAATGTGTCACGAATGACTTCACTTTAAGCACCAATTAACTTTGAGTCGCCTTGACATATGTGCAATACGCACCGTGGAACGGGGTACTTACCTTAGTTATCAAGGTATTCTCCAGGGCAGTGATACTCTTGCCGACATGGTTACACAGTGGTCAATCCGGTTCTTTTGCCTCGCGTCCCGGTTTTGTTCATCCTCATGCCGCGTAGCACCACTTGTAGTAGCTTCCTATTCAGGCTAGAGGAAATCCAACACTACAAATGGGTCAGGAGCTTTCTTATGTGGGTGTCATTGAGTGAGTGGCCCCTGCCGCCCTGTCCTGTCCAGTCAGCATTGTGCTGATATGCAATTCCAGGAGCAAACGATCTCCTGCTTTGCCGGCTGATGCATACAGTGAAGCGTTACAATTCAAGATGCCAACCTTAACAGCGCGAGCTTGTAGACAACACGCGTCGCTGAATTTGGCCAATTTCTTGGGCAATTTCTTCCACAAAATTTGCGGTCGAGTTAGCTTATTAGGTGGCTTTGGCTTGCTCAGTGACCCTGCGTGGTCGGCGCGCCAAGGTCCCGCAACCACTCGGCAAATTCCTCAACAAGTGCGATCCTTTGCTTCGCCAGACATGGACAGCGCAAGACGCCATTCAAGCCCGGTGCCTCCTCCAGTTTGCCGGACATCTGCCGGCTTTTCCTCTACATAAGTAGCATACCTAACTTACCTACATAGAGCTTTAGAGTAGGTACATACATACCTGAATTCGCCACCACGGTTGCCGGGAACCTGTAGATTTCACAGCCGTGTCGAACCGGCTCAGCAGCAGGGTCTGTCCTAAGCTCTTTTTGACTCCAGCTCACACAGTACACCGTGACCACTCTACCATGGAGTCCCGCCAGCGGCCCTCCATCGGCAGCGCACCCTGCACCCGTTTACCTCCCCCGGTCCTGGCGGACACGCCCCGCCTGTGGACCCCGGCTCCGAGGCAATCCTGACACTTCATCCTGACTGGCTTGTTGAAAGACACAGGAGGTGGTAGTGTGGTGTAATGCTCTGTACTTGTACTGTACATACAGTACGTACCAGTGTAAAGACATACGGATACAAGTTTGGGCGGCTTTGATGTCTTTGACTTACTACCTTATGTAGATTTTGTGGTTAGCGTAAACTGGTAGAGGAGCCTCTTTCCTCATTTTGTCCCAACCGAATCCTATTATTCCCATCACGATTCGTGACTGTAATAAAGGTCATTCGCGAACCCTCGATTTCAACCCATGTCCTAATAAGAGTAGTACGTCAATATTTCACCGTTAATTCTCCGGATCATCGTCAACACATCCAAGTTTCAGCCTGCCTCCCAAACCCGTTTGGTACTAGTCAGGTGTCGTTTGATATCCATCAGGGCCGCCTTGTCAGGTACCAAGCTCCACGGCTCTGGTCGAAGCTTCCCAGCATCACGCACCAAAGCATCACCGGACCTGAGGAGCCACATAGGGTAATTTAGACCTTGCAATTGGGGATAACGTTGGAAAGGGGTGTCTCGCTGCATGCGTTCACACCTTCTCTCTCTTCCCGGCCGACAGCCCTGCTCCGCGCCGTTCAGTCGGCATCCCGCCGAGCCCACACCCCCGTCCCATTGGCAAGCCCGCCCTGGCAGGGCTCGTGGGAGGAAATACTGTACGCAAAAAAAAGAGTTAACGTTAATACTTAGTGTAATTACAGTGTCGATCACTTGGGGCCGGGAGGTCGTCAGAGGTTCACTTGTCCTTGAGAGAACCCACAGTTCCCACTCCTCTTCCTCTTCCCACCCAAAAAGGCACCAAATCCCCCACCAGTCCCGCTCACGCAAAAGGAGGGGGCAACTACCTTACTTCTACTTATTAACCTTCAGACGACGCTGGATGGTCCGGAAAGCCATTGGCCCGAGCGCACAGTAGAGTACATAGGACCGCTGGCACTCGCAGGGCTGGCTCACGCATGCTATCCGTGCCCATCGACAAGCCACACACCGTCAAAAAGACACTTAAGAACGCTGATCCGTCCTGCCTTTCTCGTCTTGGGCTCCGATCTTCCCTACTTCTCAAGTTGGCTCAGCTAAGACTACTACCACCGGCCTTGATCAGCAACACCACTTGGGACCACTTCTCACTTCCACACAATTTCCGTCTGGGAGAAGGAGAAAACAGGTTTCGACGGCGCCGTCCAGATCTTCTCAAGATGACGATGACCATAGACCATAATCAGCGCCGCTTCGGATCCTTACACTTCGAACATATGTCTTCCTACTCGGGCCATCCTCACTTCACAGACCCCTGGGCACCGTCGCCCTCGACGGCGGGCCCCAGCCCGGCATCGCAGAGCGGGAGTCAACAAAGCCTCTACATCAACAACCACCAGGACGGTGCCGGCCTGCCTCACCTCAATCTTGCTCCCCTCCCGAAGCATCCGCAGCACAGCAGTCGGGCCGGGAGCAGCACTTCGATGGCGCCTTACGGCGCTCTCCAAGTCTCGGCTGCGTCAGCAGGTAGTCCTTCCATGGCGGGTGTCTATAGGCCACAGGACTTACTTCCCGTGTCTCAAGATCATCTCCTAGGCGTCAACCGGCTGCAGCATCAAACAACATCGGCCGCCTATGACACCTCGGCATACACTAGCACGGCCTCACCAGTTAACGCAACATATACGTCATCGTCGTCGCCTTATGATCAACTAGGCTATGCGCAGGCGTCAATGAGGGGTTCCTTTGCTCTCGGAAACGAGGATAGCTCGAGGAGATATTCCCAGCAGTCAGTAGCATCCAACCTTGAGGATTTGCACCAGGCCCACCGAAGGAGTCAATATCTGACCATGATCGCAGAAGTCTGCAGCAGGACGACAGGAGGAGCTTCCAGGACGCCCTGGAGGCGAGCCACGGGATGCTCTCCATGAGCCAAGAGACGCCGCGTAACATATTCGACGTGCGCAACAGGGGGCGGGGATCTGGCGACTCGTACGGGTTCCCACCGACCCACTCGGCAACCTCAAGCGTGTCGTCGACAGGGTTCAGCGGCTACTATGCAGGCTCTGTGGACGGATCGGTGAGCGACTATTCGACGGCGGGCTCCGACATTGAGTCGCTATCTAGCCGCACGCTTCCAAGACCACAGGGGCTTATGGCCAGCGCGCCGCCAGCGCCCCAGTCGATGATGGGTTCCTTTAGCTCCAAGGTGTCGTCAAGCACGCAGAAGAAGCATAAATGCAAGGTTTGCGACAAGCGCTTCACGAGGCCAAGCTCGCTACAAACACACATGTACAGCCACACGGGCGAGAAACGTAAGCGGTCCCGGCGTCCTCGAATCCACACTGGCCCTGGTACTAATCCGATTGTCGTATAGCGTTCGCATGCGAGGTGGAAGGCTGCGGCCGGAATTTTTCAGTCGTATCAAATCTTCGCCGTCACAGAAAGGTTCACAAAAACCAGACACAAGGCGAGACGCCGTCAGAGACCGGGTCAGAGGAACACCAGTCACCGTAGGACAATCACCAATCGTCATGCTTAGTCGACATCGACAGCAGCTCTGCCGCCGCACATTGTGTACACGGGTCCTTCAAAGGATAGATCAGCGCCATTTTGTTTCGGCTCCATCATACAGTGATGGTGGGTGTTTGTCGACATATCGATACTCGGATATCATCCGTAACGAAATCCTTCCCCGGAAATTTGGTCTCTGGCAAGGCCATGTTCTGCAGCTGCACCGAGCGTGTCGGAACTCCATGGAATTTTTTCTTCAAAGTCATCCCAAAATTTTGGATATCAACTATTTAATCATAATCTCTTTCAGACGGATTCGATCGGTTGAGGGCCGGAGTTGGGAATCTTCCAACAGGCGACGGAGAGATGGCCTCCCTTGGACGATACCCTCATGGATCGGCGTTTCGGCATCTTTTTTAGTTGGGCACAAGGGAGGGGCTTGTTTACTCGGGTCAGCAATTGCACCCTCGCATTATTACTGTCGTTTATGCATCAGACTACTCGTTTTCCACTTTTACACGAACAAAAAGGTCCATTCTGGGGTTGATGGGTCCAGGAGAAACTGGGGGATTTTCACATCCATGGATGTCTGGGAGTGGGAACGATGGTTCGCAACAACGGCGGGGGGGATTGTACTCCAACAACGAACACATAAATACTTGGTTACTCCGGTATCTATATACCCACCTAGTGACGACGACGAAGGAAGAATTGGAGGGAGGAATACCTTTATACCGCTGCCGATGGCTTTGGTTTGCGGCGGGAAGTGCCAGTAGATATCTGTAACCATAGTAAAAGCTAATCGTGTACTACTAGTACTACTAATTAATACTACTACTCGAGTAAACCTGCCGCTACTGAAGCTACTTGCAAGTCGCCCGTCGGTAAAGCTTGCCCCCTTTTCCCTCTGCCAGCCCATACCGTTGCAAGTACTGTGTACGGCAACTGTCCACACTTCTGGCCACACTGCTAGAAGATCGGGCAGTTCAAGTCCACCCCAATCTGGGCGCTGTTTCAGGACAATTGCCTTCCCCAATAACACCTTCTAGCCTACATGCACCACAGGCATAAGTCACACACCACAATGGCTGCAAGCGCCCCGCATGCCTGTGCAAAAAAAGGGTGCAAGAAGCATGCAGAACGTAGGTATGTCCCCGTGCCGAGTGCAACACAACAACAGAAGAGAGCATCTATCTTACGTTAGGTACTTGTACTGTACACGCAACCAAGCCAGTTACTCGAGGTTGCGTCCCTGATTTGGTCGGCTATTCGGCCGTGGGATCGGCATATATCCCTCATTACCTTGGTACACGTACAGTAGACCGCAAGTTTAGTTCTACTTCGCTGACAGTTGTCTTAGGTATTGCCTCGGTACGTACATTACAATCTACCATGTCAGGTGGCTCAGATGGGTATGTATGATGCAAGATGCTCTCTGCTGCTTGTGTCACGCTGACGGCCTAACCGTAACCGCGTCGGTGCCTTCACAATGGGTAGTTATGGTCGTTTTACGATGCCCTGACGAACAAGGAGCACACCTTGCTCTGCCGCGCCAAGTTCTCACGCGTCTGACCTGCTACCGGCTCGGCTCTGCACGATTCCGCCACAGAGTGAAGCGTCATCTGATGGTAGGGCGACGACCTGAGGGGAAGATGGGATGCCCGTGTGCAGGGATGAACCAAGGGCAAGGCGACTGCACGAAGCTTCTTTTGCCTCACCTTTTCACTTTCAAAGTGCGAAACAGACGCCGTTCCCCGCCATCGAAACCTTCCACTGCCACGCGACGTCAGCCGTCCCTGCTAAGGTGCACATGGCTTCTCCACAGATGGGTTTTCCATCGACAAAAAGGCCCCAAAGTTCAGCCAGAGCGTCGGTAGCGTCCGACTCAGTCGCGCGACCGCAACGCTTCCCCGGCCTTTGCTCGCCCAGCCGCCGCCCGCACCAACGGAGGGAATTTGAGACAGAGGGCCGTTCGCCTTGGAAGCTTAGTGCATGGCGGCCTGAACTGCGTGGGGCTTGCCTTCCCGAGGGTATAGGGAGGTAGAGGGAAGATGACCCGAATCGGAATTGGATCATCACGCTCGCCTTGTTGCCGTCCCTGGACATGAAGCCTACCCGCTGAAGTTCCATTCTCCACCACTGTCGGTGCCCGACAATTTGCTACAGCCAAAAGGAGGCGAAAGTGCGGTGCGGAGGTGACATCTCGCTCGGCCATATTGGAACCCTTTGCTGTGGGGGCCATACGTCAAAAGAACCTTTGGGTTGGTGAGAAGGCTCGGGGGAAGGGACATTACACGTGTAGAGGACCCTGTCTCTGTCGTTTCAGGTTTGCAAATCAGTGCCTCTTGGCCGGGCCAGGGCTCCTGCCGTGTCCGATCTTTACCTCTCCGGGCAACTCGTCACAATCAGCTTCGGCCAGGAGTGACAAACGCTCTGTTGGAAACATGATCGGCAACCACAGCTCTCGGCTTCGGGAGCTTTGAACTCTCTGGGAGAAGGTTAGATTTCGCACGTGAGGGCACGGGAGCCTTCTCGTGACAAGTCGTCTAATGAAGCTCATCTAAAGCCTGTCAAAGGTGCGGGACGGCTCCCTTAGTGGCGACCGGAGTGGATGCCTACAGAGATTGCGTGGATATTGACGACGGTGTACCCGACGTTCTCTTTGAGTTGGCTCGGTTGGATACTGTGAGATGAGTAAAACAGAACGAGATGCGGGGTGTATGTCTCACAACCCATGAGAGTTGGGGCATCTAAAGCAGGCTTTGGTCAGTCAAGAACGGGTGAATGAAGCGTACGTGTGCAGGGGACAGTGCACACGCGCGATGTGATGGGAAATTGGCAACAGTAAGCCGTTTCCATTCGCCAACGATGACGCACTTGGAACGCTTGCAACGACGTTGGGAAAGGAAACAGCAGAGCGGTAACCACCGTGCAACCTGCTCTACATACGTACAGGGCCTCGGGAGGGCCTGCCGGGCATTTCAAGTTCTCTAAAATGGCCGCCTCGCCCAATGGCGGCTCGATGGCGATAGACCAGAGCCCGCACAGAGCGGCCGGGCGGGGAGTAGGGCGAGAGACAGGCGCCGGTTCGCCATGCTAGGCGTGCTTGAGACACGGTTGGAACTTCGGCCGGCGGCCGACGCGGCTTCTCCGCGTGCAATTGCGGCGGTGGCTACGTTTGCTGGGTGCGCACTACAGTGTAGTTATCTTCGCATCGGAATTCGAGTGAAATATTTCCTGTTGCCAGGTTTATATCATCTTTCGACGTCACAAGTGTAACGTGCTTTCTAAGGTGAGTGGTCGGTTTTGCTGTTGCCTTAATGGGACGGTGGAGAGGACCCCGCCCAATGACGTCGAACCTGCAGGGCTTACGGCCATGGTCCAATCGTTTACTGCAGGCAACGTCAAGCGCTGGTCAACAATGCTTTCGCCTCGGAAGGCGCAAATGGCCTTGTTTCAGTGATTACAGTAACCGGATCCAGCAGATGCCCGTTTGTCCGTTTTCATTTACTGTTTGCCTTGTCTCTTTACCCTTGACGCTTTTTGGACCGGGCGACCATCAAAGGTCCTGCAAGATGGCGCACTCCCCACAATTTGCTCAGCAGCCAATCAGCGGTGCCATGGCCAGAGATCGCTAGCACAGATCTTCAGGGTCGTGGTGGGGAGGGCGTTCGCAGGGAGACATGGCGGGGCGCCTCCTTCTTTTACCCGCGGCAACCGTCCGGCGATACGGGTAGTATAACGCTGGTGAACTAGGCCCGGTATTGATGAATTGTACATACAATACTTTGCCCTAGCAAAGAAGCATCCCAGAACTGCATCCGCTTTGCCTTAACCGGTTATCACAAGTGCCCCTACTATACGAAGTACGGGTACTTGTACATTACATATGGATGGTTGGCGCCGTTCTTACCAAATGTGAGCTATGACGTCATCAAGCGCCAGAGCCGCCCTCGTCTCTTGGTGCCAAGGCAGTGACATACCTACACACACCATCCGAATTACCAAGGCATGTACATAAATCGCTCCTGCGTGCTGACGGCACGTTGCTTGCGGGAATAGTTATCTCAAATTCGGAGTGCTGGGGTTCCGTGAACTGCGCTGGCGGTTGAATCACTTGAACTTTGGAGATGATTAGTGACCTTGGGGTGATTTGTCGCCCAGTATATTGTGGTGGAGGCAGGCAGGCCTGAATATGATGGACTTTAATTCCTACATGTGGATGCCCCTAGTTCTTGCTCAAGATTTTGTTGCACTTTCCACCTGTCTCTGGTTGGATTGCAACCGCATCGTATCTGTCTCCGAAGCGTAATTATGCACTTACACAGGAACTCGTAGCAGCGTCTCATCGTGGCTCAAACCCCGGCAGCATCTGAAACAACAGATGATCTCATCGATGGGGCGGAAGGGAGCACTTCTCTAGCCTCTCGGGCAATTGACTACCCGACAGCCGGGAAGTTTGGGCGGCGTGGGCGGGTTGGATGAATTCTTTCTTTTGTCGCACTTGTGCAGATTCGCATTCTGGGGTAAAAGGACCTCTAAAAGGTACTTTGACTACCTTAGGACTGTGTATGTATGTACAATACATACATACATTGTGATTGGTACAAACTTCTCGACAATATGAAGTTTCGGCCTATTGGTTACGCAGACTGTCGAGCATATTGCTGCTCTATCTACGAGTAGTTCGTATGTCATGTTGGTTCTTGGCATTGTTTGTCGTTCAACTTGACCAGGTGGACCGGGAATTTGCAAGAATACCATGCCATGGCCCATTCGAATTTGCTCAATTTCCAGAGCAAGAAAACCTGGTTTTGATGCTGCGCCACGCGCTGGACCCTGAATCTTGGATTGGCCATCTGTCACCTTTATGGCCACGAGGGCCATTGACAGATGGACCCCTATATCTAAATGGCCTTCGGGCCCCTTTTCAAATGTACGATACGAAATACTGTATGTATTTTGCTATGTACTGTACAGAGTACACAGTACTCAGTAATTTACCTCGCCCCGTCGTGGTGTGGGCACTCGAGTATTGTATTTTTCCAACACCCATATTCTTACACTTTACAAAGGTGTATACATACACCTGAAGTTGGTACTATCCTAGCACTATTCAGTCCCTTCTTTAGCGGAGCAAAGAGAATTTGTATCCATGGACCTTGCAGCCGAAAACCGGATCCAAACTTTTTGTTAAGCCCCCTTTCTGAGGACCTTCCTGATTCTGCTGGCCTCTCATGCCCCTCGCCTTTTCTGGCTCGGCCTGCATGACTAAGTGAACCATCCAATCCCTGGCCCACAACACACCAGTCAACCACGACCACACACCGCTCCTTCCCTTGCTCACCAAGGCGGCGACATGGTAGGGTGAGGACGGACAAGAGGTGACTTCAGGTACTTCAGGTACTTCACTCAACCCATGACACTGACATATAGATACCGCCACTAACACCTACCAAGAGCATAGGAACGTAAGGGGTACGCACCTAACTTACCTTAGGTATCCGAATGTACCATCAAATGGTATGAAATGTGGTTTTGTCAAAGGGAAAAACCGAGCAACTTCGGTCGATGACTGTCGAATTGCCCAAAGGGGACACGTCGTCAGTTCGACACAGTGAAGGACCTACCGGGCTACTCGAGTGTTGGGCCACGGAACGCGTTCAGCACCATCGCTCTGGTACAATAAGTACCTACCTACAGTACGTGCTCAGCGTGGCATTTAGGACCAGCCAGTGCGCAGTATTTCTGGGGTAGGGTCCATGTCGACGGAGAAATGCCGGCTTTGGCCTCGGCACACAGAGATGGTGTGATGCTGGCTCTCTTTCGACTCACTCGCCATTGCCTTCCCAAGAGCTACTCCCGGCCTCTCGTCCCTGCAGGGAAGACCATTGAGCCGGCCACAACTTGCCCCAGCTGTTGGTTTGTTCAGCCCCGAGCTGCTCTTCACTTTGTGTCCCTTCGTCCATCAGCCAGTTCAGACGCAGCTTGAGCTGAAGGCTGAGGTCGCAGGAGCCTTTGTCGAGTCTGTTCAGCTTCGTACCTCGGCCATCCAGAAGCCTCACTTGGGAGACAAGGGAATGCACATTGGAATTTGATTTTACCCGTGCTGATGCGACGCCGGAGTGTAGGATGGAGGAGGGACCCTTCGGATGTTGATGCAGTGCTTATTGCCGCGGTACGAGTCTCCGATGGCGTTAGTCTGGTCGCAAAGCCGCACCATTCGTCACCTTCCTGGCGTGCAGTTAGGTTGGATTGCTCCCATGGTTCGTCGTCGGCGGTTGGCTAACGCTGCACTGCACTGCGCTACTGCAGTGGCATGGGCTCGGGACATTGCTTAAGTTATTTCGTTGAACCTGTCTTCGGGACTGGCATCCGGCCATTACTTTATGTGTAACCTGGACCAGGAGGTGTAGGTGAGCTCCTTCGAGCCAGCCAAGGTATCGAAATAATGAGCGGTACTCTCTCGCTACACGGATGGATGGAGTATGGTAACTTATTACCCTTAGACTAACTTCAAGGAGTTCGCCTCTTGGAATCAACCTAGCCACCAAGGCGGCGATAAAACCTGAGGTCGGAATACGCCAGACATACGGAAAATTGCGCTGTGCATTGTGACACAGCTTAGTAGGCTATTAGTTCGTGTGATGGACTCTGTCATCCCCGACAGCCAAATTCTCCGACCTGGGTCCATGTCCGAGATATGGTCCGACCCCGCACAAGCTTACTAGTAGGGCTTGGATGTTTCTTGGTGCTGCCGGTCCTTTGGCTGATGATCTTTGCTTGGAGCCGTGGCCCTTCATTGCTGAACCGACTCCTGAGTAGAACTAGTAGTTGTGTGACAGTACCCAAATGCTCCCGACGGAAGGCAAGTATTCAAGCTATCTTCCATGATTACAATCTTAGGAGGCAATGATGCACTTTATACGACAACCGAATGTAGATAGGCGGGCAGACGGCGTAACGGTCTGGAGAAACCTAGCAGACCGCTGGATGGGGCCTGTTACCTTGCTCAGTCTAGACCCTCCAAGATTCCTTCATAGCTTCGAAACGTAAATACTGGCATCCTGAGCAATGAACAGCTTCGACTACGACAAGAACGAGCCGCAAATGTCGGATGGCTACGTGATGTGAGCCGGAAAGCTCTCGGATTGAGCTCCTTTCGTTTCGTGGTCGAGCCTATCCCTCTACTTGGATATATTACTCTTCCAACTACTTAGTTTCTAGAAGAATGCCTGCGTAACGACCGAATTCTCCGTAAACAGTATGGGATTGAAAGTCGTGGTATTGTTGAGAAGGCGGACGCAGCTGTGAACTAATTCAGTTATCACAGGGCTCGCAATCCGATACCCCCTGAAGTAAACAAACAAAGATCAAGACCAATTGAACATCATCCCCACTCTCCCCTGGATGACGCTCGAGTGTGAGTCAGATTTTAATACCTTGATACGGGAGCAAAGCGGTTAACAAATCTCCTCAATTCATACGCTTATTCGGTACATGCTCTCGTGTACAAGTGCTTGGGAATAAACATACCCTAGACGCCTCTCCAGCAACCACACCGAGCCAGAATCCTATCACACTAAAGCCCCTTCCATGTATTAGAGGGCAGGACACACCTCCAGCAAAGAATCTCGTCTGCTACTGCCTGCCTTGCCCTGATTTAACCCCTACTGTCACCCTTTCCCCAGCCCAACCTTTCCAAGCACCCGCCCTCTTTCTCTTCTCCCATCAGCCAGAAGAACGGAAAGGGCAAGGAATATCCCACTATCATCAGCCCTGTCCTATATCATAGCATCCTATTCCCGCAGGGAGGAGAGAAGGGAATCAGAGAACAATGGCCAAGTCGCCTCTATCAATCCCTTCCTCAACCAAATTCGGATAATACGGCACCATGGCGTCGGCGCCCTGCACATAAGCATCGTTATACAGCCGCCAATACGGCGTGCGGACCTTTCTGGCTGGGTGGAACAGGCCGGCCCAGACGTAATTCAGAACAAGGCCCGGGCCGACGGCCATCCTCACGGCCTCGATGGCCTCGACGATGCGGTCAATGACGTGGGGGCTCGTCTCAAAGAGGTTCGGATAGAGCAGGTTGAGCAGGTGCACCATGGCGTCCTCGCAGCCCAGGCCGACGACGCCGAGGGCGATGTGCTTGACCACGCTGGCGGCCGTCTGACGGTGCACCTGATCGCGGTCGATCAGCGCGTCCTCGAGCAGAGGGGTGACGGCGTAGACGTAGTCCTTTGCCATCTCGCCAATGTACTCGAAGAGGAACGAGAGCGACTTGAGCACGCCGTTTTGCACGTTGAGCTCGGGCACGCGGTACTCGTTCATGAGGGCAGGCAGGACGGTGAACGGGGCGCAAGTCTCGGCCACGATGCCTATGGCCACGGCCGTGTTGACACGCGACTGGCGCTCCTGCACACGTAGGTTGTTCAGCAGCGTGGCGAGCACATCCTGCGGGCCGATGGCCTTGGCGATGAAGCCAAACGTGTTGTTGGCCGCCCGCCGGATGCCCTTCTTGTGCGCCTTCAGCATGTCGAGCAGTTCAAAGCAGATGCGCATCCACTCGCGCGCATTGACGCTTTCTGGCCCGCGGTCGGCAATACGGCCGACTAGGTCGATGGTGTTCTCCTGCACCTTTTCGTGGCGGTTGCGGAGGATCGGCGTCAACCGCGGAAGGAGATCTTTGATAGGCGGCTGCATCTGACTGATACCTACGACGGTAACGATGGAGCGGAGAGCGCCGAGGATGGAGCCAAGCACTTCGGGATATTCCTCGCCAAGGTACTCGTACAAGACGATGCCGAGCTTGCCCATGAGGGCGTCCTCGCCGCACTGTTTCATGACCATAGCAATCCGTGAAACGAGGTCGGCCGCCTGCTGCCGGACCGTGGGGGACTTGTTGTTTAGACGCCAGAGAATGGTGCTGACAATCTGGGGTAGGTAAGGCTTGCAGCGGGTTCCGAGGGCGTTCACCACGGAGCCAAATCCGTTGAGCATGACAATGTCCTCCACGGTCTGCTCCTGGAACGCATGCAAAATGCCGTCGATGAGTCGCTCTTCGAGCCGCTCGCCAATATCGGCGGCACCGAGAGAAGCTACTATCTTCTCCACCGTCTCCACCGTCATTTTGCGGTAGGCTTCGCTCTCGTCTTTCAGATTGCCCACGATTCTCTCGAGAATCTCGCTGACACCAACCTTTTGACCGATGTCCACCGTGGTCTCAACCACCTGCCGGTAATTCCGCTTATCGAGAGCCATCCGGCGCACCCAAAAGTTCTTGAAGAACTCGTCAAGCACGTGCTCCTTGAGATATCCAGCCGTGACTCCGTCTGTAGCGGCGCATTGCGAGATGACCTTCAAGACAACCTTCTTCATCTCCTCGTCAGGTGAAGCAAACTCGCGCAACAAGATTTCCATAATCTGACTGGTGTAGTAATTTGCGTAGTCTTCGTCCATCAGTGGAATGATGTAGCCGACAGCTTTGAGAAAGCCGGCTAGGCCTTTTCCTCGCTGCTTCCGAGCTCCGGTCCACAGGGGGTTGAGGATGTCGTCGAAACTCTCGATACCGTACGGGTTTGATGCCTCGGCCAGAGCTGCGATGGCCAAGCTGGTAACAGTCCGCACTTTGGTCTGTTCATCATTAAGATTCGGCCCGATGCAGCTGACCAGCTGCTTCAAATGGGGCAACACCGCGCAGCCCATGAGAATGGGAATCTGTTGCACAATCTTAACGCCAGTATGGCGCGCTTGCCAGGACTTCTTGCTGCGGCAGACAGCCCTGAGGAAGGGAAGGAGGGCGGGGATACCCAGAGCAGAGGCCACAACGGCGAATGCTCTGGCGGTGGTGTTTCGGACGTACTCGTCGACGTGGTCAATATCGGGGCGCATGACGCTAATCATGGTTGCAAGACCAGCAGCTTTGCTGAGGTTAGAGATAATTTCGCGACCTTCCACCCGAGCGTAATAGTCTTGATCGATGAGCAGCGGCTCGATGACGACCAGGATCTTGTGTACATAAGGACGGACCATGTCATCCAGCTTGTAGAGGATGCGGTCGATGACCTTGACGAGGAGATGGCGCTCTTGATCCTCCAATGTTTTCTCCATAAGGAGGGGCAGAATCTGGTTAAACAGCGGGCCGGCACCAAAGTTGCGCGCGTTATCTGTAAGTTGTCTGAGCGCAGTCTTCCTCATAGGAGGAGTGCCATTCTTGACCTTCAGAAGGAGCCGCATGATTTTCCTCTCCTTGAGTTCTTCGACGCTGAGCTCATCTTCGTTGGAGCCATCTGTCAGTTTGCCAAAATAAGCCATATCTTCAGGCTTGAAGAATTGGAGGTCACCGACACCCGGGATTTCCTTGGGCATCTGCTGGCCGGTGATCCGCCCGCTGTCGGGGTCTTGCATCATGAACCCGGTTGCTGGCATAGGCACCGTTGCGAGCTTATGGGCCGGTGCCCGTATCGGCGCGTAACCCGGCGGAGGCTCGAGAATCTTGTAGCCCTCATCCGGGCCAGGGAGCATGGCGTCCAGCTCCTCGTCGCTGAGAGGCATGTATCGACCTGCGTCGGTGCCAAAAGCTGCTGGGAGAGCAGCGCTCTGAGACGGGTGCATTGGCGTAGCCAGACCGGTGGGGGCAATGGGTGTGGCGGATGGGGCCTGATCCCACCTGGACCGTTTCTTGGGTTCTGTCGCTGCGCCGACGACCGGGACTGAAGGTGCTTGATCCCACCGCGACCTCTTCTTGGGCTCGGCTGGTGTAGGAGCAGCTTGCCCGCCGGCAGTGTCGTCCGAAGTAACATCCCATCTCTTCTTGCGCTTGCGGCCCGCCGCGGCGGCCTCGGTAGATCCAGCATCCGCATTCTCCTTGTCGCTGACATCTTTAAGCATGGGTTTGTGCTCGTCGACGGGACCTTCCTTCACCTTCTGCTCGATGGCGCGACGGACGCGTTCCTCTTCACGCTCGAGTTCCCGTCGCTGAATAATATCGCGGTAAGTCTCGCCCTCGTCGGCGGCGCCGGCCTGGCGGTTGGCGGCAAACGGATCCGCGCGTGTTGGGGTTAGAACGCGGTCGAAGCGGCGTTTTTGATAGTCTGTCTCACGGTCCGCGATGCGGGTGCTCCGCTCGCCACGGCCAGCGAGAGGGTCATCTTCCTCAACGCCACTGCCGCGGGCAAACTCATCGATCTGGGAACGAGTCGCCGTGTACTGGCCGACTAAACGGCGCGAGCCGTCGCCGTCGGCGTCAGCCATATCCTCGTCATCATCGCCATCGACGGCAGGCAGGGTCCGGTGATAGCCCGAGAAGCGGTCGCCATTTTCGCGGTCATAGAGCTCTGTGTCCCAGGCTTCACTGAGCTTGGCCTTGGTGGACGAGTCAGCACGCTGGTTGGCGGGATCAAAGGTCCGAGAACCTTTCTTTGCAGCGGCGGCGGCGTTGCGCTCAGCCTGGAGCTTTCGGATCTGCTCAAACTCGGCGTCCGACATGGTGCTGCTGCCCGCGGAATGCAGTGCTCATCCCATTCGGTTCTGTAGGTGACGGACGACACGGTGATACGGCACAGAGATGATGCTTATCGGACTCTTCGCCGAATAATATCGTGTTTGCGATTAAGAAGTGGATGACAATTGCGATGGAAGTTGGTGTACCGATGAGGCCTGGCGTTGCTCGTGGTTGTGGTTGAAATTTTGGCGACGGCAGCCTGCCCACAAGACAAGGCTAACGCCATGAGGCGCTTGGCCGTAACAACGTACCATTAGCGTTGTAACAGGGTAGCGTGATACCGCCACAAATCTCACAGGTGAAGTCTGGACGCGCCAATCCGAGGCCGTTGTGAGGCGTTGAGGGTGGCTGATGCTGTGGCGGAGTGGGTCATATTTTGTGAGGTGTGCCAAATCTGCCCTAGCGGTAACGTGGGTAATGCATGTCGTCGTTACCGTTACATTTCAGATGAAAATACCGGTACTATACAACCCCATTCAATTATCTAATCAGACATTCCCAACCTCATGTGGATTTATTTCATGGTTGTTCCTCCCTCAAACCCAAGTTGATGATCAGCATTGCATCAAAGAGTCAGGCCAGGCAATACTGGTATTAATTCTACCTTACTTCCACTACAACAGCAGGGTTCTTTTCATCGAAAATGGACTCGCTCGACGACTGCTCTCTGTATGCCGAGCTGCTCGTGAATATCCGCCAGATTTCTTTGGCTGCATCGCTTCCCTCGCCAAGCGACATCTCAACCCAGGTTGCGTTATCAGCCGATGGCAGGACCGTCAGGCTCAGTCATCGGGGACAGGTCTGTCAGTTGACCCTTCCAGCCAAGGTGGCTCTCGGTGGCACACTGCTTCCTGTCCAGGACCAGCAAAAAGGTGCCACAGGTCTGTCATGGCGGCTACCTCTCGACGCCTCATCCATTCCATCACTAGCTCACCAGCCCGATTCTCCGCCATGGTCGGCAATGGATCTGAGGCCCAACTCAGAAGTTGCTTGCAGACAATGCAACACCGTTGTGGTTCCCGGTGACGCCGTCAAAGTTTGGAAAGATCTCCCTAGCGAGAACTGGGCCGAAATGATGGAGTTCTGGCATTGCCACAAGCCTGACCATGGCAAAGACTCTGGTAAGGCCGATGAAAAGACTCTTTCCACGAGGGGCTATGGTGCCTCCTCCGCCATTACAGCTCAGAAGGGTGTCGGTTTTGTGGATCTCACGACGCTTCTTTTTGCCGAGAGTGATTGCCGGAATATCATGGTAAGTTGTTTGCTGCTGCCGAGTGTCTCGTCAACCTGGTGGATTCTCTCTGGCTCCAGCCTTGTTAGTGAAAATACCGAGCACGAGGGCATCAAGAAGGTAGCCAAGTCGGCTTTTCGGCCTCGATGGCGTGGTTACCGATACAAATGCCCCAGATCAACATACTGGCACATGTCCCTGCCCGCGCAGGCCACCGGTTAAGTCATGAACCTCCCCAATGGGGATGGTTCATTTCTCACTGATGGACGGCCAGCCCTCTGCATTTCGCCGGATTTATTCACGAGTCAAGAATGATCGGGGATGGATAGAGGGACATGCCTCAACACCCTCTAGCCTCTGTCAGTCGGCGGCTGACCCTTGGTCTGCTCTTAGTTCTCGCTGTCTAGCTATGAGCACGGTTTAGCGGATAGGCCGAGCCTGGCGGAGGAAGCTTCCATGGTGTCTCCGCCACGCAACCTCAATGTCTTTTGCTCTTCCTGCCAAACTCAGCTAGGTTTTTTCCATTTCCGGACCGCGGCAGTCACCCTGCTCAAGTGGCAGATATCTTGCCAATCCGTGTCGAGTGCTGCTCCTGGCATAGCAGAGTGCTTCGCTGCCACCCTCATCGCAACAATATCACGGTCTGGCTCCTCCAAGTCCTTGATAACTCCAATGAGCGGAACTGCCCAAGAAGCCGATGACAATGCCTCTAAACAAAGTGCAATTCACGTATGGGTGTTGAATAACACCATCGTGTACTCATCAAGCCGAGTTCCGGAATGCACGCCCGCTGTCAAGCTTTTGTTCAAGAGGATACCTCGCGAAAAGGCTGAGCGAATGCTGGAGGCGATAACCTGCGATGCCCAAGAGATCAGCCTACCTGCCGATGCGCTTAACGAGGTGCTGAGGCATCTAGAAGACAGCAATTCACTGTTGCCACCCGCAGAACGGGTGTTTAGGGGCTGGAAAGTCGGCTTGCTTACGAGATATAAACCGGACAGCCCAGATCTTCATAAATGAGACCAATCCAGTACCTCTAAATTCATGCCCAGCAATAGATGCTTGATATTTGATTGCTCTTTGGCTTGCGGATTCTGCAGGCCTTGCGCGAAAAACAAACAAGTCTGGATTCCTATCCTATCTGCACATTCGTATTATGCCCTACTCCGTAGATCTCGCCATATACCCATCCGGGCCCTAACCGCCATCCTCTACCATAACCCCTGAAAGCGCAAACTTGACACCTAAGCAACATAATGGTCATCTCACCCTGCTACATTGATCTCGTGGCCTAGCTCAGAATGACCGGCCGCCGAGGACTGGTCACGGCTGCCCCTGGCGGCGCCTAACCCTTCAACATGTGGTTTGAACCCACACCCTGCCCCGGCTCTAGCAGCAGACGGCGCTCTAAGAGCCCTTCTGGGCCGCTTATAACTTTGCAATCAACGTCCGGCGCCACACACACCAACCTGCCCAGAGATGGCACGTACCCACCTAAAGCTGCCTGGGACGGCTGTTTATCCCCGAGGCTTGTGCAGAAGATGCGGTGATGGCACCGCATGCAAGAGGCCCGCAGTGGGTTTCCTTTCTATTCTTGAAGCAGGGCACAACGTGGGTTGCAGTCAATATCGATGGAATCCGTCGAACTAGACCTGATTCGAGTTTGAAATCCATCCTGAAGGTGGTTAGTTTGGCCTTGTTTAAACTTGAGCCCGACCGCTCCCTCATGTGGCTGCAGTTTTCCTCCGTTTACTCCTTCGCAGGGAAGTCTCCGCTTCAACAAGCTTTATTGACGTCTGCTGCGTTCTAACCGTCGTCTGTTGGACTGTCGTTGTTTCCCGCTTCTTGCTCCGGCTGACCGTCTCGATGGTAGCCATCATCTTAGTCTCCTCAACTTTCACAGTGGTTTCTCGGCCAATGGGTGCTAAGTCCTGGACAACCGCAACATCCTTCGACTCCATCACCTCGGTGACTACTCCGGAATTCTTGGAGGAAGCTTGCTCGGCAAAGGACTTCAGGTTCGCCGTGAAGAGCACACTCTGTGCCCAGCCAGCCAGCGGGCCCCATATCTTGCGGAAATGGTCGCCGACGGCGTCGTACATGGTCTTTGTAAAGGTCTTGGTCTTGCTGGCATTCTTGAAATGATAATCGCGCTGTGCGATTTGCCAAACGTGGGTATCGACAGGTACAGCTTCCCACCAGCCGAGCCCCATCAAGCAAACACAGTCCGCAACCTTGGGGCCCACACCGGGAAGGGTCAGAAGAGCCTCATGGGCAGCCCGGTAGCTTGCCGGTTCCGCACTAGCTTTGGTGGCGTCGTCATCTCGTTCAACGCCGGCCTGGGGTGTCGCACCGAATGCCGGACATTTGGGGTTTCGCAACCGGAGAAGCCAACCTGGGCTATGGAAATACGCCACGATTTCGGCCGTCTCAGCGATGTATTTGGCTCGGTAGCCAAACCCCAGTTCTCGGAGGTGTGCTTCAACGTGTTTCCCTGCCAAAGCCTCTGGCGGTGGAAAATCGTGGAACGGGATGCCCGCAATGGTACCAATATATGGGCCGTAGTGGTTGCACAGCTTTTGAACCATCTGGCTGATGCGAGATATGTTGTTGTTGCTGCTGCATATGAATGAAACCAATGTCTCCCATGCGTCCTGGTTCAGGATCCTGATGCCCGTGAAGGCCGGGGCACGACGGGCGAAATTGGGGTCTGACGCAGCCCATTGCTTGTAGAGTGATGACAATGAATGCGACAAGGCGAAATAGCTATGCAGAAGGGATCCGGTATCATCTTCACCATCATCTTCGCTAACCCCCGTGTCGCTGTCTGCTGGCGAAGCAGAAGCCAACGAGAGCGATTCTGACTGGGTTGGAAGTGAAAGAGCTGCCTTGGGCCATGTTACTTTATAATGCAGATGGGAAGGATCCTGCTTGAGTGAGACGATACGGCCTTTCAGCACACAATGCCTAGCAGCCAGTTAGAACCGAGACTACATTGAATGGAACAGTTTCTTCCAACCATTCATCGTTGATCTTCCGCCATCGAAATGATTCTGAAGCCCATGTCAGTGACTTCCAACCTTTAGCAGAGACTAGACAGTGTTCAGTATGACAAGGAGCCTTTGTGTTCTAGGATGTGAAGAGTAAATGCGGGTTGTGAGAAGGTGGAAATGGCAGGTACAAACATACGCCCACAGCGAAGGGTTGTGTCGACGCACAGCTCAGAGAGACTCAGGGGCAGCTTCCGCCACTCAGCTACTCTTTGTGCCCCCATTGAGATGCTGGCAAAAAGAAAGAAAAGAGAGGCAGAAATGACTGAAATGAGGGATGATCAAGGTGCGAGCGGCACCATTAGGATTAGAGCTAAGGTAAACGAAAGTCAGCAGGTGCAAGCTGAATGTGCAATACAGCGTGTAAGAGTGAGTTCAAGTGTTCTGTCTGCATGAGATAGGCAATTGTATACTTGCCCAGCACAGCGTTCTTGCACAGAACAGGTTCAGGAACGGTGGCGGATAACGATACCTTAGTAGTGCGCTAATACCAGAATAGACTAGCGTGGCTGCTCTAACGTTAAGCACGGTGCACCCGCATGCTTGCCCACTCGAAAAAAGTTCCAGCCTCGCGTTCAGCGGCGACTAACGTTGGCGTTATCGCATCCAGCTCCAGCCACTGGTATCCCCGTCGACGGCACGAAAATTCCTGCATCATCGTGTGCCTACAGGGAGCCGACGCCAATATGAACGGGGATAATTATTCCTCTAGAGGTGTGTTTCTCTCGGCGTTCTCGGCGTTCTCGGCTCATTAATTGATTCTAACTGATGTGACACAGACAGCGGCCGACACGGCTCCTCTCGCGACTACCAGGTTCGCAACCCATGACCCGCATCATCAGTTGTAGTGAAGCTGAAGCTAATCAATTATACAGTCATCTAGGCGTGATCGCGATGACAGGCGCGATCGCGGAGACACTCGAGACCGAGGAAGCGGACGCAGGCGGTCCCGATCGCCTGACTACCGCAGCGGCCGACCCCGTCGTGAAGATGGCGATATCGATGCGTATTCTTCCAGCAGGAGTCACCGCGACCGTGAGCGCGAAGATCGTTACTCGGGCCGCGACCGTCGCGGCGCCGACCGGGGCGATAGAGAGTGGGAGCGCGACCGAGGCGGCCGAAGTCGCCGCGAGGACGATGACCGGCGGGACCGTCGTCAAGAGCGAGATCTGGCCGATGATCGTCGTGGACCTAGGCGTGACCGGGACTTTGAAAGGGAGCGTCCGCCTCGGCGGAGCGCGTCACCCCCACCCAAGAAACGAGAACCCACACCCGACCTCACCGACGTCGTACCTATTTTGGAGCGGAGGCGCCGTCTGACACAGTGGGACATCAAACCACCCGGCTATGATAATGTTACTGCCGAGCAGGCCAAACTTTCTGGCATGTTCCCACTTCCTGGTGCACCCCGTCAGCAAGCCATGGATCCTACAAAACTCCAAGCTTTCATGACCCAGCCTGGGGGCGCAGTGAATAGTTCTGCCCTTAAACCCTCTAATTCCCGCCAAAGCAAACGCCTAATCGTCTCAAACCTACCCGCCTCAGCGACTGAAGAAAGCCTTGTCAACTTCTTCAACCTTCAACTCAACGGCCTGAATGTCATTGAGAACGCCGATCCCTGCTTGCTCTGCCACATCTCTCCCGATCGGACGTTTGCCATGCTTGAGTTCAGGACTAGCACGGATGCGACGGTTGCTCTGGCGTTTGACGGCGTGACGATGGAGGCCGAAGACGATTCGCACGCTACCAACGGCAACGGTGCGGCCCCTCGCGGTCTGCACATCCGCCGGCCAAAGGACTACATCGTGCCTGCCATTGTTGAGGATCCAAACTACGACCCGGATTCTGACGTGCCATCGAGCGTGGTGCTAGACAGCCCCAACAAGATAAGCGTGACGAATATCCCACTTTATCTGACGGATGACCAAGTTATGGAGCTCTTGGTCAGCTTCGGCAAGCTCAAGTCGTTTGTGCTAGTAAAGGACAATGGCACACAAGAGTCGCGAGTAAGTAGACCCTCACTAGACCTACTGAAAGGCATTGGTCTGGCAACATGAGCTGACACATCTTCAGGGAATCGCCTTCCTCGAGTATGCCGACTCCAGCGTAACCAATGTCGCGATCCAGGGCTTAAACAACATGACGCTTGGTGAACGGGCTCTCAAGGTCCAAAAGGCGAGCATTGGTATCACACAGGTTGCCGGAGAGATGGGCGTAAATGCTATGTCTATGCTCGCAGGGACGACATCCACCGACTCTGAAGTCAGCAGGGTCTTGCAGCTCCTCAACATGGTCACCCCAGATGAGTTGATGGATAATGATGACTACGAGGGTAAGCCAGTCACGATGCCAACTCCCCCCTCGCCCAGTTTTCCTACTAACGCAACGCCGCAGAAATTCGTGAGGATGTCCAGGAGGAATGCGAGAAGTTCGGCACCATTCTATCCCTCAAGATCCCAAGACCGATCGGGGGCAGCAGGCAATCAGCCGGTGTGGGCAAGATTTACATCAAATACGAGACTCCCGAGATGGCGACGAAGGCTTTGAAGGCCCTCGCTGGAAGGAAATTCGCCGACCGCACGGTCGTCACCACATACTTTCCTGAGGTAATGCACAATGCTGATATACTGCATAATCTCTGTCAACTGACAACATCACAGGAGAACTTTGATGTGAACGCTTGGTGATGATCAGGTGATGATCAAGGATGAATGGCGGATGTTGACGAGTGAGGCTATTTTCTGGGGCTGTGGGAGCTGGGTTTGAGATACGGCCAGCGATGATGAAACGGTCGAAGTCTCTCACGAGCACGAGGCTCTCTCTGCGAGCACTGTGGGATATAAAGTGAAATGTACAATTACTCGGGCGAAATCGGTTGCACTGCATGAAACACTCCGGGATGCCGGCAGATAGCTGGGGAGTGGTTGCATGCGGTTGGCACTCTCTCGACAGGTTGCTCTATCAAACTCTAGGTAGTTGAGGGAGACTGTCGTTCTATTTGATGTACGGATATCCAGTGTTGCTATTTAAGAGCAGCACTTTTCTACAGATCAATGAACAGGTCAGACACAACAAATCTAGATCAGAATGGCCCGAGTATCCGGATACGCTTCTATTTTTCGTATGCGAAAAACCTGCTGAGCAAGTTAGTGCTCAGCCCCATCAAACAGTGGTTGAGAATAAGAGTGGAAAGGCCAGAAGATCAGAAGTCCAGTTCATTCATCGAGCCCAAAGGACTCTAACATAAGAGGTACCAGAATTAAGAAAACAAAGGTTGTTGCTCATCAGGAGAGTTGGCTGGAGGTAGGGAAATGACAAAGGATGCTAGACTTACAGTATCAAGTTCGAGCATCAACCTAAGAACGTTTGATTCCAGTGATGGAGCAGGACTTCTTGACTGCCCTTGGCTTCGAAGCTCGTCGACTGCTAGCAAGGAGCAAGATTTGTGCTGCAGGAATTTCTTGAAAGATAAATGGAACTCGGTAACTGCCCCACACTTGTCACAGACATCACATGATCGGACACGTGAAGTCTTACACCTATTATAGCCAATCAAGGGTGACCATAACCCAAAGCAATTTTGTCCGCCCACAGCGAATTATCCATTGCAGCACCCAGTGGTAGATTTCGCCGAAGCCTGCCTCGACCTCTCAATTCTTCAGCCCAGCGACCAAACGATCCCCAACACCCAGATCGCCGACTTCCGCCACCGACACCGACAAGATGGGCCGTCTTCACAGCAAGGGAAAGGGCATTTCCAGCTCTGCCATCCCCTACTCGCGCAACCCGCCCGCATGGCTCAAGACCACCCCGGAGCAGGTCGTTGACCAGATCTGCAAGCTCGCCAAGAAGGGCGCGACCCCCTCCCAAATTGGTGTCATCCTCCGTGACTCCCACGGCATTGCCCAGGTCAAGGTCGTCACTGGTATGGTTTCCTTTCCCGTTCCGGGACGTAGAGCGAGGTTTGAGATGATGGTTGCTGACGGTCTGGGATACAGGTAACAAGATCCTCCGGATTCTGAAGAGCAACGGTATGGATTGAGCGCCTTTTCTTGGAAATGATCGAGGAGAGAATGAATTGGACACCCCAGCTATGCGGAAAAGCGCCTCACTGGCGCACGAACCACAAAACTTGACGGTTTGTCACGCACGAGTTGGCGAATGACATCCGCAAGGAACTAGGGGATAGAAAAAGAGGCGGAATATATATGCCTCTGTTTGGTCAAACCAGGCTGACAGAGTGATGGCGTGACAGGCCTTGCCCCCGATATCCCGGAGGACCTGTACATGCTTATCAAGAAGGTATGGTCTCCTTTTGCGCCTCGTCACTACTGCTGCTGTATGAAGCTAATTCGCAACCCAAGGCTGTTGCCGTTCGCAAGCACCTTGAGCGCAACCGCAAGGACAAGGACTCCAAGTTCCGCCTGATTCTCATCGAGTCGCGTATCCACCGCCTGGCCCGCTACTACAAGACCGTTGGTGTCCTCCCCCCTACCTGGAAGTACGAGTCCTCGACTGCCAGCACCATCGTCGCCTAAGCGAGCGGCGTATAGCCAAGCCGAACGGAGCGAAGAGTGGGACGGCGAATGGGCGCCGTGGGAAAATCGTCTGGTTCTTTGCAGCTATTGGCGGCCCGGTCTGGTCTAGGCCATTGGAGTTGGGGAATGGAAAGGAAACTTGCATTCTAGAGAACACTGCAACAGGTGCAGCGATTCTATGACTGGCTCTTTGCCCAAAGTCGCATTGAGCACAGTCAAACCATGATGATGTAGAGGGATGAAGTCGCGTAAATGCGTTAGTCCTCTATTCCTGCCTGCCCATGTGATGCCCATGGTATCTCTGTACAACCTGTGACTTGAACCAGAAGCCCCCCTGAACTCCGTTCCACCCCAGAAATAGCTTCCCCTACCAATGTAACCTCACCTTCCCGAGAACTTTCCTGTTCTTCTAATGGACCCAAATTGGTCAACCAGGAGTACAACCAGACACCCGCAAACGTATTATGTATCTTCCTACGGCGCAGCAGAATTCGAATTCGATCCTCCCCCGGCTTGTCCACCCTCCAATTCCCTTGACCGCTGAAGTAAAAACTCCCCCAAGACTCGCAACGGATCCTTGGGCCTGGTTGTCATCCGTTTAGTTACTGCTCGTCCCATTGATCAGAAGATAGGACTTACTGCTCCCGAGCCACAAGCTTCATCCCTTCCAGCAGCACCCCGGTAATCTTTGTGTTGATGTACTGCCGCACCGGCGCCCCGTGCGGTGCCGCCTCCGAGGGCATGGTGAAGCCTGGGGCAGGGCCGGCGGCGGGTTCGGGATGCGCCGATGCTGCTCTAGAGGTGCTTGACCCTCGTTGCTGCTGCTGTTGTTGTTGTTGCTGTTGGTCGGGTATGGGAGCTGCAGCTGTAGGCGGTGGTGGGATTGTAGGGATCGGCACTGGCGTCGTCGAATACGTTCCCGGCAGAGATGGCGGCGCTGCTGCTGCTGAGGAGTGGTCCTGGAGGGGGGAGCGAGAGAGGGTTAGTTTTGTGGGGACAAGGCGGTTGTCCGATTGAAAGGGGCGCTTGTGAAAGGTCGGCGGGGTGTAAAAAGGTGGAAGAAGAGGATCAAAAGTAATGGCATGGCCGCGGAGCATGGGATTGACTAGAAGAATTGACGTACAGCTGCCGGCTGGTCCGACGGCGCATCTGCCATCTGGATGTCTGCGGTTTCGGAGGGAACAGAACGGCCATTGACGGCTTCTGGCCCCATATCTTGGTTGTGCGTCCCTGTGGTGGCCATAGTTTTGTCTTGTTCTGACATGATCTGTACGTGGTATGTTTCCTGCACATTGACAAGCCTTGTTGAAGGTTGAAGGGAATCGAGGTTTGGAAACGCCCACTTGCAGGCAGGCCCCACTACACACGCGTAATCACGGGATCCCGTGTTGAGAGAGCAAATGAGAGGACGGTCAACTCGCGAGTTGTCGCTGCCTGGACAAGAAATCTAGAATTCAATCATCCCACATATCGCTGAGCAACGGTGCTGGAAAACCACTATGGGAAAAGCGGCGCAGAAGGCCCTCACTTTTACATCAAGATGGATCGCTTTGTCCAAAGGTCCAGACCCCGGAACGATTCCAACAGGACCACGGAATCGAGGCAAGATGGACCTCCGGTAAAGAAACCAAGGCTTGAGGAGGTCAGGGATAGCGATGAGGACGATGAAGCTTCATCTTACATGTCCGCCAATGGCGATGACGATGATGCATCCACCTTGAACAAGTTTGGGCCAGACTCCGACATTGTCGACGAGGATGGCCCATCCCTGGACTCCCCGCCCCAACGTCCGACTGCATTCGAAAACTCGCTTCCTGCGGTGGCCACAGATCAGGAAGCCATTGAGGAGTATGAAGCCATGCGAGCATCTCAGTCTTCACAGAACGAACCGGCCGATGCATCCGCACCGGCAGATCAACGTCACTGGGTTCGAGGGAACAGCTCCATCTATGTCGACGCGTTCAATCTCGCTTTGGACACTGTATTGGAGGACGAGGCACATCTCTTTGACGCCAAGGAAATGTGTGTCTTTGAGCAATGGAGAGCTTTGAGCTATGAAGCCCAATATCTGTAGGTCGTTCTACCACGATGCCCTTCCCAGTCGACTAACGTTTGCAGTTATGTACGCCTCTTCTTGCGCAAGACTGCCTTGTGGCATCGTGTTGAGCGCTTAGCCTACCACAGCGACATCTCTGACCTTGACCTTGCTATTACCCACCTTCTTGAACCTCGAATCCTGCCTGAGGAAAAGGGTAGTTCCGGATCCAACTGCCATCCTCTACATGAAGGGCAGGACTGGTCGCTCGATTCCACGTTTACCTTTGCTGACAGCTCCGACTTGCACATCAAAGATGTCGAGGAGGCTGCTCCTTTGCTCAGTCTCGACGAGCTGAAAACGCTTGCCAAAGAGGCAAAAGTGCAAGGAAACAACAAGGCCAGCCTCCTCAAGGCCTTCTGTCATGCAAGTGCCCGTCAGTCGGGCCTCATGGCTTGCGGCTTGCGGCGCTCAAGCACAAACGCCTCGGCAGACTCAAGCGTCACTGAAGCCGAAGACGAGAGCTCGGTGAAGCAAGAGGCAAACCGAAATACACACTTTCTGAAGAAGATCCTTGCCATCACGGGGCCGCTTATCAGGCTTTCGGAACCTGTCTTCAAGTTGTTCGAGCGCGTGCATTTGGTGTTCTACCGATCAACTGAATGGACAGAAAAGTCACTCACAACAATCATTCTGGCTAAGATGGCAAAGCGTAACTTTCCAGAATACATTGTGTGCCGATCATCCAACATCTTCAGATCCCGCCGACACCTGCTCGAGTTTGAGCACTCGATGAAAAAGGAATTCGAGCTAGACAGCATCTTCGAGTTTAATGGTCCTCCCGGGGAGGAAGGGTTCCGCAAGATTCTGGACATCTTTGAAAGCATCTCAAGTCGCTGGAGAGAGCTTCTTCGAGAGGAAGCTTACCGAGAAGAGCACGTCTACGAATTTAGGGAAGGGGCGTATCTTCGTCGATTCAACCCCGGCCATGCCTTTACCCGAATTGCACACAAGGCAGCCCATGTTCTCGGCCGTCTCCATCGGTACAAGGAGGAGCACGAACTTCTTACCGAGCTCCTCAACCAGCATCTCTTCCATCCAGCCCGGCGCGGATCCTGGTATCAGCGCAGAGCCTTGCTGGAGGAGCGATATATGTGGGAGGCGGACCCAGCCCCTGTAGCGACCGATCCTGAGGTGCGAAAGAAACACTGGCAGCGGATCGCCGTGACCACTTGCGAAGCAGGTCTCGAGGATCCTGACTGCCATCTGATCTATCACCACGACCTGCAAAAGCGGCTTCTCAGACTCGAAAAGAGGCTGCGCGTTCCGCGCCGTTTGCAGCATGACTTTGGCCATGTGAAGCTTCGCGAGCCCGAAGAGCATATTGTGAAAGGCGTCCAACTGCTACGCGATGACGTGGATCCCAAAAGCCAGGGTGGCCGGGGGCTCAGCACCAAGACAATATGGCTGGACGAATTGGGGGATCCAGGGGTGGACGGTCAGCCGCTCCATGTCAGCGTTGAGGAAATGTGCCTGTCGCATTACCGCAGGCAAGGCTGGAAGGGGTTTCACAGCGAAGGTGGCATCCTACGAACCATCTTTGCCTATCTGTTCTTCGATGTGCTCTTCGTCTACGTCCCCAACGTATTTCAGACAGCTTACCAAACCTGCCCCCTCGACCTGCACACGGATGCGTTCTACCCGGCTCGCGCCAGCCAGATAAACCACCGACTCGTCGAAATAGGAAATGGAGGGGCGGAGCAGATTCTGCGAGAGGTTCACAAACGCGAGCACGACCGCCGCACCTGCGTCGTGGGGCTGAATTGGGACTTTGATGTTGAGGACTTGGCTGAGCTGGTCAGCTGCTTCGACGGAGAGGCGCTTGCCGCCGTGTGCAAGGTCATGGCACAGGAATACAAGGCTCGTGGAAGCGGCGTGCCGGACCTTGTTCTGTGGCGGATAGAGAGAAGCGAACCACAAGATGACTGTCGCATCAAGAACGGCCAAAAGGGGGAGGTCATGTTTGCCGAAGTGAAAAGCGCCAACGACCGCCTCAGTGATACACAACGTCTATGGATTAACGTCCTCACCGGTGCGGGAGTCCGGGTCGCTCTATGCAATGCGGTCGCACGAGAAGTCCGGACGCTGAACTGATCAGAGAACATGTCGCTTTCTCAATCAGTGTGTTGCACATCCGCTCAGCCGGTCGGCTGGTTCGAATTAGAAGCTCAGTGCTCTGGGAAAGCATGTCCATCTCAGCGCGAGAGGAACCCTTCAGCTACACTACGGCATATGGACCGCTGACTCCCTGATGGCAATGAGCTCTTAGCCCCTATCAGCTCGGGTTACACCGACCAAGTTCAACCTGGGATCGACGGACAGTGGCACGCACGTGGTCAACGTGGGAGATTAAGACACCTGAAATAACTATAGAAGAACTTGTTTTGTAAACGTTCTTCTAAGTTTCGAAACAGGTAGTTTTACCATGTTGTCTCAGCAGTCCTCAGGCTCGGATCTACCGACATCACACCTCCCACCCCATAGCGTCACAGTTTGGAGGGTTTCCGTGTCCGCAATATGGGGCAAAATACGGAGTACATCGGTCGGTCTCGATCTGAGCCCGCGAGCCTGGCTGGAGGCTGATCCCCACGATGGCCTTCTGCAAGCTAAATTGGCCAATCGGATGCGCTGAGAGCATCCACAGTAAGCCAGTCGTCGGTGACTCGCCGAAAGATTTGCAGCGTCGCACACCGACAACTGCGCCCTCTCACCTTTGTGAAATGCTCACCGGGGATGACGTGCCGCGGGTCTTGGCCGGCGGTGAGCTTCTCGACACCGCTGCAGTGATGCACGATACAGCAGGCGTTGTTGATGGGCTTGCAGGTGCAGGCAACCGTGGGAACCACCTCCGTGTCCGCTCGCTTCAGCAACAAGCTAAGGTACGGATGGAGAGCATGGTGTCTCATGACTGCGTGACAAGTCACTGGCAGTCTCCCGTCGCCAGCAAGGACTCATTTTATCGAGACTCGCGCGCCATCGCTGATGCGCAGTTCCATGCCTGAAATGCAGGCATCGCCAACCTGTCCAATCTGTATATACACCGCTCATCAAGACAGAGTCTGACTGACAGACGAACGGCCAGAGAGCACCCCGATTGTAGGGGCATTTGAGACGGCAGTCTCATTCCACAGTTCCTATCCCGACGGGCGCTTAACCGCCGGACTCCACGCCTACAAACGAACGTTGGCCAATCACTGAACAGAGAACAGGGCCATCCACCTTTGTGCTGCAGTGACGACACACAGGAACCCACACCACGGCAGAACGAGAAGGGGAGATGGAAGGATTAAAAGCCCCACCTCCAGGGCCTGAGCGCTTAACAGCCCCGATGGGTGGACCACACACGGTTTGCGGGGGCCCGGCTGGGGCCTTTGAGCTTGACCATGCCGGCGGATTGCGCTAATCCGATCTTGGATCTACATAGGCGGGTGCTTGCCGCTTCTACCATTTCAACTTCTGAGTGTCAGTCCTGGGGCCGCTGGGGGCGGACAGACAGCGCATTTCTGGCCCCCTCGCTCTCAGTACTTCATTCAATTATCGCTTGTTGAAATTGAAGATCTGGACCCAGCCGGTGAGCAGATATGTTGCAGACTGAGATGTTACCATTCGTTCTCAGCCATATGTTCCTTCCAGGGAGACGGCTCACAAGCAGGGACTTCCATCAGCACCTACCTGGAATGTCAAACCACTAAGAGACCAGTACTCAAGGACATGGCTTATGTTTGAGCATTGGTAAGCCATCAATGTACTGCGCTACGTTCCAGAGAAGCACCTGGTACTGTACAAACCTTTCTTACCTGTAGAGCCGTCGGACTTGGCAAGCGGGCAACCACCTACACAAACCCAGAATAAGAAAATCATGACAGTTGGCACCTGGGAGCCCATGTCAGATCAGTCGAGTGGAAAAAGAGGAAGAGCGAACAGAGGATACATAACCAACAACGTAAACGAATAGACAACAGTCTCGAAGAGCCAACCGCATAACCTTCATGTAGTCATCACCGCGTCAGTGGCCACCTACCATGCCACGATCGCCAGACCAAGGCTGTCGTGCACCAAAGCACAAACTCCGAGTAACTCGTCCATGTTAGTTTGCACTCTCTTTGACTTTAGCTTCTACCCTGAGTACCGTACAGTACACAATCCTAGGTAGAGATGCCGCAGGTAAAGGCTGTAAGCTAGCTACCTTGCCTACCTAGGCGGTTTGTCCTATTCCACGCAGAAAAGGAGCCAGACCCCCCTGGTCATTCGACCGGCCAACCCCCTAAAATCCCTCAACTTCCCCATGCCTCCACCCATCGCCACGCCACTGTCTTCCGCCTTCCGTCTCTGCTATCAGCAAAAAGAAGTATTCCACACCCGTGGCCCAGTCCATCGCGATGGAGATATGACGGAGGTATATACAGGAGAGACTCCAAAGTAAATATAGATTGAAGATAGCCAAAACACCCCCTCACGGATTTGGCTAATGATCATAACCGAACCCTGATTCCTGTACTCCCATCAATCCGGTCCGTTCCGTGCCATTGGCCCATCCGTTCCAAGACGCCTTGAGAAAACAAAAGAAAGTCAATTGTCGTGAGTGATAAAGGTCGAATGGGGAATCCTATCATTCCCATTTTTCCATCCTGTTCCGGCGGGTCCACAAGGATGACCGTCGGTCCTGACCCGGCGTAGGTCGGTTTAGTTGTATGCAAGGTAGTAATCCAGTTCCGTAACTGCGTCTGGCTGAATCCTTATTCCAAGACGATAGTGATGCCCCCATGAACGTCTGCCTTTCCATGAATCCATTCCTTCAAGACTTGACCACCGTCTCGGGGTCGATTTTCCTCCGCTTGCCTTTGGGCGCGGGCGCCATTCTCGGAGTGTACGTCACCGTTCTTGTGACGACCTCACGAATGTGCCGTATGCTCGACCTCGACTCCCTCTTGGCGTGTCCAGGGGTAGTTGGTGTGCCGGCGGCTGCGGCGCTGATGCCCGGAGTCTCGGGTGCCGCGGGCCGCTTCGAGCCGGGTGTCTCGGCGGCCCTCCTGGACTTGAGCGCCGCCTCCCAGTCAAAGGGCGACTTCACTGACGCAGCGCTCAGCGGAGATCTTGGCGAGTATATGCCCGAGGCTGCTGAAATGGCGGGTGAGGCGGGTAGCTTCATGCTGGGGAACACGGATGCCCCCGTAGGCGGAGCAGATAGAGGGCAGTTGCCGGAGCCACGAGGTGTAGGTGACCGCTTCGTCTCAATAGGGACAGGTTTTGGGCTCCTCGGGCTGTCCTTGGCCTCTTCTTCGCACTCGCAACTGAGCTCGGATCGCGCTGTGGATGGTGCACTCTCGACCTGCTCGGCCTTATCCTTCTCAGGCTCTTCCGACTCGGTCGAACTACTACTGCTGGTGCTGGTGTTGCTGAGGGTAGTGCTGGCAGTGCTTGTCCGGTTCAAGACAGCCTTCCCAGTCTGCGGCGGGGAGGTGAGATTCGGCGAGACTAGAGACATGCTCTTCAGGAAATCCAGATATGCTACAGGTGGCGAGATGGGTGTCTTTTGGAGGTCATGCTCAAGTTTGATTGTGGCACTGAAAGGCCCAGCGGAGGGGAGCCCGGCCGAGGGCAGCCCGGATGAGGGTATTGGGTCTCGAAAAGCCGATGTCCGTGAGACGGCAGACAAAGGAGTGTTCGCAGAGACCGCTGAAGGTAGCGACACGGCCGAACGGAGCTCGGGAGGGGGCGGAGGAATATTAGGAAAGTTTGCAGTGACAGGCGTCGACAGCTTGAGAGCCGGTTTGGACGACATGATGGCAGCTAGGATGCCAGGTAGATGGCAAGTCGGATAGAATGGAAGGAGCAGCGGCCAACCTACGTCTCCCGGCAGTACCGCGTGTCGGACTGCCACTCAGCTCACCTTGGAGATGGAAGGCGAGAGGGGCCCGGCAGCTGGGGGAGGAGGAGACCGAAGGTACGGGAAGGGTGGGCAGCAAAGGAATATATGATCTGGACCAACGGAGGAGGGTCCGCACCCCAAAGGCCCAAAGAACAGGATGTCCAACAGGAATTCTCCGCAAGGGCCTAGTGTCGCGCGGCAACCCTGTAACGTTATCCCTGGGCGCCAGAACAGCGGACTAGCGTACCAGTCCCTGTCTGTATGTACTGTACGTGTAATATCCGCGAGCTAACCGCGGTCGTTTCGAGTAGCCTGTCTCGAGGCTTACTAGAAGGACAGCCGGTCAGTGATCTGTAGTGACTGTCAAGGAAAGTGCCAGCTGTGCTGCAGAGATGCTTGACATTGTGTCCAGGTGGAGAGCCTAACATCTCGCTGAACGGAGCCATGACATGAAAGAGCAAGAGGTAAAAACTGAGAGCCAGGGATGGCAAGCATCGTATCTGCTGTACGGTAGTGTCGAGACTCGAGAGGGGCATGAAGCAGCGGGCAAATCAGGGAGCATCAGCTGAAGTGGGGCGTTTCTCTGACAAGCGAGAAGCGACAACCCGACAGGGGTCCCGGGCGGCAGTGAAAGTGTGCTGAGACGATGGGGAGTTGCTGCGGATGCCTGGCGTGACTGGGGCTGCAGCTCAAGGCCCGCCCGCGTCCTTCTCCGCGCTTCAATGTTTCTTGTGTGCCTCCTCGCCTCTTGCTCTGCCGTTCCTCATTGGGAAAGTGCCCGAGGAAAAGGAAGATGAGATAATGAAAGAGAGTGGCACTTACGGTCTGCTGCGCCTGGCGCGTAGGAAAGCCCAATATCGCGTAACGCCGAGGCAGAGCCTGGGGTTTTTCAACCTGGCCAGGGTCAGAGCAGTCAGCGCCGGATGTCCTTGTGCTCAGGGCTAATTTGCTGTTTCTGGGGGATGTAAGGTAAGGTATGCAATCGTAATCATACAGTACAGGTAAATGGACTGCACAACGTTGACCATCACATACAGAGTCTTAAAAAAACGCCCGTATCCTTTTGCTGGAACCGGTGGGTTGCGTCCGATTCGCAGAAGCAGACAGCAAAGCAGAGGAAAGCCCCAAGCCCAACACCGCGAACGGCTTGTGCTTGGTCGTGCTGGAAGCTTGCCACGAGCTAGCGGCCAGAAGCCACGACCGAAAGACAGTGACGATGCCGGGAGCTCAATCGCCTGGGGTAGACAAAGCCTCGTTTGATTGGCTGGATGCGAGTGGAGCCCCGGCAGGGATGGGCGCTAAAAATCATATTCTTAGTACAGGGTGCTATGATTGGTCAAGACTTGCCGCCTACATTTCAAACAACAACTTGCGATGATCGCAACGACGACAAGTTCCGGACGACAACTCTCGCGATGAAAGTTGTGACGCCAGAGTTGAGCATTAACCTCGCAAATTGCCAGAATTATGGTAATAAGCTTAATTCGTTGAAATGATCAAGTCGTACAAATGAGGTTGGATCCGGACGATCGTGGTTCAGGCGCAGGGCAGGGTGGCAGAGAGAAGCTCGTTGCTGTTTGAAGTCGGTATCTCGTCGAATCCGTTCACAGGGCCGGCCTGCGATGACTGCTGTGACTGGACTTCTGCAGTTCTTCTAGAAGCGCGGTTGGCGCGGGGCGCAATCCTTCAGCCTGGCCCGTGAAATCAGCAAGGCAGGCAGGATTGGCAATCTGAGTTGGATCAAAAGAGTTTTGTTGTTGGTCAGGTGGTTGCGCGAGCCAGCGCAAGATTTATATGTATGTTGGCTTCCCTGGCGGGTCGAGTAGCCTACGGCCTAACCGGCCGGTCTACACAATGAGAGCTTCTCGACCATCCGCATGACTACCGTGATTTCTGAGCCCGTAAGTAACGTAGTTTGCTTACCGGAAGCTCCAGTTGAGCGCGCGCCAGGGAAGTGGTGCATCTTCAATCAGCTAAGTTCGCTTCATCGTTTCCCTCGCTCTCGAAAAATAAGTGGTCTCTGGTCTGCCAATTTTTTTTGGTTGCAGCCGCGCTTCCTGCTCCTGCCCCGGATTCGGGCCCGCCCAGCGACCTCCAACCAGCTCAGCGCGCGGCTGTTGACGCGCTTGCAAGAATGAAGCCATGTGTTGTGGCTTCTGTTGGCTAGGCGTTTCCGGGGTGTCATAGTTGATATGTATCGTGCGGTTCCCGTTGACGTGGTCATTGGCTCACACATCCAGCATTTCTCGCGCCGCCTTGGGTCTAGGGACTTACAACGTGGAGCGCGCGCCTGCTTCCCGTGTAGCATGGTAACACTAAGGTAGGTACTTCCTTCCTTCCACCTTCTGGATTCAGGACGCTGGCCTCATCTGCTGCCATAAGGTACCAGACCATCTAGGAGTCCAGGCGGCTCCTGCTGCCAGGCGATTTTCAGGAGCTTCGCAATTTCATCGTTTCCAGAGCGCCTCTGCAAAGCTCTTCTCCGCAGGCTCCCGAGCCCGATCCCGACCATTGATTGCTGCTAGCCCTGAGCCAGTCCTCCGCATTATGATCTTGACTCTCGGAACACCTTAGGCGCCTCGGTTCGGCTGCCGAAACGTTTTTCTACACGCTCGACTCCACGAAGCTATTTTACTGTGTCAGCGGTCGGCCGTGATGTGGTACGCATCGAAACTGCTTTACAATTCGAAACTAAGGTAGTAACATCAACCGCACTGCGACGGGGTAGGAGAGGTAGAAGATGCCGCCGAGCGCAAGGACGCGCCGTCACCAGACATTGGTTTGGTGCTCGATCGTCATCATCTTGCCTGCCGCATGGTGCCGGGTGACGGCAGCAGTGCTCAGATGTGCAAACACTCTGTTCATAGTTGTAGCCTCTCCACCGCCCGTGTTTGGGTGCGATGGGTGTCGCACAACACGCCAACCGAGTTCCCATCTCCTCTACTCATCTCAAGAGTCCGCAGGACTTATGATTTCCGGCTGCAGACCTCCGGCGGAAGTGAACCTGGCGGCAACGACTGACGCAGAATCCCAGTGTCCGCAATGCTGTATTCTCTGAATGCTTCAGATTTAACCTTATTCTCAGTCCCAGATTTCTCTTGATCTTTCGCTGTCTCACGGTCCTGGGTCGCTCGTAGACCAGGGCGCCTAGCTCTTCAATGGAAAGGAAACCAGGTTCCTAGGGGCTTGCCCCTTAGCGGCAACCCACCCGACAAACGCGCGACAATTCATCCTCTCAGTATACCGAGTGTAGCAGCTTGTGCAAGCGAAGGAGAGAAAGAAAAATTGAATTCTAACGCCTGGCGGATGTCATGCGATCTCTTCATTGCCCATATCGGTCTTCTTGGGTTCACTTCATCCTCGATCGTCTGCGAGGCCCGCAGCACAGGCTCAACTGGGAAGCTTGACGACGGGAGAGAGAGCTTGGTCATGGAGTATTGTCAATGCAGTCCATAGGACCACACACCATGCTCTGCTGGCAAGCTGCTCCTCGGTGATGCAGGAGGACTACCCAGCATTGTGAAAGCATAAGCCATCGTCTCATGCCCATCCGGGGGTTTTCCCGATATTGGCCGGCTGGGTGCTGCAATGTGTGCCATGCCGGCGGCCAAGCAAGAAGCTCCATCTAGCGTCATTTCGGCCAAGGCAGTCCAGTGACACAGCCTGGGAATCCGGAGGCAGGGCGAGACACAATCTGGATCGGCTGGTGGAATGCGCAGATGCGCGCCCTAGTGTCGCAGGACAGGTCTGCAGACTGGCAAATACCAGAATGGCAAATATCTCGGCCAATTCGGCCCTCTGCCTTCAGTTTCTGCCGCCGATTCTTGGATGGTACTCGCGTATGCCAACATACGATGACTGAGTTGTCTACTTGTCTCTTCTTCCACGCCTCTCTAGCCTAAGTTTTGTCAGCCGTGAGCGACAATGCATGTTGTGCTTCGTTGATAGAGAATTCCGTACCCTCGAAAAGCCCTAGACCTTTCTCTGCTCAGTATGCTTTCTCGACATTCCGAGTCCACGACCGGCTTGACAAGAGCCCGTCATCAGTGATGCGCGCTGAGTGGCACAGATCAACTAGGGTACCTGGGTGGGCAAGAAAGAAGGCTTCTGGTACCAAAGAGTGGAAGGATTTGCCTAACTCTAGCATAAGGAGTCATTCTTTGAATAGTATGGAAGGGAAGGGTACTGGACAGTTGCTTTGCTGATAGACACTACTAGGTGGAAAGATAGGTAGCTAACACAGTGTTTCCATGCCTGGGGGCAAGATGTTCAGCTTAGATTCTGTCAACGACTTATGGTTATGTCTCTGCGTGTGACAGTTGTCCTGTCGGCTTCTTTGACCCCTTTCTCTCCCCAAGGAACTGGAAACGGCCTGACGGTGTTTGCTTGGCTGAAACTCTTACAATGGGTTAAGAACCCAATAGACCGAAAAAGTCGCCGCAGAGGTGGAATGGCATATTGTGTTGGCATAAGGTCCGCCTTGGACATGCCTGTTGGCTCAGATTGCATCCAGGCCCCCCGAGCTGCAACAGTCTCCGTCCCAGGGCATCGCTCGTTGCTACATTTCCGTGCTCTGTTTAGTCTGGTTTCTTGTGGAATTTGGACATTTCCGTTCGGCAACAGGTATCCCACCGGGTGCTGACCGTTGCAAGGAGTCAGGGCCCCCTACTATGTACGACAAAACAGCCGCACTATTCTGTTTACCCCAAATGGTTAAGCCCAGAAACGTAAACCACCTATAATACGAGAAGAATGAATTGCCAGAGTGGTCGACTTCTCTTGCTGATTGCTCGAATAGGGATAACCTTTGGTCTTCGCATGGTCAATGAGCCAATCCCCGACCAGTCTTGTTGACAGAGCGAATGAGGATCCGCCACCGGGCTTGCGATCTCGCATGATATCAGGATAGAAGA